AAAGAAAACCATTCTTCTTATATTTAACTCTTGCAAATACATTGACAAGAAATCAATTAGATTGCAACATTTAATACAATTTTGAAGATTATAATACATAATTGCACCTAAATATTTGCGTTTACTTGGGGTTCAATGATTTCATTCTGTCAATAAAATTGTGTCTGAGTAATAAATTGTAGGATAAAAATAATAATTTATTTACATCTTCTTTCTCATTACTAAGATTCTGCTAAGCAGCTAAGGTTGAGGGTGATCCTGATATTTTTTCTGTGCTGCATCCTCACTCCTAGTTGGCATAGTCAAGAGTCAAGTGTATTTTCAACAATTAAGAGTCATTTTGGGGGGGAATCGGATATTTTAAACACCATTAAATTTAAGACTTGATTTGACTATGTCCATTCCAAAAGGAGTTTAGCTAACTTAGCCATTATCAAAACGTTTCAGGAAAATTTTTTATAATTACAGTAAAAATTTAAAAATGTTGAATTTAAGGCATTTAGATTGTCTGTATATCCATCAACCTGAACTACTCCTACTTCCAAGGTTATTAAATAAATGAAATAAATTTTACGCTTCCATGATCATTTTTTTAGGTGGGCGAGGCAGTTATACTTTAACAGAGCAGCATCATTGTTGAAAAAAAAATTTAAAAAAAATAAACAATGATTCTTTCGAACTGCTTTTGATGTTTGTTTTTTGTTTCCTTTCTTAAAATCCCATGCAAGTGGTGCGGTGCCGTTTTATTAGCAATTCAGTTTCCCTCCTATTCCTCATTAAAAAAAAATAAAAAAAAATAAAATCAATTCAGTTACTTTTACTTCATAAATCTCTCCAAAGCTCCAAAAGGTCCTTCTTTAAAAATAAAAATTATAAATCCAGGCTGCTAAATTTCAAGACTAGAAACTTCTATTCTTTGACGGTAATGAAAAATTGAACAAATACGGATGTTTTCCTTGAGCCCGTGTTCAAACTTCCTTACAAAGTCAACCTCGGTTCAGATTTACATGCCGTAAAACAAATTTATGGCTGTAAGTGTACGTTCGTATATAAATAGTGGCCCGGTCGATCTTGAACTTGGCGCTGCAGGTTTCTCTGCTCCGCTCGCTGACCGTCGATTAATTTGACCAGCACCCTGCAGGCAAGGCTGCTCTGATTAGAAAAGTGCTCTCGCAGCGAGCTGGAAATCGAAAAGCCAACCTCAAGCCGCCATTCCTTATCGCTGCCGGATTCAAATAAAGCTGGAAAGGCTTTTGTGCCGAATCGGAGGAGCGAAACAACTTATTTCTGTCTCGCGTGACTTATCAAAATTACAACGCTTCGGAGACGAGCAATGCAGTCTTTTGCCGCATTCGAATCGCTTTAATGCGCCATTTGCACCACTTTGAAGTAAATTCGGGGAAAAGTCATGAATTACAAATTGAAATGGAACGAAACACGGAATTTGACGAAATACCAGGTCTTTGTGGATGGAAATCTGACAAACGCTTTTCATCTCCAGCGCAAATCAAATCTGAAATTATAAACGCCTTTTAAATTTTCCTCTTTTTTTGGTTGAAATTTTCTGGTCTAAAGAATTTTGAATTGCACGCCAATAAAATAAACATAGCCCGTTTCAAAAAGCCACAATAATGTCGTTGGGCAAAGCAGGCCTTTCGGTACTTCAAGAGCGAAAGGCTCATTAGACAGGCAAACGGCAACAAAGCCATCATTTTCCCCCAGAGAAAGACACACTTGGTTGGCTCTGGTCCCGACCTCAACTCGCCCAAAGTCTCCCCCCGGCCAGAGACTCGCCGACCCCGCCAGCGCTCGTAATTAGCGAAAACGCGCACGTGGTGCTCTGCCGCGATAATTGGACGAGCAGCAGCACTCGTGCTAAATCGACGCGCTAACACGATTACTTCTTGCGGCCCCTCTCTTTGCACCTGCCAGCTTTGGTAAAATATCTGGGGCTTAAACGACGCACAGTTCTTTTTAAAAATTTTAACCAATATATTATTCTTATTATATTAGTTTTTATTTTTGTTTTATTATGCTTTATATTTTTTCACGGATTAAAAATATGTTGTTAGATTTTTATATATTAAAATTTATTTTGAACAAATTTCTGTCTTTTCTGAAGTAAATACTAGTTAATTAGTGATAAATCGGTTTAAAACATTTCATATAATTTTCTTAGTCATGGGTCATGGTTCGTTAAATCTGGAAACATTTTTCAAAAACTTCACTTTCTATATCGGATTGGGATAGTAATTAACATTATTAATTTACACTATAATACCTTATATGGAATGGTATGTATAAGATACAATTTAAAATTCTTCATTTTTTTCTACACTTGCCTTAGTATTCTGCTGAATTCCAAACGAAAAGATTTCTCTTGTTTTTTCTTCTTATCAAATAATATGATGAGTGATAAATAAATAAAAGATCTGAACCATCCAAATCAACTCGATACATTTTATGATCTTTCTCTACACATTTCTGTCTTTCGCAGTTTCATAACACGCAGTTTGACAGCGTCGAGGCAATCTAATTCACGTTCATCTGCGTCGTTCTGCTGGAGTCTTAAAGCCGTGTTACATGATTGAGTGACGGGATTAAAGGCTGCAGCCCTTCTACGCTGTCAGCCTGTTGTTTAACAAGCACGCGTGCTCTGCATTATAATTTTTATCAGCCGAGTGGGTGGTTACACGGGTGGACGGAAGCGCGCTTTCTCATGCACCAGACGTGCAGAGGTGTGGGTCCTTATTCGGACAAAAATCCCACCATCTACCTTGGACCGAATCCAAATCAAAATGTAGATCGGCCGCAAATAAAAGGGATCAACAGCGTTGATGAATCCCAAAGTAGTCGTGATATTCGTCAGCGGCGCTAAATTTGGATCAACAAAGCCGCAGATTCGCGCAGACAAGTCGCTTTGTCGCCAGGAAAAAAATTACGAACCACTCGAGCGACAAATTCGAACTTTTTGCTAAAAGGCAGAAGATCCGCTCTCGCTCTCCCCGGATCCGTGCGTTTGACCTTGCGCAGGTTGTGTCGCAAAGGTCGTTGCAGAAATAATTGTGATTGCGCCTGATTTCACACACGTGGACTTTTGTTCAATTCATGCGGGTGGGAAAACAATGCAGTTTCCGTCGCAGCAACTTTCGCCACTTAAAACCAAGTAAAATGCTTGTAAATTAAATGGCTGTGCAAGGCTGAGTTGGACATAATTATTTAAGTTACTCTCAGCAATCCCATATGTTAATTTTGCTCCGCTTTGATATTGCGTGGTTTGCCAAATTCAAACAACTACAGGTTTATATAGATGCTGAAAATTTTCATCCTTGGGCGTTTTTCTTTTTTGAGATGTGAAACACATGAACAACTTTTCATTAAACCTGCTGTCATGCCTTTTTAAGAAAATTAACAATGTCTTTGACCCCGACTTGACTAAAATGGGTAGATCCTCGGTACTCATTGCGCGCGATGATTCACTCAATTGAACCTTGGCGATGAAATAATCCCCTGCTGACCACGACATTTTCTTTTCTCTTTGGGGTCAACGCGATATTTTTATTTGACGAGACTCGTGATTGGTGAAGGTGTTACTTTTTTCTCGATTTATTCGCTAATGTTTCATAAACAGAGCTGCTGGTCGGGTAAGTGAGTCATGCTCTGGTGGGTTCAGCAGGCGCGGCCTTAAAAGTACACTTGACTCTTTGCGGGGGTGAATTTTTTACATGTTATTTTTCTCGCTTTCAAATGGAGCTGACAACCGACGGCACCGCTCGTTTGTTCGCCCAGCCATTAATTAACATTGAATGGCTCTATTTAGAAAGGGAGAGAGGTCGCGCGCGGTTGACACAAAACTAATACACAAAGATGAGATGCTGCTCTTTGTTCGACAAATGACAAACTTTTAAGGCCTGCTTTGTATTTAAATTTTATTCCTCGGCATTTTGTGTGGGACCATTATTTAAATTTGAAAAACGGTCACTTTGAATAATTCATTGCCATCCAATTGAAAAACATATTTTGAGAACCTTCATAAACCGTTGAAGATATTTTATTTTGTATCATTTTTTAATGGTATTTTTACACCGCAGCTTGCTGCTATATATAATGAAACGCGAGCATCCGAAAGTCATCTTGAGCGCCGACATACTCTACTTGACGTCCGCGTTTCGAATTTCCATTATTCTCCGCGCTGGCTGGGTTTCAGCTTTTTCAATCGTCAATGTCAACTTTTTGCGATTGTTACCCGACAGATCTGGGTCGGAAACGTTACCTCTTGTGGAAATTGTGACGAAAAACGACAGCGATCGATGTAAAAATAAACTTGCGCCACTGAAGAAACCTTCTTCAAACGGAGAAATTAAAATTATTACTTAATTAACCACAATAATTCGTGGCGTAATAAATTTCATTTCATTGTTGCAACTCTGGTATTTTAATAGAGTTCATTATCTTATATTAAAACGTCAATTATATCCAACACAAACTTAGCTCTCATATTTTAAAATCTCCTTTTTTTTGCAGAAATACTTATAGTTTTTTTATGTTATTTAAAAAAAAATATTTTTTTATGACTTTTATATTTTAGAAGATTGATTTTTATTTCATTTTTTTATTCCTAACGATAATTTTAGGACTAAACAAGTCCAGCCAATTTTTGAAAAAAAGGTGCTTTTTAGATTAATTGCTTTAGCTGAAGCATAAGTTTGTTAAAATCGATTTTGTACTCTATATATGAAAAATTGTAACTTGAAGTGAAATAATTCTGATTTTAATTAGTTTTCTGAGCTTTTTTTTATTAAATTTAAATTCATGTCGCTCTGTTACATGATATTCACCACCTCTTTAACTACTCAATCTCCAATAAAAAAACTTCTGCAACAATAGAGCACTACTCATGCTCTGTGCTGACATTTCGCTCTTTCACTGCGCACTCCTACTCTCGCGAAATAGGTCAGTCTGCAACTTGTACTGATCGAAAACTCTCCGTTTCGTTGCAGAGAAATGCAGCTGCGACGGTAGGTCATGGCTGAAGCGTCGTCTCCAGGGCCCGATGGGGTCCGCGCTGGCAGTGACAGCGGCGTCGAACTGGCGCTGACCACTGTCGACGGTGGATACACCAGCGGGTTGGAGTCGCTGGCTTGCGGGGGTGGCACCTCGTGCGAATCAAGCCTGCAGAGTTTTTCTGGCGACCTCACCCTGCACAACCTTGAACTTGGCAAGGCCAGCCCTTCAAGCAGCTTGTCACCGAGTTTGCCAAGCCCTGGCTGCCAATCTTTGAGCTTGTCGCTCAGCGCTCCCAAACTTATGACCAGCTCACTCAAATTACCTTCCAAACGCTCAGAGTCAAAGTAAGTGATAAAGTTCTTTAATTATTACAATTACTGTTTTGCCGTAAAATACAATTTGCTATTTTTTAGGCTTGCTAGTTAAAGTTATTCAGAAAAAAATAAACATTTTATTGCTGCATAGTAATTTAATTGAACTATTACATTTTTAGACAGATTCTAATCTTGTGATAAATTTTAATTTAATATATTAAAAATTTAAAGAAAAATTAACGTGTCATTATTTTTGTTTAAATTTAAATAAACAATAAAGTTAATTTTCAAATTGTTGCAGGACTTCCAGCTGCAAAAGTTTGAACACCCGTCGCTCAGAGCCACGCAGTCTTTCCCAAAGCCGAATGCCCACTTTGGACGATGGCCGTTGGCCGTCGGTGAACAGCAGGGCGGCCAAAAAGTCGGCAGGCGCACCTTCCAATACTGAGCGCCGTTCTCAGGCGCGTCAGGAACGCGTCCACACAACTCAGCAGCAGCAACAACAACAACAGCAACAATCTACGCTGGACAAGTACGCCACTCTTCCGCGAAAAGCGCGCCATGTGAAGGTGACAGCGCCAGTCGAAAGTGGGCCCAGGTCTCTCATCGGCCTTAGCACCGTCAGTAGGGAGCCCAGCCTCAACAGAGCAGCCAGTCTTCGCAGGCAAAGGAATGCCCCCAACCACAGCGCGTAAGTCATTAATTATTAGTAAAAATTGAAAATTAGAATTACTTTTGAATTATATTTGGTAAAAGTGACGCTCAGCAGTAATCAACAAAATAACCTTTTTGCTATTAAAGAGCTACATAGTTCATTGATAATGCAGAATTTATATTATTAATTAAATGCTTGGAATCACTAAAAATTACCCTACAACTTTTTGATTTAATTTTTTTCCGCAAATTTTAAATAACTTTGAGGGTTTTTTTAAAATGGTTCATTTAAGAAAAAGCAATAACACCTCAAATCACCTGTTGCGTCAAAATTAATTTATTTTATAACACCCAAAATGCAAAATGTTAATGGAAAGGTTCGCCCGGTTTCATTTTTCAAAAACTTCACCATTTAATTTGGCACCTGTTTCTGAACAATTTCATTTAAAATCCCTACATTCACAATAAAAGTTGGTGTCACACCTAAATAATTAATTCGTCTTCAAAATTAAATAACTCCCGTCACCTCTGAAAACAATAGAGAATAATCACGTCTCAATCTTTTCTAATTACAAATTTACAAAGATGAGCACCACCCTTTGCTTGACCTCATTTCCATTCTGCCCCTTTGCCGTGGGAGCAGGAAGTTGCAAAGTCAATTATTCATTCAGATAAAGCAAGAGTGTTTGGTGTGGCTCCACTCATTTATGAAAATTCGCCAAGCATTATAACAGCTCCGTGCGCGGCAGCCTCACCCTTCCAGCAAAACTTAATTTGGCGCTTCCTGTTTGCCACAGAAGCAGCGGCTACAGATCTGACGCTGAAGACGTCTCTGGGTCTTCGGTGCGCTCAAAGAGTTTGACCAGGTGTCTGCCTTCCTACCCAGGCAGACGCAAGAGACCGACCACTTTGAAGGACGTAGGCGCCCAGACGGTCCGGACAGACCCCAGGTCGCCAGAGGTGTGTGACAAAATCAATCGAACGTGCCTTGCAAGTAAATTGTCTTCCTTCTCGATAGGATATGGAAGCGCAGCTGTTAGAATTGACGGCAGAGCACGACAAGCTCTCCAGAGAGGTGGACATCAGTATTAAAAGTCTGCTGAAAGAAAAAGAGGCCCGGCAAAAATTGCAAGACGACGTGGAGACGGCCAACAAAAGAATGCTGCAGATGCTTGGCCGAGATGCGACTGGTAGATTTCTGCTTTTTTTATTCCTCCTCTCCTCATAATCTATTTCTTTGATCCAGAAGCGGCTTCACAAACGAATCTGCTGGCAGAGATTGAGACCCGGCTGACGGCCACGGCCGAGGTTGCTGCCAAGAACCACAAAGAGCTCTCAAAAGCACAAAAAGCCCATAGGACCCTGACTGAGGTAAGATGATAAACTGCGTAGTAGTGATTTGTGTATTCACGATTGCGTCAACAGGAGGTGGAAAAGGCAAAAGAAGCTGCTTCTATGTCGAACCAGCAGTATTTGGACCTTCAGGAAGAGTCCAATGAACTTATAGATTTCTTAACTGCTGAAAAAACTACATTGGCCGAGTCGCTGAAGGAGGCTGAGGACAAAGTAAAAAAAAAAAAAATTGATGAATTTTTTATTTTTCTATTTAATGTTGTTTATTTTTCAGATTGTGAATTTGATTGCACAAATTGAAACTAAGGATAAAGACATTGAAAGGCAAAAAGATGAATGCAGGCATTTAGTAAAGCTCAGTGAACAGAGGAGGTATTAAAACAGCTTCTTTTGTATGCAATTGTTAAAAAATATATTCCCAGGCAAGAGATCCAAGCCCTTCAAGCAAAACTTCAGTCCACTGAGCGTCTTTTGGTGTCTCAAGGAGGTACCACGACTGCTGCATCAGTAGCCCTGGACGAGCTCTGTTCCAGGCTCGAGTCTCTCTTGCCTTTCTCCGAGTTGAAGGAACAACACAGCCACTCTCCGTCGCCAGCTATTGAAGCTAATTCTTCCTCCGATGACAAAGACAAGCAAAGACCTCTTGTAGGCAGTGAATCGCTGCAAGACCTGACCAAGGCCATAATTTCGTGCCAATCGAGCCTCGAGCCGTCCGCTGAACCTGAGGAGCCAACGGCACACAGCCCTACGCTGACTGACCAGGCGTCCGAGCTTGACAAACTTGTGTCCAAGGTTTCTTTTGCTTTCCAAAATATAATCAAACAGCGGGAGCAAAGTGCTAAAGAGGCAAATGATTTAAAGTGAGAGGAATTAAAAATATTTATTTGTTTCAATCATATTTAATTATTTATTTTATGGTAGGTTGAAGCTCGAGTCTGAAAAGAAAGCGTTGATCGAGGCAAATCTGCAGCTTGAAGAAAAACAGCATAAAATGCAGCAGCTTGAGGCAGCCCAGCGGTTGGCTCATAAAACTAGTACTGATGAGGTGAAATTTTAAAAAACACATAAAATTTATTTGGTGATCTTTTAAAATGTGTTTATAGATATCGACACTGAAGGCAATTTTGAATGAAAAGGAAAATCAAATTTCTTTGAAGTCCTGCAAAGAAAACAGCAATTTGCTTGCTAACTGGAAAGTAGCTGCTGAAGAACTCAATCGACAGTATTTGGTCATTGACAAAGCACTAGATGTAATTTAAAATTTTATTTCTAAATTTTTAATTTCCAAATCTCTAATGAAATTTAGGTGCTGCACAAAGAGCAGGATTTTGTTAACAAGAATCCAGAGCTGGCAAAGCTGCAGGCTGAGTTGGAGGAGACCAACTTCCGTTGCGTTACACTTCCAGCATTGGTGCCCGAAGAGTTGGTAACCAATGGTGGAAGCAAACGGCATGATGCCAAAATCTCGCCATCTGTCCACGTGCCCGAGACTGTCAACGGAACTGCATAGATTTTAAGCTTCACTCTCAATCTCTTTCGAGAAAGTAGACCCTGTACCACTAGATGTACTATGTGTAGGATTAAGTTTAAAAAAACATCGAGCTTGGATAACCACGTGCAGTGGCACAAAAAGTTTTAAATCTGCTATCAATTTTTATTTTCTGATCAATTTCAGTTTTATTTATTAGGAATTAACTTTTTTGATTCCCACCCCAATCAAAGTAAATTTTAAGCTCATTAGAAATGTGATCAGAAATTTTCGTGTCGATGTTGGGGAGCCAACGATATACTTTTAGATGTAAAGAGTGTATGCTTTTTGTGCTTAGTAAGCTGAATGAATCACAATTTTATTCCTCAATACTACCAATAAAATTAAAGGATAAAAATACTTTATAGTTTTTTACTGTACGGTCACCTTTTTCTCTTTTTTTCCAAGACGGAACTCGTATTGTTAGAAAGAGCTTGCAGTAATTAAATAATAACAATAAAATTTTTCACCAATACAAAGTAATAACTTTTAATGGCATATAAGACAAAGAGATGTAACCTTTCCTCCAAGACATCTACTATAATAAACATAAAATCACTTTCCGTTCAAAAGTAAAAATATTGAGACAACAGTTAGTTACAAAATAGAGCGGCTCTATGTTACAGTCACATGTATCTGTTGTTGTTTCCGATCATAAATAAATTATTAACAAAATAGAGGGGAATGATCAAGTACTTTACACCTAATAATCTCCACAGCAGTTGATCTTGTGTAAATACAATTGTAAAAAATATCACTTCTTTGTCATGATTTCACTTCGGTCACAGCAGTTGTTCACCACGGAAGAGTTGATATAAAACAAATGAAAGGACGGAACTCTACGATGAAACTTCAATGCTGTCAGGGTTGTTAGAAATCTGTTCCTCGTGTTCAGCTAGAAGATTATCCATTGCAGCAAGGATGTTTTCTGGTAGGTGATCCAGAATCATGCGTGGCATCACCCGCAGCTGAGTGAAATGCTCCTTGCCCGCCCAACGCAGCTCATGATGACGTCGCCGACCGTTTCCGCTTGGGCCTGAAGTAAAAACAATGAAAAATAATAAAAAAAAATTGCACGTATAAATAAATATATACATCCAATTGAACTGCAAACTATTTACCTGAGCTTTTGCATCTAGTGATGTGAAGTATTTTGCCTGGAGAGAAGAGTCTTTGCTCGGAAAAGCGCCTCCGTCCTACATTGCATGCCAGTCTCGATGCTTCGATTGAAGTTGGAGGACCCATCACCAGCTTGTGGATGGCACGGTATCGCTTTGTTGGAATTCTCTCCAACTTCTCATCAGCTATTTCCCACGTCTGCTCCAAAACGTGGTCAGGAACTCCAAAGAGAACATACATGAACCCACTTAAAAGTACTCGGTACTAAAAAAAATTAGGTATTTTTAGTAAAAAATTGGGTTTTATAATATTATTAATTGTACTGACTTTTGGGAGCATGCAACATCTAATTGCAGTCAAAAGGTCGGTTCTGAGATTCTCAATACTGTCCACTCCAAGTCTCATGACAAGGTCATCACCAAGACCTACTGTCAACGTAAAAGATTCGCTTGCTGCAGCAGCTTCAGGGCATAAGAGGCCGCCAGGAGCAGCAAAGGCATAACACTTTAAGTCGGGATATGTGGGTTTCAACATCAATCCAAGTAAAACAGCAACGCCAGCACCCAAACTGTGGCCTATTAAATTTAAAAATACAATTAATTTGAATTGCATTCAGATATTTTAGAGTGGAAATTACCAGTAACAATTAAATTATATTCAGGGTGGCTCTCAAAAGCTTCAGTCAAAATAGATTCCTGCTGCAGGGTTCTGAGGACGTATTGGGCAACATGGATCATGCCTTTGTGACCCTGATTTAAAAAAGATTGTAATTTCATTAGGAAACGTTTAATAAAATTAAAGTGAAAAACGCAAACCTTGCAGTTTGGCGGAAGTTCGGGCGCCTCGAGTTCATAGGATGCTGCTGTGAAGTCGGTGAAAATGTCTCTGAGCGAGATGGAGCCCCGCATGACCACCACAATACTTTTTGTTGAGTGGTCAGCGACAACAAGAAAAGGAACCTCAAAGAGTCGGTTGCGGAACGAAGCGTACAAAATGTCATGTGCAGGAACTCCGGACAAACTGCGCATTCCAGCAACGTTGCACAGACAACAGTTGTCCTCCACAACTCGAGGAGTCTTTGATCTGACGGAAACAAATTAATATTTATTTCTAAATTAAGACACGGACAAACCTCATACAGCCACAGCAGGCCATGTACGGCAACAGACGGAAAAATCCTGTGAAGCAGTGAAGGTACATGACCAGTGGCCAGCCGTAGGCGGCCATGGATAATCTGAGGTAGTGCCTGGCAATGCTGAGCTTCATCCATTCGGCAGCGCCAATCACTCGAGTGTCCTCGTCCAAGCTCAGTGGTGGTGAAATGCCCTGAGCATGAGTTGGAAAATGTTGAGTCCACTCTAGAATGAATAAATATTTTGAATTAAAAATTTCATTAAGTGAACTGTAAAAATCATTTTCATGCTATAATAGTTTTAATAAACTTATACAACAAAAGAGCACCAAAATTATAATGAAATGAAATAAATAGAATGTAGTGCAGTAACTATGTTTTGATTGTAATTAATTTTAAAACATAGACGTTTTAAGTAAGTTATATACCTCTGTTGCCTCGGCTTTTGGCGAGTTTTTCACGTTGCATGCGCACTTCTCGTTTTTGCTTGACCCGAAGTAACACAAAGGCCGAAGCAACGTCTGAGGGCACCAGATCTGTGCTGCGGAAGAGGGCGCTAAAAAGGCCTGTAAATGCATAATTTAGATTAGAGTTTGCTTAGAACTTTCGCAGGAAGTTTCTAAATTTGATTGAATGATAAGAAAATATGATAACTCACTGGCGACGTCGTGGAAAGCTGTCCGGCTGTGCTCGTCCGGCCTCATCCAGCAGAAGAGCCAGGCAAACCGGCGCTGCCAAATGGCCCTGCTGCGCTGAGCGTGCTGCTCGTGGTGGTCTTCAAGGCAGTTGGCGCCGCCGTCGCAAGGCGCGTAGTACCTGGCCGAGCCCAGGGGGTCAAAGAGCAGAGCCATGCCGAGGATCGTCGCCACCAAGGACAACCAGTTGAAAATCAGCACTCCTGCAATTAGGCATTGTGGTCAAAGCAGGAAAAAGAAAACGGAGCTTAAAGTTATATTCAAAAATTTTATTCTTAAAGTTTATAGACGATGCAGTAATTTAAGTATGCAGAACTTACAAAAATACAAGTTATGAAAATTAATTAATAGAGCATTATTCAAAACATGCGTTTGTCTGTAACCAAAAATTCACTTTATTTTTATCTTTATTTACTTAAATCTTTGGTTGTTTATTTTTACATTTACTTAAATTAATTTGTATAAATAATCATGATCTATTTCACGCAAGATAATTTTGTAGTGCCTCAAAATTAAAATTAAACTTTTATACTAAATTATTATATTTTATTGGAAATACAGTCGCTTATTTAGAGTCTTAAATTCATCAACATCTGCGTTAATTGAGGATGCAGGTCTTGAACTATCTTTGTGAAGTTGCTAAATAAATATTGGTATAGTAAATAACAGAAAATGGATTATTGATTACTGACCTTTGATGACGGTGGACGTGAAGGCCTCTCCGGCGCAACGCGGCATCACCTCGCCAAGTTCATAGGCCCAAAGGGTGCCAAGGATGTTCCAGATCAACTCGGGAAACATCAGAGAGAACCTGCGAGGAATTAAAAATTTCCCATTTTATTAAAAAAATTAACCATAAAAATTTATTTTGTCATGCTTGTCATGGATATAGTTTTGACAGGTATGACACGGTGAGCAAGGACAATTTTGCGCGGTCACGTTCTGAATCCGACCCATTTGGCATCGTCTCTCTCTTTTTCGTGGTCGTCCTCGGCGTGTTTTTTTTTTTTTTTTTTTTTTTTATCAAAAGCAGCAGCCTCCGCGTAATTACTATACAAAGGCGACGGACGAAACTATTTTTATCCTAGTCTCCCTCGCGACTGAGCAAGCGGGTTTCATTAAACCAGGCGGACTGTCGCGTTCAGTGGACGTCCTTTCCGCGCTTACATGAATTTATTATATTTTGCTCTTCACCGTGCATTGCCACCGAGACCCTGATGCTCGAGAGGCCGACCACATGCAGCATTAGCTTGCATCCTTTGAAATGTCCGAGAGGAATGTTTTCTTGCATTCGTCAATACTACACCACTGAGCTAATAGTAATAGTAAGAACTTAGTAAACTATTAGTGCGCTCTATTGCGTCTCTTCACAGAAAGCTTATGAAATAAAAGCCGGCAGCAAAATTATCTAGTAACAAAAGGCAGCGATTTGGAAAACACCGTGATTCAGGATTCGGAGAACAGTTACATTTGATAACTGTGATAAGTCAAAGCTTATTGCGATATGAAGGATGAGAAAAATAAGTGATAACCTAAATTAACTAATTGCTATATAAGAGTCAAAATGAGTCAAAATAGGAAAAATGTTAAATAATTTAAAAATTTACAATAACGATTTTTCAAAATTTTCACCGGCTTTCTATTAAATTGCCTATTATTGTATTAAAATCATCTACTTTCCCAAATATCGCAAATATTGATCTACATTTTTAACAATTTTTCTAAAAAAAAATTTTCCATCCAAAATCACCGTTTAGAAAAATTGAAATTTTCAGGAAAAATCAATAATATTCAGCTGATCACATTTAAAAAAAGCGCCAAAAAATTTTTTTGTGTATCAACATCCTGCAACGGTCAGACTTTTTTAACTAGAAATAGTTTGTTAAATGATATTAAGAAATTGCCTAGATAATAGGCATGATTTTTTTATTTCAACAAATATAGCAATTTTTCAAAATGCTTTTTTTAATAATAAAGTCGCAAAAAATATTGTGGAACAAGCATATAATTGATATAAAAATTAAATAAATAGTTCAATAAAAATATTATAAAAGCAAATTACGATTTGGGTCACTGGATTAACGGGGTCAGGGATATACAAAAAAAATGTAATTAAAAATTGGAATGCAGTTCCTGTTTTTGTGCTATTCTGTGCAAAAAAAGTTTTTTTTAATATTTGCACATTGAAGAAAATTGAAGACTTTGGTTGTTTATGTTTGAAAAAAGAAACTCATTAAGCAGTAAAATACTCAAGGGTCATTACTTCTAATTCACTTTCTATCGAGAGCTGCAGTCAAGTGTGGAGAAACAGAATGATTTAACCGCGCGTAAATTGCTTTTGAGAGATGCAAGTGCAGCAGCGGGAAAGAGAAAGAAAAGGCTCTGATGCAATTGCACTTATTCTCGCACGGCTAATCAAGTCTCGCGAGAGCTGCATGTTATAATTCCCTCGCCATTGGCTGACGCGGCGCTGCTAAATTAAAGTGCGCCACCGAGGTGGGAGCCGGTCGAGGTAAATGAGCTCGGCACGGCAGAGAGATTGAAACCGAACGACACTCAATACTTCGCCAAGGCTGCAAAATGAGAAAATTAGCCTTTGTGCGATGAGGATGGAGGAAAATGGATAAATAAAAGTCATGAGTGCAAGTTCTGCGACTTTCTTCCAAGCTCTCGCTTTCGTTCAGAGTAAAAGTGATTGGAAAAAGCGAAAGGGGCAAAATAAATAATAGTACATGCACATACTAGTTGCTTCACTAGTCATGACGACCGATTGACAGACTTGCGTGACCTACTATAAAACAAATTCTACGAAGCCTTTTGGGAAATAAAAACCAAACCATCTGGAAATCACGTGAGCATGTTGGAACGTCGAAATGTTTACAAATAAGGACACTGATGTCGTTTGTTTATAATTAAGGAAATTTGTTTACAAATATCATCGAACGAATTATTATGGCGCCGGTGCGCGAAATTGGTTCAACTAATTGTAAAATAGTTCTCTTTCGCAATCTTAATTTTATGCTTTCAAAACTCCATGACCTTTCCATCAAGTTTCACGATTGGCCCTCTGTAATGAAGTGGTTTGGCAACTATTGAAAAAAGTAAACTTACTTGAACTTGAGGATTTGGGGCACATGACGACGCGCTTCCTCCTCTACAGGTGACCCTCGCGCACTGTGGGCCACAAGCACGGCGACGGTGATGGTGCTGAGCACGAGAAGGGCCGCACTGCCCATCACGTAAATGCGAAGTCTGTTGGCCAGTTGCGACCTGATCTCGGCCAGCACTGGGTCCAAAGGTGGAAGGTCAGGACACCCATCTTCCGCAAACACCCACTCTCGGACGATTACCACCAAAATCAGTGCCAACCTGAAAAAATTAATTTGTTTTTCAAACTTTATTTTTTATTTCATTTTGATAAATAACAAAATTTCAATGATTTTATTTTTATATAAAAATTGTGCCAATTTAAATTTCTTTTTTCCACCTTAAAAGCTTTCAGGAAAAATTTAAGAATGCTCCTTTTTCACGTTTTTAAATTTGTTTAAATTTTTATTTTATTATCTCGCTCATCATTCTTTTATATACATGATTTATCTCAAAATGGTCAGAGATTGCCTCAGGACACACGAATAAACATTATTTGAAATTATTTTATAAAACAGCAAATAGAACATTAATTTTTTTTTTTTGTTATTATGAAAATTGCTTAACAAATTTTCCAAAAAGAAATCTTTATTTAATTAATGATGACTATGCAAACTCCAGAAATTTAAGAAATTTTGTTTGATGTTAACACCTACCATGGCATTTTGAGAGCAAACTCCAAACTTCCAGGCAGCACAAAGTCGTCGCTGCCAAGGAGCCATCGCCTGCCGAGCAGCTTGAGCGCCGGCATTGTTTGCTTCCACTGCCGAGGCCGGCGTCCTGCGAACAAACCGTTGATGAATAAACAAAGCTGCCTCTACGTCGCCACTCGCTCTCTCTGTCACTCGATTCAATTTCATTCGTGCCGCTGACCGAGCCTCAATGAAATGACCAACTCGCGATCGATCCTATTTCCGCCTATTTCCATCCAAACGTGAAAACTGTCAAAGAAAATTAGGCTGCCTCGATTTTCGCCGATACATTATGAGATCGGGGGGCAAGCATTTGCCTCCGCTGCAGAAAACGCCAAATGCAAGCAGGCGACGTCATTTTTCCTATGCTTGCAAGTGGAAGGGAAATTTTGCTCCGAGTTAAGGAAAAGGTTGCGTCTTGCGATCACCTTCGAGATGGAAAACACGTGCAGGGAATCGCTTATTGCTCATCACGTACAATATCTGCTTCCTCAAATAAAATTGCAAATATTACACTGAAGAGTTAATGAGCGGAAAAGTAATAATTTTAAATTCAAAACCAGGATTTGTTGGATTTTATGTTTGATTTATAACTGATTAAATTATTACTTGAGTGTGGTGCCGGAGAACAAAAAATATACCGTATACTAGAATAGATCGAATAGTATAGATTAGAACTAACTTCCATACTCATAATACCTTTTGCCTGCTTAGAAAATTAAAAATGTGATTAAAATAAATATTACATGATGAAAAATTAAAATAATAATAATTAAATAATTTGGAATTTTCAAACAAAATTTTTCTTAGCCTGCCTAAAGCCTTACGCAGCTGCCTTACGCAGCTGCCTTACGGTGATGTGCGGAGTGCGAGTATTTATCTACTTTATTTTTAAGCTTTAATACAAAAATTATAAAAAAAAACCTTTGAAAAGGTTGGATGCAAAATAAACAACTTTATAAATGAGTGTCCAAATTAGCCTTAATCAAATTAACTCATAAGCATAATTCTAACTTTGTAACTTGACCCTCAATTAAGTATGAAAATGCAAAGCTATGAATGAAATTAAATAAGAATTGTCGTGAAGCTAAATAAGAGTGAACAGCAATATTTATTGCACTGTACCTCTGTTGTTATTGAGGTTAATTATTACATACGAACATGCACATGTGTGCAGCTGGAAGGCTGCTGCCTGCCGTCGCTTTTGTTTGCGTTTTTCATTTCATTCCTTCCATGCGGGGTCATTTTCAGAGTCAGGGATAAATATCGTGGTAACATCTCTCTCGGCATTGTCATTTCGACCGACGCGCGTAATTGCAACGAGCTGCAATTGAAGTAAAAGCACCTTAAATAAGCGGTGTGCGTGCCGATTAATGAGTTTGGCCTTGCACTCGACGCACATATATGAAAATAAATACGACTCCGGCGCGAGCCGATGATATTTGCAAGGTCAGACGCCCAAACAAAAAAGACACAGATTGGAATTATAATGCGGAAGAAACATCAGGGGAAAAACGTATAATTTTAGATACATATGCAATTTTCTATCGAAATTTGAAGTTGTTGTTCCTTATTACTCAAAAATGATTGATGAACGGACGCAAACGATTCCCAATGACAAGAAGTAGAAGTAAAGGTTCATGAAAAAGGACAATTGGCCGCAATTTGACCTTGTCAATGAACGCGCTGTACGCAGATGTTGGTTGAAAAAATTGAGTAAATAATGGACAGACGCGTCGCTAATGAAAAAAAGTGCCAATGACGAGAGATGAGGCTCATCAAACACTATACAGAAGAAAGACGACGGCTGATGATGTTTGCCGGCGTGACGGGCGCTTTTTCTCAAAATGCCTTTTGCGTCTTGACGTCGAGATTTTTTTAATTTCGCAATGAGTGAACAATGATTTAAAAAAAAGATACACCTCATCACGCGCTCGCAGGATGAAAAAAAGAAAAATAATAAATTGTGCGGTATTTTGACGGACAAAGATTGGAAGTTGCTGGGTCTGAAAGATTTTCACGGCAACTCCAGTGACCGCAGCTGACAACCTTGAGTGGAGTTTGGAGCCGTGTTCTTATAATAATAATAACAGCAGTAGTAAAAATTCAAAATAAATTAAATAAAAAGAAAATTTTGTTCCAGACCCGCAAAATTTAAACTTCTAGGTGGAGATTAAAACACGAATAAATAAGCAATAACCGTTTAACATGAATAAAAAAAGTTGAAAAAAGACATTTTGTATGCAAATTTTTTGTCTCTTTTTTAAAATTTTTCAATATTTATCTTGATTGGTTCATCAATTTTCCCTATTCTCGAATTATCTGGAACACGCCAACCATTTTTTTATGAGAAGGTTGCTTAACTGTCCCCATTTATAACAACTTAAAAACTAGTTTCTGAAAATCATACGGGATTAGTTTCGCATTGTGAATAAAATCTTGTTTAAGAAAAGAATAAACGCGAATTGCTGCATCACATCGGACAAAAAAGAGAGAGCGCGTAATGACGAGGAGCAATAGAGAAAGCGTTGCACCGAAGAACATTACTGCACAATAAAGCAGCTGTCGTTGCTTTTTGATTCAAAACATGCACATACTAAGATATGCAAAAGCAATTAACTTTAGAAGCTAAAAGCTAAAACACATTCCTTGCAGCAATGTGCCAGATTTCGGGAACAAAGATTGCAAATTCACTGCTCTCAGACACTCAGAGCTCTCGTGGTTTTGCAAAATCACAGTAGGGTGTAGTTTTTTATCTTTAAATAGAAGGTAATTGAGTCGTAGAAATTACGATTGCAAAAGTGCACAAATCTTGCAGTGGATTTTCATCGGTTTAAAGCTATGTTACGATCTGGGTGAAATTATTTGCAAGAAGTTTCTTGCTTGTAAACCGCACAAAGACTGAAATTTTTTGTTGCAAGCAAACAAGTGAAGATGGCTTAAAGGCAGAGAAGACCTTCAAAACAAAGAGTTGCATTTGCAACCATTAATCTTTATCGCCTGGAGAACAATGGGTTACTAAAATGGTCTTGAATAATACTTAGCGAATGAAAAAGATATGCGTAGGAATTCACGATAACCAATAAGAATTATAGATTTTTTAAGATGCTCAAAAGAAAGTTGAAAACAAATGACTTATTTAAAGAAGACATCTGCAGAACGATTTTTATACACCTTTCTCCCCTAACAGGCGCAAGTAAAGTTGAATTAAATGAAGATTAGTATCTGAAGACTCAAATTTATTCTCAAACATTTTCTCCAGAACAATAAAATATTTTAATTGAAAAAAAAATTTCATAGAACACCCTTTTTAATATATAATTTAACATGTTTCAAAACGGATTTGCAAACAAAAAATAATTTACTATAAATATTATAGAATTTTTATTAGGATTATTAATTTTTTTCGCTTTATTTTTTATGTGTTTTAGATATTTTCTGTTAATAAATTACATTCATTTATGGTTATGGGAAAATTTATAATTAAAATTATTTTCATTTATTTAATGTAAATAAATTTAAAAAAAAAAACATTTCCAGTTTAACATAAAAAATGAGTTGCCTAAATAATTAAATTACTCAAAGTCACAACTTAACAAAAACGGTCATCTCATCTCATTTTCCTTGCGCGATAAAACGGCGAGCAAAGCCGTGAAAAACTTGACGCCGTTGCTCGTCGGAGCGAAAAGAGGATCCGCCGAAGCGGCAGAACGTGCACATTTCAAGCGCGCACTTAGCGGTTCCACGGCGACGGCGAATGGACCAACAAGTTCCCCGCTTGTTATATTTGATTATTTTCCAGAGAAAGAGCCTCTTCCTCTTCTGGCTCGTTGAGTGCAGCACCTTTGATGGAAATTGCGCCCGGAAGAGTCTGCTCATCAAATTATGCACACGCGCGCGGGTGCTGACGTCAATCGAGGTGGAATCTGAGTCAGGCGCGCGAGGGTGCCGCGGGGGCGACAAAAGGGCTGCAAAGGTGGGCGGCTTTCAGCACCGAGCGAGACACAACACGTGGGCACAATGTGAGCGGGTGTGCCGCTTTCTGGACTTAAAATAAAGCTAGCTCATTCCCAATTAATTAAATCTTAAATAAACAGAGCAAAAAAGAGCCAATTAAAAGAGATCACGAAAAGCGTAATTTAATTGTGCTTTAGGCAAGGAAATCTTATGGTTTTTTTCTTTCCATAAGCTGTCTATAGGCATTGAAAAATTCCTTGTGCTACCAATTAAATCGTTTGGGCGCTAAGAATAATTAATACAACTTGGAAGCAAAAAATTGAAACCGGGCGCCCTCATTGGTACTTTGAACGAACACTCGGGTTTTATCGTGTCCAAGTGGGAAGAATTTGTTAAAAAATATTGGGAGATTTTGATTTACGAAACACCAATTGCAGAAATTATTTAAGCAAAGTAGTCTTTTGACAGCTTCACACTCAATTAATATTTTTCAAAATCTATGAAGAAACCACTTTTGCATTCATTTGAGTTTTTTTAGTAAAACAAATTCAGGGTAATACAATTAAACTTTCAACTGACAATATTATAACAAATCTAATAGAATTTGAGAGTTTAGAGGCGATTATTTATTTTGGAGTTTGAAATCATCAGTTTGAAGCAAAACTTAATGAAAAATCTAAAATTCAAAAATATTAATTAGTGGAAGTTTAAAATGATAATCAAGTGTGGCAGAGACTATAGCAACAAATTTTACAAGAGCAGTTGTATTTAAAAGAATATAGCGGAATATAGCTAAAAAAATAATCACAGACACACTTAATTTGATTGAAATTCTAATTAATTAGAAAATTAAAATCGGAACATCAATTATTAATTGTATTATGTTCTTAGTTACTTTGAACGCTGGTTGATACATTACACTTTGGTAGAGAGCTTGCTTGGCTTGTTATTTTTTTTTATTCCAGTTCTAGCTCTCGTGGGAGGATAAAGCGATAAAGCTGCTTTTCTGTGCAATTATCAATTCCAGAGCAATGTGAAATTATATAACTCCTATTAGTTCCAGTTACGTAAAATCACAATATTTAATTAGTACTATTGCAATTAAAAAAATCATACACAAGAATAAAAATGTGAATGCAGAAGTCCTTGCGCTGATATGAGCGCTTACCGGCAATCCGCGAACAAGAAAAAACGGCGTGAGATAGGAAAAAACGCAAGGCTAAGCAATATATTAACTTATTCTTACTTGCAAAAGACTGAAAGCTTTGGGCGCAACATATTGGATAATTTCAAATTAATGATCTGCGCAATTTATTTATATTTTTTTAAATATAATTTTGCATTTCAGTGGTGGAACAACAAAAAATGTAAAAGTGCGACGGTGCTTATGTTTGTGATGTGGATTATATTTCCATTGGTGTGGAAAAAGAATTCACACGTGCTGCCCTTGCAAGTTGACAGAACTTTTTTCATTGAACAAAAGGGACAGCGTCTCTGAGCGGCAATAGATTCACTGAGCGCATAATACGTCCACGTCACTTTGATCAGAAAAAGCTCGGACAATGGAAAATTCGAGCAATTTGATTACCATAGTGACATGACATAATATTGGGGGTTGAAAGTTTGAGTTTATTTTTACATGATAAAAAAAATTATTCCAATCAAGTGGCTTGTGAAGATATAATTAAATTTTAATCCAACATTATTTTTTCTCTAGTTTGAAAAAATAAAAGCTTGAAATTGTATTCTAATTTTCTATTGAAACATTTTGTGCCAGAAATTATAAAAAATGAATTTTCACTGTTAGGAAAAAATTTTCATTAAGGACTCCTTATTGACATAGTCAAATCAAGTCTTTACAACAATAGAAGCCATTTTTTTTTTAATTATTGGCAATTTAACAAACCATTTTTGTAGAGATTTGATTTGACTGTCAAATAAAAGCATAAATTATTTGAACTTTAACACTGCAGCTTCGGTAAGGCGGATGAAGTTCTAAAAGATATATTATTTTTGCGACCTAATGCTAATTAAAGGACATGACGTTAGCACTTCGTGGAAAAAAGCGGATATGTGCAGACGCTAATTAAAAGTCAGACTAAAACCAACGCACACCGCTCGATAACCACCGCGTTGTCAGCTGCTCTTTCTATGCGAAAAAATATATCAACAGGTGTCTTTCTTCGCCCCGCCGCAAAACCTCGGCAAAGTGACCTTTCGAACTTTAAATGCCGTGTGGGTGCAATTATGTATTTTTTATTCGATGAACTCAGCACGTAACGGAAAACTTTATCAAACACAGAGTATCAGCTAGATGCGGATGCAATGAACCAAAGACGCCCCTTTTAATATTTAATACTAAATTTAAAAAGCAAAAGATACTCACCAAGTGTAAACTGAAAAAGCGGCGACGCCGCTTCAACCGAGATTCATGTTAACACACGGGTGACGAGTGACCTAATCAAAGAGAAACACGTCCGAAAAGTGTCGGCCGGATGTAGCTTAAGAGCGGTCTCGGACGTCTTTATCTCGCGACGGTGACCGCGACAATAATAACAAAGCAAGCACCGCAGCAACAGACGGCCGACGACCGTTCTCCGCTGGTTCTCTTTTTCTCTTCATCATCCGATCAAAGGCTAACAACTGATCGCCAGCTCCATCTCTCGAGTTTCCAGCCAAAAGTGTATAGCCCTTTCACTATTCGCCGCGCGAATTATTTACGATAACACTCACAAACACATTTAATGAAAGAATCTTTATTAATTTTAATGCATTAATTAAACCTCTTATCCTTCTGAATATTGGAGCAGTTATAACATTAACAAGAGTAGACCAACATTCATAACTAAAAATAAAATAAAAATTATTATATGTTATAATAATTGCATAGTTATATAATTTTATATATGAAATAATTAATGAATTTAAAATGCTTAAAATGTTTTGAATTTTATATAAAACTATTTATTATATACTATTACTATTTATTATTCTCATTCGATACAAAAATAATAATAAAAAAAAACTAAAAATTTCTACCTCCTACCTCGGAGGCTTTCAATTTTGATATAATATAATTATTAATTATTTTAACTTATATGTCTTATCATTAGTAAAACCTTGCCATATTTTTAGAAATTGATGAAGTTTTCAGTTCATACGTTTTATGCTTCAAATTTGTAGATTTATAGTTCGCGTCATACCGTGTTGCAACAGCGTAGCGAAAAATTGGAAAATTGTGCCAATGCCGTTCTCTCGCGTGGCGGATGTTTTGAAGTTTGACGTAAACTCCGCTGAAAACAATATGAAACGCGGTTCCTGTCGCGAATGCATTTCCTATAACGTCAGATTTTCAGGACGATAAAACTCTGAAAATTTGCAAAACGAGTGCAGTTGATAAAAGCAGTTCTCGCAGCAAAAATGAAAATCTGGAAGCTCCAAATCAATATTTTCTGGACGTTGTGTCTCCTGTTATTCGTTTTCTTCTCGCCTGCTGAGGTATGTTTTTACGAGACAAATTAATTGCGGAAAAAAATTGTTTCTAAAAATGCTACATAATAAATTATAAACTTAAGAGTGCGGCAACCAATACAACAACTAAAACGCCAAGCAAGTCCAGCGCTTCTACTCTCGAGTGCGCCAAACAAGATTTTGCTGTAAAATTTTGATACTATAAGTTGATAAATATTTTGTTTTTAATTTGGGTGGTTAGTTTGTGAGTCAGTGTTGCAAATCGGCGCCTGGAAACTTCTTCAACCTTTCATCAGCGACGGCCTGCAGGAATATGGGGGCGGACGGCGCCACCAAAGGTATCTTCAGAGAGTACAAAATAAATAGAGTTCAGTCGACCGACAAAAGTGTTACTCTCGGCAACAAGGGTTAGATTTTATTAGATATTTTACTTGCTGAACTTAAGAATTTGGTTTTAATTGCTAGGAGATCCGTGGAAATTAAGTTCAAACGCATTTGTAAGCCTTATTTCTAGTCTATGAAAGATAATTTAAGTTAATCAAATCACAAAGTGCTATGCGGAATGTGTCTTTAACAACCTGTCACTGGTATGAGATAAGATGCAAAAATTTTCGCTGGTGTTCAAGTTTGATTATTCCGCAGATTGTGGACGGCGCAATTTCTTATACAAAGGTATCTGAACAAATTTCATCCAGGGTCTCAAATGCAGACTGGAAAACAATCTTGACTGGTACAGCACTAACTGAATGTGAAACCTCGGTCAATTCAAGTATGTCAAAAATATAAAAATCGATCAACTTCAGATGGGAAAATAAATTCATGAATACCACAGTGATTGCAGCAGACCCGCTGAAATCCATAAAAATGGCAAGGAATAGCTTCAAGACTTGTCTTTCAGCTCCTGGCTTGCTAGTGCAGTGTCTGCTAAACAAGATATACACGGTTTGTTCAGTGATCGATTTTCTTTCCACGCTTCAAATCTTGTGGACCCCAGCTTACTTTCTATATTTTTGCCATAAATTGTCCAACTAGAAAAGTATTTTGTTTTCAGAGCTGTCCTGAGGCTGACACAATTACAAGTATTTTTTTTTTTTTTTTTAAATATAATTGAAACTTAAAAAATTAATTTACAGCAAGTTTCTGCATCAAGAAAAGGGAATTCTTCACAACCTGCAACCCATTCTAATCTTCTTATTAAATAATTAGATTCTTGTGTGGAGAGAAATTCTCAATAAAAGGTATTTTTTAAACATCCTTAAAATTCAGCGAGCAACCGTGTTTTATTTTTCCCTCACACTTTGATATGAGAGACACTCGCAGAATATCAAAAACTAATGACTGACTGGAATGAAAAAACTTTTCACTTAGTAAGAATATTAACGACCAACTGACAGTCCAGTATGAAAGAATCATAAAGCAGTGGCTGGTGGCAGCACAGAACTCACAAATCACGTTCCGCAGAGTCAGTGCAATTAATCAGTCACTTTATGGGTCGATAATGGAGCACCAAGTCCGACGAGGACTTCCAGATGTAATACTTGACCGTGCGAAGGTCCATGTTGGGGTCAAGCAGCTGGTCGTTGCAGAGCAACTCTACGCGCGCCTCGGGGGGCGTCGACGGGTCAGAATGACACGCTGCTCCAAGGTCAGCGCCCGAGCCGCTAGATCCGTTAGGCCCGTTTTGGGCTGGCACATCTGCATTCAGCACCTTCTCGAGCACATGCTCAGCCACTTTGCGAATCTGAATGAAGTCGTTGGCAATGAGGCGCTCTCTGAAAAATAGAAACAAAATTTTTGTTATTTCTTGTGTAATAAAAAGGAAAAATGTACGAGTTTGTTGCAAATTTTAATTAAGCGTCAAAGTCGACGAATAATAATTTTAAAATTTAAGGCAAATACGCTGTGTAAAAATGCCAATTATTAGACTGTTCAAAAAAAGGTTCTGAACGATATTCCTCAATGAACGTTTTAACCTCATATTCAACATCTAAAAAAAAAAACAAAAAAAAAACAGAATATTTTGGAAAATATCAACATAAAGAAATCACGGTTGTCGAGAAAAGACCAGTTAGATTACTCCTTATGAATCATCCCTCTTTATATAATTTCTTCCAAAATATTTTATCAAAATGCATTGTCTGCGTTGATAAAAATTAATCTCGTGGGATTTCCAATAACAATTGCATTAATCAAAGCACTATCAAAATGAAACTCACTTTTTAACGCTTTTGATGCCAGAGGAGGGATGCGGTTGCAGGAAGAAAGGAATTTTTATAAACTTGGGCAGGTTCTTGTCCACCACCCACTGTGGCACGGTTTCGTTGAGCAGCAGGCCCTCTGTTTCACCACCAGCGTCCTTCACCAACAGTCGATACAACGTTCGTCCGCCAACCTCGCTAAAGTTTGCAAATTTTAGCACTGAAGAGTTTCAAGAATTCAAACAAATACCTAAATATGAGCGGAGTATGGGCTGGAACCTGGAAAAACTCGTTGCCACCATGGTGACCGGACTGAATATCACCATTAGCGCCATCAACTTCGTCCTCACCGTTGGGACGCCACCAGTGCTCAAGCAGTGCTTGAAGCAATAGAGAGCCGTAATTGACTGAAATATACGGAGATAAATAAAGTGCAAGTTCAGTGCAAATTCATATAAAAATACCTTTTTGGTCAACAGAGTCGGGTGACTCGAACTGAGAGAAACCAGCCTCTCTTGCCGAAACCCACGCCGAGAAACAGTCGTTTTCCTCTTGACACAAATGGATGGTCAACATCTGTAATTGATTTACTTCATTTTGTGCTATTTGATTATTTACTCCTTATGTTACCCCTGTTTTGAGGTCAACGTTGAACCAGTTTGGGACATAGACGCGTTTTTTAGAGCGCTCAGTAACCTCTTGCTGAAAGTCTATACTTCCCAAGGTTTCCACTTTCTTGGCTCTAAGTACGTCATACAGACAGACGCAGTCTTCAGTGTCCTTGGTAAGAACATATCGCTTGTCGTTCAACACGTTATATTCTATTATGGCTGGTCCACCCTTGATTTCTTGTTCAGGTGCCTCGTAGAGTGCCTTAGGGCTGCTGCCTTCTGCTACTGGTTCTTCCACCACCAAATTGCCATCTTTTACAGGAAGGGTCTAAAAAAGAAGCAACATTTAAAATACTCTGACTTTAGTAAGCCTAAAAGATTTACCCAATTTTTGATGGTTGAATCAGTCGTTGCCACCCACATGGATTGCTGGTCAGGATTGGCCACAACCTTGAGGACGGAATATTTATCCTCACAGGCCAGCACCTGCCTGTCAGTCTGTTTCAAGTCGGTGATGAAAACTCTGCGGTCACGGCCGCCAGAAATCACATAGTTAAAAGAATCGGGTGCCTAAGAACAATTATTATTGTGGAATGACGAAACAAAAAAATCAGTGAAATACCTGCAGAGCCCATACACCATCTTGGTGGCAGGTTAAGGTGGTAATGCACTGCTGCTGGCCAATGGACCACAACTTGATAGTGCCGTCAGAGCTGCCAGACAAACACTGTGTTCCATCTCTGCTCAAAACAAGTGCTTTTATGTTGTCCGTGTGACCTGAGAGTAAAAAAACTTGCATGAATTTTATTATTCTAACAAAGTAAAACCTTTTGTTTTACCTTTAAGCTTCATTAGCTTTCCACAGGATCTTGGATCCCAAACTCTGAGGATTTTTTCAGTGCTGCCACTGACCAGCACAGTTCCCGAGGAATTCATCGCCAGGCTGTAAATAGAGTCTTTGTTTCCGGTCAACGAGGAGGCTGCAAATAAATAGTAAATTAAGAATAGTTTGATAAAAAAGATAGCATTTTCTTCTTACTGGTCACTGTATTATTGCTGGCAGTCAAGGCTGTAAGAGTGTTGACGTCCCAGAGGAAAATTGCACGGTCGAAGCCAGCAGAAGCTACCTGCTCTCTATCTTTGGCATAAGCCAAGGCTTTAACATAATCCTTATGGGTCCGCAAGGTTGACATGCAGAAACCCTTGTGAGCGTTCCACACCTTCACAGTTGTATCAGAACTTGCAGATATCACTAAAAATTGTTTGATTACAAAATTGTTAAACTTTCATAATTTGTATTAATTAAAATGCATGAATACACTTCTGCATACAATCAATACAATTTATATTCTTTAAAACGTACGGTTTTTTCCACCGCAACAAAGGACGACATCGTTGACCCAGTCGGTGTGATGCTCCATCGATTGAACATAGGGATCTTTGGAGTTCTTGGTGTTCCAGATGCGGATGATGGAGTCTCGGCCGGCCGAGAAAAGACGCTGCTGCTGCGGGTCGTACTGCAGGGAATTGATCCCGGACCGGTGGCATTTCTCAACCTCGTCTCGAATCACGAAGGAAACCTGCCCAAAGTCGAGTATGTATTAGTGTTCGGATGCTGACAAAATACACAAAATGCAACTCTGGTGACACTCACCTGCACCCGTTTGCGGCCGGGCGGCCCGCCGGGCTTGTGTGTCGACATTCGGTCGGTATTTTAGCACACAGACGCTGGCATTTGGTTCGTCCGATCTTGTCCGGGGCCGGTCTGCTCTTTGGTCGCGGCCGCCACCGCTTATCACTCGCTTATCTCAACGCACTTGCAAGAAAACATGCAAAATTCGCAGCTGGAAGCAGCCATTTATCAAGTTAAATTTTAACTCCAACGCTCGTAAACAGATGGCGCACAGTCATTTCAAAGCGGGAAATTATCTCCGACAAGCGCCTACAGAGGAGGAAAAAAGATTTTAAGTCTTTCTTGAAATGAATTATTCGAATTATTTTATAAATTATATTGAAAATGAGCCAAATTTCTAAACGCATAATTTGAATTTATAATGATGTAATAATCTAAATCAAATTTTACAAAATACAGTTTGCGCTATACTGGCATTAATAAAAGTAATAAGACAAAAAGTTAACATTAAGGAATTTTTTAATAAGCAAAACAAATATATTAGGTATGATAGTATCCGTGAAATTGGTTTATTTTTTTATTCGAAAAGTTACAAACTAGCTTAAATCACCACAGGTATTATCCTCAGAAATCAGCTCTTTCAAAGCAGCGAGCTCAGCCTTTTTAATATTGTGTTCAACAACCTTTGATTTACCAGTCAGTGGATTGCTTGACAAATTGAGATACACTAAAGCTGGCAAATGAGGAAAGCCTTCCAAAGTTACAAGTTTATTGTGACTCAGATCAAGGCGAACACACAACTGAAGGGAAGCAAGTGCTGGCAATGAATGATCCAAAAGTTCGTTCTTTGATAAATCAACTTCCTGTACAAGGGCAAGCCTGTTGGAGAAGTATAGAGAGGAGAGATGGCAATCTGACAGGGATAGTGTTTTCTGAGCACCAAAGCTCCAATCGCTCATAGACAGTTTGAACTCAAGAACACATTTGCTTCCTAGAATCAGATTTAATTCATTCAATTGTTAGTAAAATTATTAAAAAATTGATTCAAGGAAATATTACTTAAGTCTCTATAGTATCCAGCCCGCAGAGGATCAACAAGAAGCAGTTTGTCCAAGAATTCCATCATCTCTCCATGATAAAGGGAAGTATCAATAGCTTGCATTAGTAGAACCAACGTCAGTAATGTCCCTAAGTTTAATAGATGAACTAATTTTTCAATATTGATTAAATTATTTCCTACATTTGCTGTCAGGCTCCAAATCTAGCAATTGCCGACAACAAGCAAGCTGCCCTTTGAGTTCAGCAATGACAACTGGGTCATGTTCACCTTCAAGCTTGCTTTCGGGGCAAATTGCCACAAAACCGATTGAATCAGGCTTCAGAACAAGTGTTCCACTTTCAGTGACAACTTCTATCACACAGTCTTGACCGATAGTTTCCACATTAAGGGAAAGTGTCTGAAATAGAAAATATTTGTCAGCAGAAATAAATTTTTTCATAAATTTATAGTTATTATAAAATATACCCAAACAAATTTTGAGGCCTTTTGCCATTTTCCTAACAAATTGGCACCGTTGACACGTAGGAATGGTGGTGAAGGAGCAGCACTTGAAAAAGAGACAACAGCTCTTGATGTTCCGAGCCACGCTAGCAAAGGCCGTGGCGGCTCTTTTTGGGCAACCGAGCAGTCCCGCCCTAGAAGCCAGCGCTGATAAAACCACGCACTAGTATCATTTGGATCAGTAAACGCTGCATTCTGCACCAGCTCCAGCTCTGCAGAATTTCAAAATGAATATTCAGTCCATAAAAGCATTTACAATCTGACCTTGTCTATGTTTATCTGGCTCAATAAGAGCCTTGCCAGCAGCGTCAGGGTGCGTCAAGGGTAGCAGTTTAGATCGATAATGCCAAGCCGAGTAGTTGGAGAAGTTGTCATTGATCTTTTCAGTCGAGAAATTAAATTCATCAATAGGAGAAACACCACTTTTCTCAGCAGCTAGACGCCGATAGTCCCAGCAGTGGACTGTAATTTTTTTTAACATTATCTATGAAAATATTAAAAATTTTAATTTTCCTACAGTTTCGCTCATCCATCATTAGAAACTTGGTGCAGAGGGCCAGTTCCCGCTTCCAGTTTGGTGAAGGGTGCAGATCAAGGACCCAGCCACGATGATGCCAGGCGCAGTAAGATTTTGGATTCACTTGCAGGCAGCTCTCCGTCAGCCGAACTTCGCTATCAACCAGAGGTGCCATTTCCTCATCATTTCTAAGAAAGAGAAATATAAATTAATAAAAATAAAACACAGTCAAAAATAGAACTTGCTTTTCTTTCTTGTAAGCCACGAAAATTTCTCTGCGAATGTTCCAAAGAGTGTAAATGTCAGGATTCCTAACCAACGTTTGAGATGTAAGTGACATCATTTCGTCATCCAGCTCTCCAGCTTCTCTCTTAATATAAAATTGTTTAAAAAAAATTATTAATAAAATAGTAATTATAAATATATTATCTCTATATAAAGGAAACTTAAAAGAACATTAATTGAAGCAGAAATTTACTTTTTTGACTATTTTCCCCATAACTGCCGTGTAAATTTTTACTTTCTGCTCTCGTTCTTTCCGTTTTATTTCTTGCTCCTGGGCAGAAGTTCGCACCTTAAGGCGTCCATGCTAGAAAAAGAAAATTATAATTTGCCCGTTTACCGTATATGTAGTGAAGTAAATAATTTCTGAGGTAATTAAAAAACAAAAAATATTATTTGTATGATCGCTCAGGACGTTTCTGTCTAAGTCTCAACTAAATCAATTGATCTTACCATCTTGAAGGATGTAGAAGATGGTCAGTTAAAAATCCAATACTCTTTTAATATTAATATTTCTTTTAATTTTCCAGCCCAAACGACGAGGATAAATGAGAAAAGGGTAAAAATAAAAAGGCACAATGTTATGGAAAAGGAAAAATCAGCAGATGCAGCCAGATGACCGCACCCCTTTCGCCCCCTTGTTGTGATTTTTTACTACTGAAGACAAAGAAAGTACTCCAATTCAAAGGACGAATGTGCAACATTTCAATGTTGAGTTTCACAAATAATAATATGATTATTCTTTTAAGTTTTTAATTTTCAAAAAATTATTTTAAAAAACAAAAGCACAGAAATTTACTGAATTTTTAAAAATTTGACTAGTGATATTTCCGGTACCGCCTACCGCGTTCCCGCTTCCCGCCGAAACGCTCTCCCGTCTGCGAGCAGGAGTACATTTTTCGTTTCACTGAATTTAAAAAAGTAACTTCGCTAAAATCTTAAAATGGGTACCAATGCACCGACTGACGCCGTCAATGCTTACGCACGAGAATACCTCGAGTTCCTCGACGACGAGGTGAGAATTTCCGATCCGGCTCCCTCGAATTTAAATGTCCTTCAAATCCCTTTAAAATGGTGTTTTTTAATTTTGTAGGATGATCAGGGAATTTACTCTTCTCGTGTCAAGAACATGATCAGTGAAAAGAAAGTAAGACTGGTCGTTAACGTGAATGACCTGCGTCAGAAGAACCCTAAAAGAGCCATCGGGTGAGACTACAGACGACATATAATTATGCAGTCAAAATTTTTCTCTTAGCCATGAAATGAATCATTACAGATATTAATTTGCTGTTATGGTTTTGTAGTACATGTACAGAAATGAGTGAGTACAAAATTATTATTATTTTTTTTTTAATTTCAGCCTTCTTAAAAACGCATTTGAAGAGCAGCAGGCATTTGAGCGCGCCCTAAAGGAATATGTTGGTTCCGTGGATGCAACCTACGCCAAATTAAACGAGGACTTTTATGTGGGTTTCGAAGGCAGCTTTGGTAGCAGACATGTGACCCCTCGCTCTCTTAATAGCCGCATGCTAGGCAATATGGTCTGCATTGAAGGAATTGTGACAAAAAGTAGTCAAATAATTTTTTTCTTAAATTTAATATAATTTTTTTTATTTTTTTTAAAGGCTCGATGGTCCGACTGAAGGTTGTACGCAGTGTCCACTATTGCCCTGCAACTTCTAAATTCATGGAGAGACAATACTCTGACTTCACCAACCTCAAAGCATTTCCTTCGAACTCAACCTACCCAACCACTGTAATAATTAAAATAATTATTGATTATGAGTTAAAATATAAATTGAAATTATTCAGGATGATGCTGGCAACCTTTTGGAGACCGAATATGGTTTGTCCACTTATAAAGACCACCAGACCATCAGTGTACAGGAGATGCCTGAAAAGGCGCCCACAGGGCTTTTGCCTCGAGTAGTTGATGTGATTGTGGACAACGACTTGGTCGACTCTTGCCAGCCAGGCGATAGAATTCTTGTAATCGGCAGCTACAGATGTCTGCCAAGCAAGCAGGGCTCTTACACTAGTGGAGTGTTTAGGTAAATTTTCATCATTGTAAGCATGTGCCACATCAATGATTAAAAAAATTGACAATATCAGGACTGTCGTCATTGCCAACAACATTGCATCTCTGAGCAAGGAGGCCACCACAATGGTCACCAGAGATGATGTGCGCCGATGCAAACGCTTCTGCAAGCGTAATGATGTGGTGGACATGCTTTCGAGGTCGATTGCTCCTTCCATCCAGGGACACGAGATTGTCAAGAAGGCCATTCTCTGCATGCTGCTGGGTGGCGTTGAAAAAATTCTTGATAACGGTACTCGTCTCAGAGGGTAATTGAAATTAATTTTTCAAAAATTAGTTTTAAATGCAAACTTTTATTTAATTTTACAGTGACATCAATTTGCTGCTGATTGGAGATCCTAGTGTGGCAAAATCGCAGTTGCTCCGTTACGTATTACACACTGCTCCAAGAGCCATTGCTACGACTGGCAGAGGTTCCTCTGGTGTTGGTCTGACTGCTGCTGTTACTACAGACCCTGATACTGGAGCCAGGACGTAAGTTCTTGTCATAATTTTGCCGTTAGTTTTACCTGATTAATTTTAAAATTATTTTTCCAGGTTAGAGGCTGGTGCAATGGTGCTGGCTGACCGCGGTATTGTTTGCATTGACGAGTTTGACAAAATGACAGACATCGATCGCACGGCCATTCACGAAGTGATGGAGCAAGGTCGTGTGACCATCGCCAAAGCAGGTATCCAGGCCAGCTTGAACGCTCGCTGCTCAGTTATGGCTGCTGCCAATCCTGTTTACGGAAGGGTAAGTTATCTATAAGTTTGTGCCTAAAACTTTTTTAAACGTGAAGTTTTCCAGTATGATCAGTTTAAAACGCCAATGGAGAACATTGGACTGCAGGATTCTCTGCTTTCTCGTTTTGATCTGCTGTTTGTTATGCTGGACACGGTTGACACAGCCACAGATGAGGTAATCTCAGATCACGTCATTCGTATGCACAGATACAGGTAAAATTTCATCACATTGGTAATGTTCTGGGTGATTAATATTGTTTTGTAACAGAAATCCAAAAGAAAGAGACGGTGAGGTCTTGCCTCTTGGCTTGGGTGCGCAGGCTCTGAGCACTCTGACTGATGACCCCCAGGAAATGGAAGATCCTGATGACATGATTTACGAAAAATACAATCCTCTCTTGCATGGCAGTTCAAAGACAAGATCGTAAGAATCTAGTTTTTTTTTTTGTGTTCTTAATTTAACTTCAATACCTCCAGGAAGCGTATCTTCTCCATGGACTTCATGCGCAAATACCTGTACATAGCAAAATGTCTTGTTCCGACATTGACGGACGAAGCAGCGCGCGCCATTGCTGAAGAATATGCTTCTCTTCGCAGTTTCGATCTGGCCCAGCATGATGTTGCAAGGGTTAATATTTGAGTTAAAAATAATTAGGGTCATTATTATTTTAAACTATTCATTGTAGACTCAACCAGTCACTGCTCGTACTCTGGAAACCATGATCCGTCTCTCTACTGCACACGCAAAGGCCCGTCTTTCGCGCAAAATAGAGCAAGTTGATGCTGATGCTGCCATTAGTCTTGTGCAGTACGCATACTTCAAGAGGGTATGTTTTGAACTTATTTTTTGAAAACTGAGACTACTTTTATAATCTTTGATCTTATAATTTGTATGGTATTTATAACTTTTTTTAATAGGTCCTCGAGAAGCAAAAGAAGCGCAGGAAGCCAGTGGACAGTGACAGTGAGGCCGAAGGTGATGAAGAAATGGATTCTGGAAGTGATGACGAAGGTGGTGATGATGATGATGAGGGCTCTGCACCACCAAGCCAATCAAAGCGTGCTCAAAGACAAAGCAAACGACAAAAGACCCAGGAATCTGCAGCTCAAGAGGAAGAGGAAGAACCAATGGATGAAGACATCCCAGTCGTCGACCTTCCCACACTTGACGCAGAAAGGTAAAGTTTCTATTGTTATTTGCAAATGTAGGAACTTCATTTTTTTTTTCTTTGCTTGGCCAGATTGAAGACTTTCAAGACTGGGTTGACCCAATATTTGAGAGAAAAACGATCACAGTCTGTGGCTTTAAGCACGCTGAAGGGGTACATCAATGAGGGTGTTGCTAAATTGCAGCCATTCAGTGACCCTGAAATGAAGTCGGCAATTGATGTAATGACCAAAGCTAACCAGGTCATGTTGGCTGATGATATTCTCTTCCTGATCTAATTTTTACTCATTTAATTTGTCTTATATTTTGTATCTCTACATCGTGTAACGTAGGTCAAATAAAAACATTACAATTAACAAAATCAGATTATTTTAATTACATTGTTTGATACTGGAAATAATTAAATCAACCTATTAATTATACATTTTATGACTTGAATTATTTCAAAGAAAAGTATAGATGTATAATAATAAATATTAAATTTTATTGAGTTATTTTTAACTTGGTATTTATAATTATCAATAATATCATGCATAATGGTGCATAAATAAAAATTTTCACAAGTTACCACCAAATGATAGAAAGTCATTATATTATACAATTTATTTTACCATTTGCACATTTTTTATGATAATCCAATCCTTTTGCATTTTTACATACAATTTTTGCACCCCTCTTATTCTCACTTTAGCGGGTTCTGACGTCAAAACAAAAACAACTGAAGCGCGTGCTGCGGGAGAGCAAAGTTTGTGTTTATTTCTTGGCAAGCAGGTAGTCGAAATTAATTTCGTCCTTGCTTGTGTATTTACGGATTCCGTCGGACACCCCGCAATTACGCTTTCATTGAGTTCAAATAAAGAGGCCAGAGTCAGTCAATTCTTCTTTCAGCAGCCCTTGTTGTAAGTTGCATTATCAAAACATCTGATTACAGCATTCAAAACACAATGCCCGAGATTCTCCTTGGACTTATTTTAAAAGTGAAATTTTTTTGCAAGCAGATCAGAAATATCACGGAGACAATTAAATAATAGTCTCTCTCAAGTTTAATATTATGTAATTCATATTGCTATTGCTCAATCTCTTTACACTTCATCAAGCTAGTATCACCAACAAAGGCATGCATTTGTTGTGCTCACCCTTTCAATTCAATATCAAAATGAACAATCTCCATAAATGTGGGTGGATGTAATAACAAAGCTATATATTGAATATATTTAATATAAACTTATTTTTTTTTAAACCCGTTTAATAAAATATGTTTTTAATTATTTTGAGAATTGATGAAAATGAAACTGTATCCTGAAAATCATAATGTCAAAATGTCAAATTATAACACATACACACACGGTAAAATTATATTGAAATGTAATAATTTTTCATTTTCCTGATGAAACATAAATTGATTAAAAGAAAAATCAAATTTCTGAACATAACACATATGTAATTTAGTTTTCAATCGCATCAAAATTTTTACAGATTAAAATATTATGGAATTACAGAGGCTCTGTATTTTATTTGAATATATTTATTTTCAGCATAATGAGTCCCATTGAATGGGATGATTTGTTGGACTTGGCCGAACGTCTGGTGAAAGAACGATTCTTTGTGGACAATGAACAGAAGCAACTGCAGCAGCTCAATGAAAAGGTCTTTATTTATTTTTTACGCCTTGCTTTTTAAAATTTTAAATCGCAACATCTCCAGGTGTGCCATGCATCGTCAAAACTGGCTCAACAAACCTGGATAGCTGGACAGGTACGAGCCAACTTGAGTCGATTGATTCATCAAGGGTGCAAGTCAACAGTTTGCTGTCACAGGCTGAACCAACTGGAAAACATCTCCTTTATTGATGCCCGCAAAAGGCTAGGTAAAATTTATAATCATACAAAACATTTCACGGGTTAATAATAATTTAATATTCTTCAGGCTTTGTAGAATCCCAAAACTATGGGATTTTCTTACATTCCCTGCGCAACTCGCCACAGCTTCTGGCTTCATGTTTGGCCGAAGCCGAGAAAATTGGGGCCTTGACGCCTCCTCTCCTTGGTCCAATGGCTCATACATTAGTTGGAGGTCTTTTCGGCGGTTGTATACTTGCAGAGGACGAACGACTTATCCTCAAGCTCTTGCGCGAGCTACTTTACCTCCAGGTGTGCTTTTCACGAGGTTTTTCTTAAAAAAATGTATTAATTAACCCCATTCCTTAAACCAGCTGAAATTTGATGGCTTTACCCTGGTAATGCTTGTTTTGTTAAAATGTTAAAATTTTATCTTGGAATTATAGAAATGAACATTTCTTGGCTCTTTCAGGTTGCACCGCACCAAGAACCTAGTCGTATGTTAAGACCAGCGTCGTGTACTTTCTCTAGGCTTTATGCTGTTTGGCATGAGGGGTTGTTTACTGCAAAACTTTTTCTCACTGGAGCCCTGTATGGACCAATTTTGAAACTACTGTCTGATGATGACGTCTACTTAGATGCTGACCCCGCAAAAATGCTGCTCAGGTTGGTGCTGAAACTGCTTACAAAAGCTTTGGAAATAATAAAAAATATTTTAATTGATTCTAGATTTACTCCGGAAGCTAGTGCTCTCAAATTTGGAAATTCTGGCACACCAGAGTTTGAAGACGCAACAAAGCGTTACAGGCTGTGGCTTATCAATAGGCTAAATGCTGCGCTGAATAGCTTCATTGAGGGAATTCAAACAAACATGTTTCTATTTCCACACCCAGTCAAGTGGATTGTTAGACAGCTGCATATTCTTCTTACCGAATCAAGTCAAATAGACCAAAAACAAGTAAATTCTTTATTATTTTATAATTGAGTAAATTATTAAAATTATTTTCCACTATTTAGGTTTGTATCATGTGTACTGATTTGGTGTTTGGATCGTTCATCTGTCCAGCCATTGTTAATCCAGAGCTTTACGGCATCACTGATCTTCCCACAAGTGATATTGCTCGATTCAACTTAATGCAAGTTGCTCAGATTCTTCAGCGACTTGCAATCTGGCAGTGGCAAGAAGTGGATTCCAAAGTTTTGGACTTGTATTCTCAATTTGACAAGAATTGCCTATGGTCTATCATGGAAGAAATTCTTGAGGGAAACAACGAAACTTTGGAAGATGAAGCTGAAAAATCAACTTCCTTGTCAGGACTTGCTCGAGCCTCCGTGGTTTTGACGGAAAATGAGCTGCACAGTCTAGTAAGGGGAATGCTATGATTAAAGAATTAAGCTCATATTTTCTTCGTTAGGTACACTTGCTTCGATCAGTTAGTAACTCCAACACTGGCAACGTTGATGATAAGGCCCTCTCGAGACTGCTCTCCTTGCTACCTCCCTCTTCTCACAAGATTAGTGATTTCAAAGATTCAAAAAGATCTTCTGCAAATCCAGCTTTGCTACAACCTTCTTCGTCTGGTCATTCCCAGAAACAGAATGAAAGAGGCAAACATAAAAATTTTAGGGTTTATTCAGTATAATTAATATAAATGATAAGCAGGAAAAAACAAAGTCAGTAGAGCTTATTCAAATCCTCACGGAGAGTTAAACGGAGTTGATGATAAAGCAGACGACGATGAGCCGTCAAATAGCCCTGACGAAGTTTTAGTGATACCATTCGGAAACGAGACTTATGAATATGTTGGTCTTCTGCCTGAAAACAAAGTAAAATATTGCAATGCATTGATCTCCACAATAATTAAAATTTGTAAATAGTTTTTAGAACACAACGCTCCTAATATGGCAGTATGTATGGATTCCCAAGGAAATCAGGCCCATAGTCATGAGAAGCGAACAAGATTTTCCCTCTCTCATGATGAAGGTTCTATTGGTAAATATATTCATTTTTTCTGTAATACAAATAAAATAAAATATTCTCTGGCAGTGTCGGCTGGAAACGTGAGTGACAATTTAGAGGCAGTATCAGAGGCTGCTTCAAATCACAGTGCTGCATCGTCCCTAGATATTGAGGAAGGAGAGGAAAACGAAGAGGATCAACCAGATAACCTCTCAGATATGGTTTCAGCAAATGTCTCGGGCAGAGGCACACCAAGCATTTCTGGCCGAGACACTCCATCGAGTCAAGTCACAGAGAGCGAAGAGATGGCAAACGTGAATCAAGTTCAGCCACGGTAGTTTTTATTATTATTAGTCTTATTTTTTATAATGATTGCTGCTCTTCTTTCAGAGTTATGCCTGAAAGTAATCGTCCGTCTGCTCAGCTTGGCGAACTTGCTGGGCCTCCTGGAGCTCCCTCGACTATGCCAACTCCAAAACAGCACTCCAGAACTGACATAGATGATAAGTTTGGCAAATTTGAAATCAAGAAGCTCATCGAAGGAGATGAGACTTTCTCACTTGTCTCCGACACTTGGAGCACTGATGTCCTTGCAAGTGACAGCGAAATGGTGGAGCACTCTTCAGAGAACAACTTCCCAGTTGGCCACCCTATTGCAATGTTGCATCAGTCGGCAAGGGCAAATGATCAAAACATTCCTTCGGTTGGCATGCTGGACGTGTCGGAGACAGCGTCCGAAGCTTGGAGTACTGACGTAATGGCCTCAGACTCTGAGCGTATGGGGGAGGTTGACACGGATGATGCTGGAAGTGTAGCTAGGTAAAGTAGATAAATAGTTTCTAGTTTCAAGATTCCTTGTAACGCTGATCTGCAGGTCTGATGATGTGGGCCGATCCGAGATTGATGGTGAGAACAACCGAGATACTCCTCCCTTGGCTGCTGGTAAGTTTTTTTCATAATTGGACACACATATATAAACAATCAGCAATTCCAGCGCTCTCCTTCCGGCCCATAAGGATGGAGCTCCCTGTGTTGCGCGAGTGTCCGGCACCAGTTGTTGTTCCTCCTAAAGTTAGCTTCCCGGCACCGAACAGCTCGCCCCTTCGCAACAATAATGATCTGTATCTTCCACCATCCCCTCCAAGCAGCGTTACTGCTGGAGAGCAGAGAGAAGAAGGGGCCGAAGGGGAGAGTAAGTTGAAGCCCGATAATAAAGCGAGGATGCTGTCCTCTAGCACAAGGTCGGAGGACTCCACTGACAGCAAGCAGACCAACTGCAGTATTGGTCTTGACGTTGAAACAGTAGCATCTCCTGTCCCGAGACTGAGCACAACAAGTTTGGCGTCATCCAGCAGCAGCAGCATGGGAGCCGGGAGTGATGCACGCGGACAGTCAAACACGCCAGGTAAGAACAAAAAAATATGTACACAGAATCAATTTAAAACTTTGTGACTGCAGTTTTGCAGGAAAATAGTGTTGAGGTTAGAGCCGATTCCTCTCTAAGCAACAAAACCACAACAAACATTCCAAGCTCATCTACAGGCGCCATTCCGAAAAGCATCAGCTTCGACAAGACTGCAGAAAGGGGTGATAGGGTAATTGTGGAATTTTAATACACTGTTGTACGAGTTCTAAAATCTCTTATGAGCTTAGGATCAAGATGATGAAGCTAAAAACAAAAGGGGTAGTTTTTTCAGGAATATAAAATTGCCTTTCAAATCGCGTACGAGGAAGTCGACCAGATCCAGCCATGATGATAGGGGGTATCGAATCATTGACATAATATGAAAAATAGATGTTTAAATATTTCATTATAGGAACCCTGACAATAATGATGCCGTGTTCAGAAATAGGAGAAAGGGGGAGGAAAATAATATCATGGGTATGTTCTCTATTTTTTATTTTTGAAAATCATAATTTTGCGTCCTAGATTCTGAAGAAATACTTGCTAAGTACCGCCGAAAACCTGGGGGCCAGGCTTCTTGCTTAAGGCAAGACTCTAAAGAAGGCAGAGAAAATGGCATCGACGAAGATGAAGGCGAAGACGAGCACCTCCAAATCGACCCTCAGCATCCAGAATTGAGCTATGCTTTTGCAGATGCGAAGCGTAAGCTCAGGTTGGTCCTCAGTATTGTGGATGCTGAAGGTGTTGGCCGAAAAGTTCTCGACAGGGTAAAGACAAGTCATATTATTAATACAAGTAAATATAAACTCAAAATCATCAAACCTTGGTTTGCAGAGAAATTCCCGTTGCAGAGCTTCCGAGAAATTAACAATGCTTTTGAAGTTACTTCTAACAGAGGCTATGAGCATGCAGGATGAAGGATTGATTGCACAGATTCAAGAGGCTTTGCGTTGCGTGCTCTTGTTTGACGACGCTGGTTGCCGCAAATTGATCCAAAGCCTTAAAGACGACTACTTCAAACGAGCTCCATACATTGCATACATTACAAGAAGCAAAACGGGACTCCTCACTACATATTCTTCAATCAAAAAGTAAAATATATTTTAATATTTGGAATTATTTAAAAATAAAAATAACTAGGCTTGTGGAGCGTATAAGAAGAGAGAAGGCTGGTTGTGGCCGCTATTTAATTAAAATGTGCATACGATTATACCTGGAGCAGAGGGAAGATATTTTACATGATTTTGAGAGTAACTTTCAACAACTCACAATGCCAGATGAAAAAACAGAGCTTTTATATACTTTCCTTGAAGAGCTGGCTTCTGAAATGGAGAGAGATGCTTTGTGGAGAAGTAATTATTTTATACTTTATTGAAGTGCACTGTTTTAACAAAAACCTTAATTGCAGTCACAAACGAATCCAGATTGGATATAGCACGTCAGATTGTTGAGCAGACTGTGATCAGTAGAGTCTATATGAATGCCCTCTACCCCAATGGGGAGGGAGACATCTCCAGAGATCAGTAAGTTTGCATCGCTAACCTAGTTAAGCTTCTTATTAACAATTTGTTGGTTTAGGGTTTTACATGAACACATGAAGCATCTTTCTGAGATCATTACGCTGAACCATAAGGATATGAGAATTCCAAAGGTATGAAAAAAAAATATGAAAAAACTAATATCAAAATTATCATTTAAATTTTAGTCATTCCAGTATGAATGCCCTTGGCCCAGCGCTCAAGCCAAAATCTCTGTCTTGAATGCTTGCAAGACTCCCAAAGACAAAGTGCAATGCGTTGTCGACTGTGCCAAGACCATAATGCGGCTGCTTGAGCTTGCCCACAATCAGTCCACTCCAGCTGCAGACGACTTCACTCCTGTGCTTGTCTATGTGCTCATTAAGGTAATACGAATTTGCCAGTTTAAAAATATATCTGATGAGTAATTTGATTCAGGCAAACCCTCCAAGCTTGCTGAGCACCGTGCAATACGTAAATAACTTCTACGGCTCTCAACTCTCTGGAGAAGAGGAATACTGGTGGGTTCAATTTTGCTCTGCCATCGAGTACATAAAAACCATGGATTAGTTAAGGTCAGGATTTCGATTCTTATTATACTAGCGTTGGTGCATAGTTAAATCCAGCCCTCGCTAAAGGATTCTCTCTTCCACCCTGGCTCATGTAACGATCAAAGTCTACTCAATTTTGTTTCCTCCCTAGCTTCAAAGCAAAATTAACGTTGAAAAAATGTTCTTAAAAAATGCCTGAATTATTCAAAATTCTACCATCAAGTTAGCGCTAAATCAATAATAGTCTTTATTTTTTACCATGTAATCTGGATTTCACTAAGAAAAACACGGAATAATAATATTAGATTATTGTATATTCTCCATATAGACTGCTTTTTACCAATGTAAACATTTTTGGCTTGTTACATTTGAAAGATATTTTGCAAATTTAATTACTTTAAATCACAACTGATCACAACTTATTAACAATATTGCAAACTATCAATGAGTTAAAACAGATACATAATTTACAATATATCTAGATCTAGTCTGTTAAATTTTAAAGGACCTTCTCTGCTCTATACAAAAAATTTTGTTGGAATTTATTCAGCAAATCTCTTTACTGTTTGAATGGATATAATACATATTGAAACACAAAATGCTATGTATTTATGCGTTGGTGTTACTTTTGAATTGCTGCTGTAAATTTTCCACTCTTTTCAGATGTTCTATAAATTATAGTATTTTACCTTTTATCCTTGGTGATCACATTATTATCGCTTACAAATAAATAAAAGTAATATATTTCTAAATATTTAATAACCAACAAGTTTAGTATCATTTGGAGTAAATTGAATTCAATATCAAAACATACAGTTTATGTTTCATCAACTTTGGCATTTTTACTTAAATTACTTTTTCCGTCCAAAATTCACCATTTGCAAATGGACATTTCCTGAAAGGATTTCATTTTTCTTAAACGCTGCAAAATTTAATAAATACAATTATTTGTAAATAAATTCAATGGGACGTTAATTGTTAAAGAATGAGCCACCTCTTTTTGTTTGAATGCATCTAAAAATTATTTGGCGTTGGATAAGTGGCGATGCATTCTGTGGTGGGGAAGAAGTGTGTGAGTTCCCATTACGCTCGATTCTTCCGAGTCGACGGATGAGGAAGACGAGCTGAGGCTGTAGCCGGACGCACTCTCGGTGCCCTCATGCACCATAGACATGTCAAAGCGAAGGTCGCTGCCTGGCAGTGGCGGCCGAACGTTTTTTTGATACAGGCCATTTACATTACCTGGGGGATAATAATTGGCGACCACAACAACTCGGCCGTTACGACTTTGCGCTTTTCCGAGTCCAAGCTGCTTGCTCGAGCCCCACACTAATTGCGTAAAGTGACCTAAAATCACATTTATTTCTAACGCTTGGTAAAAAAAAATTTAATAATCGCACCTGCGTTGACGTTCGCATGGAGTCGATCAGCCCCTTTGAAAAAATCGTATTGCCGCATTGCGCCGTACCAATGGAGAGCCACATCGCGACCTGTTGAGAACCAAACGTGAAAAATACACGCGTCTAGTTTGGCTCGACAAAAAAAAAACAATCTGTGTAATCGACCTACCTGAGATTTCAACATGCGCCTGGGGCCCGGTTGGTCTGCAAAATAGATTCTGCCCAATTTGTCGGTCGTTGCGATAGTAGAAGGTGTTGGTGTGCGCCAAGTGATTTGCCCACGCTTGAGCGTAAGCGCACAGCTGAAAACGAAAAACATATTGTTCTGAGAATATCTCAAATGGGAATAACCTTGACCACAAATAAAGATGTGAATATTTAGACGCAGAATAAATTAACATTTAATTATACCTGAGATGACATTGTGAGCGGTTCTGCGCTGTGTTTTTGCCGAAAAATGTTGTGCCACCGAATGCAGTCGGAAATGAATTCGCTGTCGCCCCAGTCGGTGTCCAGCTGCGCCCAAAGTGGACTCGGTGCCAGTGGCTGTTTTTTGCGTAAAAGCTGATGGCGAAAAATCAAATTATATTTTGACCATTTTGACAATCTACGTTTTTTTTTAATTTTGATAAAAAATTACAATTACGTCCGGAGAAATTACGTGATTTAAAGCTTTATTTCAATTTATATCTATTATGTTGTATAAAAATACTCGATGCGATAAAACTCAGATATTTATTTGCTTGTGTGAATTATTGAACGGGTGCAAAATCTGCTTTGGTGCCTCTCACTGTCACAGCGCCACGAGACCGTGCAGCTCCAGCATTGATTTTGTTTCCATGACGACTACTCCGCCCCTAGCTGGCTATATTTTTTTCGAAGAGAGAAATTCTCGCGTGTTGCGTATAGCCATTCATAAAAATGACCCTTAATGCATGAAGTAATATTACCGACTAGCTCTCGAATTTGTACACGCTTCAATCACGGTTTTACTAAGAACGAGAGTAATAAAATTCGTGTTCAATTTCAATAATCTGGAATAAAAAAGCTGAGAAAATTGACGCATACGTTTTTAGAATCTTGCAAGATTATTTACTTTCTTAACGTCTTAATTATTATCTTACAGTTGACAGCACCTTTTATTGCACACCTAGTTTGTTGCATTTTTTTTTCTTTCTTTCGTGCAACTTGAACCAAACGTCTCGTTTTCCACACGTGGAGCGTGACAAATCACAGAAAGCAAACTTTTATCTGCAGCACTTGATCTCCGCCTCAGTATCGATTTTCTCGCTTGTGTGGAATTTTGACGGCTGCTGCCACGAGGGCAATTTCGCGGTCAATTACGTACATAGTTTTGCTATTTGTGTTGTCATTTGATATAATTTTAACTTCGTTCTTAGTTATTATTTGTGCTTGCCAATTCTTGAAAATTGAAAAATTATTTTTCCGCGTTAAAAATTCTTAGAAATGGGTTTTAGTAAAAATCTCACTTTTGCCAATACGTTGGTTGGCTGGTTCATGTCACAGATTGGTGGAATTTCGGAAGGCACTTGGCGCTCCTCGGCCACAAGAGCGAGTCTTCTCCGAAGAATGCGCAACACTTTGGCCTCTTCCTTGCGACGGTTTAAGGGCGTTGAACCCTCTTCATCCTCAACATCTGAAAGTAGACACGTATGAAAATCTACTTATTTCCATAATAAATTCAGTTGCGTGTTAGAATTCAACAAGTCTAAATCCATACGGCTTTGCATTATTTTAGGCTACCAAATCACATAATAAAACTGTGCCCATAGGAGCAATTAAAAAATAATAAACATGGCTGTTTAAAAGTTAATGATTTAATAGGCCAATCAATTGACGTAATTATCTTCTGAAAGGCGATGAAACTCACTAAGCGGTGTAGTCTCGGTATCATCCTGGTAGTCGCAGCTTTGCTGCCTCCGTTTGGCCTTTTCCGTCCAGACGGGCGACGCCACCCCTGGACGGTCGGTGCTCAGTTGTTGGCTCAACATTTTGTTTACCAGACTTTTCTGAATCGCATCTTGCACTGCGAAAGATCCCGGTCGCTCAAATTCTTGCGCCGATGCTGCGCCGGCGTGCGCCGCCCTTGCACCCCAACCAACCCCCTCAGCAGTTCATGCTCTCCGAGTTGACCTTTCGCATGCTCACTCTCTTTAGCCGCGTAACCTTTTTAGAGAAAATCATATGAAAGTGCCATTCACGCACCGGATGTTTGCAATCGATAGGGAAATTCATTTTTGCAATTTTCCCAATTTTAGGGAAAACTGAAGAAGTGAGAGATGTGGTGGTTTAAATTTGAAAGTCCGTCTAGAATTTATGTGTTAGGGATAGGGCATTAATTTTAATAGGTGTGCTTAAATAATCAATTGCTGAAAAATGCAGTTTTGATAAAAGCATGATTATTCAAATGAAGTCGTATCGTAAAAATTCTTCATATGCAAATCAAACAAGCCACTTAATAATACTTGTTTTATTTTTGCCGAGAGTCGCGCGCCCACAGAATTAACCTCTCATGCAATGCAAGATAAACATGCGTGCGTGGCGTTTAAGTGGCATTAGTTTTCACGAAGCGTTTTCATACCGTGTTGATGTCCTTTTGGCCGACCTTGCTCACTTAGCATTAAAGGAAGTCAAAATTTTGCTGCCTTCCTTATATCACTTACTGCGTGACTTTCATTTTTAATTCCGGGCCTTCTTTTCCTTGGAGCGCTGCTTTAATTTTGTTTAATCCGGTTTTTTTCTAATTAATGTGGCCTGCCTTCGTAAATAATTCTTCACATATCTCGGCGGAAGTTGAACATTAATTATCTTTTTTGCTGCTTTAATATCTCCTGCTGAGAACTATAACCTCAAAAGTTTTATGCTTTCAAATTGCCTCACAAATTTGGATTACTAGAAAATTTCTTCTACGACTGCAATTTACATGATATAATTCCGAAGCCACTGCTATCCAATTAGCACCAGTCAGTACATATATCAAATCTGGAAATTTTCATATTCTCTTTCTTTTCTTACCCAACCCACTCTAAGCAATAGACGAGCATCTCATATTATATAATACATACATGTTCTATTTAACATAGAATGGCCCTCAATTTTGTAATTTTGTGGGCCAAAAAGATTTGCCGGCGCGTGTTTCTCTCGCAATTTATTGACTTGATCTCCCAATAGAATACTTCGTTGACACAATGTTGTAAACGTCATCAAGTCGTTTGTGCTCCGATCAGGCAGGGAGAACACACACTTTTCGTAATATTTACCTTTTAATTACGAGCGGCTTATTTTACCAGACTCGTTTTCAACATACGGCACCTGTGAAAGTGGTTCCAGTACTTTCACGTAGACACAGAGCCACATACTTAAAGGTAGACAGGGAGCAATTCATTAAGGAGTTGTCATACAAAATAGAGTTATGCAAATGGAAGCAAAATCAAGGTCGTTCGGTATAAAAATTAAATAATTTATTGTTCATAAAAGTTTTGCTAGCACATAACATTCGCACAGCTACACAGCGTATGTGTTGACGCAACTTTCTAGGAAATTCTCACGCGCACAAATATTAATTTGAGTATTTACAAAGAGCGTAGGTTGAGGCACAAATAATCTTTAAAATAATCTAGCCTCTACTCCAACGCTGCAGTCACGGGAAGATTGGCAACGATGAAATCTGCGGTTGTTTTCAGGATTCCCCCAAAATTCTCATTCAGTTGTGTCGACATCAGACCCAAAATCTCGGAGCCGCTTGCGGAGAGGAAGATGTTGTAGAGCTCTGAAATCAAGATAACGCTATTTTTAGCCTTGGTCGCGGTCAGTTATGAAGTTAAGGTCAAGTGGAAAATTTATTCCAAGACCGGAATATATAATTATTATTTTTTAAATAGATTTTTGTTTACGTCTGGCCACTGAGTTTCCACTGTTGAGGCGGTCCACTTGCATTTTTGACTTCTTGGGCACAAAATTGACGTCAAGGTTTTCCACTTCCACCTTCTGCTCTCCCGACGCAGACTCTTTCACGGAGTAGTTGATGCGCATTGAGAGGCTCACGTCCTCTGAAATTTAAAATTTTAAATACATATATAAATATTTATATTTGTTTGTTTCCGTAATGAACATTTTGATGTTCCAACGCTCAAACGCGTTAAATCGTAGAAAGTTTGAATAGTCATGCAATATTCTAATAATAATATCAACCACATTTGGAGTCGATTTCACGCACACAAATATTATGCAATATGCAACCAAATTTTGTTCAATAACGCGATTTATTGTTGTTGTTGTTTTGATTTTTTGCAAATTATACCAGGCTTAAAAATGGTTTCTTACCAAAAGTGTTGGTCATGGCTCCACCACCAGACGCTTTGATCACAATCAGCTTCCCAGAGTTAACATAATTTGAGGTCATTACAACCACAGGAATGTGCAAAGTCAGTTCCATTGGGTTGCCCACTCTATATAAAAGCAATGGAAAAAAAATTACAATGGCACATTTAACAAAAGAGAAGAATTCTGTGTAACTTTTCTATTCGATAATTAGCTTTTTATAAAAAGGTATTACTTACTTAAGTTTGGAAACTCTGGCGGTGCTGAGGCCAGTAAATTGGGGGGCCAAAAAATTCATTTTGAATTGATCAGAGCCAGCGTTTACCGTCAAGTTTAAGGGTCCCGACTGCATTGGGTCCATTGTCTTGAAATTTAGCTCAGGCACTCCTGTAAAACAAAAAATGAAAAGAAGTTGAAATAACCAAAATAATCATGATGAAAATATAACACAATTCACGATTTTCTAAATTTGTTTTAAATTAAGAAAAAAGTCTAAAATGAACTGGAATTTGCTTAAAAAATTATTTAATCATATAGTTATTATGCAAAACTGAACAAAACTTTGTTTTTATGAGCTTGAGAAAGGAGTGGAATGCAATACAATAAAATCTCATTTTTATCTTTGAAAGACAGGGAGTTATTCTTAGTGTTTTCTTGGGATAGGAGTAGGGAAAGGTCTTCTAAAAAAGGAGGGCCTTTGATATTATCTTTCTTTTTAAAGCTGAACAAGAAAACCTTTTAGACAAATATTTCTTTTAGAATGAGAGAGGGTTTGGAACATATGACAAAGGACTTTTACATACCTTTTGACACTCCTTTAACAATATCTGTGAGCAAAGCTGCGTAGCAAGGTGCATTTTCTTGACCACCTTTTGGGCACTTCTTTTTAACAAGGTAGGCTGGAATAACAGTTCATTACATTTTAAAAGATGAAAAATATAATAAAATGGTTTAATTTTGTATGGGAAATGTTTCATTTTAATTAAAGAAGGATTACATTAAAATGAAGATATTTTAGAAAAAAATATCTTGCATTTAAATTTAATAAGCGTATTTATAGCGAATTTCTAAAATTGTTTCCCAATTTTTAGGAAAATTTTAATACATCTTGAATACATTTTAATAATTATGTGAGACAGAAAATTACACATTGTATTAGTTAAATTAATAGGTTCTTCCAAGAATTTTAAGAACTCTAATATAAAAAAAAGTAAATTTACACAAATCAGAAGCAGCAACTGCAAGGGTAGCGATGAGCACCAAAATAGTGGTTGTCTTGCGCAGAGAAAATGCCATCGTGTTTCCGTTTCAGTCAAGAGGCCAAGAGCAACAACTGTTCTCCAACTCAGGTAACAGAAAACATTAAGCCGCAAGAGTCTATATAGCACCAAACACAAGAGTCCCCTTCCTCAATATATATAAAAATGCGCCCCTCCTCTGGAAGCGGCCGCAGCGAGGTCACGACTACGGTCATGCAGCTGATTAACACCTCAATCAGCGGCAGCTCCTTTTTGAGCCAGCGGCAGTTAAGGAGGAAGTAGTGCATCTTTATCACTATTTGTGTCCAGCATCATTTTGTAATTTATCTGATTCGTCTCACTGTTTCATGACACCATAATTATTTTAATCGATTTTAATGAAGATAAATCATCACATAAATAATTTGCATTAATCAACTCTAAAATTTTTGGATGCCGTCAAAATGAGGAATAACATTAATTATTACTTTTGCTATATTATTCTTTCCTCAAGTAATAACAAAAAATGGTTTGGTTTAAAACGCTTCCTTTGTTTCATTTATCGTAAAAATTAATAATATCAGATTCTAGGAAAAATTTGCAAATAAAATTTGTTAGAAGAGTTGTTAATTTAGCGCCATTGTTAGCTCACGCTAAGTTATTTTTATGCGATTTTTCGACATTGATTGATTTTAATTTTTTTTTAAATGTGTAAAAAAGCTGCATTTATCATCAGTATTTTAATTTTAAAAACATTTCTTGAATATGTAATTAAACTCATTGTTCATCAATTTTAAAAAATTGTGTAAAAATTTAGAATAAAAATAATAACTTTACTTAATGGTCACGTGGCTTACATGTTAAATAGATAATTATTTGTGTCTGAGCTATTTTTACTTCTCGCAATATATTCTATTTTCATTCATTTCTCCGCAACACATGCATGTTTGCTGCTGCGTGTGCGGCTTCCTTTCCCCTACCAAACAGCCGCCCCTGAGCAGAACGCAGAACGTTTATGTAGTGGTTATGTTTGTCAACAACAGCCTAGATGGTTACGACTTTCCCTCGTTCACTTCAGGCACCAGATCAAACTTAATTGTTTTTAAATTGACCTTGCTTTAAGCTTGAGTGAAGATCAGAAAAGTGATAAAGTTTTGTGGGCAGTGATTGTTTTTCAAGAAGAGAAGAGAGCACTCAAATTGCAGAAGTTTTTGGATTTTGTGGAAGTAATTTACTCCCAGCAAAATTTAAAATAGTTTAATTTTTGCAATTTTTGGCAAGTTCATCGAAGGCTGGTCTTCAATGTCTGCAACTCCAATCTCCATTGCAAGTGAAAAATGTAAGTACAAAACGCTAACATAGAAATTTTTTAGGTATAATTAAATATCCTATCGATAGCCCTCCAAATGTTCCAATGGGCGAATTATAGGCCTATAAAATATTTACATAGTTACGTAATCAATATGCTTACGTATTAATTTTACACACATGCTTAATAATCAATCAGCTTATAAAACGTTTAACATTAACTTTTATTATTAGCAACTAAATTTTTTTCAAATATTGTACTAATCTTTTATTCTGTTTGATATGGTATTCGTGGTATTCTTTATAAAATATAGTACTGAAAGAAGGATAAATAAAAATAAGATAATACTTTTGCAAAACTAAATAATAAAATGTGAAGTTAGTTAAATATTAAATTGATCTAACTTTTAATTATTTATGCCTCAAGATTTGTGTTCCAAAATAATTTAAAGTTGAAGCATAAAAATTTAAATGCTTTTCAATTATTTTCAGCTCCAAAACACCTGAAACTAAAGCGTAATAAAGTTAGTTGAAAATTAAGGTAATTCGATTTTTAGGCATTTTAGTTATTAATTTGAATATCTTTTTATCAATTTCCATTAAAAATTTTAACCAGTTTCATTAAGTAATCTTTTGGCCATCGCAAACCGCTTGAAAAGGTAGCTTGCTGTGGTTTATGCAATTCTTCTTGCAGTAGTGGCAAGCAGGTTGCATATGTTTTACCACCATCGTGGGTAACAAATTAATTAAAAATAAGATAAAAATTCATAATTTTCTATCAGTTTTATTTCTAACGCGCAAGTATAAATTATGACATCCTATAATAAATTTATTCATAAATGCTTGATAATTATTATAAAATAATGATCGGCTGAAATCATATACAGGGTTTACTTCTCTAGGCGAGGATTCCTCTCGGTGGCTAGTCTCATGAGAAGCACGTTCGGTGACTCAAAGAGAAGTGTGAGCACATAAGCGCAGAAATAACACATTCCCATGTTCCCAAAGAAATCGGTTGCCTTAAAAAATTAACATAGTTAAATTTACGCGATTCAAATATTTTCAATGTTTTTTTATTTAACTCACAAGTGGCAAGAAATCCACGTGATAAGCTTTCTCAGAGCCTAAAGAGGCAGAGTTCATGAGGAAGGGATTGAGAAGGTAGGCGCAGTAGGTCAGTCTTGACATGGGCACCCACCCAGGGAACTCAAGAACCTGCGCTACAATTCCTGGAATCGGCACAAATTAGTTGACGGTGAAAGCAATGTGGAAAAACAAATAACAATAAAAAAAAAAATACTTGTTTGTGTTGGCGCAAGTATCAGGTCATTGGTCTCCATTGATCTGACAAAGTATTGGACGAAAAACATTGTTTTTTAAAACACAAATTAAATATTTTTTTTATCAAATGGACAGTTAAAAAATAATAAAAAAATATGCAATCAATGTTCATTGAAATTGTTGGATTTAAAAAAAAATACAAAAGGTGTAAAAAATTCGCATTTTTGAAAAATATGATATGTAGTTATATTTGTGTTGTAATTTTTTTTTAAATTTATTTATGGGACTGATTAGCTCACCTCCATGCTTTGTGACACAGGCGACCACAATCCAAGCAAGACCAACTCCCCAAACAGTCCTGCTGAGACCCACATAAAGGGCTCCGAGCTCAGGCGAAATTTCTCTCTTGGTGAGACCAAACAAGACGACTACGTTGCACATTGAGCCCAAAAACCAACAGCAAGCCACTTGCCACTGAAAAATTATTTAAATTATTTTGCAATTATTCGGTTTAAAAACTGACTGTCTTGAGGGAAAGGCGTCCGTTTATTTTATTCACGTAATAACCAGTGAGCATTCCGATCATGTACGGCCCAATTCTGGTCCAGGGCGGATCGTAAAGGACATTCAGCATGTTGTACTGTTGACTTAAGGTTGGAACGTAGTTATATGACCACGATATGTAAGCAGTGATTGCACATGAAGCCACAGTGAGTAAAGTTCCGACAGAGAAAGCAATTCGTCGATAACTGAGAGAAAAAGAGTTTTTTTAATAAAAATTTTATTCAATTCAGACGTGTTTACCTTGTCGAGAGCAAAAGGAGAAAACTCGCGATCACGAAAAACTGCATGTCATTGGCGATATACCAGCTCCAGGTCATGCACTGTGCAAATTAATGAACATTCAAATTAGGTAAATATTAACACCCGAAACACAGACCATCTCATCTCTGGAGAAAAGGTTGTTGATGTAAAGCAAGTTTCGCCACCAGTACTTGCTGCAAGTTTCATGTGCATTTTCAGTTGTGTGGAAAACGGACGTGCGCGAATATTTTGTTTGATTGACGTCCAAAATACCAACCATCATCATATAAACGGGTGTTAACCTTAAAATATTAAATTATATTTTCATCAATCGTTTAATTTTTAAATGCAAACCTGATAAATCTTTTAGCCACCATGAGGAAAAAGCGTTTAGTGTTCAAAATAAACTTTGCTGAGGGAGGCATTGATTTTTCTTGCGCCTTGCATTTTTTCTCGCCTTTGTAGTACAAGTACGCAACCAAGAAGCCACTGAAAAAGAGGCAATAAAACATTAAATTTCATTTTATAAATCGATAAAAAATCATGTGCACCTTATGAAGAAAAATGTGTCGACGGAGAGAGTAGAATTTGCAACGACCTGCACTGCAAATCCCTCGGCCATTCGGAAGGCCTGAACTCGATTATCTAAAAATAATAATTATGAATTATCAAAAGTATTAAGTGAAAAACGGACTCCAAACTCCCTATTTAATAAGAAAAAGAACGAAAAAAAATCAAGATATTATAGGAAAATAAATCTTGCATTTTTTAAATTTCTTTGTAATGAAATAAAATTGAAGCTACCAAAATGGCAGGGATCCGTTAGTTTTATTTTTTATTTAAATAAAATTATTTAAAAAAAAATCATTTTTCTAAAAGGATCCATTTCTTCAATTACAAAAGTATGTGCGAGCCAACTTCTTCTCTTATGTTTATGCTAGTGCGATTAAATACCTGCGTAATCGGCCAGGTAAAAAATGGTGTGCACCATAATGATCCACCCCATGCCCAAAAATCTCAGGCCGTGGATGCATTTGATGGAATCGGAACTCAATCTAGGCTCCATCAGGATTTTAGTATTTGCCGAAACAGAGAAGCACATGAGCACTTTGCCGACCCAGGATTGCTTGTAGTGCAGAGCTCGACTTTCACTTGAAGTCAATTTGCAGGCTGAAAATATGATAAATTTATTTTCATTTCAAATAAAGCGGGATAATATCAATCTTTTCACACCTTGGTTCTCCTCGACCAGAAGGTGGAATTGTTCGACGCCTTCATTGTTGTTTGCCTTCTTGTTGGCGAGCAGTTTCCGCTCCATTTGCAAAGGTTGCCAGACGCTCTGGTCATAGATCCATCCTGCAATGCACAAAGCCAAGGCCAGCCCTAGGAGCGACCTACGTAGGTTAAAATTGATATTATATTTTCAAAATGATCATTCAATAAATTTAACTCCTCACATAACGGTGATGAATTTGAAGGAAAGTAGCCAATCGCTGTTGTCCTCGACTCCTCGAACTTTTGTCAATCGCAAACTGACGTCCATGGTGCGCATTAAAGGAAGCGGGCGCGCTCCATCCCCAAAAAGAGTGGAAAGCATTGCATGCACGGCGACGGGGTCACAGGACCGCGGCAAACACAGCCCGAGAGTAACTAAATCCTATAATTGAAGAAAATTCATTTTAATTAAGAGATTTCGTTTTATTCAAACGGAACAAATATTTAAATAATTTGATCAAATTTTTTGCAATAGTAATTGCTAAAATCGCAAACTCCAACTTTTATGCATTTTAAATTTTATTTTATTTTATATTTTTGATTAATGATGCTGCGTGTTATTTCAAATAAAAAAGGATAACTCTGATTTAAATTTTAATAATAATATAAACATTAATCATAAAAACAAAGACGATACTCATTAGGTAATAAAACTGTTTAAAATTCCATAGTACATTTATTTATATGCCTTGAACTAAACGTCATCTATCTGGTGCCTTACCGCATGATTTATTTCCTCGAATGCTCCGTAATCAAGGAAAGTGAATAATGAAAGTAGAAGCAAATACACGGCGATCAGTGCTTAACCATAACACAATCAAACTTTGCCTTTCTTTTTGATAAAAATTAAGGACAAAAAATAACGCACAAAGAATTAGAAATTGGCAAAGGTTTCCTTCGCTCCTCGCCTTTTTTGTCCCCAACCGGTGTTTGTGTGCGCGCGGACGAGTGCGGTAAAGAAAATCAGCGCAGTGTGTTTGACATTAGAGCGAAAGTGCAATGAAAGTTGTCAGAGCTTGGAAATCTCTCACAATCAAATCCGTATTTCCTGGACATTTAATCCGCAGAATTGCACTCGGGCAATTATTACAACAACTATCGCGTGTCACAGCGAGCTTAATCATCTTAACAATAAACGATTTAATGGTAAGTTTATGGCCGCTTGTCATAGAGACGTAAATGAAGTAATAGAAATTTTTAATTTCCACACCACAAATAGTTTTTATAACTTGGATATTAAAAATAACATGCGCAATTTATACATAAAGGTGCGTGCGTGTGTGTTTTTTTTAAAGTGTAAATTTTAATTTTTGACTCACCTCATTTTGTAATCCTGTGAGTTCTTGAATTGTTGCATTGTGTCTGAAATAGGCGACAATGTAATGTGACTGGAGAGGACTCGTCATGCCGTTTTGAGGTTTCAAGTTGATGTCTTCGCACTGCGTTAGCGACCCAAGCCAGAAGTTATTTCCAAATATAAAACCAGGGGTTGGTTGGCCGCTTGAATCAAACACTGGTTGACAAAAAATAACAAATATCAGCAAAAAAGATTGGTATTAGATTTAAAATGTAATAGTATTTAAATAAATATGTAATTTAAAATATATTCAAACTTCAAAGTTTAATACTCACTTTTGAGTGCCCACATGTCCTTATTCTCAATGGACTCATCGATGAAGTTGAGGTGCCTTTGGCAGAGGGAAGACACATTGTCCGCCTTGGCTAACTGGAGCAGACCCTCGAAGGGCGAGTTGACCTGCAGGTCGGCTTCCGCCGAGCCCAGGAGACCAAAAAGGGCTAACACGGCTACTAGCTCCATGTCAGCCAGCCACGCAGCTTCTACTGGACCTGAAAGACGCTGCCGACCACTCTCTCAGGACTCGCGCTGGGGAGGGAGCAGGCACAGGGTCGCCCTGACTGAGCGGCTCTCTTTTCTCACCTGAGAAAAGCCTCGCGTCCGTGCAGAGGTGAAAAACCACATAATTCTGTAGTTCGAGGGAAAATTGTTGTATCTTTTTACCTCGGCTGCCAATTATAAATTTTACATCAATTAAATTAATTTTTTTTTTTTACTCTAAGGACCAATATTTTTTCTTTAATTTTAATTTTCTACCCACAAATATTGGTATTCTATTTATGTATTCTCTTTTTGAAGACGTGCTTATTTCCGCTGATCAATAAAATTACTGCATGCAACCGGCTCGTCACTGTCAATCCATGGCACGATATTTATAACATAAGTACATTATTTTATTTCAAGCGTGATTCAAACAAAAGGCTTCAATGGCACATTGAATGCTTTTAGCTATTAGCTCACCCTCTGCACTTGCAACAAACTTGTTTTGTACGATTGCTCACCACAAATTTTTTATCTGTAGAAAATTTAATCTGCGTCGCAATTTCCCATACAATTTTAGATTTCAATAAAAATCCATTTTTCCTAAACATTGTTTTGTTGATTCTATAAAAATTCAAATTCAATAGTTTTCCATTAGATCTTCTGATTAGTGGTGCATTTAGCTGCACTTTTCTCAAATCAAATCAATTATGCAACACAAAAACGAGTGCAGGTACAGTTTGTAAAAGTGCAGCCTCTGCACTTTCTTCCCAGCTTTCCGTCTTCTGGTCGCAATATAATTGGTGACTGCATAGTGTGTATCTAAGAAATAAACATGCACGCATACAATATTCACGAACCCTTCAGGTTGGCTGACTAAGAGGAGAAATTCTGAAACGCGACCTCTGCCTCCGCCCTACAAGTGCAGCGAAGTAATTATGTCAACGATTGAGAAACAGTTCTCAAAACTGGAATTACGTTCTATAATTCATAAATTTACAATTAAAGTATTAGCACTATCAGATAAATTACATATTAAACAATAATAATTAATTTCAATTCATTTTATATATTATTCCTCTCCAAACAGATAAAAAACAATCAATTGTGTCTTTTAAATTTATATCAAAGATTAAAAATAAATATTTTGAAATAAAATTTTAATTATATTTTTACTCTCCGATTTGAGGGCATAGAACGGACAGAAATTGATCGCTTCTTTAACATACGCTTTTATGATTGAGTAAAGCACTCGATGTTTTACGTGGGAATCCTCAACTCGATTGCAATGTGCAAGGTTGAGCGTAAAACAAAAAATGCACTCTGTTAATGGCTTTTGTATACTCCTCGTACAGTTTTCCCTGTGAACGCAATTATATCTGCGGTTCGCGCAGCGGCGATTGCAGCTAGGATCTTTGAAATAATTATGGTTCGAATAAGTAATTGTACTGACTGCACCGAGAGTTTTGCATCACGGGTTTGCCTTGGTAATTTTATATTACTCATGTATTGTGGATTGACTCCGTTTTATGTGCCCCTGCCTATTTGTGGGCTGGATGCGCCTTTGCTCGATGTTCATACCCACTGAAACGCGTGTGCATGACCTCGTGTTACATAAAACATTGTCAAGTACATCAATGGGTCAATTTCAAGCTGGAGCATGCAGCATAAATTACATATATCTATGAAATGTTAACAAAAATTAGTTTGTATTCTATATCAATACCAGGAATTAAAAAATTTCAGTTTATATGTTGCGCTTAAGATTGTTTTCATTTTAATTTAGTAGAATTAAAAGAATTTATAAAAAAATAACAAGAAATAAAGGATTTCAATTTTCTATTAAAGAAGAAGACATGGATTCATAAATTTTTTGAGGTTGATAAGTTAAAAATCTAGCTGGTTTATATTGTTTCTTCACACCATCTGTCATGGTTTAGTCAGTCTGGGATTGTGTCAACTTATGTATTATTTAAATTTATTGTTGAGTGTCTTGAGGTTTTACAAAGAGCTGCATAATACAAATTTGATTCGCATTGTAATAAGGGAAGAGTGCAGGCAGGGTCAACGGACCATTGTAGGTAGCAGGGCTCTCTTTAAAAGAGAAAGATTTTGTTTTAAATTACTGAAATTTGTTTTAAAGTTTAATTTTTCACGTTCCATTTTTAAATACCATTAGCCATAAAATTTAAAAATTTAAATGTCCGATCTAAAGGTGGATCTAGAGATTCTAGAGCCAAGAAAAAAAATGTGTTTGAAGTGATCATACAAATTATATAAATAATAAATTGCCCTAACATTGATGAAAAAACAACTCATCATTTTTGGACACACCATTCTTGGAAAGCAGTTATATCAGCTAGACAAACGTAATCTTCAATTAAATATTATTGGTGTAGCATTAAATAAATTCGATAAAATATATAAAATGATATAAAACATCCATACGCTGGAAATTATTTAATTCATTTGACAGAGACATGAAAGACAAAAGATATCGTTTCTGGAATTCATTTAAATCAAAACTTTTTTATTAAGCTTCATTGACAAACATTTTGTTTCAAACATTTATTTTTATTAATTAACTTAATCTTAAGCTAACAGAAAAATAAATATGTGCAACACTTTTGCTTAAACGCAAGGTATATTTTTTCAGCAACACTCACTCTTGCATGGGCATTTAAACATCTCTCTACCGCACATGTCACAACCAAATCGGCACAATATGGTCTATGTTTTCTCAAAAGGTTTCCTTCTAACGTGTCTTCCTCACATTTTGCTGAAAATAAAATGTCCGGTATTATTATTTGAACTGAAATTAAAAAAATAATTTTTATTTATACCTTCCACCTGAGTAGCCAGTTATCTTCAACAGCGTCTGCATTTTCCTGTTTCTCAGGCAGTTTTTGCTTTTTGGCCATTTCTCTGTAAAGTGCCTCTTGAGGCGTGGGTGGGTTTATTGCCGATCTCCTTCGCTCTGGCTCACCAAGGCGGTCAGTCTCGATTTGAGGGCCAATTTCTGTGAGAAACTGAACATCTGCATGCTGTCCAAGCCGGAATCCAACTCCAAATCGCGTATCGAATCCTTTAAAATAACATAATTAATGATCGTATCATCTTGCTTCAGCCTACAATTTGCTGTTTGAAACTTTCGTAATGTGAAAAAATGACGCTTCAACACAACATAAGTTGCATTCCAGTTCATCTTAATGAAATATTATATTTATCGATACTCACCATTTTTAATAGGAGGGATGTTGGAGTAGATGATAGAGAGGATTGATGGCAATTCCTCAGGAATGATAAGCCCATTTGCAATACCTGAAAATTTGTAACTGATTAGATATTTTGTTCCCGATTTGCATTCATTTGCACTCAATAATCAATAATAAATTTTACTTGGCGCTTGCGTTGGTATGAGGAAACCCCTAGGGCAATAAAAATGCTGCACGCCGTGCTTGTGTGACCTGCAGGTTGCATAAGCCAGTCAAGCAAAAGGGGTTTGTAATATTGTCACGCGTGCGGGTGGCATTATAGAGTTTAAAATCCCACTTGGACTGTCTGTTGCTCATTCCCTTATTCAAAACCTTTGCAGTCTTTTATCAATAATATATTTATATTCCCTCTAAAAGGTAATGGGTCTAAGCAGCTATAGGTTTGAGAAAGTTTCACTTTTTCATTCAAATTTAACAATGGAGCCAGAAAGTATTTCGCTTTGATTGCGTTTAACTCGTCCCTAAACACTTACCGCGTGGCCTCAAACCTTTTCCTTTTTCATTGTTAGATTTTTGCGCTCTCACCTCAACAAATATACCATATAAATACTGACTATAGAAGGAGAAGAAGAAACTATTCTCCTAGACAATACTGCAAGAGGCAAGTGGACCAAAGTTTGAAATTAACGCATTTAAATATTTTTCGTTGGTTTCATAAAAAAAAAAATGTATATATAATTTAATGAAATGTTATCAACTTAATATATATTTGATTTCAAATAAATATTTCTGGCAATCTTGCAGTTTTGTTTAAAGCATTTTTTTCATACTTGAATGCTCAAGGTTTCTCCACCGCTGACCTTCGGGTTTTATCCTCTAATATTATATCCTCCCAATGTTAGAAATGATTGGCTGCAACTCTAAACTTCCTATCCGTATCTGATTTTTTATAAATCCAACTGATATCTGATCGTTCAGTTCATAACAAATTTGAAAGGTTACGCAATACATATTTACAATTCAGTCAATAGGCAATCGTATTGTTGCTTTAAATAAATCGGTATCCATGATTTAAATTGGGTTTTTTCAGTGCTTAAAAAGATTCAGTGCAAACACAGTGGCCTTGGATTCCCGCGCAAGAAAATATTACCTTCCTTTCACTTTATAATACCTACAAGTCTGTATCAAATCCGTGTGAAAACTCGAGTTTCTTCCTGAGTCATTTACATTTTAAATATGCTTGAAATGCTTTAAAAAAGTCTTTCATGGAGGAAATACCTCAAAACTTGAAAAGACTACATAAAATGCGATTTTTTTAAGCAACTGGCTCAAAAAAATAAAATTCAAATCTTAGATAATATGGAAATTGGCGTAAATTGCGGAGGAATGCGTGCTAGCAGCAGAGACAAACAAACAGTGGACTAGATTTTCGCAGCAGTGAAATGACGCTGTGTTCTCACTCTGTAACTTTCTAACAGCACTCGTGCAAAGCCTTTGAGAGAGACATTTTCTAACTTTTTCTTCAAAGTGATTTGCAAGAAGGGTGCTTTAAACTAAAATTGCTCACCAGCAGTGGCTGTCAGCAACAGGGCAACCAGCAGGGCAACTTTGGGGCCCATGGCGAATGTCACATAGTCCGCAGTGGGGCCAATCGCTCCGTCTGGGATCCTAGCGTGGACTAACTGAAAGAGCCAACGATATCTGGGTCAGCAGGGCGGGCTCAGGTGCGCCGCTCGACAGGTAGCTCCTTCCTTTCTCAATAATTCAAAGCTGAAAGCCCTCCCAGCATTGACGTCTTTTGAGACGTGTTGGGAAGAACTGGAAGAGCAGGAAATTCATCCGGAGATCAGTAGAGCGTGGCCATAATTTCATTATTTTCTCCTTAAGATTTGATTTCAATAATTTATCAAGCAATTTTTTATACAAGCGCGGATATGGATAAAAAAAATTATGATTTTTAATTTTTCCGTCTTTTACTTAACGTAAAAAATCCATAAATTCTGAAAAGTCAAATCATGATTTTGGTCAAATTAAATGCTTGCGAATTTTAATGAAAAATATCAACTAAATGTGAATATATTATATTCATAAGACATGTGATATTTTAAGAAGCCTCAAATATTCAGAGCAATATCCTGGGATCAATATAGCTGGGTTCAAATTTTAAATAAATATCATGTCTGAGAGAGGCATTAAAAAAAGTTTAAACAAAAAAAAAACATTTTTTTAAATTTGTTTTGTTTTTGAAGAAATGGTTTATTTTAAAGAAGAGCGAAATCAATATTTTTTTTTCATTTCTTGTTAATTTGATTTTGCCTTTTGTGAGATAGTCCTTTGAAATTCTTGAAAGTCAAACCATGATCTTGGTCAATTTTAATGTCGACAAACAAACCACTTGCGCATTTTGATGAATATCAACTAAATGGAATCAAGACATGTGATATTTCTGTACATTCAAATATTCAGAGGACGTGCGAGCATCAAAGATTTATTCCTGCAGCTTCATTTTCCACTTCGCCCTCGCCGCTATATTGAAGAGCATCAGCATATTAAATGCGCCCCGTGGCACGGTTCATCAAAACACGCGTTTGTCACATAATGGCCTAATTAAAATCGATTATGCGCTTTTTACGTCACAAAATGTGTACAGGAAAATTAAGTCCATTCGCTTTTCGCGTCTGTTCTAGCAAACGTCAACGTGAAGTAATGTAATTTCTATTTATATAATATCGGAGAAAATTAGGTTGGCTTTGCAAATTTTTCTAGCGAAGCGTAGAGGTTTATTAATAATTATTAGTAATTAAAATAAGTGTTTTATTTAAAAAGGTTTTTATGTAAATTAATTGTTTAATCCTTAACTGAAGTAAAAAATGTATTGTTGTATAGAAATTTGGATTTTTTTTATTAAATTTCAATTGGCGCTGATTTGATGGCAAAGGCTTATTATTATTTCCAGTCGCGCGGTTTTTAGTGATGAAAAAATTACTAATGAAAGAATGAAAAATGAAATTAAGAGCCGCCCCGATTTATAATATTCATTTTGGCGCTCAGGTCTGCATTAAAGAATAGAAAACGGGTGGGGCGAAAGAAACAAATGAGCCCCGAGGTTGAGCACAGTTGACGAGTTAGAGCGAAGCGACAAAAGCGACTATATAACCACATTTATACATATCAACGAGAGCGGCGGGGACAAACTGCGCTGAATCAGCCAGTCTGCCTCAACGTAGGGTTCACTCGAGCACTTCCAGCCTCGTCGGCACCGCTCTTTCTAATTTTTACATTCGAACAAGTCTGTGAGTTTGCCGCTTTTCAAGACTTACTATTTGAGTGCTACCCTGAAGAAGAACACGTGCAATTTCAGAAAGAAACTGTGCTTGCAGAAATAATCAGTGTTTATTCAGGGAAAGGTCAAATTTTCATGTAAGTATATATTATTAGGGGCACATATTCCATTTTTGCAAATCTTTTGATTTTGTATAATATGTGGTGCTCAAATTAAAATTAACTTTCCGTCTTCTATTATTTTTATCAATTTTATTTAGAATCAAAAAGTCTAGAAAATACCGTTTAGCCCTTTAACTTGGTTTTTTGTAACTTTTTAGTTACTATAATAGTTTCGCAATATAAGTAGAGGTTTGCAGACCGAGAAAATTCTTAAAGAAGGTGGGTATTTCGCAAAACAAAATATTACCACGTGAGAGTCACGCACGTGGACCTAGCGGAGTTGGAGCTCATTGATTAGCGCACGCGCATCCTCAAACATGACCTACACCCACTACAGTGTCCCATCAAACCGACGTTTCAGGTTTCAGTCAATGCTCCTTATTTTCATGCTGATCGAAATTTCTGCAACTATTCAAACAACTTTTGTAAGTTTATTTTTTAATTTTTTTAATTCTCCAAAATTATATTCACAACTTGCGAACCAAATATTTTATTGTTTAAATTAAATCTGTATCGTCAAATTTAGTTAAATTAATAATAAAAAAAAAAAAAAATCAAATCAGAAACCATAATAATTTTGGAGATTCGTTGAAACTATAAATTATGGATTTACTGCGGTCAGAGAAAATTTTTCCACTTCCTGTTCCACTTTTGCAAAGCTTGCACATGACATGTGTTTCACCCCTGACGGACTTCCCATGCACGTGGGGGTGTTCACGCGACACTTTGGCAAGGACAAGCGTCGCTCACGTGAGCCGCGCGCCAATCAATACTGATAAGCTTAAAAATACTCGCGTGCAAAACTTTTGTTCGACCAGCATCACGTCGCGGGGTTGCTCAACTTCGGCCTCAGGATGACAGAGAATCCAGCCTAGGACCGAACGTATGTGCGAACTTGTCACGTGACTCAGGCGCACGTGTTGGCGTCGACCACCGTCACTAATTACGGGGATTGCCAGCACGCGCAACTTGCAGAAATATACGTGAAAGCTGAGGGCACGTGTTTTACTTTTGTTGGTCTTTCAAACGCTTTTTTGGGCCTCGTGACTTTTTCAGAATTCACAATTACATGTGTATAATAAATGCTGTAAATTGTCTTTCTACTATCCCGCTCGCAATGAAATTTCCAAAGAATCAATAAAATTTAAAACAAAATGAACTTTATAATACTGATGATAACTTTTTCCAAATTTTAATTTACTATAATTTTTTTTAGTTAAAAATTGTATCTACCCCTTTTTAATCTTTTTAATATCATAACACAATATAAACAGAAGTTTTGAAATGCTTGTTGCAGAAGTGGCGACAACTATTTGGAGCCCGATGGTGACCTAGCCCGGCGGGTGGTTGCAGTCCATGGCTGCAGATTCTGCAGCAAAGCGCCACGAGACCAGTAGTTCGAGTGTACCGTCCACCACCTGCCTAAGCGGTGACTACCAAGGAAATTATCGCATTAATCTTGTCTTTCTTTCACGCTCTCTCTCTCTCTCTTAGTAACGTGTATCGCAATTTTTTGTGCGACTCGCTCGTCTGATAAAAACGAATTGCAAATTTTCATCCGCTGCTCTTGTGATGATAACGTTCAAAGTTAATAAAGTCGAAAGTGCACCATAAATCACGATTTTAAGTGACTGGTTAATAAGGGTCATAAGGTCACCAATCGGGCGACAAGGATGAAAATTCGACCTTCCTTTTTATTGATTTCTCCATCAATCTCGTGCCATGTTATCTTAGTTCAAACAGTTTGCACGTTTTGAAAATTGAATTTAAATTAATATGAAGTGTAGAGCACTCAATTTTTTATGAGATGAAAGACGATCTTAAATCTTTAACTTCAGCTAAAGATTTGGATTTTTGCTTTGAATTTTTAAGAATAATTTTTTTTTCTAACAAGTTATTTAAACAAAAAACAAATCATGAACCGGTCGTTTATCTGGGGATCGGATAAACTTCAACAAATTTTAATTGTGCTTGATTGGTGCAAGTTTCAGAGTGCGTACCAAGGCAGCCGAAGCGCCGTCGGAGCTGTGGCGCTCCCAAAACAACCCCCAATTCAAGTCGCACCACAAGTATGCGTCGTTCTAGCTCCTCACTCCCTATTTTACTGGGATTTGCCTAATTTAAAAATTTGTGTTCTGCTATATTTTCTATTGGTGTGCAAAAACAATCCTCTGTTTCGCCACGAAAAGGTCATCGAATGAGAAGCACACCAGACTGGACGGTGCTTCCGCCTGAAGTTCTGGTCACCGTCTTCGCTCAGCTCCCTATCGCTGACCTCGGGAGGGTTGCCTGCGTGTGCAAAGCGTGGAGCCGAGCCTCGCAGTGCCCGCAGTTATGGCAGAAGTTTGAATTCGTCCTTAGCAATGCCGCAAAGTAACATAATATTTCATTTTTTTGTTGATATTATGATTGATTTTTAACAGTTATTAAAAAATTAATGATCAACTTGAATTATTACAAAGCATTAACATTTAATTATTTTTGTTTTTAAATAAGATTATTAATACATTTTTTTAATTTTTTTTTCATATAATTTTTTTAACAACATAATATATTATTATTTTAATAAATTTCAATTAATATGTATCATTAATTTTTTTTTAATTTAAAACATTTTTCAATTGTTTTGAAACATTATAAATTGAAGTGCATCTTAAAAGCGTTTAAACGTCAGCATTTTTTTAATTTCTCAGGTCTTGCTTGCCAGCAACTTCGACAGCGCTAATTAATTTCGTCCTAAAGAGACATGCCAAGCATCTCAAATGCGTCATCCTCAGGACGGACAGCTCCCTTGAATCGGCGCAAAAAGCGTGTCACATTCTCTCCAGGGTAAAATACCCCTACCAGCTTATTTTGGCTTTTTTTATTTTTTAATGCTAAAATTTGTTATTATTTTTAATTTTTTTTCTGAGCAAGCAATTTGCCTGAAGCTTAAATTTGAAACGTTTCAAACAGTTGGTGAATTGCTCTCTGAAAACGCTGGCGCTCATGAGCTCAGCGCGCCCGGTCTTTCTCGATGTGGACCAAGAGTCTTTCGTATCCGCGCTGACCTTGGTTCTGGACCACTCAAGGGCACTCAGCTCATTGGCAATAGACAACACACCGGTGGACGACCCGTCTCTCAAAGCGCTTGCGTTGTCCAACTCGCGGACTTTGCAGCTGCTGCGAATGAAATCATGTCCAAGAGTTTCACCCGGAGGTAAATAAAAAATAAAATATTTTTTAAATTATTTAAAATTAATTAATATTTTTATCTTTCTGCAGGAATCGTAGCTTTAGCAGACCATTGTAGATGTTTGCGAGAGCTGTCGTTGAGTTATAACCTGTTGAGCGACAACCTCCTCATGGCTCTTAGCTCTGAGGAGCATGTTAGATTGGAGTACCTGAGAATTGACATATATGGCGAAAATGATGCGCCTTTTAAAAGAGTATCACCACATTGTTGGAAGGTATGTATTTTACTATAAAATTAAAGTGATCATTCAAAAAAATTCAAAAATGACTAAAACTCTACCTGAATTTAAATTAAATAAAAAATTTTAATAATAGGCTTTGGTTGAACACTCTCCAAGTATGAATCTGGTGATGTATGTTTTTGTGCTACCTGAGGAGTCACTCGAGTCTTTGTTCACATCCTACATACCGGTGACACATCTTTATTTTGGAGACTCTTTGCCAAAGAGAGTTTTAGCCAGAATAGGTAAGATGAAAAAAAAATAATATGGGAAAACATAGATTTTTATTTCAATTTCCCTTTTTTCAGGGAAACACTGTCCGCGGCTAAGAGAATTAGTTGTTGGGGCCAATGGAAACACTACCATTGACTCGGAATTGCTTGGAGTGGCTACGAATTGTCCGCAACTCACTTCTCTTGGACTAGGTGAATGTGAAGTGAGTATAATCTTTTTTCAGGAGAAAAAAACTCATGCTTGCATTTTTTAAGGTCACTTGCTCTGCCTTTGTTGAATTTGTCAGTCGGTGTGGGCCTAAGTTAAGGCAACTCAGTGTCATGGAAGAGTGCTTGCTCGAAGATGAGTTGCTTGACGTTAACAAAACTTGCAAACGTGTTTCCGAAATCCTAGGGAGAGAGTGGTGCCCCGAATTTATGCCCATTTGGTGAACGCATTAGTGTCATTGCAGTTTATTATAAAAGTAGAATTATTAAATATAATATATGTTAATTTTAATTATTGAGGACAAATTTTCTTATCTGGTCAAAATTAAGTTGCAATTGTCTGTACCTTTTAATCATATTGTGGTTTAAACTTATAAAAAATTTAGCTGTTGATTATAGTTACTTTATTAACTATGGTGGATATAAAAAATATATATATGGAATGACAAAAATAAGGAGCGCTGTACATTATTTTCATATGTTATTATCCTATAAATACGCTTTTAAGGAAAAACATTCGGAGCAGACACGCCAGATGGAGTACGGCGATATCGGCGCCTTTTTGGTGCTCACATGGTGCCTCCTGTTGATTGGCCGCGAGTTTTTACACTTTCATTGGAGTGAACGAGCGAAGGCTGGAAGAGAAACGGGAACGCTGCGGTCGCACCAGCTGTGTCTTCACCGCAAACACAAAAGCTGCCAGTTGGCACTCAATTTATTTTTGCATTGTAACAATAATAGTAAACACCACAATGAGTCCGACTTCTAGTTCGAATAATGTTGGCAACACAAGTGCGATAAAAATTTTGGCCAACATTTTTATCTCGTTCATAGGCGCTGGAATTTTGGGTCTCCCTTACGCATTTAAAGAGGTAAATAAACTAAAGGGCCTAACATTTTCATGTAGTAAAAATTTATCATTTCAATATAGCACAATAATTTTTTTTCTGACGTATTTCTTCAAATTAAATCAATATTATAATAAAAAAAATGAGCTAAATTATTTAAAGATCGCTGGAGCGAATCCAGTAGGACGTAAATGCTTAATAGCTCGTTCTTATTATATTATTAATTATTATGTCATAAAAACTTTATTATGAAGATTTTTGTTAAAATGTTATATTCCTATTGATTTTTATATAGGCTGGCATTATTGAGGGCATCATAGTGATGGTGTCTGTTGCTGTGATCAGCGTCAAAGCTATGATGATGGTCGTTGATTGCAAATACCACATCGAGAACGTTTTGCTTGCTCAAAGCCCCAAAAACAAGCCCCACCGGATCGCTACTGATCTGAATGCCCCACTTCTAGTTGAAGAATCCTCCGACGATAGTGACATAAAATCATCCCCTATCAAAATAGTTCCTCAAGTTCAAACCTATGGAGATATAGGCAAGTATACATTAAAAATGTATTATTATAATTAGGATTAAATATAATAATGATAACTTTAGCGATAATTTTGAAGATTTTTATGTATACTATTTATTAATTTTTTTTATATGATGGCAGGATTTTACGCCATGGGCAACACAGGAAGGGCGCTGGTAGACTATTCAGTTATTATTTCACAAATAGGTAAAATAATTTTTCTTAATTAACATTTTGGAAATTACTGTAGTATATTAAGAAAATTATTATTTTTTAAGGTTTTTGCTGCGCGTATCTTATTTTCATAATGGAAAATGGAGCTTCATATATACCAATGCTATCACGTTTGCATTGGCTAATAATTCTACTGCCCCCTTTGTACTTGCTAGTCCTCCCAAGACATTTAAGTAAATTGGCTATATTCAGGTTTGTTAAATATTGGATTGAGTAATTAGAACGCACGATTATTTTACAATTTTTTTTGTTTGTTTAGCATATTTGCACAAATTTCAAGCATTTTTGCTTTCGCCGTAGTTTTTTGGTTTGACTTCCAGCACTACCACGTAGCAAGGTTCAATCCCAAAGAGTTTTCCATTCAGGGCCTTCCTTTTTACTTTGCCGTTGCAATTTATTGCTTTGAAGTAAGTTAAAAAGTGAAATTTCTATTTTCATGCTTAAACTTTTGTTGCATTTACAGGGAGCGGGTATGATTTTATCGCTCGAACAGTCGGTCGCGCCCAAAGTGCGACACCGCTTCAAGCATTACTTTATCTCGTCGATGTTTGCTGTGACGTTTTTGTACATTGCATTTGGCGTGTCTGGTTATCTGTCGTTTGGGCCAGGTTTGTAGAGAATTTCAGCATTTAAATATTATAATAATCTTGGTTTATTTAAAAGAAACGAGCGATATCATTACTTTCAACTTGCCAAAGGGACCATCAGGCGCTTTTGATTTTCCATCCCTCGTCACATGCTGCCTGTGCGTGTCACTTTTCCTCACATACCCTATTATGATGTTCCCAGTGCTGGAGTTGTTGGAAGCCAGATATATAATCTCAGAGGGCCTTTTAAAAGGAGTAAAATGCTTTTATTTTGGTTCCACGATTTTAATATATTGTGTAAAATTTCAGAATTTGCTCCGTCTTTTTTTGGTTTTACTGACTGGCATGATAGTGATCGTCGTTCCTAATTTTGGAACTCTGATGGCTCTTATTGGCTCCTCGTGCTGCACATTGCTTGCCTTTATCTTACCAGGCATTTTTCACAACAAGCTATTTAAAGGGTTAGCACTTTCAATAAAAATTAAATAACTTCCAGTTATAAAAATAATTGATTTTTTGCCTTTTCAGAAGTTACACTAGTATTATGCAAAAGAGTTTCAATATGTTTCTTATTTGGCTTGGAGTAATTGGAACGGTTGTGGGTCTTTTGGATGCTTTCAAACGGATGGGCCCACATGTTCTTCATCAACATACGACTGAATACCCACCAGTTGTATAATTGTTATATGTCTGTGATAATTGTTCCTGCATCACAAGCTGTGAGAAATTGTGCTTTTGTGGCCACAAAGTTTATTTTTGTGGCTGCCTCTGAATTTAATTATGCAGTATTTATGTGATCTGATTGAATTTTGGCAGCATTTACCTAGAATACTAGTAGTAGAAAATATTTGCTAAAAAAATTCCATACCTTCTTTTAATTTTCTCATTAAGCATTAAAGACTTAATATTTCTGGACTTCGAGTGGGACTACTTAACATAAAATCATAAAAGGTAATATTGTAATTCAGAGGTCCAGAATGACCTCTAAGATCAAAAACAAGCACTATTCAAATGTTAAAATTTTTTACATTATTATTTGAATACTTAAGATAATATTTTCATCAATAAAATATCCCATTGTTGGAGATAATACGTACAAGCCAGTCTGCTATCGCAAGTATACAAATTTTTGTGTTCGTAACAAGTATTATATTTTAAATTAATTGCGTCATGTCTGATAAATTTTAAATAAAAATACACCACTTTTACATGAAGTCTTTTTGTGTTCTAATTATTGAAATAATTACATTTTATTTTAATCAAAACCTAGGACAGGAAACTTTTTTAAATGATCTGCTAAAATTTCTGGAAAAATTGAAAAGAACTTGAAACGCTTTCCCATTTCTTGAGGATTTATCATCATTTCCACTCCACTTTTTAAGTTCTTTTTGTGCTCTGCCGACAACTTTTCATTTTGTAGCAAAAGCTGTAAAATTTAAATATCAACTTCAAGTCCAGTTAAAAATATTTTTGTTTTAAGCTTGTTATATGATGAGAGGCACTTTTCTCTAGGACTGTTTTTTACATATTAACATGCACAATGAAATTAAAAAAAAATAATAATAGTAAAGGGTACTTACATTGAGTCGCACTTCAATGCCTAAGCTTTTCAAAAACTTCTCCTGGGTGACAGGACCAAATGTTAACGCCTTGCTTTTTAAGCACCGACTTAAATAGTTGAAATCTACGTCTGCGGTCAAATCAGCAGACCCAGGATTTAAAAGAGGGTCATGCAGTTGATGATTGCTGAATCCCTGAAAATAATTTTTTCAATATAATTATCAGTCCAGCTATTTTAAAGTCTCACTCTAAATGTGTCTCCTTTTTCACCGTTGTGACCGTAATCAGCAAGGAGCAAAAATCCACCGTCTTCTGTGAAACGATCGGCCAGGTTCTGCAACAATGCACCTGCGGAAGGGCAAATTTCCAGTTCCGTTCTCTTGTCTCCTTCCTGTTTGGGTCAAATTGACATGAAGCAATAATTATGTAAAAACCAAACTATATACTTCTGGCTTGTAGAGTTGCGACATTGGCGTCGGCTCTCTCGAAAGTACATATCGGAAACTAATATCTGGACTATTGGGATCAATGTCTACCAAAATTTCTCTCCATCCTTGCTCAGTTTTCTTAAAAATGTAATAAGTTGCTTTTAATTTGCAAACAAACAATTTTAGGTTACCTTCAGTTTGTGCACCGGCAAAGCATCAAAGAACTCATGGGCAATGACACACGTAAATGCATCATTCGGAACCTCTGAAAGGTGGTGATGCCAAAAAATGGGGCACTCAACCTGAGCAAACCCAGAAGTGATGTTCAACTGTTGTGCGTCATCTTTCCCCAAATTAGCCTCAGAGCACAGCAACTTTGCCTGTGCCTCCCTAAGTTTTTGACTAAGCTCTATTAAATGTACGCTAACTTCTTTAAGCTGGTCAAAGTGCTTGAAAACCTTTAAATTGCAAAATAAATTATGACCTGCGATAAACTCGTATAATCTCTCTTACTCTGAGAATGTCAGAGATGAGAGTGCCTTTCCCAGGGCCTAGCTCGACAAGTTGCATAGGCTTGGGAGACCCTACTTTTTGCCACTCGTTCAAAATCCAAATTGCTATCATCTCTCCAAAAATCTGGCATAGTTCTGGCGACGTAATAAAGTCTCCCTTTGCGCCAATGCTCTCTTGAGTTGGGTAATAACCGGCAGTGGGATTTACAAGCACCTCTTTCATATAATCAGCCACAGTGATAGGGCCTGTGGATTTAATTTTTGCATTGAGCTGTCGAGCCAGGGCGGTTGCCGAAGATTGCACCAAGGGAATGGACGAAGATTGGTATCTGACGAGGCCTGAAATTTTTTAGCAAGATTTGCACTTCATTGAAAATGCCCTTGCGTCGTTACAGTTTCAATTTATTGCAAGTAACACAGTACTTAATCTAAAGGCTGTTAGTTAATTACAAGCTTTACCTGCCACCAAAAGTCTGCTTCTATTCAAGAAGCTGCTCCTTAAGCCAAGGATGCATGTAGGAATCATTTTTGCTCTTTCACATCCACTCAATATTAATAGAAACACGCCTCTCGGCGTCTCTAAACGAAAGAATGTCCGTCTTCAATTGGAGCTTCAAGATTTCTCTCCAGATTTCCTCGCGATGCGTCTTGTTGGATATTCCGATTCTTCTTAATGAATTGTCGTCCAGTCTCAAAAGTGTTCGACCAGTTATATCATGCTGAAAATTTGTTATTCACATTTTAACAACGCAGCCTCGGCCATAGATCAAACTGTCCATATTTCCATGGGAAGCAATTAGTTACTAATGTACACAGAAGCACTGTATTTTGCTTGTGTTAAGAGTACATTATGAGGGAGGGGGGGGGGGGGGAATTTACACAAGAAACTATAGGGACGAGATTAGACACTTCCGTTAAGCGAGATTGTTCAAAACCCAGATTAGAATTAAAGTCTAGTTGGTGAGTATTGTCTCAGAGATCACAGGCTTGGCTTCCGAGAGTTCCGAGAGGTTCGAAGACGGATCTTCTGGGGGAGCTCCAGGAGGGGGTTGACTCGTAGTCGAAGTGACTGTGCCAAAATGAGTCTTCAAGTGCTGATTGAGATTTGTCCTCTGCCTGAATGCCTTCTCGCACACATTGCACTTGTAGGGTTTTTCGTCAGTGTGGATTCGAAGATGCTGCATCAGGTGACACTGCTGTTTGAAGCGCTTGCCGCATTCAAGACATTGATAGGGGCGAGCAGAGATGTGGATGCAGCCGTGCTGGAGGAGTGTGTCTTTCTGCTTGAAGTCCTCTTTGCAAATGGTGCAGTGAAGATAGAGTGGCATTCCTGCTGCGTTACGACCCATTGGGATTAGCTCAGGCAGGTGCTCATCTTTGTTAAAATACTTCTTGCTTTTGCTGCTTGTGGGGACCGGAAAACCTGGTGACAAATGATAACACTTTTTTAGCACAAGTTGTTTAACAAAATGAATTGATTGCATAATAATTTCCAATTAAAAAAAGTGTAATTTAATAAATTTGAATAACGGAGAAACAGATGAAATTGACTTAAGCTCGGTGATTTGTAACCACTTTTAACTTACAATGTTGCTGTCGACAAATAATTCAATACAATTAAAATTGCATTTATAAAAAATAATGAGGGATATTCACATTCTATCTTAGCACCAGCAAATCCCATAAGCATTAGCATCAATTTTGAAATTCAGATTTAATTGAAAATAATAAAAATTAAAGAAAAAATAGATCAATTTATTCCGAAAAAATTAAAAAGGAAAATACCTGTCATGCTAGCCAAAACTGAGGGCTCCATTGCAGACCACTGTTCCTGCTTAGGCACCATTGTAGGGCTAGCCTCCAGGTGGCCGTGGTGGGTCAGAAGATGCTGACCAAGCAAGTGGCGCTGCTTGAAGTTCTTCTGGCAGTATTGGCAAGGGAATGAGCACTCGCCGACGTGAATTCGCAAGTGCTGCGTCAAGTTGCTCTGCTGTCGAAAGCACTTGCCACACTCAGGACATGAGTATGGCTTGGCCCCGGTGTGGATTCGCTCGTGCTGGTTCAGGGTTGCCTTTTGCTTGAAAGCCTTGTTGCAGGTAAGGCAAATGTACGGCCGCTCATCTCCAAGGCGGGTCGGTTTTCGTCCCGGGTGTGGACTGCTGTGGACAACAGCAACAGTAGAAGGACCTCCTTCGACCTTCACTGGCATGAGAGGAGTCAAGTTGAAGCCAGGGTTGGCAAAAGGTAGGAAGGAGGCTGGCGATGAGTAACTAGGCCCCGGAAGTTGGTGGTTGTGAATGTAGGAGCATTCGGACGATGGAGGCACTTGTGCCGTTTGACGATCAGATGAATTGGTCTTCATCCTGCGGGGGGAGTAATTTGCCTCACCTGAGATTTATCAATACTTTCTCATTGATTTTTTTTGTCTAATCTGGGTCTGGTTTCATTTAAGAATTTAGAAAATAATTTAATTTTTTTTATTGATTAAAAAAGAATTGCACTGCCTAATTTTTGTTTATCTAGATAATACACATAACTACAAATAAAAAACGTATTTATACCTCCAAGAATTTTTTCTTGTGCTCGTCGTAGAGATCACTGCAACAGCGGCCCAGCCACCTTTCAACGTCGGATGAGGTCCACAACACAACTGGTTTTGGCCTGGCCTTCAGCTGAGAAAAAAAGTTAAAAATTAACAACTAGCTGGATTACAACAGCAATTAACTATTAGAAGAAAAAATCTAGATATATGAAGCTATAATTATACAACTAATTATTTAAATTTGATGAGTATTATTTTGGTAATTATACACCCAAAAATCAAAAATCTTAGGCTTTGTCGCTGCACTGCATACATAGTTACAGTGCTGTGACTGCACTCGCAGCGACAAGCCTAAAGAGTTCTGAGTGTAAAATAAAAATTCGGATGAAAATTAAATTTTATAATTCATAGGGTTAAAACATCCAGAAGTTAAGGAATTTTCCCTGTCTGGTCAGAAAACTTACTTTAGATTTGGCACTAGTACTCGGGGAAGCAGTATTCTCATCTGCCATAACCTCTGTCTAAATATAATTCATTAGCACGCTGTTTGCGGCACGCACAAACGATACAGACACAACCCTCTTTCGACCCTCAATTTTGTAACTTTCGCTGCCGCCTCTCGGCTATCGACATGCGGACATGATCTTGATCTTACGAGAACAATATCAGACGGCTTTTTATCCTTGTTTTTTGTTCACATTTTTGTTATGTGTGGGGCGTTTTTAGATGTTGAACCAATCAAAGACCGAGTGGAAATAAAGTGCATCGCCCATTGGCTGACGAATGTCGTTCCGAAGAGGAAGTTTCTTAGCGCCACTTTGTGAAAATTACAAAACACTGGTCCCGCGCGCTTTGCTACAAAATTATTTTAGCTGTTATTTTCCTCCGCGTATCAGTCATTTTTTTAGTTACTTTCGTTTCTGCGAAGACTGGTAATAGCTGCTTTGATAATTTTATTAAATAGCAACTGATTTTTAAGCTTTATTACCAAATTCGGCCAAGATTCGAGAAGTAAATTGGTCATCTGGCAGGGTCACGTGACCGAATTTTGCCCGCTCAGCCAATAAGATTTCTCGCTCGACGACCGCGGTTCACAAAGCTTGCCGCTTGAAGTTGCTGTAGTGTTCCGGTGAGTGTAGAAATTGATCGAATTAAACGGCTAAAAAGCTACATAAATTTAATAAAATTCTGATAATTATCTAAAGGAATTCTTCATCTTTGAAATAACTTTATAAATTTCATCAAAATATTTACATGACGGTCACAAATTAGTGAATTGTGAGCCCCTCTATTAAAGGTCGCCATTTTGATGTTGACTTTGGTATTCCAGCCCTTGCAGCGTGCGTCCTGTGTTTATGGTAACTTCTGAAGCCGATACCTGGATGCCCCCTGCGTTGATCGACTCTTGAAAAGAATAAAATGTCGCAAGCGAACACCGTGAATTTGGTCATTCACGACGCCAATGGTATGGAAGTGGTCCATAAATTTAAATAAGGATTATTAGCAAAATAGTTTTGTGTGTCCTGTCTTTGGGTGGGTGGTTTTGCAGAGCATGCTTCATTATTAATAAATTAATTTATTGGTGACGTGTTGGATGTTACATTTTTGTGTAGTTGTAAACCAAGAAAGCAAAGATACATTATGTTCACAAAGCCTTGTCATATTTGTATTACATTCTGGTGGTTTAATTACATAAATTTGCAAAATTACATAAATAATAAAACGTTATTATACAATTTACAATTTAAGAATCAAATTACTTGCGGGATTAAATAATTGTTGGATCAGACACTAGACTTGATGAGTTCTGTGTAGTAAATAATTTGATGGTTTAAATATTTTAATGGTATAATAATATTTCCATGAAGTAATTGTGTACAGGTGGCTCAGTATAGCCTTTTACATAATGATAAATCTTTACACAGTAATAGTACTTGAGCTTAACAATTAAGAAGGTATTAAAAATGATATTTTTTCAGGGCAACCCCAGTTTATCAAAGTTGTGCAGTCATCTGCCGGCACACCTTCAAAACCAAACTTGGTGTCAGTCGGCTCTCCCATTAGTGGACAGTTTAGGACTGTAGTAAAACCACTTCAAGACTCTCCACAATCGGTACTGGCAATTTAATTAATAAATGTATGTCAATCTTGCAATGTATTCTTCCAGTCGGTTGCCACAGTCATTTCGGCAGGGCAAGTATTAAAAACCATTGGAGTCCCCACCCTCGGAAAAAATGTCTCAGGTCAAAGTATGCTCTCTAAAAATTATGTAAATGTATTTTTATCATGATCTATTCTAGGGACGCAAATCCTGACCATTCCGTTCCAGCAAAGTGGTCTTGCTGGCACACCCACTAAACTGCTGTTGAGCACTCCTGGAAAAATTGGAGCAGGTTCTTCTCCTGGAGAGACAATTTTGCTTCCGAAGAATGTAAAAATTGCCTCGCCAGCCAACATTAGGACAGCTGCAACTGTCATTAAATCAGAGCCTTCGAAGGCCATCACTCCAAACACAGTAGCAGCTGAGACGCAAAATGTCCAGCTGGTTGGAGCCAAAATGACACCACTCGGTACTGGAAATAAGTCCTTCATTTCTCCCATACTGGACCACTCCAGGAAGCGCCAACAAGCAGAAGCAGAATATTCTGCAGAATAGTATGAGTTTTTAAATTATTACTATTCACGCTGAATTTTTTATAAAAAAAAAATATTCTAGCTGGGGTGGACCAGGTGCCAGCAAGAGTGCCTCGTCAATACCTGCATCTCACGGTGGGAAGCGTAGAAAGTCTGAAAAGGGTGGAAAAGGTTTGAGACACTTTTCCAAGAAAGTGTGCGAGAAGGTGCGCAGAAAAGGCACAACCAGCTATAATGAAGTTGCTGATGAGTTAGTGGCGGAATTCACCAATCCAGCCAACTGCTTCAGCTCTGCTGATCAGGTATTGGTCTTGGAAAGTTGAAATGTGTGGAATTTCATTATTTTGTTTTAATTTCTAGTATGACCAGAAAAACATACGGAGGCGTGTGTATGATGCGCTGAACGTCCTTATGGCTATGAACATTATCTCGAAGGAGAAAAAAGAAATACGGTGGTTAGGCCTGCCAACAAACTCTCAGCAGGAATGCATCGCTCTTGAAAAGGATAAGATTCGACGTGCTAATGCCATAAAGCAAAAGATGAAGCAGTTGGGAGATCTTATCTTGCAGGTATGTTGATTTTTTTTACACATGATAATTATTTCATAAATATTATCTTGTTTAGCAAATTGCTTTCAAAAACCTTGTTGAGCGCAACCGAAGCAGTGAAAGCTTGTCTGGACCGCCGGGTCCCAATTCCTCTATCCAACTGCCATTCATTTTGGTCCACACTTCAAAGGACACCACAGTAGACTGCAGCATCTCCAGTGACAAGTATGAGTCTAATTTAAGGATTTTTATACATGATGATAATTAACTTTTTTATAGGCGTGAATATCTTTTCAATTTTGACAACAAATTTGAAATCCACGATGATATGGAAGTGTTGAAACGTATGGGTTTGGCACTTGGCCTCGAGAAGGCAGATTGCTCCGAGGAGGATCTGGTCAAAGCTCGATCACTTGTGCCTTCATCACTGGAATCTTATGTTACACGTAGGCAGATTCTAATTTGCAAAATTCATGTAGATTAATTTATTAACTTTTAGAGCTTGCCATGGGCACACTACAGCCCGACTTCCCAGTGGACGTGAAGCCTGGCCCAAGCCTTGCAAGGAGAAGAGGTAGCAAGTTTTATAAATCTCAATTATGGCAAGTTCAATATGTTGTCTTTTTAGCCCTGGGAGATGCCACAGCAGGCGATGAAGATGCCGAAGTTGCAGACACACTGGGAGACATGTCTAGCTTCTCTCAGGGTGACTTGGACGCCACTGGACAGGACACCATGTCACCAACTTTCAATTATTCCGATGGCGATCTTGATTCGGATGGAAGCGATGTAGACATTTAAGAAAAATGGCTAGTTTTTTTTTGTGTTCTTAGCCACTGAAAAAGTATGTGGCTGCAGTTAAATTTGTTTTTCTAACTTGAAATTTTACTGCTGTCGCTTTGATAAGTTTTCTCGAGTGTCAGCCGCCTTAATTTTATTTAGTGTATATATTTGGTGAAAATTTTTAAATATTCATTTATGATTTCAATTATATTTGAGAATAACTGCAGTCTTAAATGATATGTTTACTCACTTGTTTTCTTCAGACGTGTGTATGTAATTTTGCAGACTGAAGGTAACACAACCAGCAAAATGTACAGTTCATTATTTGTGGGATTCCCCATCTATCTTTTGTGCCCATAAGTACAAGGTTCAATCATTTCTAAATACATAAATATGTATATTTTAATTTGCACCATGTAATAATAACTATGAAAACATCCCCCAGTAAAATTGTAAAAAGAGCCGTTTCCTCTTTGCTACAAAGTGTAGTCTCAACTGCAATTTGTGCTTGTGACAGGTGGCAACTTAGTCTGGTAGTTACGAATATTGTCTATTGAGGAGAAACAAAACAATATAACGTTTTTTGATCAACTCTTACATTTTATTTGAGATCCTCATCATCATACAAATCTTCAAAGTCTGAAAATTAGGCATAAAATTATTAAATTCAAGTAGCATTTGTTATTAAAATGTATAAGTACCATTGAAAAATTCAGCATGAACAGCCTTTTCATTGGCAGCCAAGTCCATCAAAAGACCAGTTGATCCCCCTGCCTGAAGATAACATTTTAATATAACAGCAAATTTAATAAACGGAATATTGAGACAATTTCATGATGAACATATTGATGTGACATGAATTTAAATAAGTATGCTTAACATAAAAATATACATAAATAAGACATTAATGGTGGCGATTGTTGGTATAATACATAATTATAATAATACCGAATAATACATACCTCTTCTAAATCCATGTATGGACCAGCACCTTCAGGAAACATTTCATCAGCAACTAGGATTGGCTTCATCTTGCTTTTGACTTCAATTTTGTGTTTTGCCCAGGTATTAACGTTCTATAACATGTTCCAAAAAATTAATTTTCTTTAGCTCAGTTTACTTAAATATATATATAATTATTGCTAAATTGGGGTCATGCAAATTTCAAAACAAACCTTAAAACGATTGGTTCTAGCTGCAAACTATTAGTAAATTTGTATGAAAGATACCAAAGCACTTCGCTTATATCGCTTAATATTTACGATGTTGCTGTAATTTTTGGTCTGTATTTTTTGATCAGCAGCTTCTTCAGTTCTCAATAAGAAATTCTAGGCTGCTGCTTCTACTACAGGGCGTAAAAACTTATTAACGGATCTAGTTCAGTGATGCAAGATCCCAGTCTCTCTTTTTGTGATCCAGTTTAATACATATCAAGTTCATGAAATAAACAAAACTGAACAAAACAAAGAGGAATGGATAGAGTTTTGTAATGGACTTAAGAGCATTTGGGATTTGGTAAACTAAAATTTGCATTTTTCATGCTAATTCTTATTTTAAAATCAATTTAAATTAATTTCATAAAATTTATTAATTTATGATGCATTTAATGAACTTTAATATCATTAAACCGTCTTATCATACAAAATTTGCTTTGTTCCTATTTGTACACCCTTCCCTGTTGATTAAACTCTTGCTCGAACCACGCATGTGCAATGGAAAATTTGTTTTCTTCGACCAATCATCGTGCGTCCAATGCCGGCTCCGACAAGAACTTCTTTGGGCTCCGATTTGCTGCAACACTCGGCGGCATAATCATGTGATTTTAAAAATATGACAAACGTACAAAAAGTACAAAAACGACGATCGAGCATCGAGCGAGCCCAACACCACTTTTGTCTTCTCGGTGTTTACATTTTGATTTTTGCATAACATTGATAGACGCAGCAAGCATTGTTTTTCAATGTCATTGATTTTTTCTCCGAGTCGCCCGCTCAACCCAGCATAATATTAAGGTTTTGGTTAATTTAAGAACTAAAAATTTTTAAGCCATGTGTCTGGATCTGATGTGCTCCCTTGAATAAATCGCAAGACGCAATTCGGCTTATTTATGACAGAAACTAAACGGATCTGATGTAATTTCGTATGTTTCAGATGTCTGAGAGCTTGCAGGTCGCTGTTCGTGTACGCCCGTTGAACGAAAAAGAGCGAGAAGATGCCAGACAAGAGTCACTCACAACGTTTGGCAAAGTCGTTAGCGTGCGAGATTCGGAGCAAACATTTTCTTTCACCGAAGCGTTTGGACCAAACAGCACCCAGGGCGAGATTTTCAGCAAATCTGTTCTTCCACTTCTTCCGAATCTCTTCAGAGGATTCAATCTGACCATCCTGGCCTACGGACAAACTGGATCTGGCAAAACCTACACGATGGGTACATGTGGAGGCGACGGACCTGACGCAGGAATGATCACAAAGTCCATTGCCTACATTTTTAACCAAATCAAATCAACCTCTGACTGCGAGATTAGCGTCTCAGTTTCATTTCTTGAGGTACCATTTTCAGGACATTTTTATATAATTCAATGTTATTATGAAAGTGATATCTATGTAATGATTGCTAGTTGAATTCCTGAGAATTTGCTTGGCCAACTAATGGAGTATCAACGGAATACTTATTTTAATTACATTTCAGCTGTACATGGAAGAGTTCAGAGATCTCCTTGCCACTGCAAACTTTGCATCAAGCAGTCCACTTGATATTCGGGAGGACGCAACAGGTAGCATTGTTGTTCCAGGCCTGACAGAGATCGCCGTTGCCAGTCCTGACGAAACACTCTCTTGGCTTGCCCAGGCAAGTTGCAATATTTAGAATTTTAATTTTTAATAATTACTTTCATCAGGGCTCACAATACCGGAAAACTGGTGCTACTGCTATGAACGTTGTTTCAAGCCGAAGTCATGCAGTATTCACCATTAAGCTGGAATGCAAATATGAAGATGGGTACGTTTGCGGAAAACAATTCAAAATGTATTTGCTAATATCATATTATTCAGATCACCAGCCACTGTCAGCAAATTTTCTCTTGTTGACTTGGCAGGTTCCGAGCGAGCCAAGAAAACAGGCACAAGTGGGGAGCGTATGCAAGAAGGAATTGACATCAATAAGGGACTTCTGGCCTTGGGAAATGTGATCAGTGCTTTGTCTGAGCAGAAAAAAGGCAGACACATTCCATACAGGGACAGCAAACTTACTCGTCTCCTGCAAGGTAAAATTTCTAAATTATTTAAACAGATTTTTAAGTATCACAATATTTGACAGACTCTTTGGGTGGAAACTCGCATACCTTGATGATTGCCTGTGTGAGCTCAGCGCCAAGAAATCTTCAGGAGACTCTGAGCACTCTACGTTACGCTACGAGGGCTCTTAAAATCAAGAACAAACCTGTGGTCAACGCTGACCTGAAGGCGGCTGAAATAAGTGAACTGCAGACTCAGGTGATTTGTCAATAAATTTTAGGGTTGCATTTATCTAATGCGAAAACTTGACAGGTCAAGAATTTACGCAACTTGTTAGAACAAGAAAAGCTTACTAAGGCCCGTCAGTTGTGCCCACCTGGTCACCAGAGGTTGATTTCTCTAGTGAAACAAGCAATCTCTGATGAGTCTGACAACGAGACTATTTTTGAAAGGATTAAATGCTCTTCTCCAATGACTAAAGATTATTTGGTATAAACTTTTCAAAAAGTATTAATCAATAACTTACTGAGTAACTTTTAGCGCCATATTGGCATCGTTATTGATGATACTGAGGATGAACAAGACGTGTACCACAGTCTCAGCCCATCTCACTTTCCTGGAGAGTGCCCTCAGAGCCCAACTGATAATGTGACTTCAGCAGAAGCTGAGCAAGGCTATGAACAACACCAGATGCAGTTGAACATGGAACTTCAGGTGCAGATATTTTATTTTTACCCAAAATATATTGTTCACTGAAATTTTTATAGGATATCGAGTCCGAACTTGAATCAAAAGAGGCGCAAATGAAGGAACTGTCAAATATGTCCATAGTTGAGTACGAAGAGAAGTGTTTGAGCCTCCAGCAGCAAGTGGAACAGTTGCAACTGCAGAAATGTACCTTGGAGAAACAGCTGGAGGAGTTGCTAGGTTCAAACTCAAAGGCATCAGCTATGTAAGGATTCTAACCACAGAACCAAAGGCGTTATTTATTTATGACTCTTTTAGGCTTGCTGAGCAACGGCGGCAGCAAATTAAAGAATTGGAAAGGAAAATCTCACTGCAAAATAGAGAGTTAGCTGAAATCGCAAGGCTGAGACAAGAAAAGAAGAGAGACACCGACAAAATCACTGGTCTCAATAAGGATATTCAGGTTTTTAATTCTTGATTTCTATTTTTTCAATGCTTAAAAAAATTATAATAGGGCTTGAAAGCGGCCAAAGTTAAATTGGCAAAGGAAATTAAAAAGAGTGCTGAAAATTACCGTACCTGGAAATTACGCCAGGACAGAGAAGTGGGAAAATTGAAGGAGGCCGCTGTGAAAGGGAAGCATCAGTTGGATAAGCAAGCAAGACTTCATGCTAGACAACAGAATGTCTTGCAGAGAAAGGTAAAAGTTTGAAATAAATAAATAATTTTGATCCTTTAATAAAATGTCTTAATTTCAAAGTACGAGGAGGCTTTAGCAGCAAACAAAAGATTGCAGTCCATGATTGGTAATCAGAGACACAACTTTACCATGTCCACAACGCATCGCTCAATGCTGCAGAGCAATACAGACAAGCTGATGAAATGGCTCTTGAATGAAAAGGAAATCGAAAAGAGCAAAGCCATTCACAGAGAAGCTCTTGACCACTTGTTGAATGACAAAGATAGGCTGACAAAGAAAAAAACTGATCTTTTGGTAAGAAACTAAACAAACTCATACGAAATGTTTATTTATAAGGAAAATTTAGAATATTAAATGCTGGGAAGATCCGTCGGCCCGCAAACAAAGACTGAAAGATATGCGCAGCATTGATACACAAATCAACACCCTTGACAAGCAGATAATTGAGTTGGAGAAACTGGTTTCAGCAAATGCTGGTAATTAGCTCCACAATGCCATTTTTTCTATTCAATATTGACATTTCAAGGCGAAGGAAATAATACGATGGCACGCTGGACGGTGATTAGCAACTTGAGTGATGCAAGATTTGTGATGGAGAACCTGCTGCAGTCTTACATCCAAGCAGATAGGGAGCTTGCAGCCAAAAAGGAGCAGATGAATGAGTTGGAGGAGACCACAAGCAACGAGAATAAAAAGCTCCGTGAGCAGATCAAACAGCTTACTGCTGCTCCTGAAAAAGAAGTAAAATATCAACTTACATTCAGCTTATTTTAATTAATAATGTTAAAATTTAGGAGGTCGTCGCTAAGGAGGTGAGCACGCCTAACCAACCTCTTGCTGCTGCAAATCCTTCCAGAACATTTAATCTTAACTCCATGGTGAAGAGCAAGAGGGTAATTAATTAATTCGAGTTTATTTCCAAATTTTATCATTTAATGCAAATTTTATAGAAAACTGTCTTCTTCCAAAATGATGATGATCTAGAGGACTCTGATGCGGATCTTACTCATGATGACATTGACAAAGATCCAGATTGGAGAAATACTCCCTTCCTCAAACTCGTAAGTATTAAATTTTCTTCATTGTATTACCTAAAAAAAAAAAATCTAAACATCTGGAAATATATGATATTTCTTGTTTCAATAGCTGCGTTCAAGAAATTCAAATTCTGACGATGGAAAGTCTGAAGAGCCAATGGCGCAAAAGAAGATCAGCTTTGATGGGCACAAATGTAAATGCTCTGGGAACTGTGACACTAACCGATGTGGTTGCAAGAAGAATGGCGAGTTTTGCTCAGAAAATTGTGTCTGCAAGTCCAGTGGTTGCCAGAACCGACTTAGAAATGAAGAGGTGAGTCTACAAAGTTCACTAAGTGTTATTCGATTGCAAAAAAGAAACTCAATTTAATTTCTTGATGCCACCTAAAATTACTATTTTTATTCACTGCATCTAATTATTTTTATTTGTCTCGTAAAATAAGAACAAAATAATAATTTTACTGTAAAAAAGGAGGAGGATTCACACGAGATGCTGAACAGCACTCCTCTCAATACCACTTTTGAGGTTAAAAAGAGAAGTTCAAGTGAAAGGTAAAGACAAAGCAAGTCTTATATATGCATGCAGCTGTAGATATTAGCTCAGGAGTAGCATGTGTATTTCTGCATTCTTTCCAGTGCAGCTTATATAATTTATTAAAATAAACCAAAATAGTCCTTCCAAGCACCTTCCTTATTTTCTTCAGCAATCCCAATCTGACCCAAGCCTCTGCATTTTGGTGTTTTTAAAAATCGCCTTATATGTGATAAATGAATCTAAGATATTTTATTTTATTTGCAGCAATATTAGGGAAGAGATGGAAAAGCCACCGAGGAAGAGAAGAATGTTCTCGTCTGTTAAAATCGAGTTTGATTTGTAGGGTGAATTTTTTCAAAATCAATCTTAATAGCCACATTTAAATGATTACTCTGCGCATTGACAACAGCTCTTCATAATTTCTTTTTTATGTACACTTTAACTTAATTGATTCAATATAATAAATTGATACATTTTATATTTTAAACTTAATAAATATCTTATTGTTAGTCTATTTCTGAAAAAAAGCATTAGTGTCGGTTAATTAAAATATATATGAATTTTGCATGTTCTGGGATACATAAAAGTTAGGCATTTCCGCATTTGAAAATTTTTTAAACGAACCCATTTTATTTAAAAACTTTAAATATTCAATTCCGTTTTATGACCAGTTCAAGCTGGTATATTATCATTTTTTTCTATTCATTATGAAAATTAGAATTTAATGTACTAACGTAGCAAAATACATGAAATATTCAAAATTTATAAATTTGTGCGTGGTGGTAATAAAATGAAAATTAAAATGAGGACTGCGCGTGAGCTGAGAAATTGCAAAAATGAAAGTTCGCGCGCAAATGATAAACTTCGAGGTGGTCGTTGCCTATTGGTCTAAAAGAATCCGGTCCCATTGGTTGGTTGGATCGCTGTTTTGTGTTATCAAAACGGATAATAAAATAAACATCAGCCGAGCTGCTGTCGCGAAAGGAACCACGTATGCATAGCAGAAATTTTGCATTTTGGTGACATTTTACATTTGTTGAACTTCTGAAAACACCGTGATTTGATTCATCAGATTCTCTGCACTCTTGGTAAGATATCTGAGGTTGTAAAAGTTATGATTTTGGTGTCAATTTTCTCCTTGCCTCCATCGCTTTCTCCTTGGATTCTCTTCTGAAGTGAGACCTCTCAATGAAAATATGAACACAAAAGTGACCCAAATTTAATTGAAAAAAATTTCAATGCAAAATATAACTTGATAATATGATGTCATAAATCTTTCCAACGTTTATAAATAATTATTATGTATGTATTATCTCTTGTTAGCTTATTTTTCATAGTAAATTAATTCATATTTGTTGCAAACAAATTACTGACAAATAATCGAGGCTTTTTCTATTTTCAAAAAATAGATCGACACAATTATGGAGGAAGACGGATTTGATCCATGCGAGTGCATTTGGAACCATGAAATGGCCATGCGTCGACTTTTATCTATTGTAAGACATTAAAACAAAATTATTTCCCTATTTTGCTTCTTTTTTATTGTAATCAAGCGGCGTAAAAGTATTTCAAACGGTATTTTTTTATAATGTATTATGATTTTTACAGCTACGTCAAGGGCAGTCTTACTGCACAGATAATGAATGCGCCGATGAATGTAAGTTTAATTAATAGTTGAGAAAGTAAAATAAAATTATATGTATTATTTTACTTAAATTTTAGGACACTAAAATTTAAAATCACTACATAAAACAATAAATATTATAGCTCGCAAATGTGCATGAATATTATTATATGTATTATTTTAATTTATAAAAATTTCAATTTTTAATAAATGATTTATATTTTTGTAATTTATATTTTTTTTGTTACAAAAACCACTTACATATCAAATACATAGTTTTTCGCTTATTTCTAATGAAGTTTATTTTCAGTACCTGGCTTGACTGGGCCACAAACAGCGGGAGGCAATAATGGAGGTCTGTTCCTGATGATGATGTGCTGGGTGTTGCTGGCAGTCGTTTTGTACCTGATGCGACCGGGTTCCTTGCGTAGATCAGCACTGGATTCAAAATCAAATAATGACAACTCGGTATTTCATAATTACTAAAAAAATTTTAAGTGACGGCTTTGCTTAAAGTGTTTTTTTTTTTTTTATTATTTAAGGGCCAGCACGATCATCCACCACCAGGTCCTGCCCTGATGTAATGTCGACCCAGTTTACCTAGCCAGAGAAAATTGATCTAAAATCAGTGTGGGTAATTTCTGTGAATTTGCATGTGATAAATTGCAATGATTAGTCGGCACGATGGCGATATATTGCATTTCAAGATAATAATTATGTTTTTTAAATTATGAAAGTAATTAGTTTCTCCAGACAAATTTTATTTAAACCGACCAATATCTGCGGTGCATTTTACCTCTTTTGAATTGAACCAAATAATATTTCTTAATGGGAATCTCCTAATTATTCTAATCCAAAACAATTAGGTTACAGCAAAATAAATAATATATAAAAATTATAGATCCTCTACTCAAAGTGTAAATATGTTGTACCTCAATAATTATTACTGTAACAAAATTTCCAATAAAATTTAATTAATCAGGCATTTATTTTTGTAAAGAAGATAAACTACCTTGAATTTAAAGGATAAAAATGTTATGTTCATACTTTATTACGATCTCATCAAAATAACAGCATGTTTGCAAAATTACTTTCAACTTCTGACCCCAATGGAGGACTCTTCAAACAGTACCGATTTCATGCAAAGTGAGCTTCATTGTTCAAACAGTTCATAGTCTTCCTGACCTTGTTGATGATGCCTTTCATCTTTTCATATTTGCCAGTTGCACCGGGCAAGTTTTCAAAATTCAAATGTTCGCTGACGCCCTGCAATTTTTTTTTTAATAAATGCCCATTATTACTTTGTTAGCTTTTACTTGTGAAAACTTTTCGGCGGTAGGAAGTTTTTCAAAAGGAGTCCAACTTTCAACGACTGGTGTCCCAAGAGCTGTCGACATACTCCTACCTATTGATGGCTCAGGCGTAGCACACACAGAGACCACAGAGTTGTCAATATTGGGCTCTGGAGATTTGGGTGGGGATTGGTCTTTTACCACACCCACATTCAACTCGTCCAATATCATTAGTTTGTTGGCCTCCAAAATCTCCAAGTCTGGTGAATCAGGTTTTTGTTCAACAGCAGTCTGGGGGATCTTTCCAATAATAGTTTGGTTCACTTAAAAGGTACATAAAGGGAATTCAAAAGTGGTACCTCAACAGGGGATTCTGGAGATTCATCAGAGTTACTGGCTCCAACACTATCCAAAATGACCACTTCATCTGAATATTTATGGTTAAAAAAAAATGAAAATGTTTTAAAAAAGACATCAGCTACCGTCAAGCCGTTCAATATCCATGTCATCATTTTTAACTTCAGAGCCACTATTACTTTTTCTGTTTTCTAGCTTCTTTGTCACGTAGGGCTTTGACTGGTTACCACCAATCATTTGAACCATGGCATCCTTGCTGAAATTCCAGTCCATTGGTGGCATTCCCAACATTCTACTCTCCTGCAAAAAAAAAAAATCAATTGAAGTTTGATATTTTTCACGGTAAGTTATTACATCAAAGGTTCCTCTCGGGCAATGGGTATTAAATCCAGGGTAATCAACAATTTTGCTGACATCATATGCATCACCTTGGGTTTCTTCTGCTTCATTGGATTCTAAATTTTTATATAATCAATTGAGAAACATAAATCATTAATGAAACAAATGATTTACGTGATGCTGAGTCTTCGATTAAAGAGATCCCAGAATGGCTGACCTTAGCCTCTTCGAGCCATCCAGGTGGATACCCAAAAACTCTCATGCGATAAATGTGTATAGGCAGCTGGTTGGGGCGAAGACCTAGTGCCATTCGCAATTCCTCACTCAGGTGGCCAGGACGGTGGTCGCAAAACTTTTGCTCCTCGTCAATGTGGTACCGGCTGAAAACAAATATTTTGTATTTGTATTTAAGTTTTATTCTTTGCAAATCAATATAATTAAATATTCAGTTAAACCCACCTAGTCCTCATGGTTTGATTCGACCGCCTCTCGGACATGAATTTGGCCCTTCGTTCTGAGACAACCTTCTCATCTATTGGCTTCGGACATTCACTGATTAAATGTTTTCCGTCGCAGTTGAAGCACGAGCCTCCAGATTTTTTTTCTTCTTCCTCTTGTTCACCAATTTGACCGTCGATAGTTTTAAAAGACTAAGCAAAAGATGATTTGTTCAGTAAAGAATCCACTGGACTTTTTCTAACTCCACCTGCTGATATGAAGGCACTTGCCATCGCAGGGCAGCTGTTATTGGTTCTGTGTCCAAAGTAAAAATTTGGCCCTCAAGTCGAGTGACTTCTTCGTTCAAGTCGGATTCTCTAATTATGATTTCAAGTTTTTCAGATCCTCTTGAATTACTGCATTCAGTGGCACTGGGCGCAGAAAGTATTTGGATCAATGCCTCCTTGATAGCTTTGCTAAATGAACTGAAAAAAAAATGGAATTACATTTGATGAAGAATAAAAAGAGTGATATTCCTACTCAGCAACTGTTTGGTCAGAAAATGTAATCTTAACAAGAGATTTGCCAAGATCGCCTTTTTTATGTTCAGTGATCTGACTGAGACCAGCAAGAGAATCCAGTTGTTTTTTATCCTTTTCTCGATTGTTTCTGGGTGGTGTCGACTTTTCATCGTCAAGATCAACAATCTCAATTTCTCTGCTTCGTTTTTCATTGTGCATTTCCAGGACTTCTGGTTGCACAACCGGCTGGTACAGAGGTGTCTCAACAAGAGATGAAAAGCTTGGGAGCTTTGAGGTCACAGAGGCGGACACTTCGTCAGACTTTGCCTTCTTTGTAGGACTCGCATCCTCTTCATCCTTTGTAGCCTGCTCACCATCTATCGAAACTTCAGCTTTGTCATCTCCAATAATTTGAACATCGTCGTCCAGCTTGCGTTTCCGCATGAGGTCGTATTTGTTTCGCATTTCATTTATCTTGGACCTGGCACTCTCTATGTCTTTCTGTTTTTCTTGCCTTGTTGCTTCGGCTAATGAAGATTTATTAGTTTGTACCGCGTCTTCCATTTTCAATGCAAATTCCTTTTGACTCCTAGAAATGAATAAATTTACGAGGGTTGAATTAATTTTTATTACTTTCATGTACTTATTTATTACTACACAATTTTGCAAAGTGAATTTTCAGATTTTATATTGAAAGACAGTTTACACTAATATTTATGTAATGTATTTTATTATCGTAAAACTCTCACCTAAAATTTCTTCGTATGGTTAATACTAGCTACTTTGACATCTATTGAAAAATTCTCGATAATTTTCCATGAATAAAATAGCAAAATTCTTATAGAAAGGTGCGGAAATTTCTAATCTGCAGATAGCAAATTATAGCTACACAGAAAACATTAGTGTTGTGCTGTGCACTGTGCAGCCTCCACCAGAAAACATGACGGATCGACTCGGCAGGTGCTGCCACCGTACGGACATCTAAAGTGGGCAGGGCACGTCTCCCTCCTCCCTCGTCTCGAAAACACCCCGTGGTTCAACTCGTGTTCTGGCTTTCGTTGACACCGGTGTAAAATTTTGCCCAATTTGACCAGCACCTAACTTTACTGGCCATGGCAGAAGCGGAGGTATTGCATCCCACGAGTTGTGTTTTCGGACGCCAGCCTCATTTTCTTAATTTCAGCTCGCTTCAGCACTAAAAGATCTGCCGATTCGTATACAGACCGCCAGCCGCAAAGATAGGAAGGCGACGTTCAAGGCCCTGGTCGCCGTGATTGAAAACCCAGGTCAGATTTAAATTGAAGCTAATTTATTTTAATGAAAATAAAATAAACTAACCTTTTAGGCTTTGAAAATGTCATCAAAAAGCTCTGCAAGCTCCTGCCAACAGTGCTGCTTCGATACGAAGACAGCAAGTCGCAAGTGTTTGTCAAAGTTTTCTTGGCTGCCCTGGTCAAAACACATGAAGAAGCAACTCTGAAAAGTCTTGTGCCGGTTTTACTGGAGACGGCTAACAATTTCAACTCTGTCTCCCCATCGTAACATATTACAAAATTGCAATGCTCATCAAAATTAAAATTTCCAACTTTTTTTATAGAAAAAACATTGCACAAACATCTCTATACGCGCTTGAGTGGACCTGCGTTTTGCTGAGGAATTCATCGAAGCTAGCCGTCGGGCCAGATTTGGCAGGTATCCTGGCATGCCAAGCACAGTTTCTCTGCTCAATTGTCAGCGGAGGTGGAACTAAAGCCTCAAAGAAAGCTGAGCACATTCTCTTTGTGACATGGTCGGCTGCCAAAAGTGGTGATTTTTATGATTGAATAGGAAATTTTATTATGTAATTAAAAAATAAAAATGCAGGCAGCAAAGATGAAAAACTGCATCAAATTTGTTCCGAGCAGCTGAAAGAGGCGGTCAAGGCAGAGGAAGGCAACATCGCCATTGTGGTTTACGGCTCTTATCTGGCCAGATATTATTCAGAATTGAAGACGACTGAAAAAATTGCAGATTTCAAGGTTTGTTTAGTGCACTTCCAATTTAATATTTTTATTTATATTCTCAACCGCAGGCTCCCTTGCTTGAAGTATTTGTGAAGAGTGCTGTGACCTGCAAGCAAGTTGCTCGAATTGATTTAGTCAAGGCCTGTGCGCCATTCCTCAGACACCTGACCCATGACGACCTAGGCAGCGTCCTTCTCCCAGCACTGCAGCGAGCTTTGCTCAGATCTCCTGAGACAGTTCTTTCCAGCATTGCATGCATTCTTAGTGCTGTTTCCCTTGACTTGAGTCAATACGTCAAGCCGTCTGATTCATCAAACATTACCAAAAGCCTTTCAAGTATGTCATTTTGAACTTAGTAATTGCAATAATATATTTATTTTTTTATAGGCCTTCTATATTCCAAGCAAGATGATTTAAGAGCTAGTGCTGCCGAGGCTGTGAAAAGCGTCTCTCAACAGTGCAGCAACTCATCTGCTGTGGAGGACTTGCTTGTCCATTTGTTTGGAATTCTTCAGGGCTCGGAGGGAAAATTGTCGACAGCTGATATGAAAATGAGCGTACTTCAGGTTTGTAAATTCTATGTAAAATAAAAAATGTTTTATATAATAAATCTACAATGGCATTTTCCAATAAGCTAATGCTCAGCTCAATGCCCAAGGGTTTATAAATTAATCTGAAGCCCAATTTTCTTTTTAGGGTATTGGAAATTTGAGTTCAAATGCAGTTACTGGAAGCAGCGTCCATCAACTTTCTTGCAAAGCGGCTGAATGCTTTATCAAATCTCTAGAAATTGAAAGTAATTATTAGCTACCTTTCGGTAAGTTCATAAAGTAATTTCATGCCTCTTTTTTTAGTCCATGAAGGAACTTTGGTGAAGATTCTTGAGATGTACTCCTTGTGGTGTGCAAAATTTGCTAACAGTGTGCCTAAAATTGTGATCGATTGGTTCATCGTAAGTAAAGAAATTGATTTTATTTATTTGATGAAATAATCATATTCAATTTTTAGAAAGGGCCAGAGCTGAAGACAAGCACTTCATCTGTTCGAACTGCGTACATTGAATGCATGCTGGTGTGCTTCCATGGGAACACTCTCAACCAGGCCGCAGAACTTTTGGAGCCACTTTTAAAGAGAGTGGAAAAAGCTTCTGCTCAAACTACACAGCAAGCAGTGGTAACTGAGGGCCTGGCAGCTGCTTGTCTAATTCTGAAATTAGCCGCAGCTGATGTGTCGGTTGAGTCAAAATTAAATTCTTTCTGGTCCATCGTGTACGACATGGACCGGCAAATTTTCCTCTCCGAGAAATTCCTTACACAGAGCACTGCGTCCACCTTAAATCTAGTGGCCCAATATTGTGAGCGTCTTCTTAGTGCTCACAAAAAGAGTGAGACCGAACTCAAACCTGTCCAGCATGCTCTTCTTTATTGTATGACTCACAATGATCAAGGTGTAAGGCAGCAGACCAGAGCCCTAGTGAAGAGACTTGTGCAGTCTCTCGGTGGCGTCAAATTGGCCTGTCAGCTACTGGAGGAGTTGAATGATTTCCTAGAGAATCTGCAGCCAGACAAGGAAAATAACTCTGTGGACACTGGTGGAGGGGTCGAGGGGAAGGGAGCTGGAGAAGTGAGTGCCAAGGTGTATGTTGACTGCATCCTGGCAATCTGCTCCAGCTCCAAAATGGCAGAGGACGCTGCGGAGTTGGCGCTTAGCGGACTGCTGAGCTGCCACCACCAACTGGTGTCCTCTGTTGATTCAGCGCTCTGGCTGAAACTTTTGAAACATGCCAGCGTGTCGCCCACCAAGTTCATTGAAGCAAACGCTGAAGAGCTGAGGCGCAGACTCATTGTCGAATACAAGAACAAGCCATGTTTTTTCAACGCATTGAAGTCGGTCATTTCGGCAGGCTGGGCATTTGTGCTTCCAACATTGGCCGAAAAATGTCTGACACAACTCGCAGACTCGGCATTGCTTAATGTGACTCTGACAGATTACCAGATCTATTTGACTCCAGAAGGTGAACTTTACGACAAGAGCGTTGTTTCGGTTGATCAGAATGATGGTCTGATCAACGCCAAGAACATGAAGAGAGAGTCAAAGGCCTACTCATACAAAGACCAAGTGGAAGAAATGCAACTAAGGAAGGAACTGGCTGAGAAGAAGAAGAAGCAGGGCGTCAAGGTTGAACCAGAAATGAGCCACAAGCAACGAGAGGCCATGCGGGTGCAGCTTGAGAAGGAGAGCGCCATACGCAACCGACTTGCCGTTTTGAGCGAGTCTCTAGCTAGCACCATCTCTATGATTGATTCCGCCATTGAAAGCAAGCCAGAGGCATTTTCTTTCTACTTCAAAGACTTGATTCCTGTTGTTCTTCAAACCTTGCAATCTCCTTTGGCCGCTCCAGCCACACACTTGCTTTTCATCAGACTGGGTGAATGCGTGTTTCCACGTAAAAGCGGCGGATTGAATCAGCTTGTTGGTTACACCACGCTTAGAATGCATTTGCCCAAATGCATCATCGACCACGAATGGCAACAAGAAGATCTGTTGCTGGCTGTGCAGAGGACAATTGCGCTGCTCGACAAAGCCATTTCACGAAAGAGAAAGGGAGACGAGATTCAGTCGGGTGTCTGTTTGAGCGCCCCAGCATTCTGCTTTTGCTTTCCTTTGATAAGAGCCTCACTTTTGTCCATTGACCTTGGCATCAGGAGCAAAAACCCAAACGAAAACCTGATCAACATGGGCATCCACTTCATATCAGAGCACGCTAAGATGAGGAGTGGCGGCGCTGACGACTTGCACGATCCCACCCTGCTTCCGAGGAAGAACATGTTTGATTTGCTGATCGACATCATTGGAGAAACAAGCAGCCGGCTGCAACAGTTGGCCTGCAACACCCTCATTGACGTGGCCATGTCTGGCTCCGGCAACCCTGGCTGTGCTCGAGCCAGAGAGGATGAAGTTAGAGCACTCATGACTGCTCTGCAAAACCCTTTGGCTGTGATTAGGGACTCAGCAATCAGGGCGCTTCTAACCATGGAAAAAGCTCTTCCCGGACCAAAAGATGACCTTAGTCTTGAGCTTCAGAGGCGCTTGTATGTTGCCTTGTATGACGTCTGCAATGAAAACAGGTTAGTTTAATTAAAAAATTGCAATTTTAATTTTACTAAATATAATTTCCTGAGTTCTAATTTTAAACTAATTTCAGAGAACCTGCTGATCAGCTGTGGAAGGCTGCAAAGTTGCAAATCAATCACGAAAAGCTCTGCCCTGAACTACTTAAGGACATTATTCATCCTGTAGATGAAATTCAAACAGCCGCTGCTGAAGCTTTGGCTGAACTCATCAAGCAGCGCACCTCTTTGCTCAACGGAGTGCTGCAAGAACTGCTACTCATTTATGAAGATAAGCTGGCCATGACCCCGCCCCAGCTGGATGACTTTGGTCGTGTGATTGTCGACTCCATTGATCACTGGGAGCCAAGAAAGGGGGTTGCTATGGCCCTCCAGCAGCTCGCTCCACTTCTCACGCCAGTCTTTGTGTCAGAACTGGCAGAATTTTATGTCTCAACAGGTCTGATGGACCGCAACGAAAACGTCCGGAAAGCAATGTTGGCGTCCGCCCTTGCAGCTGTGGATCTTCATGGCAAAGAAACTGTCAGCAGTCTTCTGCCAACTTTTGAAGAGTTTTTGGATAAAGCACCCAATTCTAGCAACTATGACGCTGTTCGCCAATCTGTCGTGATCTTGATGGGTTCATTGGCCCGACATTTGGAATTGACTGACCCGAGAATCAAACCAATCGTGCACCGCCTCCTCAACGCTTTGACCACTCCATCGCAACAGGTGCAAGAAGCCGTTGCAAACTGCCTGCCACCCCTGATGCAGGCTGTGAGCGACGACGCTCCAGATATTGTCAGAGGACTTTTCCGACAACTTTTGGAGTCTGATAAATACGGCGAGCGGAAAGGAGCTGCTTACGGCTTGGCCGGAGTGGTGAAGGGCCTAGGAATTCTTGCCCTGAAGCAACTGGAAATCATGGCCACTTTGACTGAAGCCATTCAGGACAAGAAAAATTACCAGCACAGAGAAGGTGCCCTGTTTGCCTTTGAAATGCTTTGCAGCATGTTAGGTCGTTTGTTTGAGCCGTACATTGTTCACGTTCTGCCCCACTTGCTCCTCTGCTTCGGAGATCCCAACCAGTACGTAAGAGAGGCCACAGATGAAACGGCAAAGGTGGTCATGAGCAGACTCTCCGCCCATGGAGTCAAACTTGTGCTACCCTCATTGCTGGCAGCTCTTGAAGAAGATTCGTGGCGCACGAAAACTGGCTCCGTCGAATTACTTGGCGCCATGGCCTTCTGTGCGCCAAAGCAACTGTCATCTTGTCTCCCTAGTATTGTTCCCAAGCTGATTGAAGTCTTGAGCGACTCTCATGTAAAAGTGCAAAAGGCAGGCGCGCAGGCTCTTGGGCAGATTGGTTCTGTCATCCGAAATCCTGAGATCCAAGCCATCGTCCCAGTTCTTCTGGAAGCTTTGCAGGACCCCGCTAAAAAGACTGCTACCTCTTTGCAGACGCTCCTTGAGACGCAGTTTGTGCACTTCATAGATGCACCCTCTTTGGCTCTCATCATGCCTGTGGTCCAACGAGCCTTCCAAGATCGGTCCACCGAGACAAGAAAGATGGCTGCTCAGATTATAGGAAATATGTACTCTTTGACTGCACAAAAAGACTTGATGCCATATTTACCCACCATCATTCCTGGTAATTTAATTTCATTAATATTGATTATTTACAAAATAATAAAATAATGAGTATCTAAAAGTCTTTGACGTCCCAATTTATTTTTTTAATATTTGTTATTTTCATTGATATTTCAAAATTTAATCCAAATTCATATCGCTTTTTTAAGGTTTGAAGATGTCCTTGTTGGACCCTGTGCCTGAGGTGAGAAGTGTGTCAGCAAGAGCGCTGGGAGCAATGGTCAGGGGAATGGGAGAATCAAGTTTCGAGGAACTTTTACCTTGGCTGATGGAAACCTTGACGTCAGAATCAAGCTCAGTAGATAGGTCAGGAGCTGCTCAGGGCTTGAGCGAAGTTGTCGGCGGCCTAGGTGTAGAAAAACTGCACAAACTGATGCCTGAAATCATTGCCACGGCTGAGAGAACCGACATTGCGCCTCACGTAAAGGATGGCTACATCATGATGTTCATTTACATGCCCGTTGCTTTCCCCAAAGAATTTACACCATACATAGGTGAAATCATCAATCCCATTCTGAAAGCCCTGGCCGATGAAAATGAGTATGTCCGTGACACGGCTCTGAAGGCAGGTCAGCGAATTGTTAACTTGTACGCAGACACAGCTATCATGCTGCTGCTTCCCCAACTGGAGCAGGGATTATTTGATGACAATTGGAGGATCAGGTACAGCTCGGTGCAGTTGCTGGGTGACTTGCTGTACAAGATATCAGGCGTGTCCGGCAAAATGAGTACCGAGACTGCAGACGAAGACGACAATTTTGGAACTGAGCAAAGCCACTCTGCTATTATTGATGCCCTTGGTGGTGAGAGAAGAAACAGAGTCTTAGCTGGATTGTATATGGGAAGGTGAGGGAATTTTTATATCTCTTCTAAAGAATCATATAATTTCATAAATACGTTTAGTGAGTGCTATTAAGCATTAATAGTTGCTATTTTAAATTTTAAATTTGATTTGTCTAAAAGCATAATAAAACCATTTTTATTTTAGCTAATATTTATTTGCTATAATTTGTGATTTAGATCTGACGTTGCTTTGATGGTTCGTCAAGCTGCCCTTCACGTTTGGAAGGTTGTCGTCACCAACACACCTCGCACCCTGAGAGAAATATTACCCACTTTATTCGGCTTGCTCTTGGGCTGCTTGGCCAGTACGAGTTACGACAAACGTCAAGTGGCAGCTCGAACCTTGGGCGATCTTGTGAGGAAACTGGGCGAGCGTGTGCTGCCTGAAATTATTCCCATTCTGGAAAGGGGATTGGAGTCCGACCAGCCAGATCAGCGCCAAGGTGTTTGCATTGGACTTTCGGAAATCATGGCCTCAACCAGCAGGGACATGGTTCTCACGTTTGTCAATAGCTTGGTGCCAACCGTCAGAAAAGCTCTATGTGATCCTCTTCCCGAGGTGAGACATGCTGCGGCCAAAACGTTTGACAGTTTGCACTCAACGGTCGGAGCAAGGGCTCTGGATGACATTTTACCGGCTATGCTCCAACAATTGAGCGACCCTGAATTAGCCGAGTATACCCTAGATGGATTACGACAGGTAATTTAATGGAGTTAAAAAAGGAAATTTTAATACAGTTTTCGAATTTCCCCTTCAGGTTATGGCTATCAAGTCCCGTGTGGTTCTGCCATACTTGGTGCCACAGCTGACTGCCCCGCCAAAGGCCAACACCAAAGCTCTGTCCATTTTGGCTTCAGTTGCTGGAGAAGCGCTGACCAAATATCTCCACCGCATTTTGCCTGCCCTTCTCTCCGCCTTGGCTGACGCACAGGGAACGGCCAACGAGGCTCAGGAGCTTGAGTATTGTCAGGCTGTGATTTTGTCTATTGCTGATGAGGCTGGAATTCGGACTGTAATGGACCAACTGATGGAGGCAACCAAGTCAGAAAAAGCTGAGACCCGTCGCTCAGCGGCCACCTTGCTGTGCGCATTCTGCAGCCATTCTAGAGCGGATTATTCGCAGTATGTGCCTCAACTGTTGCGAGGTCTGATTCACCTGTTCGCTGACCAAGACAAGGATGTTCTACAAATGAGCTGGGAGGCGCTGAATGCCGTCACTAAGACACTTGACCCTGCCCAACAGCTTGAGCATGTCAGTGATATCCGCCAGGCTGTTCGATTTACAGTGAGCGATTTGAAGGGCCAGGAACTGCTGCCAGGCTTTTGTCTGCCGAAAGGTAAAATTAAAATCCCCAAGTACTTTGGATTATTGATGTTTAATTTATAATTATTTGATTCATAGGAATCACTCCAATTCTACCAATATTCCGTGAGGCGATCCTCAACGGTGCCCCTGAACTGAAAGAACAGGCTGCCCAAGGACTGGGCGAAGTAATTAAACTGACCAGCGCAGAAGCTCTGCAGCCGTCTGTTGTGCACATTACTGGACCACTGATCCGTATCCTTGGTGATCGCTTTAACTGGAACGTGAAAGCTGCCGTTTTGGAAACACTGGCTCTCCTGCTGGCTAAGGTGGGCCTGATGCTGAAGCAATTCCTTCCACAGTTGCAGACCACCTTCCTCAAAGCCCTCAACGACGCCAACAGACAGGTTCGCCTGAAGGCAGCGTGTGCCCTGAGCCACCTGATTGTAATCCACACCAGAGCTGACCCACTTTTCATGGAACTTCACAACAACGTTAAAAACGCTGATGACCCTGGAATTCGAGAGACGACCCTGCATGCCCTTCGCGGCGTTATTACTCCAGCTGGCGAGAAAATGACAGACCCGCTGAAAAAGGCAGTTTTCCAAACTCTCATTTCCATGCTCTCACACCCTGAGGACACTACCCGATCTGCAGCTGCTGGATGTCTTGGCGCCCTTTGTCGATGGCTCTCAAAGTAAGTTTTTTTAAGTATTGGTATTATTATTACTACTAAAGTTTCTATTACAATCAAAAATTTTAAATCAAGTAGAAAAATTGCAGCAATTTTTTTTTTTTTTTTTTAAATATTTTCATATCCTGCAGGATGTTACCTTTGCCCTTTTAAATCTTATTTCATTCAAACAGGGACAAATTAAATGAGTTGCTGACTGAGCGTTTGCTAGTTGATGAACCGTCTCTAGACTGGACGTTGCGACATGGACGAAGCGCTGCTGTTTTCGTCTGCCTGAAAGAATCCCCTGAGTCCATTTACACTGATGAGCACAAATCCAAAGTGGATAAAGTATTGGCCAGCTATTTAGCAGCAGATCGAGTTCCAATTGTGATGAATGGAGTCCGAGGCTGCGGGTACCTGATGGTGCACTTGATGAAAAATAAGCAGCCAATTCCCTCGGCACTTGTGCAGCCACTGGCAAGGAGCATGAACCACATGAGCAATGAAGTAAAGCAGTTGTTGGCCAGAGTGGCAACCTTTATCGCCAGGACTGTGCCACCTGAGCAGTTGCAACCTGAGCTGCTTAAGGTACTCATCCCCACTCTGGTGAATGGCACCAAAGAGAAGAACACCGTTGTCAAGGCCAACAGCGAATTGGCCTTGGTTGCCGTTCTCCGTCTGAGGCACGACAACGAGTTTCAGAACAAGTGCATGGCTATGCTTGATGTGGGTGCCAAGGAGAGTTTGTCAGATGTCATCAGCAAGGTGCTCAAGAAGATCGCCAACCAGCCAGAGGGCAAGGAGGAGGAACTTGACGACACCCTGCTTGTGTGACTGATGCATTTTTTTGCCTTTGCTGGACCTAGAATTCCAGCTTTAATTACAAAGATTGCGTGTTTCCAAGGACCGTGTACTATTAATAAATCCATGTTCATAAAATTTTCTAGTTCATTTAACTACAAATCCTTTTTAATGCCTCAATATAAACAAAAATAAGCCACTGTTATTTTTTACTCTTTTTTTTAATATTTTAAAACTGAAATTATCATTACAGGTATAAAATGAAAACTCGTAAAAATACTCTTATAATTACATGTCAATTTATTTATTATTGAAGTTTGTAAACAAAGTCTAAGAATGTAGTGGAACAAATTTACGGACACATTCACGGGGATCGCTAGGCTTTACATTCCATACAGCTTTAGTGTGCGATCCATAGAAGTAGAAGCAATGTACTGTGCGTTTTGGCCAAATCTTACACCTGTAGCCATGGCTGTGTGGTCATTGAACACTTTCAGGTCTTGCCACTGTTTGCAGAGGTAAATCCTAAAAAAAATTAATATTAGTATTTTCCCCTTTTTAATTACTAATTAAAGTACCTGATGTCAGTTCCAGCAACAGCTAAGTAAGTTCCACTTTGATCAAAGCACAGATCCTTGATTTCATAACCATCATCTAGCTGGATCGTTTTGAAGTTCTTCAACTTGCGCAAATCCCAAAGTTTGACGCAGGAATCCTCAGCTGCTGTTGCCAAGTAGTAGCCGTTCTCGGAGAATGAAATGGAGGTGATTGGTCCAGAGTGTCCCGAGAAATTGGCAACATTTGATTGCTCTTTCACATCCCAAATCTTAACCTGAGAGGTAGTAGTGCCAGTGCCAAAAATAAGTCCGTCAGGGTGGAACTGGGCAGTAGTTAAACCTGCCCCCTCAGAGCTTTCATCAGTCACCTTCAATAAATAGTTTATAATAACAATACAAGGGTATATTCCTTCAATTACCTTAGTTAGCAACTGTCCCGAGCGGATATCTGAAAAAGCCCAGTGTTGATCAATTGAAGTCGACAAGACATAGTCGCCGGTTGGGTGAAGGGAAAGGCCTGTGACGGGTCCATCATGAATTCTCAGCAGCTGGATAGTTTGAGAAGTTGGCACATTCCAAACTCGAATGGTAGCATCAGGAGACGCAGTAATAACAGTGTCCTGACAATTAGATATCATTGATTGAGATTTAAAAACAAAATAAAAAACCCTACCTCGTCAAAGTGATAAATAACTTTGGTGACTTTCTTAGTGTGTCCTTTCAGGATAGCAACCACTTGCTCCGTATCTTTGTTGAAAACAGCAGCACACTTGTCATTTCCTCCAGTGAGAATTTTGCTTGAGTCTCCGCTATGGATGTCCAATGATAAAATGCCTGGCATACTGGCACTGTGGATACCCTGAAATAATAAATGGCAAGAGTAAGATATAAGATAACAATTAATTTTAAAATGCATACCGGATGTGATGCAAGTGTTCTGAAAGCTCTGACATTTTCAGGGGTTGCCAGTTCTTCTGGCACAACTTTGCCTCTCCTCTTACGCTCCTGCGTAAGGACCTGGGCCTTATCGAGCAACTTTTGTATAATATCCTGAGTCATGCCAGCTTGTTCCTGAGGCTGAGCGGCAGTTCCAGTTGCCTCAGCAGCAAATGCCTGCATTTTAAAAATAATTATTGAAAATGACAATTTTGATCTTGCAAGTAAAATTACAGTTTGTTGAGCTCCGATCGGAGCTGGGGCCATGCCAGTTTGTGGTTTCAAAGTGGCCAAAGCGTCTCTGGCTGCGGACACTTCCTTTGTGAGACGAGCAATTACACGGCACGCAGCGTCATGTTGATAAAGGGCATGGCTAAAACAAAATATGATTGAAGATAAGAGGCCATGTTTAATTTTTATGAACAAACCTCAGCTCTTGACGGGCTGTCTGCAGTTGTTGCCGAAGAGTAAAGCTGTGTAACATCACCGCATCCCATTCGTCCTGAAGCGATTTCAGGATGGCAGGAATGCTAGTAGCAGATGGAGGCTTTGGTTTAACAACTTGTGTAGCTACAAATGCATAGCAAAAAATTATCAACTGTTTATGACTCATATTTTAAAAGCTTACTCTTGATGTCAATGAGCATGTCCTCGGTGAGCTCTTTGCCACTAATGGGATCTATCCCATTTTCCACAATGTATTTTTCAATGAGCCTCCTCTCAAAAATAGACCCTGACACAGGGGAAACCACCGGATGCTCGGGCACCTCGTTTGAGACTGGAATGAACAGAAATTCAAATTATTCATACATAAATTGAGCATGTTGTTGAAATAAAGACGCAGTGAAAAAATGATCAATTAAAAATTTTGGTAGCATGAAGCATGATAATTTTTCGGTTAATTTTTGCCAAGAATGTGTTAAAATGTGTTTTTGGAATCCTAAACAAGGATCCCTTTCTAAACCGGCAAACTTTGAAGAGTCATTTCTTGCGGATTTATGACTCGTATTTAATACCAAATTTAAAAAATTAAGAATAGATAATTCGTGGTTGTAAAGTGCGAGATAAATTTCAAGAAAAGTTTGTAATAAATTAATTAAAATAAATTAAAAAAAGGGAAAACTCACTTGCACAGAAGAGCGCCATTTTTACGCACGCGACAACAACCCAGAAATTAAAAATGGCGCTGTGCACGCCTTCGCCGAATATAAAGGCGCGAATTTTAAATACTATAAAAAGCATAAAATCTCTTTATTAGAGGTCAGTGTATTTTAGTAGCACATACATGTAAAAAAAGCGTTTAATAAAAAAAAATTGTTATTGTTAAATTCATTCATAATTCACTGTCTTTTTTCTTAACTACATAATTTTATTCTTGCAAAAAAATTCAATGATAAATGACTCAATTTAATCGCGTTTGAATCAAATTTATTTTTCAGAAATTTAATAAATTTAAAAAATGAATTACGCCAAATTTCAGCTTTCTCCTACTACTAATTTTTTTGAGGCAAAAAGTCCATCAAAGGCTTCTTCGAGGGCCCTCAGACAAGCCAGCTGAGCAAGGAAACCTCCTGCCTTTTCCACTTTAGAAGCTTCTCGGACATGCACAATATACTTCATCTCCGTAAGTTCATTCCAATTTGGAGGAACTGGTCCGTTTCTGGGTATAACCAAAGGCTCGTATTTGTAAAGAGGAGTATCATCCTCCTTGGGAACAGGTAAAAATCCATCTTTTGGCACTCGCTGTCCAAATTTGATGCCTGTAGAGAACTGAGTTGCAGCAACAGGAGGTAGAGCAACTTCGATCTTTTCTATTTCTTCCTCCTCCTCCTGCTTCCTCTTCTTGAATGTCTCTACAATACTAGCAGCACTTTGTTCTGAAAACATGAGCTCGTCAATCAAGGCCTCTTTGTTTCGCATCTTTTTCCGCTTCTCTTGCAACTCTTCCTCCACAATGGCTCGTTTCCTGTTTTCGTGGACTTGCTTCTCCTCTTCTAAAAGCTCCTCAAGTTCCATTTCTTCCCGGCCCGTCCTGGCACGATTTCTGCTAATGATCTCTTTATTGTCTCGCTTAAATTTGTCAATTCGTTGATTGGTGGCAATTATTTCTATATTGTTGGTGAGGTTGTAAATAATGGTCTCCAGCTCCTCTAGGTAATCATTGTACTCCCTCAAGGTGGCAAAGTCCTCTTCTCGGAGGTTGTAGTCTTTCATCACACGCCTTCTGACGTCCATCTCCTTTTCAACAAAAGGGTCCTCAAAAATCTGCACCCGAAAATTACTCCTGCGCAGAGGCACGCCGCAGTCGGGACATGATCCTGATCCCTTGAGGAAAAGAAGGTCCACGCAGCTCTCACACAAGGCATGGCCACACACGTTGACCATCAATTTCAACGACGGGTTCCGATACTTTGTCGTCTTGCAGCGGGGACACGCTTGCTCCTCCATGATTTGTCAATCTAAGAACAATTCCTAATATTAATAAGTTTTTAAAACTTTTATGAATGTGAATCATATGTTTTTCTGATTATTATGTTTGTATCATCTTTTTTTTATCTACATACAACGTTGTCTAAAATATTTATTTATGCTTAAATGTACCTCCTGCGGCTCAGTTACGTGTAAAAATCGTTCCTCTCCAATAAAAAGGAGACTACGACTACAAATTAAATGGCAGCTTTCTTTCCTTTCTTTCTTCTCTTGACTTCAAATCTGAAATCCTGTGTTTATGTGTTGTTTGTGCTTTGTGTTAACATTTTGTTGTTGCCAAAATTGGTTTGTTGTCGATAGGTGTCTCTGGTGTCAGTTTTAATGGCTATTTCGAATGCCTGGTCCTCCAATCATAAACGTTTATCATATTTTTCTGCCCCCTGATTTGTTGGAATTGCCCTTAACCCCCCCCCCCCCCATCCTCCTTATCGATCCACGACTGCGTTACGCCCCTTTCACTGCGCATCCTGAATCTGAAAAATGTAATATCAACCAAAATCAAAACAGAGTCTAATGCCTGCATATTAAATAATCAATTCCTTGGTGAATTTTATTTACTTTCTGTACTTCGTGAGGGGAGAGGCGTTTAAATTTACTTAGCGTAATAGCCAGTGTTTTCAGCCGCGCAACTTAATAAGCAAAGCAAAAAAGTATGTAACATAATTTCCATAATTTTATTAAAGTTATTCACTGCAGTTTTTTTATAAATTTGTTCCTCATTTTAAAGAATATGGCAAACGCTGAAGCCAGCAACGTGAGCTCCGCTTTCCCTCTGCCACCAGCTAATTACTACAGCCACTACACCGATGAAAACATTCGTAGAGGAAGGGTTATGCGGCCTCCAAACCCTGTCATGGAATCATACACCATGTTCGGCACACCGTACCAAACAGACGACTCCATAATTCGACCTTTGGAAAGCCAGGTAATTGACAAGTAAAAATATTTTTATCAATTATTTATTCAACTGAATTTTGGATTTAATCAGGGAATTCGACGCTTGTACCCGCAAAACTGTGACAGACGTAGAGAGTTGAGGAAACTCAACCATTCCTTGCTTGTAAATTTCTTGGACCTGCTGGACCTTTTAGTTCAATGTCCTGAGTCGTCGCGACGAGCAGAGAAAGTGGATGATCTGAGTTTGCTCTTTATCCACATCCACCACTTGCTGAATGAGTTCAGACCTCACCAAGCAAGGGAAACATTGCGAGTAATGATGGAGTTGCAGAAAAGACAGAGGCTGGAGACAGCAGCAAGGTTTCAAAAGCACTTGGAAAAAGTATACTTTTTTATTAAGGATCTTGGTACCATCTCCATAATTTTATTGTTACTCAGGTGATGGAAATTCTGGACCAGGCCTTGCAAATGCTGCCAGATAATGAAGAGCTCGACTCAAAACTTTTGATACCCATGGAAGACATTGAAAATATGGACGTTTCTTCATCGGACGATTCAAAGAATGAAGCTTGCAGCACATTAGATCGCATGATGTGCGAAATTGTAGATGCGCTGTAGTTTTCTTATTTTCCATTGTATACTTTGTACATATTATGAGATAAACAAATTTTTCTGGAAATTAGATTTCTAATTACGTTTATTAATGCAAATGACACATTCACACAGCAACCTTTGCCTTCAAAATGATTATGTAGCATCTACGCCAAAGTGAACATATGTAGTTATTTAATTTTATGAAAAACAATAGTTGCATTTTTAGTGATTAGAGACATTTCTGTGGGTGCTGACAAATTTCCTTGTAATATAAAAATTTATAGTTTTACTATGTGATATTCCACATAATTACATCTATCCTCTGCACTTGCAAGTATATTTCTAGCAAGTCAAACTAAGCAAAACCCACTCGAACAATTTTGTTTAAAAACGTGGAGTTTGAGAATGGCAGTAGAGTACCTTGGAAAATTAACTTTAGTAAGTGTTTCGCCATGTACGATTTCTTCCTCGGAAATTGCCTCCTCTTCTTCCGCCTCGAAAACCTCTTGCCCCTCTTGGAGCTGAACAGAATATATTTTTTAAGTTATGTAATTGATAAAGAGGTAAAAGCTTACAATAGGAGGTAATCCTTTCGCTGTACTTTCCACCAGGTGGCTGGTAACGAGCTTGTTCGTCACTCTTTCGGGGCATTTTTGCACCGTTTCCGTCAAAAGTGATCGGAGCATGCCTTTTGAAGGCACCCTCATCTTTCTTTGGGGCAACAGACGTCCAAGAAAGGATGATATTGCTTTTGTAGATGGGAGGCGTGTGGAATAGGTCTTTGATCAGAGCCAGAATGTTGGTAGTTGTTTTCAAAGCCACAGCTTTGATTGCATTTTCCTCGGACTTCAGTTGCGCTTGAGACTTTCCGCTCAACATCTCTTTTAGCTTCTTCATGTAGCCTTGAGTAGCACGAGCAAAGTACTGGAGCCTGGAAATTTGATAATATATACATCTGCAAAAATAATAAACGAATAATCTTAATTACCTTATGCGGAAATCTTTCATCCTGTCCGGATTAGCCGCTAAGAAATCTGGATGCAGTTTGCCCAGGCGGTGCAGAACGAAGAGAAGACACTCGACATAAGAAAATTCCAAGTTGGGATCCTCCGTGGCCAACTTTTCTGCGTCACCTTCTGCTGGCAGGGGCATGTATTCCTAAAATATTTCATTAATTCACCAAATCCGAGCACATCTTCAATCATTCACCAGTAAAACTGAGAAGACATGCTGCAGTTTATTCTCTGGCGTTTCTAAAGTTGTGCAGTGTTTGCTAAGCTCTGCAGTCAGTTTGAGCAACTCCAAGTGAGAGTCCGATTCAGCTTCGGGAAGCGTCTTGGGCACACCTGATAAAACAGGCAGCACATCCTCACACATGTACGTAATGAACTTGCTTGCATCAACTTGAGACTACAAGATAAGAAAAAGTAGAAATAGCACCAATGCAGAGAAAAATAACATACTGAGAAGTAACGAAGTGCATGCCTTGTGCAGGCAATCAGTCTGTACACATTTTCTGGCTCTGTTCCTCCGAAAGGTTGATCAAGTTCAGCCTGCTCCACAACAAGGTCCACCAGCTCTTGATGGCCCGTCACAGTTTTTCCAAGTCGAGTCTCACTCAGAATGTCCATCATGAGTTTGAATTCGTCAGCAGTCACATCCTAAAATATTTTTTTCTCATACATATAAACAAATTACAAAAGTGAAATATACCTGCAGGACTTTCTTGACCTCAGCAATGACGTAATCCTCAACATCTTTTGTTACTATGTGTGGCCCTAAAGTTTTGTATCTCGCAGAAAGAAATCTGATGCTTCTTTCCCTGACGATTTCCTCGCCAGACAAAATTTGGTTGAAAACGCCTCCAAAAGTGCCTGAGGATAAAAAAATTAAATTAGTATTACACATTATAATAGTTATGCCGTGTGCACCTTTAGCATCTATTTTGAATAGTGCATTCAGAGAGCTGTGGACTACAGAGAGTTCAGCCGCATCATCAATTTGAAGGAGTTGAGTAAGAATATCAGCAATTTTTCTGGTGAATTCTTTGTGGTCTTTGCAGAAGTTTGGCAGGTCTCTGACTGCATGCTTCCTGATCTATAAAAAAAATATTAAATTTTATTTTTATATGCATACAGAACTAAAATTTACACAAGTCAATAGATTTTATCAATTAGTAAAGGGTGAGAACTTAAAAATTCTTGTTGTGTTATAATTTTCAGTGATTTTTACCATGGCGTCTTCATCTTCGCACAAATCAAACTGACTTTCAATCGACTTTTCAATCAGGTTGGGGAAGCTTTTAAAAAACTTGCTGATGAACTGGGCTGCGAGGCGCTTCTCTTTGTCGGAACCCTTCACTGCCTCCAGCAACGTTAGATATTCGGCCTCATGCTAAATTGAGAGGATTTTTCAGTTAATATAACTCAAATTATCAAAAAATCAAAACACGACGCATTCCTTTGAGTCGACTCACCTCTGAAATTTTGTCGCCTGCTGCTGAAAGTACGTCGTAGATCTTGTAGATTTTATCAATGCTGTCTGTAGCCATCGTAGAAGATTTGAAAATTTCCGTACTCAACAAATCGAAGCTAATTTAAAGAGTCAAATTTTCTAGATTAATGTTTCAAACAGTCAAAGACACGACAAGCCGACGGAACAAAAGATAAACATCCCATGAAATAATGACATATCTGGCCCACCCACAGTGGCCGTCCTATGAAATTCAAAGGAGTTGCACAAGAATGCCCAGCATCTGTAACATTGCGTTGCGAGTTACAGGAACAGGAATTGGCGATCCAGCACTAGCGCCATCATGGTGGAGGCCTGGAACTTTCTGAATATAAAGCGAAATATGGGTGCGTTTGGAGAAACGTTGTCTTTCTTGTAATTCTTGTCCAGACAATAAGTTAGCCGTTCTTTAAACTATATCATGTCTTTCCACTTATAATATTATTCAGCTCTGTGTTATTTTCGTTTTATTTTCTATAATGCTTCCGCAATGGACCTAATAATCGAGTAAATCAATGGCCTCCGCACAACACTTATATATTAATCTTTTAACTTATGCTAAGAACACATAGCCAAAAAGTGATTTCATTTTCTCTTAAGCAAACGCTTCATTCAGCATGCTAAAATGTTCAAATTGCAATTCATCAGGATTTAACCTAGTAATTTGTAAAAGGAATGGAAGATTAAGATAAAAACTCAAAAATTCGTATTTTTAGAAGAAAGCAATGTATTTTTTGTCAATTAGTACAATCTCTGGGGAGGTCCCATGGATGACTTGATGTGCAAAGATCGCACATTCTGCCAGTGCTTCTTGAGCAGGGATACCAAAAAGTTGATGCTCAAGTGGACGTTCTGGGCCAGGTCATCGGCACTCATGCCAACGTTGCCAACAGCAACCGACAAGCACAAAACCTTCTTCATCTGGAACTTGATGGTGGCCTTGACCTCATCGATCTTTGCCATCATCGACTCCTGGTGGGTGAGCAGACCAGGGAACTTGCCAGCCTTGTTCAAACCAGGACCAAGCAGACGGGGAATCTGCTTAATCAACGACTCGGAAGCAAGGAAGGCATCATACTTCTTGGCTGTGAAAATAAAAGAAATTAGCTTTATGGATTCAATTAAAAACTTGATTTATATTTTGAGACAATCAGAAATTTAGAATCAACACAGTATTGTCAGTTAATACATGCACCTAAACTTTTGCATCATTTAATAAATTTAATTTTTAAGGAATGAAATGAAATTCACCTAGTTTCTTGACAGCTTTCTTGTTCTTGTTCAATTTCTTGAGAGCCTCGGCATCCATGAAGGACACGTTGTTTGCCTTGGCCTCGTCACAATGCTGCTGGTCACCCAAGACACAAACGCTCATCTTAGGACGAGGAATGTGCTTCAGCCTGGAAGTAAATACATAACGCAGGACGTTAAAATGATCTCTTATATTTATTGTTATCATTTTTAATTTTTTGTTTCGACTTTCACTTACCGCTAGTAAGGGTCTACAGATATCACTGACAAACCCTATCTAGCAGTGGCATAATCCCTTTACAGGCATGACCACCTTCCCAATTATTTCAAGACCCTGGGTCAAGGTCACACATACTTGACAGTGCCGCTGAAACGCTTGTCCTTCTGGGGATCATAATTCTTGAGACCAATCTGCAGTTCCACAGTCTCCAAGAAGTTCCTCTTCTTTTCTTCACTGTGTTTCAAAATCGCTTCTACGCACTCGTAGAGCGTTTCCCTCGAAACCTTCGACCTGAAATAGAAGGATTGCGAATTTAAGTAAGGCAGAATTTGGACAAACAAAATACTTTTTAAGCAAATCAAGCAAGCATGCGGTATCTAATGTCGGGTGGCCGGTTCACAATTTTTGAACGCTGATATCCAGCAACGAATGGGAATTAATTGTAAAACTATTTATTGAATATGATGGATAATATAATTGGTTTCAATATTAAATCGTTAATTATACAGGATAGGCCGAATTAATTAGGATATTTTAGGAAAACTTACGACATTACGAAGTCTTGGTCCTCACCACGTTTACAACAAAAATGAGACGAAAGGACAAAACCGACGAATGAGGAGAGGAGGTGGGGAGGGGAAGGAGCTTTTAAAAGGAGAAAAGGCAATTGGACGAAAAAGCGCCTGTATCTCGTAGTGGGATATATTTGAAGAAAAATGGCGCGTTTACGCTGTAACTAGCACGAAATAATGCAAAATGCAAATGCGTGTTTTTAAATAATAAATAATTGTAAATTTTAATCAATTGTAGTTTTAATGAAGGTGAAAGAAATATTAAAATACCAAAATTAATTAAAAAACAATAATAAGCATAAAGAGAGAGTATTTGCATAACAATCATAGTAATTTATTGATTTATTTTCCACGAATTATATAATTTAACAGGATAAGTCATCTCAGTGCGTCCACAGTCCACAATGAAATTGAACTTTACATTATGGGAATCATTCACAAGAGTTCAGTGCTCATATTTTGTTTTACTTTATATTATAATTATGATATAATTTCTCCACATCAAAAATGTTGAACAGGAAATTTCAGTAATATATAGCAGAAGTTTCAATTCAACAAACATGTGCCAGCATGGAATCAAAATGCAATATGTATTAAGATTTCCACAAAAATTGAGTCAAGTACAAAACATTATAATCACATGAGCTATTATTAAAATTGCAATATCTTCAAAGTCCACACATGTATTAAATATATTATGCAACACGGAGCATTTTAATTGTATTTTATTAACTAAAAAGCAAGTGCAGAATGCAAATTTTGGGTAATTTAAAAAGATAAAGTAATTAATTTTTCAAGCAACCATATTTTTAAAGAATTAAGTGTTGTAACATTTTAATAGTGTAAGATATTTTATAGTTTGAAAAATAGTAAATAAACGCAGAGAAATAGAAGATCATTAATTCATTGAAGATTACATATTGCACCAGATTAATGGGTTTATAATAGTTCAATTTTATAATTCATCAATATAACAACTGATGTTGAAAATAAATGGCGCACATTGTAACAAATAAAATATTGTGATTATCCTCCTATATATTGTGTTCCACGAGTCGGAAAACTGGCACAGAAAATTTTTAGTGATGTTAAGAGCATTGACAAGTTAACAGTAAAATTAAATTATGAAGCCCACTGCATTGCAGAACAGAATTTTTACTGAAATGATTATAATTTATATTTTTTGGCTTCAAATTCACAAAATCAATTTTTGTTATTATAAAGGATTGAAATAAAAAATTTAGGGTGTCAAGGTGAGAATTGCTAGCTTTAAAATCAGAAGAACGCAATGGACACAAATATAATTTTTAAGATCACAGGTAATTTCAAAAATAGGATTCCAGCAGTTAGTTATTTCCTTATATATATGTGAACATGAATTTCATATTTTATTATTTATTAATTGGAACATTCATAATTCAATTGCAATTCCATCAAAATGTGTGCTGGCCAATTTTTTTAATAATGGTGATTAAATACGTCAGATATTATCTCGGCTGATATTGCATCAAATTTAAAAGCGGCATATTATAAATCATATATTCGCAAGACTAGAGTTTTTTTGAAAAATTCCAACCAATAATTTGCAATAAGAAAAAATAAAATTTGAGCAATAATCAAACTAACTCGAGGAGCGATTCAGCATTGCATAGAAAAACTAAAAGAAAATAAACGGTGTACCTGCATAAATTTATTAAAAAAAAGTCAACAATGACATATCAAAAAAGGCTTAAGTTAATAGGTATAACATAAAAAAAATAAAAAATAAAACAAAAAAAATATTTTTTGCACAAAACTTTAAATTGAAGTTATCAATACTCTTCACTAATTTCAAATTCATAAAAATTAATCTTGGATTTTATCATCAAGTATCACTCTATTTTTGAAGTTGATAAGGATCTATACCCGCAACACGCACTTAAATAGCAAGTAATAGGAAATCCTTCAAGATTTAAATAATAGGATTTCACAAGCTATTTTCAGAAGGCCTGTTGTAGTTGATCCTTATCCATGTAATGCATGAATAATATTGCTTAATTAATATTAAACGAAATCACTGGCTATGATAATTCATTATAAAAAATGGTTTCAAGAACTATACCTCAAGAGCAAGGAATAGAAATAATTTGGATTAACTGTCACAATATTTTGAACCTGCTAATAAATTAACTCTGTGCCTCGGTGCAGCCAAAACAGCACTGCTATCTCCGTAAGGGTGTTTGCTGGCTAGCTTTGGCACTGGCAGGGGTGGCAGACTGGTTTGATGATTGGGTTGCGGCCTGGGTGAGTTGCATTTTCCTTAAGGAAACCTCCAAGGCCATCCGCTCCCCTTGCAACTCATCAATTTTAGAACTGAGCTTCATCTTCTCCTCTGCATGTAGCCTTTCAGCTGCCAGAAGTCGCCGACGCAGTTCTTCGTTTTCGCGTGTCATCTCGGATGCTTTTTTTCTTGCTACTTCCACTTCAAATTGCGTGCTGGTAGGGCTGGTTGAACTTCCACTGTTTTCAGATGGCTCAATGAAAAATGCTCCAGACGCCGTTCTCGAAACTTTCAGTTTTGATATGCAAACATTGATAGGCATGTTGTTCGCAGACGCAAGTTGACTGACTGCAGATCGGTCCTCACTTAGGTGCAATTGGACATTTTCCATTAAAATCTGAAGCAATTGATTATTTATATTAATGATTCCATTCATTTTCAAGAGTATTACCTCCATTGGAACTGGTTTAGGCATAATTTCGTCGTTCAGCAAGTCTGCTAAGCCAGAGACTGACACCAATGACATAGACAAGTTAACGTTGGATATTTCAGCACCAAGATTTTCCGTGAATAATTGACGAATCACACTATCCACATTAGTTTTATTGAACATGTCCGGCTCGGGCTCAGTGTCGGGCGCTCTTTCAAGACGAGCTTTAATGCTGCAACGTCTGCCTAATTCTCGTTCATCACACCACGCTCGTGTGCGTGAAGAGAATTTGCTCTGCAAGTGCAAGGAACCAGTGTGAATATTTGATGCATTTAGAAATTCACACATAACTAGAGCAAAGTAACTAACTAGATGATTTTTGAATTTATTTCTAGAACCTCTTTTGTAATTGGCTACATTTCTAAATAGTACACAGTGCAGTAAAGTGGGATTCTCTCAATATAATATAATAGCCCAGCATGTTTTGTGAAGGGTGAGAAACAAAATGAAAATGCTGAGGAAGGCCGCAATGCAAAATTGCCGTGGGGTGTAATAGCTATGAAACATTTTTGCAAGTAAATTGAATTGTTTAAAAAAAAAAATGAAATAGAGAAATATGCAAAAAAAAAAATATCCAGCTTCAAAAAGGGAAAACTTTGGGAGCAAAAAGCTGCTAGGAATGATGGAAAAATTAGACTACCATAATAAAAACTTTTTATTTGAACTTTGGACTAACTAAATACTAGCTAATCATGCCAAAAATAAAAAATTTAGAGCCAATACCTTCCTCTTGGCCTGTCAAAATTGTCATGACACATTGACAATTGAGTATCAATCAAAGAAGCATGCGAAAGTGTTAAGAAGTTAATATTGTGGTCCATTAAATCAGGTAAGGATGCAAAAGGTTGGGAACGTTAAAAAGCCCAATATTAAGGGGTAAATGCACAAAAAGTTATTATTACGTTAATTCCTTTAAGGGGAATAAATTAATATCCACGTCTTGCGGATTACTTAATTTTGAAATTTTTTGCTTCCAAAAATTCATGTATAGGCTTAAAAATATTTTGAAATATTTTACATGCAGTGCCAGAGAAAATTTTGATTGAACAATATTTACAAGCCAATTTCCATTGTAAGATAAATTAGATGGAATATTCTCTATCAAAATTTACCTGAAATTCATCCCAAGGAATGCTTCCACATTCATCTGATGATATCCCAGAGCATTGAACTCTAAGAGCCGACTTGAATCCTTGAGACTGATAAATCGCCTCTACTCGACTGAGTTTCAAAGTTGTTACGCTCACCTAGAAACAATCTTAGTCAGAAAAATGGCAAACACTAACACAGTAATTAAAACAAACGATTTGTACACATGCAGGCATATCTTGATCATCCTGAGGCAAAATAAACCAACAAATTGTAAAATAAAAACTGGGAGGAAATAATGAATTAAAAATTAAATTACCGGATCTGAACGTCTAAGAATGCTCATTTCAGAATGCTGCGACAAATCGTCCGGATCTTCCACCACCTCACTGGCCTCATCGATAATTGGTCTTGGCGCTCTGCTTGCAGCAGGTATGACAAACATTGCATTTAAAATGTCAGTCCTGTTCTGCTGTTCTAGATTGACTACGACATATCTTTCACTGTCCGAGCTACCGTCACTTCGAACAGACATGTTGTCCAGTCCATCGTCTCCGGTCTTAGTGGAATCAAAAGATGTGATAAGGGTTGAAAATCCACTGGCCAGCCCTTTGGAGAACGTTGAGAAGTTGCTCATTTTAAACGAGTGACTCTCAACGGGGAGCGGTTCTGCTGTTGGGGCATCGGCAACAAGACTGGTTTCTTCAAAAAACACATCTCCATGGATAACGGCTGAATCAGTTTCTTTAATCTCGTAAGGATTTTTGGGAGGTGTGATGGGAATATTAGGAATGTCGGCTAGGCTAGAAGAGTCTGGGATGACAGAATCGAGGTCAAACGATTCCTTTGCATGACTATGTGCAGGCATCACAAACGTAACTTCAACCTGAGGCAGTGCTGCGCCGACACAAATGACACCACTATCCTCGCCAGTTATCTTCTTCGAGTCCATTTGAAGGAATGTGGTCATCTCAGAAACTTCATCGAGGAGGCGCGAAATAAACAGGAATTGGTAATGATTCAGCTGGACACTGACGAGACTTGGGATGTGGGCAACGGCATGGATGTTTTTGTTTTCAGTCATGCACAACCAGAGAGTGATAGGCAGAGCGTCCATAAGTGGCACAGGTTTATTTGGAGAGGACTTCATGCCAGTGAATTCTGCCCAAGCAGGGTCAAGCTGTACGAACCAAATGTCTTTTGCATCTACCCAGAAAAGCTCTCTACTCAGTCCTTCTGATAGTTCAGACAGCGTTAGTTCCGATAAATCAGCCGACCGCCTCAAATTGTCACTTGCTAAAAAATACAATTTTATAATTTTAAAACTATTTCCTGAGCTGAAAGACTTACCGTTCACGTGCCGCAATAGTCTTTCAACAACAGCAGCCCTGTCTCCCTCTTTTGTGGGAAAACCAGAGTTGAAGAAAAGTTCCCCTTGCTGAAGATCATTCAGACAGGTAGCCAAGTCTGCCCTCGACCCAACGGTTCGTGAACGGATATTGGTAATGGTTGCTTTGGAAGATTGGAGCTGAAGGTACTGTGGACGGTCTCTTTGCATCCTCGAAGAATTGACGCCTTCGTGGCTTGCGCTTTCAGCCAATATTATCTGTAAATTAATTATATTAAAAGCAATGCAAACAAGATAATTATTTTGGTTACAAACCCTTGGCATGATGGCTTCAATGCGAACATCAATGTTGAAAATATCTTTGTTGTTAGTGTTTGCAGCAGCATTCTCCGTCAAAGCACTCAAAGTTCTTAATAGGTAGAGACCGAAGGATTGGAGCCACAAAACAGTTAACATATCAAAATGTATTTGAACTGGGTTGCAGTACACATAAAATTGAGGGGGTGGCACTGAAATGACGAAAGGTGCAAGTGCTCAAATTAACTTGAAAATCTTTGATTGTCCTTACGTGGAAATGGGATGTCATCTGGATAGTAGAAATATGTGAATTCTGCATGAATAAGAGACATTTCGTCAGGCAGTTTGTATAGTTCCTTGTCGCCTAAAAGAGAAAAGCGTCGAAAATTATTTTGGTTTTCAATATACAATTTAAAATTTATTTCTAAAAAAATTTGCTTTGTCATTTATTTTTGAGCATAAAATTCTAATTAATGGAAAATGATAATTTCAAAATGAATGTGATAATTTAATTTTATCAATTTATCACCATATATGCAAAGAAGGAAATTTTGATATGTGCCACGTTAAACACACAATCGATCAGATTAAGTGTGGTTAAGTGACCATGAAAGTTTTTTCTACTACTGAATTTAATACATCATTTTAACAATTATTAAATTTACACATATAAATGGAAAACTTCCCAAGAAAATCATGCAAATCGGAAAATTAAGATTCATTGGTAATCTCATAAGGCATAAATACATTATGTTTTCCTATCGAGTTGAAGGCAACATTCCATCACTTATTTAATTTCTAAAAAACCATAAGACTTGCAACATACAGGTCTCTCTATTATACACATGCGATACACCAACTTCATTCATGTGTACCTGACTTATTGTTTCTCCTTTTTTTCCGGCGGGCTACGTGAATTTTTTACGTTTTGAGTACACACCATAAAAAAATTTAAGTCCATGAATTTAATAAATTTATACTCACTCGAAATGAATTCCTTTGGCGCCTGTTTTCTTGTTGTGGTGGATACTTTGTAAAGAGTAACATCTTCAAGTCTTAGTACGACACAGGAAGACATAAGCTTTGCCAAGTGACTGACGACATAATCTTTGACCGCATTTTGTCCGTTAGGACTTTGTGGGTCAGATGAGGTGCTTCCCCTTGCTCCCTGTTTTTCATATGCACAAGTTAAATAAAGAAGTCAATACAAACTTTAAAATTACTGGCAAACGGAAGTCGTCGTGTGGCTCGGCCCTCGAAAGACGAGTGTGGGTGTTGGCACCTGAGTCCATGGCTTCCATGAAATTGGCTGTGAATGTAGACAGTGTTTGTTCGAGCCACTGAGCATGAATATCCTCTTCGTAGCTGGGCCAGTGCTTTCGGTCACTCAAAGATAAGTGGTAAGGGTAGAAGTCCACTTTGAAGTGGTGCAGCCTTATCTGGAAGGCGCCACCGTCTTTTAAGTGAGGATGACTAGACCGGCCGTCACCCTCATCGTCACACAGGTGAAGGTCTATTTGCTCGGAAAGAAAATGGAATGAAGTTTCGATCACGTCGCACTGACTGAAAACTTTGCTGATGGCACTTTTCTTAGTATTTTGCTGTCTGGCCTGTTGCGAAATCCAAGCTTGATACTCGGGAAGCATCTATAAGGCAAGTATAAGACATTTTCTTTTTAAATTTAGGACATTATCTCTTGCAAACCTCTATTTTCCTAGCTGCCTTTCTTTTCCTGCTAATGTCGGTTGCTTTCTGCACCAGGTCACTTAACGACTCAACAAAGTAAAGGGCTGCTCGGAGCTGAGAGTCGGTAAGTACCCACAACAAGTCCTCAAGAATCAGAACCAAACGAGATCCCAACACAAAACAGTCTGCAAAATTAGCAAAATGAGCCACTAAAGGGAAGAAATAATCGAATAACAATAATTTACCTGACAACCTCTTTTTAATAGTAATTCTGCATCTAGCCTGATTAGTTAGTAATCTGAGAGGAGTTAGAGTTGGATTCTCAGTTGACTTTGCTTCTATTCTCACTGTTTGCCATTCGACCTCCTTGAAGAGCAAAATTTCACCTCGAACGGTATCTTTCACTCTTGTCATTCGGAGATCGTGCCTTTTCCACGTAGGAGTTTTTGATTCTGCTACTATTCTAGATACCTGGAATTTAATTAATTACACAAACTTAAAATTTTTATTTTAATCTTTAGTAGAATTACTTGGACAGAGGCTACAAATGCTGGACTCTTGAAGGTAACTAGCACAGCATTGACCGTAATGGTCATTCCGTCTATCACTTTGTGGATGAAACTGTATCGACCACTTGACATGGAGGAGAGGCCTTGGTTCGCAGACATAGAACGCAGATCTGGACATGTTTCTATAACAACCTGTACCTCATCCAGTCTCTGAAAGCCAAATCAAAATTGTACAATTTTTCCTCGCAAACATATGAACAATCCTCATTTAGACAAGAAAAAAATAGTTAATTAATAAGATTGTTTTAAAAATACATACCAATACAATTGGCACAGTTTTTATGTGCGTCCACTGAATTCTAAAACAAACTCGGTTGCACCAGGCACTCGTAAGCCTGAGCCAGCTGGGTAGTTCCAACAGGTCCGTCAAGACATTTTCATCCAGCTCCAGATTTGTAAGCTCGCCCTCACCTTTCAGGGTGCTCAGGTTGATCCTGTCCGGCGAAAGGTTTTTCGTAAACCTGAAATTTTCAAAGTTAAAAAAAGTCCTTTTGTGACTAGAAGAGAGAAAAGGCGTATCAAACCTCGAGAGATGTTTGAAGATTTGATTCTTTATCAAAGTCACCATGTTTCTGGCTATGTGCGACTCAAATTCGGGATAAACATTGTCAAACTGATCGGCGCAAATAGCAGCAGAACAAAATTATCACAGCGCATTTGACTTTGACTGCGAAAAATTGATGTATTTAAACACGAGTTGACAAGCCAAAGTCATCCAAGTGCACATCTAAACGAACCTCCTCCAGCTGATGTGCTGCTGGAGGTCAATAATACATGCCTGCTGACAAAAGAACGCGGACCGCGGAATACGAAAATCGAGCGCAAACGCAATGCTAGCTTGTTGCACGTCGATCCCCCTGCTTTGGGTTGCTCTGCACAGCAGCAGGGGCGCGTGTCATATGATAATACGAATGATAATTTATAGCTATGCATGAGAGTGGCGTCTATGCAAAAGCGCGCTCTGCTGAAATTGCGCCGAATACAGTGGAATATTATTTCCTTATTTAATTTTTTCATTATGAATTTAATAAATTTATCAAAATTAAATTAATCCTAAATTGATTTTTAATATCCTAATGTAAAATAATATTGATTAGATATGTGCGAAAAAATAATAAATAAAAAACGTATTATATAATATATTATTTTTGGTCTTTCTATGAAATTGAAAAATTTAATTATATCTGATCCTCAAATTTTTTTCCCCGTTTTTTTCTACAACTTTGATTTTATGACTTATATGCATATATATTACATTTTTCTCTTTAATGAATTGTTTTTCATGCATATTTTTTTTAATTTTTAAATTTGATGATATTTTTGCAAGAATATTCAGGACTCAACATTACTAAAAATATTAATTAAATTAAATTATTTATAGAACTTAATAAATAATAGAGTTTCCAAGCGAAACATATTTGATAAAGTTTTTAATTAAATTTTTAATCATCAATACCCAATTCCCATTTGGTTATATGTCGCAAAAATGGAAATGAACAATGAAGAGCAAAAATATTTTTGTTTTCTTGGAAGAGGCGCGGGTTGCATAGCCATGAATTGACAGGCGCTCACTCTTAACCGCTTATTTTTTAAAGAAAATTAATAATAACTTGATGCGGGATAAATTTAAAAAAAACTGTATTTTCTCCTTAATCCATTTTATATGATATAATTCACGATAAAATGACAAAGAAATACAAATTTAAAGAAACAAAATCCGCTATATTTGAATTAGTTTTTCTCTTTTCTATTTGCTTTTTCCGGTTTGATTAATTGATATTACTATTTCATTATTTACTACGATATTCATTCATTCAACATCATTATATTCTTGTAAAAAAAATCCATTATATAAATTAACACTTCAGGACCACTCTTGTGCTTCCCACTGTATCATTATATCAGATAAGATTTATTTAGATTGATATATATGATATATATTTTTTTAAATTTGTAGTTGGTTGATTTCTTGTTTGAAGGTTTTGCATTATAAAAGAAATAAACACGTATTTTTCAGTTCTAACACAAAACAAAATTGCCTTGCTTCATCTATTCATTCAACACATTTAACATAATATGAACGGTATTTTTCGCAACTTTTGCCTTTAAATGCAGTTCAGCCTAATATTAAAAAAAAAAATGGATAGTTATTTCTAAACAATGAAATAGTTGTTTATTATGACAAATTTTCATGCTTTGGCAACAGCACGACACAACAGCAAGGACACAATCCACGCATATCTGTGACCAATCAACACAAAATGAGAAAAATTGGAATCCACATGCAGGTTTAATTCTCTCAAGTTAGTTTTTAATCTTTAACGCGCCTTCAATGTTCTTCACACATATTTCCAGCAACGTATGCTCTCACGATCTATCAAGAAGTTTTTTCCCTACAAAATTTGTGTCAGTCAACCTTGCATTTAACTCAGCTTGTGCTTATTGTTAGCGCGTATATTCTGGTTTGCGAGTCGAAAGTGCTAAAAAGCAGAGAACAATGTAGTGTATAGCTTCAAATTAACCTTGGTCCATCCTGGCCCCAACATAATTTTGTTTTCCGCGTACACAAATATCTAAGCCAGTCTGCGTCTGCAAGGTTTATTGATTTTATAAAAATATTATCCAAAACCAAACAAAAGCATAAATTTATGATTATGATTATAAAGATTTATTTATTTTAGTACGCGGCGTTTATAATTTTAGAAACTACTTATCTAAATGACGTACTTTTTTAATTAAAAAAAAAATCAGTGATTTAATGAACGCTTACGTCGGAAAGCTAACGATAAGCTAATAAATAAGAAAAATAATGTATTATCCACCTCTCTCGGCAAGAAATGATGCCAAGGGAGATGCATTTTACTACTATGGTCGTTCTTATCTGCGGCCGAGAGCAGTCGACATGTAACCTTTAAGGACTCGCAAATTATGCTGGCCAAAAATATTATATCTTATGAAATTTTGTCGCAAAAAATTGCCTTCTGTCATCGCTCATTTATGCGCGCACGCCATTGCCGAATAAATAAATTTCCTTTTGGAATTTCTCATATATACTAAGAATAACAATGAGGGAAAGAAGAAATTTTCCTCATGACTTCCCAAAGCCATTTTCTAGAAATAACCAGGGACATGTATTTTCTTGCTTCTTTCCTGTGGATCTGGAATGGATCGAGCAGGTCTGTGATGTAACCTGCAGACATTTATCTTCTGCTCCAGCAGCTTCTTCTCTCGTTTGTGTGCTGACTGTATACAACACATTTACTAAGCCAAAAGTAGGGATGTACAAGACTCGTGCTCTGTGAACTTTCTCTGCGCCAACTTAGCGTCACGTCCATGAGCAAAATGCACAAACGTTATATCACACGCTATTTAGTTTGATCACGATTGAGAAGAGCGAGGCTCGATAGCCACAGCTAGCAAAAATGCCATTGTGAAACTAACGCGCCTCTAGATTTAAAAAATATTTATTATGCTGAAATTAATAATAATTTGGAATGATTGTATTGATATAAAATATTATTTTGACAAAAAGGTCTTTATTGCTCTCACAATATATTATATAAATCAATCGGTCAGGGTGTTCTGCTATAGTAAAAGTTCTGTAGATTAAGGTCGGCTGTTCGAGCGGATCATCGTCAGTTGAAATATCACGGAGAGTCCATAAAGGTGTAATGTAATGAGAACACATCGTAAGGGCGTATTGGATAACTTCCTTATTACGAGAAATTTTGAAATACTACTTGCAGCTTTTAAAACAATCAAAGACAAATAAGCAGGTCAAGCTGCAATTATTATTCACCTTTATTTTCTGTCAGAGAAATTAGCAAACTTTTTAGTGCTTTGCATTGCAAACAATATTTTTTGTTACCTGAGGATATTTGAAATATTGTGATTTTTACACAAATTATTTAATCATTTACAATGTTTTATAAAAACTTGTCCCTTTCTTAAACAGAGCCGGTGGCATAATACAAATATTCTGAAGTTTTACAAATCTATGTCGTGTGAGTAGCTACACCTTGTTTTAATATTTTTCATTAAAAAAAATAATAATAATGATATATATATATATATATATATATATATAAAATTGATATATTTTAAATAATTATTTTCTCTTATATTGACCACTTTTGTATTGCCCGTATGGTGAACTAATAATGGAATGTTGTTGTGTTGCAGTAGCTGGAATCAGATGTTCGCCTCTAGATAGATTTCTTCGTCTTCCAATTTATTGCCAATAAGTAGGAATTCTGATTCAGATGCGTGTCCATTAAAACGAGCAAGCACCGCGAGAGTTGTTATTTCTCGCTCTTGCACAATTCCTAATCGGCTTAAAAGCGCCGTGTGTGTTTCCAAATTCAAATTCCATTAAAAGCTTTTTTCTGCATCGGGACCATCAGAATTACCGTTGTGGATAAGACAGATGCTGGTCAAGGTGGCGTAATTATGATAATGATAGTGACGCGCGTGGGATGCAAATTATCATAAATTATTATAATGATAGCATGAGCACTGCGAAATGTGTGTATGCGCCTCTTGCAGATAATTATACACACAAGCCAAGAGCCAAAATTTTGTGCCAAAACTGCGAAATTTCAAGCATTTCACTTTCTAGACCACAATCATTTTGATTTTTAAATAAGCAATTATTATTTTCATTAAACCAAGAAACATACAAAAGTAAATGTAAAATATGAAAAAAAAACCGAAAAAAGAAAGTAAAATTGAGATCATGTTCAAAATTCAGTTTGAATATACTCTGGTGCAAACATTTTCTCTCGTATTTATGGACATGTTCTAAACTCTCTAATGTCATTTTAAATTTCGATTGATAATGTATGCAGAGCATGCGAAGCGACCGCCACTATACACAGTCGATGTTATTCAATTCAAGGCACATAATATACTCACTTTTGCCGCGGCTACGCGCTTGCTAATGTAATGAATTGAAATTGAAGTCTTCACGCTTGCCTTTCTTCGGTGTCAAACCGAAAGCTAAGAGTTTAGTAATAAATATAGCTCTTGAACCATTGAAAAAATAAAAAAAAGCCTGCAACTTCTTAATATAAATTCAATAAAAATATAGTTACTTTGAAGAAAAAATTATGAAATTGGAGATATTTTAGGCGACGACAGCGATAATTAAATGAAATAATTAATTAAAAGTACAAGTGTATTATTGAAAATAAAATTACAAAATTGACTCTCATATCGCTTGATGTGTATTCATATGTGCATATACAATGGATTAAAACGGTAAAGGGCACGACTATATATTATAATTTATGAGCTCATAATGTGCCAAAAAAGGACGGATTCCAAGGAAAATAGCATGTCGATCAATCAAAGCAAAAAGGTAATTTTACGACGAGAACAAAAAAATTCGTGTGCAGAGTGAGAAGGACGAATAACTTGGACGTCCCATGATTACCTCAGAATCGTGAGTGCATCCATTGAAGACCTTGATTACGCGAAAGATAAAAGCGCGCGCTTGATGCCGACTACATAATTGGATATTGTACATTCCGATGCGGACATACAGAAAACGGACTTTTTGCCGCGAATGTGTGTAGGTCCGTCTCGCCTCCCGAAGGCTAACGTTTGGTGGTACATTTGGCGAGAGAGATGACCAAGGGCTGGAGGAGCAGCAAGGAAATTTCAGCGCGCCATTCCGGCCTTTGGGCCAAAGATGTTGCCGCTGCCGTTAACCTTGCTTCCACTTTCACTGATCAGACCATCACGGTCATCGCTTCCTTGTCATAAAATTCACCCAAGTTGCACCAAACTCGCACGCTGGACAATTCCATTAAAGGATTAGATGATATGACACACTCGCTCCCAAGTCGTTAAGTCGGATGGAGCAGCTTCGGTTAAGGACATGCTCGTTTTATTCAAACCGCCATTGTTGGCACATTGCAATATTTGAAAAGGTTAAAATTTTTCGCACACATATCGGCGCAGACTCAAGTAAAAGCGTGAGAATAATCGTAACACATTTTTAACAATGCACAAGTTTAGTCTGATTTCTTAACCTATTAATTATTAAACATTAATCAATAGTTTGCAACTATTGGAATCTTTTTACTTTACAATGTGCTTAGGAAACAATTTTTATTTTTAATTTAATTACTGTCATTGCATTAAATAGCACCATAAATAATAAGATTTGCCTAATGTAGCTTCATAGCCTCTCCTTAAAATGTAATGAAAAATTTTATACTCACTATTAAAAAAAAATTTAAAAAAAATTATAAATTTTAGTCTCCTCCGTAATAGAAAAAATATTTTTAAAATTGAAAAAGGGGTGTTACAACTAGCAGCATGTCTGCTGAAACACCCAAAATCAATAGAAACTCAGCCGCCGCGTAAACCTGCACTATTGGAAAAAAGTACAATATGACATTTTATAAAAAAAAAAGCTGCCAAAGATAACATTTAATTGACTTGTATTTACTGAGTTCATTCACCGCATTCATGCGCATATTTGTTCAAAAATGTCGCTGGAAATATACCTGCTTTGTTAAATTTAAATTCTGGACAAAGAGCGCTCTTGTCCCGTCAAGTCAGCAAATTCTCTTAAAGCTTATTTGCCATGAGATATATCTCAAGTTAAGAGTCTCCTTAAAAAATGGCTTTCTTATTGAATACTGTATTTCAATGGACTACTATTTGTTTACCTACATACAATTTGAAGTGATGAAACTGGTCGTTGAGTAAGCAAACGATATTCTTCACTTTCTGAGCAGGAACTTGGAGGTGACGTGCTAATCCGTCTGAGGTCAAGTTTAACTCATGACGTACGTTTAAATCAGAACAGCCTGGACGACCTTTGCGCCGAGATGTGGCAAATTAAAAATACAAAATGATGAGAGCAATAATAGCCGCGTAGAGTTTTATTCATTGCGCGTCTGAAGGTGCTTTATTATATCATCCTCGGCGCGGATGACCCTTAAGACAAAATTAAAATTAATTAAGTCACGATAAAATGGAGATTTCGACCTAAATAATGGTGGAGTTAGCAATGAGACCACCGCAGACAGATGTTCCTTGCTTTAAAGTTGAAGGTGCTTCTACAACAAAAATAAAATAATCGCGTTCTATACCGGTGGACGCGCGCTAGCGTTACTTTTATTTTCATTCTCGCGCACAACATCCTTTCGCTCTCTCGTACAAAAAGTCGGTTAGTGAGATCACTGCCTCAATGCTTTCTGCCTTTTTACTTGGGATTATATCTCACATAACTTTTTTAATAAACCTTGATGGCCGCGGTCGTAAATTTAATTAATTGTGAACTATTTTTGAAAATTCTAATTAGCAGTCAGTTCCAGTCTTTTAATATCATAATGCAAAATGGAAATAAAATAATGTGTTGGAGTTTCCACTTAGATTTTTTTTCATTGTGTCAGTGAATTGATTACAACGAAAATTTTTTTTATTTTTTAGTTTATCGCTAATTGATATTTATATTTCAAAGTTTATCAGACACGAATGATTTCAAAAATATTTCAAAGAATCGCAAAACGTTACGAGCGCATGTGTGTGCAACAGATTGTACTATATAATATGGTATGAATTATGAATAGTAATTTTGAGGAGATACAAAAATCGTGTCCGCCGGCGTTGTGTTGTTCATGTGAAAATAATCATTAACCAGGAGCCACGGACCCACGGTTCAGAATTAGCTAATTGGTTTCACAGGTTGAGATGCGTGCAGTTGCACAAGAGCACAATATAATCATTGTTCTGCCCTGCATGAGCGGCCTCGATGCCTCCTTTTGCTTTTGCTCCGCCGCTGCAATCTCCATGAAAGCATTCAACAGCGCTTTTAATTTGCGTTTTACCTCTCAACTTCCAACAGCATCGTATTTTAATTTCAAAATACATTTCAATACTTTGAGAATACAAAGGTTGGCTTCAAATTGAATTGAATTTTATTCAATTCACATAATACATATATTTTTTAGTTTAAATATTAATTGTAAAATAAGGAGTATCTACTTATGCAATAAATAATTTTTTAGACTTTTAAAATATAATTGAATTGAAATTTATGATTAAATTTTAAATAATTTTATGTGTCTGTACCGCCTATATAAATTGTTAATTGTATTTGTATAATATAAAAGTAAAATATTATCAAATTTTTAAAAATTAAAAAAAAAAATATATAATCACATATTTATATTTACTTTGCAATTGTATCCGGATCAAAAGTTATGGGGTAATCAAAACACTTTATTTTTAATAAAATATTTTCGGAAACTTTGATTATGCAACTTTTAAAAGCAGTATAAATTTATCACCTTTATATTTCCTAGAGTACTCTTTGCTTTTCAGTTGCCCAAAAAGGTGATTATTCTGGAGAGGCAATAAATTACATTTCTTCGAAAGGAAATGGACTCGAATGCCATTGAGGCGCCACTAAAAGAAAACACATTTGCATATTTGTGCTGCAATCGACATGTGTGTTGTATAATATGTAGCCAGTCAAAAACCCGAGAAGTGAATCTAAGCGCACCACAGTAAAACAATTTTATCAAACGTGTGTTCACAAGTCCCAGTTCTTTGTGTTTCTTTGTTACGCAATTTGGATGAATTCCCACGCCATTCATAGTAATTCTCTTACATATCATTACACATTTTGCGTGTGCCCCGCGTGTGTGTGCAAATGATATAAACACGCGCACATATTGTATTCGAATGAGCGCTATGCCAATGAACGCGGCCGGATTTTGTGGAAAAAGTGTATAATGTAAAATTGACGATGGGAAGAGAAATTTTGTTCCTTCTAGACTGGACGTACGAAAACTCTAAAAAGCACATTCCTCCAAATATGCCTGTTGGCAGAACCTTTGGCTGGCGTGCGATTCAAAAACCCCCTCTACCCTGCAGAAGGTATAAAACTGACGCAGGGCCCCGCGAGCATCTTTAGTTAACACAAGTGTCTCTCCCTTTGTAGCTCGTGCAGGACTTGGACTCAAGGTGAGCCTTACTTTTTTGCGGTACACAACTTTCTTGATTTTAGCTTCGCTTTCCTAAATCTAGCAAGTTTTTTTTGTGCATCACTTTTTATGTTTAAGAAGCAATGTAAATTAACTAATTGCCATTGCATGGTGCTGTGCAATATTTTACCAAACTTGTGTAATGAGAATATAATAGTCAGAGACAAAGCTTGAGCGTTTCCTTTTCCGTGACGTTTAATTACACTAAATTTTTATAAACATTCCTTGAATGATGTTTTTAAATTGTTTTTGCTATGATAGTTTTTACGAAAAAAAAACTTTTTTAAAACTATTTGCAGAGAAAATTCAGGCCTCTATTTTTAAATTTATTCCATCATCATGCTGATGCCTGATTTGAATTTATTATGCACTTTAAGAGGTACGCAGGAAACAACGTACAAGGTCTTTTATTTTTGAATATAATTATATTATAATTTATTTGCATTGCCTATTTACCTTTTAATTTATTGCAACTTCCTTAAATCCTTTCGTTATTTCCAAAAAGGCATTAGTAGCCTAAAGCATATTGAGGCTCTTTACTTTATAAACATTGCTAATTGCTGGAGTCTAAATGTTTCATGCACATACGAAGGGCCAGTGCAAAAGAGAGTTGTTGCAAAAGTGCCTAAAATTAGGGTCAAGAATAAATTCTCGACGTGATTCTCTTTATATATGTACATAAATTGCATATAATGTAAACAGTGAGCGTTTCACACTAGGCATTTAAAATTAATGCACGTCTCTCGTCCGGCGCTCGGCATTGTTTCTCCAGAATCATTACGTCATAAATCTCGGTTGCGCGCATAATTAATGCTCTGGGTTTATTAGAGATGACAGCTGAATATTTTTCGTGGAGAGAAACCAGCTTTTTTGCTTTGTGTTGGCCCAACACAATAATTTCGATTGCGATTGACCTTTAGCTCTCTTCCTTGCTTTATTGCACACTGAACCTAATTTATCATTCATTAACATCTCCGTGGGAAAGTTTTTGCTCGGGGCTTGGCGTATAAGGCGCGGGCCGTGTGGACTATTAGTAGAAGATTTCACTATTAAATTCCTGAGCCAGTGCTTCAAATATTTCAAATGCGCATTGAAAAGAAATTTTTTTTCATTACTCCCTGAATAAATTGACATTTTTTTCTTTAATTTCATCGCAAATAATATTAATTTTATCAATAATTATCCAATTAAACATCAATAAATATTAACAAAATTAATATAAAAATTTCCACAGATGTTCCGAGGCCTCCTCCTGCTGGCTTTTGTGGCAGGCGCCCTTGCAGCTATTTCTGGTAATAACGGAAGCGGTGGACGTCCAAGTGGACCAACAAACAAACCCGGCCGATTCTTATCACTCCCCGTCCCAGAAAAGTGCGCGCAGCGTAAGTTGAGAAAAATAATAATTTACAATTCTTGTTCTCCGTTAATAAAAAAATAAAACCACATAAATCTTGTTGACCTGGCATATAAACATGTTGTGCAAATTGAAAATGAACCTTTCAGGTCCCAAGCAGTGGAGACTTGGCAACCACAACTACTTCTTCTCTGGCAACATCAGCCAGTTCGCTGGCAAGAAATACGACTGGCTCGACGCCAGGAACGAGTGTCGCGAATACTGCATGGACCTTGTGTCAATGGAGACTCAGCAGGAGAACAACATGGTCCTCCGCTTCATCCAGCAATGTAATTAAAAATTAATTAAAACATATTCAGTGCTAATCAGGAATTTTCAATAGACGACGTGCCCTACATCTGGACCTCAGGTCGTCTTTGTGACTTCAAGGGTTGCGAAGACCGCAAGGACCTTCAGCCCCTCAGCGTCTTCGGCTGGTTCTGGTCGACCACTCGGGCAAAGATTGCACCCACCAATCGAGTGCCCCCCAACTTCAGCTACAACCCCTGGTCTCAGACTGGCCACAAGAAGCAGCCCCAGCCTGACAATGCTGAATTCGACATTAACCAGACCACCGAGTCTTGCCTCTCAGTTCTCAACAACGTCTACAACGATGGCATCAACTGGCATGACGTTGCTTGCTACCACGAGAAGCCTTTCATCTGCGAGGACTCTGACGAACTCCTCCAGTATGTGGCTGCGACCAACCGGGGCATTCGCCTCTAGTCTTTCTCCCACTCTCAAATATTTATCAAAGCAAAATAATGCTCTGTTCAATTGTACATTGAAATAAAATTATTTTCTAATTTATGTTTTAAAATTAGCCTGTTTGTTTTCTTAAAAATGAGAAATTGCCTTAATAAGTTATGTGCATATTTACCTTTAAATTTATTATCACTACAACGGAAAAGTATTCGGGAACAACAGTCCTAATATTGACTGGTCATTCCGGTTTGCGTTTTCTGATTCATCCACCTGCGAATGTACCTAATTCGTTTGTTCAAATCCTGCCACTTCTTTGGTCGCCTCAGAGCAAAGTCTGTACTTTGGAGCATTTTCCTTTTGTGCAGAAGCATCCTGAATTCATTGCCTCTCATTCCTCTGGCGTAGAAAGGAATGTGGTACTGAAGAGACACGGGGTGGATGTTTTCATTGCCAAGGATGTCGATGTAATCATTCTGTTAGAAAAGACCCAATCAATGTTTATACAAAAGTATAATTAATTATTTATAATTCACCTGTCCAAAAAGGGCTCGTTTTGGGGCCCATGCATCAGATGGCCTGTACTCTGGCATTGGAAGTCTCCTCTTTTCATCAGGAAGTCTTGGGAGAAGTCCCTTGTGGAGCCTGATGCAATATCCGTGTCTTGGTCGAGGTGGTGGGACCTTCAAATACATACATAAAAGGCAATGTTAAAAAATATTTCAAACCAAAATATTTCATATTTTACTTACCAACTTTGTCATCGACTTGTTTCGAACGGCTTGAACACAAACTCTGTGGAACGCACTTACTAAGGAAAGGGAATTGGAACAGAGTTTTGTCAGGCAATTCATTTTTGCAATTTTCGGTATCTGCAGTGGTTAACTTTGATGAAAACTTGATTAAATTAAATTTCACGTGCTTGAGAAAATTTCTTCCAAATATTTTGTTCCACCTCAACCTTGATTGGCTGATCTCTGACCACGTGACCACTGATCGGCCAATCAAAGTGGGACAATATATTTGACAATTGCGCAGCTGGCCATGTTAAATTTCTCCTGTTTTGACCTCGCCTCTCTTTTCTCGTTTCTCGTCATGTGTTTGCGGAGTTGTACGGTGAGAAGAAAGTCACGGGATGTATCGGCAATTATTTAATCCTATTAAAATTCAACGGTAATTATGCTGTGATGGCTTTGCGATGGCAGAAAGAGTGGATTCCCCTCGTCTCGCAGCAGGTATTAAAACGATCGCTCTCGTCCTTTGCGTTGGACTTGCAGCCTTCTTTTATAAAAGAGGTTATCGCAAGATTGAAACTTTTAACTTTTTGCAGATGAGGGTCCGCAATCTCACGCAAATTTTGGCCTACAACCTCTACCCAGAATCATTACAAGAATGCGGCGAGAGACCCAAGTTTTTCTTCACCCTCCACTTGACTAGCAAGAGTGCTCCGTTCTACACAAGCGACCATGCCACAGGACCGAATCCTCGATGGATAGAAATTGATTTCAAGGACAAAGCTGGTCTCTCTAGCTCTAGTAAGCAATAATTTAATTACCTCGTCGATTGAAATTAATTTCCATTCATTTGAAGGTTTTGTAATTTGCATTTGGCAAGTTGGTTTGCCAGACAAGCTAATTTTCACCTGGGGCGTGTGTCTCTCAGGCCTTCAACTTGCACCCCTGGACCAAGACCTGAGCAAAGTTTCTAGCACCAAAACTCTTGTTTTCTTCATTCACGGCTATCGATTTGTTCCTCCTACCAAGGACCAAATACTTATGAGGCTGGCTTCGGCCACTGTTAATTCTAATGATGTAAAATTATCTTACCCTGTCAACCAGTTAAGGAGGTAAGTTTTTTTTAAACTTGGGAAATGCTTTAACTTAATATTTAATAATTCACAGGCTAAAGACTTATCAGTTCAAGCTGGCTGAGGAAACTGCTGTGTGTGAGAGCTTGGGGCAAGAAGTTCAAAGATTAGGGCCATTTCCTCCGTCTGTGTCACCTGTCGTTGCAGCGGGAAATAGATATCACTACCACCAGCTGCAGCAGCTATGTGAAAATTTGAGACTAAAAATGAGACTTCTTAAAGAAGAAAAGTCAAGAAAAGAGAAACAGGTGGAAGAGTTAAAGAGTGTCGCTCACAAGTTAGCTGTTGCAACTGAACTGAAAAGTCTGTGAAATCCTGCACATTGAATGCCTAAATATATAATTTATTTAAAATTCAGGAGCAAACCTGCAAAAGACTGTAAAGTCTCTTGAAGAGAGTTCCAGCTTAGAAGACTCAAAACTTCTACTTTCACAAGTAAAGGAGACGACTACTCAGACCTGGTCTAAGCTTGTGCAGCGCAGACAAGAACTGATTTCACAGCTGAAGTATATTTATCCAATTTCAATTGTAAGTGTAAGATTACATTCTTAATTTAATATAATTTAAAACATTTGAATATTAAATAGGATCCAGAGGGCCTTGCAAAAATATGCGGGGTTAAACTTTTGCGGTCTGATGAACTGAATAGCCAAGATGAAGCGTCTTCCTCTGTAGCACTTGGGTTTGCTGCCCATGCAACTGTGATGGTTGCAAGTTTCTTAGATGTGCCTCTCCGTTATCCCATTCAACCTGCTGGTTCTCGAGCCAAAATATGGGATGTAGTGGCATCAAAGTTGCCTGATTCTGAACGAGAGTAAGAAATTTGACTTCCATTTGCTCACAATGTCACAGGCCAATTTATATCTTCTGTGGCAGGTTTCCGCTCTTCCTAAAAGGCCGGGATGCAATTCAGTTTTATTATGCCGTCTATCTTCTTAATAAAAACATAGCTCAACTAAAATACTACACCGGCTTCAGCATAAGAGACCTGAGAACCACTCTTCATAATCTTAGGGAGCTTCTCTACATGAAATCAGTAATGTAAGTGAAATTTACATATTTTTGTCATTTATTGACAAAAACTAATTCTTGTCCAGGCCACATATGAAAAATTCAAACTCGACTTCTAGTATTGAAGCTGCCATGCCTGCCCGCAGTCTAAAGAGTGCTCCTGTTACAAGTAGTGCTGAAGAGGAGCAGCTTCCTAAACGAAACAGACTGGCGGTTGAGGAACATATTAAAAGTGCCAGCTCAATGGAAAGCGTAGACAACTGCTTTTTGGAGCCTCCTTCCCAAGCTCCTCTATCAAAAGACAAGGTTTGATCATTCTTAATAATTGATTCTTTTTAATTATTATTTTCTTGCAGGAATCTGCAACGCATTGCTCTCTCGACGAAGGTTTAGACATCATGAGTGAGACAACTAGCTCATTCAGCATGCACAGCAAGATAGCCAACAACTCGGATCCAAATCTTCGACAAGCCGCTTTGAAGGGCAACACATTTTCTCCCAAAGAGGCCGTGAGTAATCCTCAGATACAAAATATTTCTACCGTGGTGAAATTGCGAACTCAAAGCGAATGTGTGGCTCCCAAATCTGAAGTTTCGAAAGAAAAACTTCCAACTTGCAACTCTCTAGACAATCTCTTTGCGAACGTAGCCAACCGAACGGAAGCCCTGGCCAGCAAATCGGGCAGCTTTAATCTAGTGAAATCGAGACCCGTGGAGAAGTCTTGATGTACTTTTAAATTCCAATATTGTTATTTCGTACTGCCTGTGATCACCATTGGTTTGTGATTTAATTTGTATGAAAAGTAACTAGGCATGAAAACAGAATGATATCATTGTGCGTAACGTGAACATTGCTCTATAATTTATCACTGGATTCATTAACAGCGTAAAATCAGTCCCAAAATCCTAATAAACTTATGTTATGAAAATGCGTTAACTTTTGCATATAATTTCTACAATACAATTCATAAATCTCAACATTTTGGTAAATTTAACACGAAAATTTGATTCTATTGACTATCCAGCTTGGGACAAGCTGTAAATTGTTGAAAGACTAGACCGCACTGCCGGTGGGTCTCGGAAAGCCTTAAGCTGAGCCAACATTTGCTCGCAACTTGCTCTTGTCGTTTCCAGCCGCTTGCGCCACTCCTTGACGAGAGCCAATGACTTAATTGGATCTCGAAAACATTCGGAATTTTCACTTGCAATGCAGGACAACTTAACTTTTGTGCTTCGCAAATTATCTGGTTGCAGCATCAAACTCTGTGAATTTGACTCTTCGCTTGCTTGCAAATCCAAATTATTACTTTTCTCGTCGCTCTGACCCGTCGAATCGTGCTGCTCTTTATCCGTTGACGTTTCTGCAGAACTTTTCTCCAAAACTTTTAATTTTCGTTTCCCTTTCTGCGGTTCCACTTTGCATTTGCTTGTTTTGTTGCTCAACTTTGAATCATCTCGCTTAACCACAGCCATAATCTTTCCAGACACGCGCCCTTTGAACTTGGCTGCACTTTTAGACCCTTTAGTATTCTTTAATGGTCTGGGGGTGGAAGCGGATTGCGGTCTACTAGATCCATTTGTTTGCATCTGAACTGAACTCGACGGCCGCGAGACATGCTTGCTCTTTTCAATAAGCAGGTGCTCTAAACGTGAGCGCAGTTCTGAGGCAGAAATTGCCGGTGGCTGATTTAATTGCCCCGGGTCGTTTAAGATTTCAAAATTAAACAGTGGTCCCACGGGCTTCTTTTTCGGGGCGTTCAAATCTGCTTTTACGACTTTCAGGGGTGAATCTGTAATCATTAAACAACAATATTTTTCATATGTTAAAATTTTAAATTCAAGCATACCCATCATGACTCGGTGCTGCCCAACTAAATTGAGTTTATTTTCGTCCTCTGATGATTCAGAAATCGAAGCTCCGGAGCTCGACGTTGACGAAAAACTATTGTCATTTTTCTTTTTCTGCCTTCGCCGTCGTCTTTTAGGCCTGGAAGCCATCATTCTTCGCCCTTTCACGCCGAGAGCAACTCCCTGATAGGGTGGAGCCGGAGGGCTGTTTTGTTTATAAATCAACTCAAACATTCCAGTAGACGCTTCCTTGTCATCCCTTCTGTCCACCACAACTTCAACCGAAAATTTTAAATTTTCCACCTGACAAAATAAATGTATAATTACCTTTTAAAACATCTTCCAGACACTGAGCACACATTCTTGCCGTAACACTGGTGCTGGGCGCCATGCAGGGCGAGCAATTTATTTCAAGCAGCCATGGTTGCAAATCGTTTTCGGTCAAAAGAAAATCGGCGCCGTAAAGTTCAAAACAGTTTTTCTGGCAGTCCTGCAGCCAATCTTGCGAGGCCAGCATCGTCCCAATGATGCCAGAACGCATTCCAGGGTAGATAATTTCGTCCCACGCGTCCGCTCTAACGGAAGATTACTAGTTTTTTTGTTCACTGTAATTTTTTCCCGGTTACCTGCCAATAGAGCGGAGATATGTTTGAAAAGTATAGCAGTCCCACATATTTTCATCTGGCAGCGCTTTGTCGCGAGGGCAGTTTTGGTACCGACACTGCACGGCGTTATTGCTCAAGTGCACCGACTCGTGCAAATTCTGGAGATCAAATATTTGGGAGCAAAATCTCATATAGCTTTCCCTGAAATCAGAAAAAAAACGTCGTTTGGTCTTTTTTCCGATTAAAAAATACAATAAAATAGAACCACCTGTACATCCAAATAGTGAGCGGTTGCGCGCAGGTTATCAAAAACCACTGCCGAATATCGAATTTTGTTTCGTAGATAAGCATCGGCCGCTCTGCTTGTTGAAAACGACCAAAAAGTAACATTTTAATCATTCAAAATTCAACTCGCCTAGATATTTTTGTACGACGAATCGTGACTCTTTGCCAACTCCTGGTTGCGTCCGAGCCGTGATGTTCTCCAACCTACTCATAATTTGAATTCCTCTGCCGCAGGATCGAGCGCCAGGCTTCACGATCCACAAATTCAAAAAGCCATCGTGAGACGAAAACGGCCTTAGTTTTACAAACTGATCTAAAATTTCATTGATGGAAGCCATGTTTTCCTTGACACGATTCATTATTTTAAACATTTCCGTCAAATTTAATTAATTTAAATCGTTACTTCTCTTTGCTGGGGACTCTCCCACGCGACATGAGCGCATTCGTGTACAAGTTGGTAGTAATATGTCAAAAACTGGTCCCACTCGCATTCCCAGACTTTGTGCGTGATTTCTGGATCGTCAACGTCTTCGTGTCGTAAGTGGCGCGTGTGCTCCTTAGCTCGGCGCATTGCGAATTGCACTGCTTTTGGCGGAATCCAGATCTGTGCAATTTTTTCCACATTATTATTCACTTATTCTTCTCGGCTGGTACAAGAGTTTAAAAATTTAGGAATGAGAGAAGAAAGGGTGTAATACTAGCAGATGTCTGCTAAAAATCTCGATATCAAAAGAAAATCGGTCCAGCTGCCATAAAAAATTGATAAAAATTAATTTGAAACCTGTTTTGGCATTTGAAGGGCTTCTTGGTCAGGTTTTTGTTTGAAAACGTGTCTGAGCATGCTGAAACAAGCGGTGAGTCTGAAATCGGTGACGAAAGCTCCCATTTCATCCGCTTGCGAGACGCAGTAGCTGCGGGGAAAGAAAGTGTCCGAGACGCCCTGTTCGGTGAACCAATGCATGTGTTGCAAAGCGTTGCTCAGTCCCACCTAACGTTAGAATTTTAATTTTAAAACAAGATTTATGCTTCAATATACTTTTGTCGTAAAAAGTGCTCTTGGGAAACGATTGACGAGCTGCCAGCGCGCCAAACTGCGCCAGTCGACCGTGTCTGACCGAAGTGCCCACACGAGGTCAGGAACACAATTTCTTAAGAGTCTTGCTATAAGTAATGGATCCTCAAAGTCCACGATATTTGAGCAATCTGCAAATTCAAAGATTTAAATCTTTTTACTATCAAAGTTAAAGTATGTCACCCGCGATACATGCGTGACATTCAGGTTGCATATTTCATATTGGGAAAAATTGCTTTTTTTATTTCGTACTTTCGTAGAATAATTTCAATTTCACGATCGATTTATGTTGGTTGAATTGAAGTTCGGCTATTGTTTTTTACACTAAACAATGAAACATATTGAGGAAAAGCTGAATTTAAATTCAAACACCACAAAATTCTTTTTATATTTTACAAATTATTGGGTCCATTATGGAGACCATTTTTTTATGAAATTCAAATCGACCAATCAATATCTCTATCCCATTTTGCTATGGGTTCCAGCAAAGAATTAACGAGCCTTTAAAATAATTTACCTTCGGTGCTTTTCAATGTCTGCTTTTTCTTGCGTGCCATGGAGCAGCTGCTCTTTTCCAACCACCCCCTTTGCTTCAGCGCCTGCCGGATAGCTGGAAAAGCGCCTGCCACAGTAAATACTTTGTGCTCCTAGAATTTGTCCAATGGCACAAAAAATCAAAGAATAAAGTCATTTTTTTTAATGAGAATTTGAAAGTTACTTTTTAATTAAAATAATTTTTTAAATTCATTAAAAGTAAAAACCTTAACCGCGGCATCGACGGCCAACTTGAGCACCCGCAGTCGTTCATACGAAACAGAGCCATGCAAAGGAGGACGTTTGGCTCCCTCGGCCTCCTTACCAGAAGCCAAGAGGGAGCCCTGGACGCCGTCGTCCTTGTCGTCCATCGACTTCCCTTCTGCTCCTCCTATGCTGCATAAACAGGCTGACACGTCGTCATGGATACAACTTGTTGAAAAGGGTGATGGAAATTTGGGACACGCGTGCCAGCTTTAGGAGGGCACCGATTTCCAATTGCCCCGCATCCGAATTGCCATTTCAAGTAGCTCGCCATTTACTTTGTTCAATAATGTAACGATCGCAGAGGATAAGTAGTTTAAAAAAAGAGTAAAACCAGATTTTTTTTCAATATCTTTATTTATTAGTTTGGTAGCAGGATCAAACATGTTGATGCTGCTTCCAAGATTTTGCTCATCAGAGTATTATTACAATTTTTGTTAGATGCCTATTTACTTTTGGAACGCTCTAACTCACTTATATTTCTATTTTACATTTGCTGTTAGAAAGCGTAAAGAAACACCCGCTCTGTTAGTTTTGATTGAAAGACGTCATTGGCTGCTTGAGGTCTTTCAGTCATTAGTACTTCTTATCCTTAACTTGTAAACAGATCACATTCAAAAAATCTGACCGCCTCCGGTTTTGACAGTCACACAAAATTTTGTTTTATTTATGGCTAAATGATTGTTTTTGACGACATTCTTGTGCAGATTTTTATTACTTAAAGCAATTAATAAAAAATGATATTCAAGACATTTAACACATTTTTTCTACCCTGCAAGGCAAGATTTAACCATGCCCTAAAATTCATCTCTCTTTATATGTTTTATTCACTGACATATATAGTCTACAGACACATGGATACTCTGTATTTGCAAGCAAGGAAAATTAAATTTTTTACTTCAAAACTTTTTGATGAAAAACAACAGTTTTTTCTATTGAGGAGTCTTTTTGGCACAACAAACTCCTCACTATCTCATTTAGAACAGAATTATTATCTATTTATAAAATTATTACTTTTCAAACATTAATAATAATAATAATAATAATAATTAAATCTGGCAAATTCTGTGTAAAATTCAAATGTCATTTAAATTTAAGCGGATATAAATTTTTTTCAGTAAAAAATTAAGAGAACAATTAAGCACTTAACGTTTTAAACTTAAAGATAGTTTATTTCAACTACCGTGGCGTATTCCCTTTACTTTAAGTAGCTCATTAAGTCTTCTTAAATTCTTGATAAGTTGAACACCATTAATTTGGCACCTAAACACACATTATTACCGAAACACTCACTGATATAATGTCCTCCCACAATTATTCTTCCACAAATGTAAATGGTTTTAGTGGATAATTATTTTATATTTATCGTCCAATGACCCATTCAGCGTTTTTACAATTTGACGGGTACCAAGTAGAGTTAAATGAAAATGAAAACTACGGAAAAATATGTATAAAAAGTAAAAAACAAAAATTATTTAAATTTAAATAGTTGAATTTTTCTTACTCAGATTAGTAAGAAGAATCACTAGACAGATTCCAAAATACCGGGCAAAAATTTTTGGATGGTATTTTTTAAATCCATTTGCATGCTTTGACAACGACGAAACTGGACTTCGATTTACTTGTCACGGGTAATCCTATGAAATTAGCGCAAACCATTCAAGAACACCAAATTTTACAACTGTATCTATACAACTTTACAACCATAAAACGGCAGCTCCAGAGCAGCTCATAGAGTCAAGTTCTTATGATTTAATTCAAACAGAGAGAATTTTTTACAAGGATTATTGTTCTCAGCAGATTCTCAGAATTTTCTAAGAAGGATAATTCATTAACAATAATTTTGAGGCAAGTAGATTATATTTTTTTCACCTTAAAGTTCAATTATTAAATGATTTGTCAGATTTAAAATAATTTATAACATTAAACGTTAATACTTCAGAGGTGAATATTTCTAATTCAAATTTATAACAAAATCACTTAAAAGGGGACTTACACATCATCTACTTGAGTCATCGATGTGAGGCGAATTTCTGCAGAATTTACCTGAACTCCATTAATCAAAGCAGCTTGAGTATCTCTCCAAGGAGTGGTTAAAATTCGAAGACGCTAAAATTTTACTGTGTACAGAGCACAATTAGCATTTATTTCAATCCTACCTCGGAAAGTGTTCCTGGGGTGACGATGATTTTGTAAATGGCCATTCCTGGAATCATTAACACACTTGAACCGGCAATTGCCCATCCAAGGATGTTAGCCCAGGCAGGGTATTGGTAATCTTCGTACGTGAGGGGCTCGTAACCAATAAGTCCGTAAACAATGATAAACTAGAATTTATTGGAAGTTATTACTTTTTATCAAATTTTATTAAAAATCACCATTAAGAATGCGGGCGCTAGGAACATCCAGCAAATACGCCAGTAGATACCGGGTGAAAATCCAATCATCTCCTTTATATCATTGCAAAATCTGTCGCACCCTGTTAGAAGAAAAACAATAAAAAATTTTTAATTTTTTTATTAAATTTTACCATAAATCCAGGAAACGGCAATGGTTTCAAAAAGCACAGCGAAGAGCATTGAATAACCAGCGGCATATCGATCCAACAAATGGAAAAAGTAAAAACCGCCCTGAGTGCAGGAGGTCAAGCCGACAAAGAAGTACAGGGTGAAGAGGCAAGCTACAAAACGCTCTCTGTTCCTCCCAATCACTGGGAACTCGTCGCTCAAAGCAGTTATTATAGCCTCCGAGCCTCCAAACTGAAAGTTTATTTTTTATTAATTTTCAACTTAATTAACATTTTATTATGATAATAATAATTTACTGAGCTGTCAAGGCCAAGGGTGAGGAGCATCATGAAGAAAAGAAGGGCCCAAAAGGTGGAGCCAGGCATGGTGGCGATTGCTTCCGGATACACAATGAAGACGAGCCCTGGTCCTTCGGTGGCCACATCTTCGACTAGTTTTTTCGAGGCGTGCGCCATGTAGCCCAGAACGGAAAATATGACAAAGCCAGCCACAAAACTGGTGCAGCAGTTGATTATGCTCGTCACGAGTGCATCCCTAGAATAACGCAAAATTTAATTTTTCCTTTGATTCAGTTCGATATGCTTTACTGATAGACGTTGTTGTGGAATTTATTGTAAGACGCAAATGCGAGCAGCACACCGAATCCAGGGCCGAGAGAGAAGAAAACTTGCGTGGCAGCGTCAACCCACACTTCTGCTTTGGTGATGGCGTTGAAGTTTGGGCGCAGGTAGTATTTGATGCCTTCGGAGGCGCCCGGGAGCGTCACTCCCCTGACCAGCAGGGCCAACAGTACCACATAAGGAAAGAGTGCAGTGAACCAGACGACTTTGCCGGACGTCGAAATGCCCTTCCAGAGAGAAAAGTAGCAGACGAGGTACACAATCAACAGACAAGCGGCCATGTCCCATTTGATGGCACCAAGGTCGTCGATGCCACTGCTCTTGTGCAGCTCCAGAATGAAACGGCTAAAAATATAATTTGTTTTTTTAAAACTACTTTTTTCAAAAATCCACAAAATGGTTGAATTATCATTTAATAATGTGATTTTTTTAATTTTAAGATGTTACGCTTACTTGAAATATTCCTCTGCGGCAGAACTAGAGGCGTTGTCGTAACTGAAATTTGAAGCAAGGTCTGGTGCATAAGTCGAGACAACGCCATTAGGAATTAAGTTGATGGTGGTGTTGCTTGAATGCTGATCTTGAATATCCGATAAAGAGTAGTCAAGCTTAAAAAAAAATTGATTATTTTAATAAAAAAATTTCAAAAAAATAATAAAATGTGTCAGTAAAAATGAAATAATTATTATATTTAATTTTTTTAATTTTTCCTTTAATATGCTTTGATGTAAACTTAATAAAGTTTGCTCACGGGTCTGCAGTGATCCGTGTTCCAAAAGTTTCCGCAACTGGTCCAAGGGAGGTTGCTGGTGAAAGATGCGATGAAGAACCTGAGGGCCCACGCGATGATGACGTTGTAGTAGAAGTCGACGTAGAAAGCAATCAAAACCACCGCATAGCCTATCCCTGCGACGGGCAAGAGAGGAAATTAGATATCTCTTGACAAAATTAAAACAATGTTGGGGTAGAAGAGAGCGCGAAAAGGCGACGAGTCCCGAGGGTGCGCGTGCGAGTGACAATGGCTCGGAGCGCGCCGGAAGTCGGCTGCAGAGCTGGCGAAAAGAATCGGAAATGGTCACCATTTTCCGAGTCAGAGAGCACGACGCTCGAGAAAATGATATAAAGTGGTGCACGAGCAGCAAGTGGCTCTAAAATTGACTCCTTGAGTGCGCGCTGGTGAAAAATGGTGAAGAGGGAAGAATAATAGCCGCGGATAAAGTGGATGAAGAGAGAGAACTTTTTAAAGAGAAAGGCAGTGGTGGTGGCGCGCGGCTTTGGCGAATAAAAGTGTGTAGAACACGACTACTCCATCCAATATAAGCCATTTAAAATCTCGATAAAAGCTTTTTTGATAGTAAAAGGAGTGCGGCCAGGCAAGCTCACACATTAGGGCCGCGCCGCCACCCCCCATTACCCCATTTTTCTTCTTCTTATCGGCCGCGTCAAAGGGCGTCGAGCCGCACACGTCAAGCGGATTTGCCGAGACTGGGCATGAAAGAAATATTATTAAAGTATGGTGATGATTGGTATACCTTTGAACAGAGGCACCAGCCGACCCCAACAGGTGATGGAACCCTTTCTATTGAACTGACCCAGCGCCAGTTCCATGTAGAATAAGGGTATGCCTCCGATCAGCAGCATAATCAAGTAAGGAACAAGAAATGCGCCTGAAACATTTTTTTTTCAATTTAACACATATTCAATTTATTTATTTATACTGCCCTCTTCATTTAAACATAAATATTGGAATTTTTTTTTTTTTGGTCAGGCCAAGACAAAGTGTTTTATCGGTCTGTGCTCTTATGAGCTTGCAGAAATTATCTTTTTATTGAGAAATTTATTTTTTTCATTGTTTTAATGTGAAGTCACCAATTTCAAATATTTGTGCAAGAATTATAATATTTTTTTATTGTGAAACAATTCCGCTGTAAAATAATTATTAATTTCGCTTAAACCAACCTAATCATTTAATAGGAAAGTTAAAAGTCACAAAATTAAAAGCAAATGTAGAAAAAAAATATATATAAAAGGGTTAGCTGAAATTTTATTTGCAATTAAAAAATTACATATTGAGAATTCATTTAAGATCAAACAAAACAAAAAAATAATGAAATTATTACCATGATTAATTATTGAATTAAAACTCTTGCCCATTGAATCCTTTGTTAGCTTTTCTCGCTTGTCTTTTAATCAAACGGACTTTCTATTTTCAAGTATTTATCATTCACGCGCTTTTCCGCACAAATCGATTGCAAACATTTTGCAGGGTGAAATAATGCGCCATTGATATGTACGAAGTGATTTGACTAGAGGCGCAAGCACAATGAATGACAGTGAGGGGGTGCGATAGAGAGAGCAATATTGGTGTTAATTTAACAGCAGACGGGGCTGTGAATGGGGGGTGTGTTAATGAGTGTTAGATTGACAGCTCAAGTAGATGACTTGGTGCTCTATAACGAATTCATAATGCAATAGCCTCTCCATCATTCGGCCAATCAAGCGACAGCAATCAACGCAGCCTAGCCAAATATTGGCACAAAACAGCATGCACGAGATAATTTTTGAATACAAAAAACTATTATTTTTTTCGTGGATTTGGCTAAAGCTGTTGGAATTTTTTTATCGATTTATTTTCAGTTTGCTCAACAGAGCGTGATTTTATTATGTCAATTTTTTGCGCAGAAACAATCTCTTGCCGCAACATGTATGAAAAAATATGACCAAGTTATATTATTTTTACATAGTCTGGTCGTTTAAAAAATCGCATCACTTTTCTCAGTCCATGCCTAAATTATGGGAGTCGATGCCTGCCAATCACAAACGCAGACAGGCGGAACTATCGGGTGTTTTGTGGGTGTTGTGTACATTTTTTGTTTTTTAGACACGCGCATAATAGGTGTTATTTATAAAAAGGATCAGTTTTTTGAATGCATATACAAAAATACAGTGAAAAATACACAGCATGAATTTTGGCAGAAAAAAACTATTGTTGCGCATGTAAGCATTTGTGCAGGCCGACTTAATCAAAATATACAGCATCTATTTCAGTCTCAATTAAGTCGGTAAAGACGCTTCTTGACAGCAGGAAGCAAAAGTGAGCACACTTTAGCACGATATAACATACCAAAGGCGGCAAAGGCACATAAAGTACATTAATTAGACGTCATTTGGAGCTATTAACCAAAGCTCACTTGCTAATAATGACATTAACGGGGCGAAGTTATGGGAACGGAGTGAAAGGGCCGCCTGGAGTAATTCTATTTCCAAGGCGTTAATGTGACAAAGCTCACTCACTTGCACGGTTCCCTTCGGAAGCTGGAAAGGGCTGCGGGCAGTCGAAATAAAAAGGCAAGATCAAAGGCTAGTGTGATTAATGGCGCTAACGCATTTCCAATGCCCTGACTTTCTTTATACCAACGGCCACCCTCTTGCAGATACAGAGGCACCAATTGATTAATTATAGCTGCAGCTCTCAGAATTGCGCACAAAATTAATTTAGTGAGACTAAAATCAGAGTGAAATTACAACTATTTTAAATTCAAGTTTAGATAATATTGCATAAAAAAATTATTTTTGCCCTTTTCAGTTTCACACTTTTTACAAGCCTGAGGTTTTAAATTTGAATTTTGCTTCGCTCAATAAATATTTAAAATTTCATTATTTTTTTATCATAGTTGCTTTTTTACTGATTTTTTATTTTATTTTCATAAAGCACTTTTTTTTGCAAAAAAGCCTTAGGCTTACAAAAGATCCTTTGATAATTTTTCAATCAATGTGTTAATGCACTTTTGTGTGCGTTGGAATTTTTCGCAACCGTCGAATCTCATCTGAAAGAGATCAACAGGTATGAAAAGTTCTGCCTTCAATGTCAACCTGTGGCTCTAAAAGAAATTCAGTTTTTACACCCCCAAGAAATACCAACTGCGCAACAGGATTTCTTCTTATATGAAAAGTCAACATTCAACATATTATATCCCTCGTATTGTAAAAATGCCATGTTGTATTTTATAACTTCATATCCTTTATATCTTCTCCCTTTTCACACTTCTGCCGCGAGAGCCTCACACCCCTTCAAAATCTCATCAAAATCACAACAAGAGGAAATATGCAACAAAAGGATGAATTTTAATATTGCAACAGAAATCTTTCCCTGAATGAATGAAGATATTCGTTTAATAATAATTTTTACGCAATTATAAAATCAATGAAAAGTAGGCTGAAGTAATAAACCAATTAATGCAAGTCCAAAATTTCCAATTCGATTTATAGGACCCGCTTAACCTGTCAATCAATTGTAAGGGGGATTTGATTGAGCGGGCATTAATACTCTAAATAATCAGGAAGTCCACTCTAATGCTTATGAATGCTCCGCTGGTTCTCGGCTGAGCCATTTCGTTTTTATTCTGCAATAATGGAAAAAAATTCAAAAAACGCTTGTACTCACCACCCCCATTTTTGTAGCAAAGATAAGGGAAGCGCCACACATTGGCCAAGTCGACTGCAAATCCAATCACGGACAGCAGGAAGTCCACCTTCTTGCCCCACGTCTCTCGATCCTCCGAGTCGGGACTCCCTCCAGCCACCTGCGTCCTATCTTCAACACAACGGAAAAGGCAAGTTTGATTGATTGAACGAAATTACCATGTAGTTCGAATACGAAACTGAAAGAGGGGCGCTAAATTTTACTTTGAAAAGGCGAGAAGGAGGAGCGCGCTCGACCCTTGCCAAACAGTCTAAATGATCAAATAATGCGTTCAGCTGGGATTTAATGTATAATTGTTCTGCCCTCTCATGCTCAGCGCCTCGCTTTTTGGAACAATTCACTTGTTTGCAATGTGAAGAATTATTTAAAAATAAACTAAAGTATTATAAATTTCCTTCAAAAGAATACAAAATTAATCATTAAATACTTTTATAAAATATCGTAAACAAGAGGAATATAAATTACTGGTTCATATTATAAATCACTTGAAATGAGCAAGTCACCTTTGTCTGCGGCGGAGGCCATGGCTGCTTGTGGATCGGCGTCCTCAGCAGCGGCGCCGTTGTCGCCAAAAGCACTCAGGAATTCTGCGAACAAATCAACCAAGCCCATCAAGGTAAATATTCATTCGATTTGCTTCCCCATTCCTCCTGACATTATAAAAAAAAACGAGCCGCCGCTTCAATATACAAAAATACAATTCTCGTGTGTCTCGCTACAGAGAATGAGAAAAAGAGCCGCGCGCGTTTTGTTTCAAGTGCGGTGCTGAGAAGTGCAAAAAAAAAAAGAAAGAGCTCCTTTGGCTTTTGCACATTATGAAATCTGCAATTATGTGCCAAGGCGAGTCAGTCCCTTTTGTGCTTCCTCTGCGACTCTTGGCTTGTGAGAATTTAGAGGAGTCCGAATTTAAACGATATCAAAATCAATCAAGGTGCAAAATGTAATAACATCCAGGGGCGCCCGCATTTCCATCTGATCCTTGACATAGAGCGCGATCGTCATTAAATTAATATAATATATATTTTTTTTAAATATATAAAATTATGTTTAAAAAAATTGTGAAAACGAATTTTTCTTTTCTATTTGCATATAATTTTCTGCAAAATAAATATATGGAGTCAGTGAGTGTAAAAAAAATTGTGTTGAATAAAAGTTTCCGAGGTAAAAAGTGTATCAATTTCAAAACCGTGATATATTTAAAAGTGTGAGGTACGTGCCACAAGTGTGGCAGAATTAAGAAACCAGAAATAGTTGGGATATATAAGGTAGATCTAGCATTATATATAATTATATGAAACTCAGCCATGCGGAAATAATTTATCGTCAATCGTTGCCATTTATTCACTGGTTAATGAGGCATCTAGGTGCAATGACATCAATTACAACGCACTCTCTGTTTCACAAATCAAGTGCACTGTTGAGTATAGGCAGGCTGACTTCAATTTTTTAATATCTATTAACTAATAAAAAATAAAAAAATAGTTAAACCAACTTGTAAAAGTTTCATTAAAAAATCTGCAATTAATAAATTATAAAAATTTACACATTTAAGTAAGAAAATTTAAAAAAAAAAAATTAATCAAAAGGTGTAATTAAAAAGTTTTTCATCTACAGTCAAATAACTTTAACAAATACTTTTACAATAATAAAAGTAAGCAATAAAAAAAAATGGATGAATTATAAAAAATTTGATGCAACTCAAAAAAATTATCTAGATGAATTTTCTAATTTCGTAAAAAGAGTTACCTAAGGGTAGCGGACATGGAGACCCTGAGGGAGGCAGAGCCCTGAGAGGCAGAGGCCCTCAGCGGAAGTGCCAGAGGGTGATGATGACGGCGAAGCTCGAGTCGCTCTGGCCCATGCGGGAGGCTGGGGCGCACTGGGACCGACCCGATGCACCCTCTTGGTGCGCCGTGCCCGCGCCCCCACCCTTGCGAGAGCGTTCGGCGCGCTGTGTCGCAAACTCAGTTACGCGACGCAATTTCGGATGCCAAATGACTTCGGCAGGTCGAATTATGAAAATGCTCTCGCGTTGATCGGAAAAGCCGCTTAAGTGGCGCCGGCGCTCAATTGGCCCGAGATTGAATGAAGACTCAAATTCCACCCTCGATCTGATGGCTCGTCGTGTCTCCCTCGGGATCGTCGTCATCGGAAAAGCGACCGAGAGAGAAGAAATAAAAAGGCAATTTGCCTGTTGCAACCTCATCCCTCTCCATTTCCAGCTCTCGGCGCACCCCCTGCCCCCCAATCTCCACCTTGTGCATTGTTTTAATTAAGGCCATAATCACACGGCGCCAGCACTTAATTAAAATCGGCAACGACTAATATTTCACTCTCCGTGAAGAGATTGAACGCCTGCTCGGAGCTAATTTATTTCTACGTTTGGCCCCAGGATCGGGCGGGCGCGAAACGAACTCCCCTGTTATTTCTTTACTCCACACAGCGCGTACGGCACAACGTATTTCCGGCATTAAATTGTATTTGAGAGAGGAGCTTTCAAAGGAAAATTTGAACATGCATCTCTGCAAAATTATGGGCAATCCTCTAAATTTTATTTAAAAAATTATACAAACTTTGGCGTTGACGTGCGCTAAGTTCCCCTCTTGACGAATGAATGAATTTTATATTCACCATAAAAAGATGAGATGGGCTTGAGTGACATCATCCTAAACGCTCATTATGTCAGTTTAAATTGATGTAATTTCCTCTCTTTTAGAGTTGGGAGAGGCGTTTTTAAATTGGATATTTTTAAATATATAATATAGTAAGAAGAGACAACAAAAAGGGAACATCCTTTGTTAAAATATCAACACTTAAGCACACGTTCTCTAAAATTGAGGAGAGAGGATTGGTTTTTATAATTGAAAAGTATTTTAAACTTTTTTAAATTGAACAAATTTAAATAATTTTTTAATTAAAGTATCATGCAGGAAACCTGCTATAAATTAAGTCTTAAGCGTTTATTTAATATTTCTTAAATTATGATCATTAAAAATTCCTGCAAAATAAATTCTTTCCAATGAAAAATTAAACTATCTGAATATATTTTTATTACATAATAACTAAGATATGTGTCTCAATAAACCTATGACAATGAAAAGAGAAAATTTTTTGAAGCTTTGCCATAGGATTTGAGTGTCTTTGATTACTTTTGGATTTGATATTTATTGCACGTAAATGACGTCAAACTGGTTTTTTCATGATAATTTCAATGACAGAAAAAAACTTGCAGTTGATAGAAAATCACAAACAATCATGCAGAACAATGAAAGCATTAACCTTTTTAAATTAATAATTCATTAACTCAGGACAGGCCACAATTGTACGAGCCCAGAATTTTTAATATTGAAGAATTTAAAATTTCCTTTAATGCAGCTAAAAGGTATACTTTAAAGGTCAAATTCCAGCAAAGATGCATTTACGCGGTATGATTAATCAATTATAAACACCAAATAAAGCCTCATGACCTTGCACAGAATGCAAATTGCATTCGGCCTTTCCAAAATGTAAATCAGCCATGCGTGTTGTTTCCTCTCCGAATTGTTTACGGCCGAAAATACACAAATAGTTTTCATGACACGTGGAAATGAAATTGTGTCGAGGACCTTTATATTAAAGTGTGGCATGCAATGATTTCCGAGGCGCTCTTGAAAAAAGCCGGTGCCCTCTCTGGGTGCGGAAACGTGAAAAATTATTCATCTTTTTCATTCGACTCACCAGCCTGGTGCAAAAAGTGCGTGCGATCTTGCGGCGGCAACGGCGGCGGCTAAAGGTGCGCGCGGAGAGCTGCGTTTCGTAACACTCGGCCGGACAAAAATTGAATGATAAAACACACGCCGCTGCAGACTTTCACTTTATAAAACGCTAGCGCACATTTAATATTTTATCCTCCAGAGTGGGGAACACACTCGCATTTTTGTTCGTGTTTATTTGTTGAAACGCCCACGTTCTCTCTCGGCAGATATTATAGCTGGCTGACGATGATCGTCATCTCTGCGTTGCTCCGGCCGCCGATTCATTACACAGGAATGCCAAGATTGACTGCTGAATATGCAAACCCACTTAAAAGTGGGCCGAATATATTTTTTTCAAAAAAAATATGGATAAAAAAGGCGGCGTATCAGAGCTGAAGAAATAAATTTGCTTGCAAGTTATTTTATATACTTTTTTTCGAACTTTTCGAATACATTTCGAACTTTTACAATACAAACGTTTGAACTTTTAATTTTTTTTATGATCATAATTACAAAATTATTATTTATATTGTCTTTTTTATATTATACAATCTGTAGACACGTAAAAACTACCTACTTTGAAAAAAAATTATAGAACAATGTAAATTATAACACATTTTTAATGAAATTAATTAACACTGTCGTTACCTCTTTACGATTTCACTTACCACAGAGTGTGTACATTTCCACGGATTTTTTTCGCGGTTCCCCCTTCTCTTCATTTTGCAAAGTTGACTGACATGAGGGTGAGGGAGACATCTATTGAGCTGAAACTAAACTAAATGTATGAAACACGGCCTCGGCAAGAGTGCAGCGACGAGAAAAGTGAGGGGGCAAAAGCAGAAATATAAACCAAAAACAAACACGAAGAAGGAAACCACGTGCTGGGAAACTTTTAATGCATCTGTCAAATCTTTAGAATTTTAGAGACAATTGAACTATGTTTTTGCTTTACGACATGTTGGTCTTTTGAGGTGGATCGACCTGCATTTGCAACATTTTGAGAAGAGCATTTAACAAACCAAACAAACATGGAATTGAAAACTTCTTTCAAGAAGGCTGTTGAGCTCGTCTTCAATAACTGGACCGCTCTGCAGGTAAAATAAAGCAAAAAATAAAAATGTGAAAAATTATTTCATTTTATTTGAAAATTCAGCTAGCTGTTGAGCATGGAATGGGAGGACATCAAAGTCATTTAGCTGCACGCCAGTTTACAGATTACATGACCGACACATTTTGCAATAAAGGTTTGTAGAGTTATTTATTTTTCCTCTCACAAATTGAAATAATATTTTGATGCAATTTTTTACATAAATAAAACAATAATAGCCTTTATCTTAAATTATAGTAAATATTGAAGTGGAGGAAGTGGAGGACATCCTGATTGACATCTTAGACTCGGAATTCAATACCCAATGTGAAGACGATTCTCCTCTGGAAGTGAGTCAGGAACTTCACAGAATCTTCCAATTGTGTCGGAGTGGCAACTGCGAACAGTTTAACTTTGAATTGCAGCGATTGGAGCGTCCTGATTGTAAAAAGTGGTTGGCGCAGTCTGTGAATGCAACGCAATCACAAGACGTCCAGGAGTCTGAGGACGAAGAAGAGGAGCAAAAGAATGAGACAACTGAGAAAAATGCAGAAGACCAGCCAATGGACACGTCAGATCCCGCAGACGAATGGACAGTTGTGAAGAGAGGGAAGAAGCACTAAAAATTGTTGTGCTATTATTTTTAGTAATCCTGTACTTGTTAAGGTTCCCTATTGTTAATGAAGGTCATTCATTTAATTTAAAATTGCGATTTTTTTATACAGAATTAAATTTAATGAACAAATATCTTTAAGTGGACCAAGTTAAATTGAAGATCATAAACATATTTCACACTCGGGGAAACAATTGAATTGATGCGGAATCGACAATTTCGAATGAAAGTTCGTGCTAATGGTACAAAGAGTTGAGGTAGATACTAAATATTTTGTGGGGAATACTCAAAAGTTGTTTTAAACAGTATCATACATTGAGGAAGTCTTTGAGTAGAGTAAGCCTCCGTTTCTCAGCCACATCCATTTGGTTCTCCAGATCTCCGCGATCGGTGCTTTCAGCTCGCTCTATTTTCCAGGACAGGTTTTCTATCTCAGCTTCAAGTGACGCTTGCTGATACTGAAACTGAGAAAAACAAACCTTAGCACCCACTCAAGGCAACTTTATTGACTTTTTACCAATTCTTTTCTGGAGCCTGGCTCCATGTAATAGGCAAATGGGTATGTGTACTGCAGTGTGTAGCGACACTTGGCCAGCAACTCGGCTGCGTCCAGGAGATACTGCCAGTCAATCCAGGTGCCCGACCCTGAGTTCATTACTTTGCCTGTAATCTTCTTGGTCACCTTTTTCAAATGCTGCTCCTCTAGTTTCAAACTCTTGGAATGGTTTTCCCACTGAAAGAAAAAGAAACTTCAGTTTACACCGACAATGCGGAGGCAAAAATCTCAAATTACCCTTTCATAGTAGTGCAGGTATTTTTTGAGAGCCTCCCTAGCTTGCGCGTGAGCCGACTCGTTGGCTATGTTGGGATTGTCCTTGTAACGGGAACACTCGTAGTATTCTGAGCCATGAGTCTTCCAGTCGCCAAGGCACATCCAGCAAAAGTCGTGCTTGCAGCTGTAACATTGCATGTGGTTGCATCCCCCGTTCTTCTCAATGCATATATGGCACTTTGGGCACTGTAAAACCAGCAAACATTGATCAAAATTTTAAACCAAAACAAATGAGAGCCTACGTCTTTTGTGTGAGCACTAATGTAGTTTGCTGTTTCACTGTCGTCTGCACATTTTGTGAGCCATCTCTTAATCGTGCCGCAATCAGTGGGAGCGTGATAATCAATGCCGCAGTTGAAACTATTTAAAACACAATTTCATAAAAATATTGCCGATGTTTGTAAAGCTCACCAAAATACAGTCTTGCACGATTTACAAACAGCTCTCTTTGCTTTCGGCAGCTTGGCTTTGACGATCACTTGGCAGTTTGGCCCGGGGCAAAATCTTAGCTGGGGATGCGACCTGACGTAGTCTTGAAATGTGAACAACTGGTATTTCTTTCTCAGTTCTGGCAGGGTGATTATTTTCAAAGCAAAGTCTTCCGTAGCCAACACCTCACAGCCTTGGGCCATACACTTGATTCCTAAAATAAAATAAAAATCCATCCTCTGATTGCTCATTCCGGTATTGATTTTCAATTGGCCTACCTGTGGAAACACCTTGCGAGATCTGGACTTGGAAGTGCATCACCCAGCAGCTGGAGCAGAAGGAATGACCACAAGAGAGCTTGTAGAAATTCTGGCCTGTGGCCTGGACGCAGACGGAACAGACAATGGGCACATTGCTGTTTGACCTGAGACTGCGCTGCTGACGTCGGTGAGTGGAGGAGCTCTCTGCCCTCGGCTCAAGTTGTGACTCAACCAGAAGAGCTTGGCTGTCTTTCTTATACTTGTCCGTCACCTCGGTGATTGCCCATTTGTGGGTGTGGAGTAAGACCTTTGCAAGGGCTGGAGTGATCTAGGGCAATTAATTTAGAGGTTTAAATATGGCTTGGGGATTTTTTTTGTTAAATACCTTCAAGCAGTTGGACAATTCTTCCACAGATTCATTAAGCAGCCTCTCAACCTCCTCGACGGACAGGCACTCAAACTCAAAGTACTCTGGGTCACTTTTGCTCACATCAACTTGCTCCAGATCACATGTGTCTGCCTCATCATAGTAATTTTCAAACTCCTCTTCTGAGTAGTCCATGTCAGACTCACCTTGACCTGACATGGTGGAACGTCTCTCCTACAAAATAATAAATTTGTCAGCATAACTTAATTTCATAATCCATTGAATTTTAATTTTGTTTAAATCTTCTTCGTAATAGAACTATGTAATAGCCCCAAAGAGTTATAAATGCTTAATTTTTCATTCAAATTATATTGAAAAATATTATTATTTTAGTGGGTACAATAAATCGATTCGTACAGAATGGAATATGGATAATATGACTCTCATTCTCATGTGTATTGTGCACTACATACATACATACATGAATTAAATTCAATTAAATCGCTGTATTTTCCCACTTATAGCTTGAAAATTAAGTTGCGTTTGACTTCAATGTATTATATTGATGATTAAGAAATCAATAATAGTCCAATTACATAAATAATCGGACATTTTTGGCCAAGAGGCTTAAAACATTATTACAAAAGACTGTCAGGAGAAAATGAGGCAGAACGCCAGCTCTGGAAATCTCTGAAGAGCACTTTGGGCAAAACCACTTACACTTCTTCAGTCTCTAGACTTCAAATGAGAAGTTTCCTTGTATGCATAAGCACAGTATTGTTGATTCTTCAAAACGCGACCCTCAATTCGAAAAACTGTAATTCGATTTGCGACTGGCCATTTTGAAAAAGTTGTTTACTTCAGCTCATTGCCAGCTTCCATCTTTGAAGTCTGGGGAATCGATTAATTTTAACTTAACCTGCAGTTAACCGGTTTTTGTAAAATCAATATCTCAATTATTTTGAGCCAGAATTTGTATAAACATTAATTTTTTGATTTGTTTGTTTACGCTGTATTAGCGAAGAGCTCAAAGAGTAATTTTTTTGCCACCAAGTACCCTTTTTAACACAGATATCTCAATGAGTACTATAAAATACCGGTGTTGGACTTGATTTGAAAACTAAAACTGTCCTAGAATTGTAGTTATGCGTCTCAGCTGGTGGAGCTCGAAGTATCAGGATCCTGTGCGTGTGGTGGAATGGATAGTGAAGACAGTGGAGAGGCACAAAGTTGGTAGAAATAAACAAGACGTAAGAAAATTTAAAATATTTTGGTTTCTCCTCTGCGGCTTTTATTTTAACTGCTTTTAAATTTTCCTCTCGTTGAAAAGAAAGACTGTGATTTTTATTCTGTCAGCTTATTTGCGTTGTGGTACGCTTTCAACTGTGCTGAATTTTTGTTTGATATATATAAAAAAAATGTATTTTTATTTACAGCTACTAACAACCTGCAATAATAAATGCGAGAGAAGTTCCAAAATTTGAGATGGAAGGCAATCCATTGAGCATCATTCTAGTGAAGAGCGACAGCAAAGGTGATCGTTTGCTCTTCCGATATCCATATGCTGCAGAGTCGCATTCTGGTGAAGCAAATTGCAAGAAGAGGAGGAACCCATACGCCCTTACAAGCACAGACGACCTTCTTGAACCGCCCAGACAAACGTCCAACATCAGCCACAATCAGCTCACAGGGTTTTCTGACGAAGTCCTGTCAAACTTGTTTGCTGTCAAGTCAGACCTGTGTGGAAACAAATTTGAACTGAAGGTTTAACATTCATAAACTAATTTTTGTACAAAAAATAAAATTTTGAAATTCACAGGTCAATGATGTTCGGTTTGTGGGACATCCAACTCTCGTCAGCGCAGGATCTGTCCTGATCAACATTCAATTTGCTATGAGAGCCACAGCAAGTCATGCTATTGTCAAGTGCTATTACGACCTGAGCCGCAGATTGGGAGTTGCTCTTCGACATGAGGAGAAACGTTGTGGCTACGTCACTCAAGAGACTAAGGCCATGGTCACTGCCCATGATGAAGCCCAGCACTCGCCCTACAGCCAAATCTTGGCTCGAAGTGCACTCGCGAGAGACTTGAAGACCGTTTACGAGGAACTCTGCCTTGCAGGTCAAGTCCACCTGAGGGTCAACAATTGGATAGAGGTGTCGTTCTGTTTGCCGCACAAACTGCATCCTGAGCTTGACCCCGACTTGCTGTGCATACATGCCCTCCGACCATACTACGGCCTTTTGCTTCTGGTCGAAACGGGAGAACTTGTGTCAGGACTGTCCTCGGATGCTTCCCCAGCATTAATCCGACTTTTGCAGGTAGCAGAATATTCTATAATTTTTAATTTTGTTACTATTCTTAAATTGTTTCAGGTTTACAGTCCGCTGAAGAGTTTTCAGACCCTTGCAGCAGATGCAGATCTGGTGCTAAACCAAGTCTACCAACTCGCCCGACACTTGGTTTACTGGGCAAAAGCAACAGTCATATTCCCTCTGTGTGAAAGCAACATCTACGTAGTCAGTCCAACAGCCCCTCTGGCAGTCAACTCTGCCCTAGTAGAAGAGTTTTCGGAGAAATTTCCTGGATCTCATCTCCTGTCTGTGCTCTCGGAATTTTCACTGCCTTCGTCGCTCAGCCAACGAGTCAGTCCCTTGGACAACCCTCAGCAGCACTCGCAACTGGTCTGTATGATCATTTGGATGCTGCAACATAGACTCTTGCTCCAGCTGCACACCTATGTGCACTTGATGCCCACGTTGGCTGGCATAGCAAAATTAGGCGAAGATGAGGAACTGCTCGGTGATGACGAAAGGGTGGTGCATAGTCCGGAGGAAATAGCCCTGTTCTCTCGACTGCAGCGGCACTTTAACGGACAACATCACTTGGAGGAAATTATGTATCTTGAAAATGTGAGGCGTTCTCAGTTGCTGCAGCTGATAGACAAATTCAGAGGTGTGATAATAACTAGACAGTCTGAAGACCCAATGATTGCAAACTTTTTCATTTCTAAAAAGCTGCACTCCTAGTTACTTAGCAATTAATTAAACTGTGATTAAAATTATGAATATTATTATTTTTTATCTGCTGGTTAAGTTTACTTTTATGTTACTAAGAAAGGGTCTTAGCTTGTCGTAAATTGTATAATACAAATATTATCTAATAAAAACTATTTAATTATGTTGCCGTAACAACTATGTGTATCCATATCTATGTCCCTCGTAATATGCTCTGTGCATGTCGTAGGAATTCCGCCTTATCCGTCTCCCGATAGGCTCCAAGTCTTTGTAACACTTGTCAAAAACACTGTCCACAGCTTCAGCTGCTTGCTCGTCAGTCACATTTCTGACGGCTTTGACTGACGCTATCGCCTTTGTACGCACACAATTCTGTGAAAAAAAAGCACTTGTAAAATAATTTTTATCTAATTAATTTGAACCATACTCTATGCGTCTGTTGAATTCTAATCGGTGAGGCGTCTCCTTGTACACAAGCTGACATGTAGCTGCAGTTTGTTAAATTTGCGGCTCGTACTTCAGTGCACGCCAAATGTTTCAAGTTCTTGAAGTCCAGCTTGTGCCTGCAGTAGTCGAACATATGGACCATTTCGTGAGCCATCACACCTTGCACTAAACCCTCCTCCTTTGCTACGTTTTGGCAAACTACAATCTGCAAGATTTTTTCTTTGTTTATTATTTAATTTCAATAAATATATTTAACTAACTTGGTTAAGTAGTGGGTCGTAGCCTCCCGTCACACTTGGATCACAAAATTCACAGGCAATGTGTCTACGGAGGTCAATTTCACTAAAATTTTTGAAGATCTAGAATTATGCACTAATTACGACAATAATTTTTACCATCCTGAGCTCCTAAGTGCACCCATCATCAGCTTTATCAGTGGACCTATAAATAAATTTTGCTCGTAAATTGCACTCTAATATTTGAAAAAATGTTGCATTACTATTTTTAGCACAGGAATAGACGTTCTTTTCACACTTGAGTTTGTCAATATCACTACTACTCTCTCCGAACCACAACATCCTTCCTATACTAGGAGTGAATTTTTCACCCCTTCGCTCTGGGTACAAGTCATAGCCCCATTCTTTCTGCGCCTCTTCTTTTTCCATTAGGGTTGAAGCAATCTTATTTTCATTTTTCACCTCTTCTGAACTTTTTTCTTCAGTGAAAACTCTTCGAAAAATTGCAGAGAGCCCCATTGTAGATACACTTTGTCTGCGGAAGAATAAGTACATCATGATGAAATAAGTTGAATAATTTTCATATATGTGGAGAATATAATGGAGAATAAATAAATAAATAAATATAAGTAAAAAATTTAAAAAGAACAAAAACATGTAAAGCCGGACGCGGGGTAATTGGATAATAAAATCTTTAAAGAAATATATTTACAATTTTCAGTATAACCAGATTTCTGTGTGCGATTTTTAATTATTTTCTTGTACCTGCAGCTTTATTTGTGATGATTCAGGTTGAGGAAAATAAAAACAGGAAAGATAATCTAGAAAAGTGTGAACTATGAAGTGGGAGTGGTGCACGGCTCTTGGTGGGCGGGTCGAACCCCCACACCCCCTACAGTCCCCCTACAGTAAAGGACAGAAAAAAACAAGAAAGAAAAAAACACATAAAATAAGATCAAGTCCAAAATCTCCAGGAATCACATACTTCACATGACTCTGGTACTGGTATGTATAACAAAACTGTTTCATTATCGTACATTAGCATTACTCATCACAATTCTGCACCCCGCGCTGCATTAAATTAAAATTTCTCTATATAATACGTATATATCATTTTAATGATTTTTTTAACATTCTTAATTTCAAAATCATTTAAAAACACAAGTATGCAAACATTGCAAAATTCAATTAATTATTGCTCTATTTTAATTTAACAACGATTATAACTAAATAATACACTTTTTGCACTTTTTCATGTATTCAATAAGGGGTACCAGTCCACCATGCAGTTGCGTGTATTGAAATTCTAGTTTTTAATAATATATTTTTAGTTTTATAGCAGGCGTTTGCAGGGGTAACATAAATTAAAAGATTAAAGATTTATATTTATTAAATAAAACAGCTCAATTTCATTTCATCAATTTAATTTTATTCTTAATAGGTAATTCCTATGACGATAAAAAAATCTCCATTAAAAACGTAGTATTGTTATTTATCTGAATTATGATATTTGATTTTGTGAAGGATATTTGATCATCTTAGAAATTGTTCCATAATAAATTTTATTTCTCTATGGTCATTATTTTAATTAACCATTTTATAACAATAAAACTTTGCAAATAGCACCTATACAGCACAATATGCTATGTTTTATACCTCAAAGCGTACTTTTTTTAACAATTATCTCGTATTTATGTAATTGCAATACTAATTTTAGATCAGGCTATGGTACTAATAATTCTATGGACACCGGACCAATGTGTGCAAATACACATAGTAATGGATAATTTCATTAAAGGGCATAAAGAGTGCTACTTTTTCTAACAATTAATAGCACAGGCTATAGACACTGGCGATGACTAGAGTTTAAATTAAAAATTTTTATAGTAAGTTCACATTTTTGACTGTAAGTAGATGTTAAATGAAGATCCTTTAAAAAATGATCACCAGCTGCTTCTAATGATATTATAGTGAAGAGCGATTTCATATGTATTGATGAAAAGAGGAATGACAGTTTATTCTATATTATCGAAAATATTTTCCACAGAAAAATTACCACTAAATTTTAATAGCTAAAAATTTAAAAGGAAAAAAATTATTCCCATTAAATACCAAAAATTGGTGCTTGTTCCATTTTAGAACCCAATTTTAGGCATGCGACGTTGTGTGGCTATACATTTGCTCTGTATAAATTTGACACACCAAGGAAATATATCATTTCAATAAATACCTATTCATTATGTACAAAATTCTTTTGCATTTTCCTCATAACAAGGTAAATGTCTCTAAACTGCATTGGGCCTTTAAATGACGACGTGTGTGCAAATTTGGAGCGTCGTTTTTTACTTTGGTGTGACGAGAACACAATTTTGGCACTGACAGACACCTTAAAATACTGTACTGTTTTATATAAAATAAACAATGTGCGAATACGTATGGTGTCAACATTATGGTGTTTCTTTAAACAAAAAGTAGCTCCAAATGTGCAAAACTTCAGCGGACCTTTTGCATTAAAAATACACTTGTTTTTCGCTCTCTTCAATCACCACATAGTATTTGTATCCTTCAAATCCTCACACACTACTCTCGCCCTTGACAACCCTGGCCATCAGTCCGGCATTGGGCGACTCCGCGCCGAGTGGGGTCAGCAACGGCAGCGGCGAAACATCATCACTCGGCGCTCCACTCTCCTCGTCCGAATGGGCCTTGCGTCCATTCGGCGGCGCCAACAGTCTCATTTGTCTGTAGCCTTGGCCGTTTCTGCCAAAGCCACTGTCCTCGTCCTCGGGCGACTCGCCGACCGACCCGCAGCCCACAAAGTACAAGTGCGTCGAGAGGGTACTGCTCGGTGGCGACGGAGGAGATAGGAGGAGGCCGTTGGTCTCCGATTCGACCAGGTTGAAGGTGACCTGCTTCGGCGAGCTGGCCATCAGGGGCTTGAACCGCCCGTTCAGGTCCATCTGGTGCACATCAACGATGATGTTGTTGTTGATGCTCTTGTTCGGTGTGCTGTTGGCCGACGTGAAACTCAGGTCGATGGACTCGTTTAGGGAGGACGCAAGTTCCAACTGGTTGTTGGTCTCGGTCGGAGTTGGGGTGCACTTGTTGCTGTTGTTCAAACAGGCCGGTTTGTACACGACGGGCCCAACTTTTTTGCCCAGGCGCGGTGAAAAGAGCATTGGGTAGTGCTGGGCAATGCCGTGCAAGAGACTGCCTGTCCGAGAACTGATGCTGGACACCTCACTCAGCGACTCGGGTGTTGCCAGCGGAGCCAGGCCAAACCAGTCGTCATGGATGAGGTCAAGCTGAAATTAAGTTTTTTGCCTTACTTATCTTCAAAAGCATAAAATGATTTAATAGAATTTTAATAATAGTTTTTTTAAACCTGTAGAAAGGACTTTGTGTCAACAAGAAGTCTTTAAAGACAAAATGAATGAATTTGGTACTCTTTCAGTGTTTACTTTTTTTTTAAATATAAAGTTAAATTTTTATTTTAAAATTTATGATTTTTAAAATATTTTTTTCTAAAATTCATGTTTTTCTTGCTTCAAATTTTATATATTTTTTTTTTCTTTTTGTTCTTGTATTTTTTTAACTAAAAATATAATGTATCCGTGGACATTGCCACACAACATGTTACAATAAAATAAATGCAAATAATTTAGTTTTCCCATTCAGCATCTATCACTTAATTGAGTCATTGTTTTTTGCTAGAAGATCTATTTATAATTGAAAAATAGAATTCGGAAAAGAAATAAAACTAAAATATGCGGGGGAAAACCGTTATTTGAGTACTGCGGCTAACTCACTTTCTTATTCTGAACTACAGAGGACGGCGTGGACGTTGACCTGGCGGCCATGGTCTTGAGCTGATCCTCGAGTGCAGAGGCATATTCCCACGGCAGGGAAGGGTGCAACGTGAAGGGTGTCATAGCGACTGGCGTGGCGCTGTTGCTCGAGGTGGACGAGCGGTGTGAAGGGTTGAGCGAGGTGAAGCTCGTCTCAAGGCACAGTTTGTGTGGTGGCGTCAGCGACTTTGGCGACGCTGGCGTGTTCTGCAGCAGTAAAGTGTGCTCCGAAAACTCGCTGTTGATTACGAGGGTCTTGGACGAGCACTCGGTCGGCGCCTTGTCCGAGGGAGTCATGGAGTGCCGCCGGGGCTTTGCTGGACCGATGTGGGTCACAACCTAAAAGCACAAAATCAATTTAAATTTTACCTAGCCACACATTTAAAAGATTTATATAAGATTATTTTCAGTTTTTTTTTTATAGAGGGACCGCAAATTCAAATGCATTCAATTAATAATTTTTACTGAATTTTTTCGTGTGAAAAATTAAATGATATTGATATGATAACTGAATGAGTGAATAATATGAAAACTAAAATTTTAATGGTGAATAAATATAATTTTTTAGGCAAATAAATTTTTAAAATTTACACATAATTTAATCAAAAACAACTAAAGCATTATAGAATCTAAATTGAGACAATTTAACTGCTGTGTAGAAATTTTAACATTTTGTGATTCCTTTATTAATTAAAAGTAAAGAATTTTGCAATAAAGGGAAGTTGTGCGCTAGCTTATAAATAGCCGGTGGTATAAAACTTTTAAAAGTGCTGTATAATACGAGAGTTATTTAGCAAAAAGGTATTTACAAAATCACCACAGAAAAAGAACGCAATCCGACAGAGATTTTACCTGGTTTCCTTTTGGATAGAAGTAGTAGGTAAGATAGAGTTAGGAGAGCTATCGTCAATACATGCTACAGCCACGGCGCACGCATCTGAGGGTATGGGGACTAAATTTTCCATGGGTTCGCAAGGTTTGGTGGTCAGGTGGTCTGACACAACCTATGGAATTCTCAAGTCAGGTCAACTGCTTTCCATCTTTTGTTTTACGCAAAGCAGATTTTTTTAAGGACGTGTCAAAATTAAAAGTGTAGACTGCCTATTTAAAAGTTCACGCAGATCTACCCAGAAAGTCGTGCAATATTTTTCTAAAATTGTAAAATTTGGTAAATCATGCGCTCATGCAAAATTCAGTGAAATCAGCGTTTTGTGCGTAAAAGAAGAAAAACTTATGGGTTGTGGGAACTTTGATTGTGTTGATTCAAATTCAGAAATACCTTTTCCAGCGCCTCCAACACCTTGTCCGGCATGTGGTCTTGAATCATGACTGGCGAGATCAGAACTTCGTCAAAGTCTGTGTTGTCCACCCACAAGGCTTGGTAGACTGGCTCATTTTTGCGTAAAACTTGCCTGTAAAATAAGATTGATATTAGAAATATTATTCATTCAAATATTTATCTAATTAAGTGTCAATTACTGACTTAAACTATTCTCAACCAAATAGGAAAATATAAAATACTTTCCAAGCAATTTTTAAATAATTTCTCTGGCATCTGATTTTAAAATTTTAGTGAATTTTAGCATAAAATTTTACCAACTATATAGCTGATTGCAGAAATAAGTAATCTACTCTAGTAATATATATTTTTTTACAGATGGTATTGATATTTTGAGTTCTTCTTAAATATTCCAGAAAATTTTCTTGAGCAACTTCATGCTCCTTTCTTTGCAAAATGAGGTTAATCATTCAAGACTATCGAACTACCGTGCATAAAGTGATAACAAGACTACGCTAAAAAATCTACGAGCAAAGGTTTACTTCAAAAAATAAAATATAAATTTCAATCCGACACGCTTTAGACATACCTCCACTTTTTCTCATATTTTTGCCTAAAAGTTCGCAAGATTCAAGCATCAGCGCATAGTAGAGAAGTGAAAGCAGACATGGAAAAGCAGTTAAGTTACATGTGTAAACCACGCTTGTATAGGCGAAAACCTCAAAAATCAACTAAAAAATATTGCAAATTCATATATATCTCTTGCATTGGGAAAATTTACAGCTGTGTTATAGTGTGTTAGAAAAGTGAAGCAAATTAGGTGCGGTTAGTTTCAAGTTAATCAATTTAAAGAAATGCATAATAAAATGGCAACTTTTACTCACTCTCCCTTCGTTGGATGGTGCCTTACGACATGGAGGATTTTGCCTGGGGGGTACAGGGGCTGGTGCACTGTTAAGGCTATCGAGCTGTCCGTCGGATGAGTGATGTCATCCCGGGCTGCGTCTCTTTCCGCTTCACTCACCTAAATGTACGAACATATTAATTAATTAAAAAAATTTCATTGGAATTCAATTTTTGTTCGATAAAAATCATATTACTTGACTCACAACAACAGCCTCTGAACCAGGCTCAGCACCTGAGTTGCTGACTTTGTCCTCATTACCCTCCATTTGGTGCGGTCCACAGCAACAAACCATTCCCCCAGCTATTGTCTTCCACTAAACAGAAATTCGATGGTTAAATTTTCCAGCAACATAAAATTGAGCACCTTTGGATCTTTGCTCCGTTTGATTGCATTTATGAGATCAGCCCTGAGGGACTCCATTTGGTGGAGACCAATTCGAGGCACTACATCTTTTCCAACCACAATTGAAATGGTGAACTCTTGTGAGTACTGAACAGCCGGCATACTATAGAATTAAAAAGTTAATTAAACACGTTTAAAAAATAATAAAAAGAAGTGGCAAATTTTGTACCTGAGAAGGCCTCCAGGAGGGGAATAGGCATAGCACCTGAGACCAGGGTGTTCCTGCCTGAGCAGGATGGCTAATATTGCCGCAGTGCCAGCACCTAGCGAGTGACCTACTAAAACTAGGTCGAATTCATGGGTGCCCTTGGAGGGGTCTCGGCTGAAGGCGCGAGCCAGAATTCCTTCTTCGTTGATCTTGTCCCTGATGTAGGCGGCAGCTTGAACCATTCCCTACAAGAGGAATCATCGTTATTTATTTAAATAAAAAATTCAAAAGGTAAAAAATTCTAACCTTATGACCTAACCAGTCTTCTTTCGGAGGATGCAGAGGCAGCGGTTCTCCCTCGGCGTTTAAATCGGTTATCACATCTTTCATCGACAAGGTGCCCCTTATGCTGAGCACCACTTTTCGGCGCGCGTAGTCGAGCGCGACGAAGAACGGCGTCTGACCGACGTCAACGTGGTATGTGGCGTACACGACCTCCACCTGGCCGCGCTCCACCTGCTCCCTCAGGGCGGCCACATTACATTGACAGCAGTTGTCTTCAAACATCACCGATGCGTCTTCCCGCTCACGCTTACCACACAATCGTGGAAAACATGAGCATCTGTGATACAAAATTTAATTGTTTACTTTTTTTTATTTTTAGAGTTTTCAATAAAATTTATTTTTGTTTATTAAAATAATCCACTTAATGAAATATGCTCATACCTGAGTTTCGTGCATAATTTACAAATGCCCCAGATGGAGTGCGTGACCATGTACATGGGCCAGCCATAGGCGCCCAGAGCGAAATGCATGTAGTGGATGACAGTTTGGAACTCGGCCAGCTCCTCTGGCTCGCTCAGGGCCACAAACTTGGCCCTCGGCGTCACCGGCACGCCTGAAAGGAAGGCGTACGTGTCGTTGCAATGCTGTTGAAAAGATAAAAAATGTTATAATTTTTAAATGTGATTAAACCCAAAAATAAGATTTGGTGGTGCAATCAAGGTCACAGGACAAGACTTTGTCTTGGCCTGATAAAAAAAATATTCACACTTCAAATGATTTAATAATAATCAGATGTGTACCTGAGCGACAATTGCTTCTCTTTGTGACTTTTGCATCTTACGGAGGAGGACTAGACCGGCGATCACATCGCTCGGCACCACATCAAGATCGCGGAAAAAGTCCGAGAGCAGTCGGGCAATGTCGGAGAAGGAATTCTAAAAAAGGTAAATAACAAAAATAGAATTGTTACTCTGGCATTAAAACTTTTTTAAGACAGCTGACATAGAAATATTCTGGCCTTATCAAATAAAATAAAAGTCATGATGGCTATAAATTGTGATCATGTCCAGCAGTGGTCTTTTCGTGCGCCAGATGAATTCTCAAGCAAGGACAAAATTTATCACAAGCGTGACTTATCAAATTCAGACATCTCTCGCACCACAGCGAAGGCGCATGCGAAAACGCGACCACGTCTTTCTGGCAGAGAGAGAAATTGAATTTCACTGCCAATACTACTATATCAGACACGTGCATGCAATTATCCATCATACTTTTTGCTACACATGACACACAATGGCCGCAAAGTGATCAATTTCAAAGGGCTATCGTGTTCCTCGCAAAAGTCAGACTTGATTGATGATCAAAGAATGAGCACAAACATCATCATCGTCTTTGAAATTGAGTCTTTTGTGCTTCATTTGAGAATCAGCTTACTTTCTATATTTTTTTTGTTTGCCTTGTGAAAAATTAATGAAGCGTAAACAATATTGCTTTGAAGCAAAAAATATTATATTACATTGCCAACATTATGTCATATTATATTAAATAAAAAAGATATAAACTAGCAGTAATTTAATATAAAATAACCACCGCAGCACATTTTTCGAAATTTAATTTAAAAAAATATATTTATTTTGGCTCTGCGATCTAGAGTGGGAAATAATTTTGCAATATGTGTTTTCCAGGCTGAAGTTTAATGTCATCATATTACATGGTTTACGACTAAGTTCGATGTTTCCCCAAACAGCAATTCGCAGTTTCGTGTGACGCCAACAAGTGCACATTATAGTGAACTTTTGGACGTGACTCTATTAATTTCAAAGGTCACGCATCAAGCGTCAACTCGTCGCCTGATGAAATTTATTTACATTGAACAAGCTAAATTGAAACCGCCCCAAAACACACCATGTGTGACTCGTGCACGTTCCATATTTGCTGCAGAATCAATATAGAGCCAGCGAATTTATTTATGACCCTTGCGCGGGGTAAAGTCGGATGAGAAACTCACCCTGCTCCTGTCCGAGTTGCCCATGCAGCAGAACAGAAGGCGACACCGGTGATCCCAGCTGTCCTGGTAGGCGCGCAAAACTTTCCTGCAACCAAAATTTATGACCACCTCTAGAATACGCCACTAGCAACTCGTAAAAAACTCCAATTTAACTTTGCATATATGTTGGGTGAATTTTTTAAGGGAAAATCTAACCTTTGCCGCCAGTTCCGCTGCCTGCTGCCTGATCTACGGTACTGGAATTTTGATTCAGCCTCTTTCATGCTTCTTTGGTATTTCTTCATTTTCACCCACGAGCGGCCGGCGGCGTCAAAAGTGCACCAAATTGTGACGGCCACGCTTGCCAATACACACCCGTTGCCCACAATTAAACCTGAAAAATTGACATTATTATATGAATCATTATAAAAATAATAAACAAAAATTAAAAATTTTAAAGAAAAGAAAAAATATGCGTAGAAATCTTTTGTTAAATTAAAGAAGCTATTGATATAAATAATTAATTTTTTTTTAAATTTTAAATTGCAAAAAATATGGCCCATTGGAGCGATGCATTTTAAGAGCGCAAGAGACAGAATCAATTAGTCAGAACACGCTCGCTTACCTAGAACAGCCTCCCTGGAGGAGTCGATGGGGCAGTCTGCGTAGTGGTAAACCAGCCACACCACCCCAAGTGCCAGCCAAACCAGCTCCAAACCAATCACCCCTGCGAAATCCATTACCTTTAATTAATATTTGCCCGCAGCCGATTTATCAGCGCCCACCACTCACCGCACCAAAAGCTGATTGTGGAAGGAATTGAATTGGAAGATTGGATGTTGCTTTAATGCCAAAGGAAGATTGCGGTAGGAAGATAATTTTTAAAAGGAATAAAATTTCCATAGTAATTGAAATTTTGAAAGCGATTTTTGTGCTTAATAGTTATTGGATTCTCTAATGATTAGTTTTACACGACTTTTTCCTTATTTAAATTGAAAAAAAAAATGTTCTAGATTTGGATATTGTGGAATGCTGTATTTTTTGAAAAATAAAAATAAAACTTAATTATACCTAGTCTTGTGTAAAGGAGGTACTGCATCGGAGCTCTGGGCTCGGTGTCCAGAATGGAGCCCCTCATGGCCACAGCCGCAATGCCAAGCTCGAGGGCCATCGCGACGCTCAGCAGACCCAGGTAGACGCCCAGATGCACCCTGAGAAGGGCGACGCACTCCTCGGTGCGCCATAAGGACTGGCTGGTCAACAGCACCACCACCACCACGGCCCTATAACAAAAAACCAAAGCAGAAGTTAAATAACGAGCCAGTGAAAATTTTGCGCAGGGAATTCACGTTAACGTTTTCATTAAGAATTCGGAAAACTTTTGCCGATGCGATCGAGGAAAAAGAATTCTGGGAGGTTTGATTAAAAAGTTTGTTCTTCCGACCGAGCAAAAACTTTTCGCGCGCAAGTTTTGCACACAACGGAAGCAGAAGTTGCACAATGCCGTAATTTAATTGTCGCTGCTGCGACTGAGAGATTGAGTGAGTCAGCCAACCGGTGGAACACTTGTGCCCGGCGAGTTGCAGAAGCGCCGAACGGCAGGCGATGGCTTATCTCAGCGTGGGAGACGCTCGCTCATTTTATTACGCCCCAGCAGGCGAATGAAAATTTCAAAAATTGAATCACTCCCGTCGAAGCTGCCTGTTTGTCAATTCGCACAACGCTGATTTAGTTGCCAGAGATTTGATTGACGTTAAAAATAGCTTACCAGGCTGAGCTAAATGTAATAAAAGGGGGTACTTAATTTACAATTGCTATTATTTGAAATGTTAAAACACAGAAAATTTAAGGGAATTAAAATTTTACCATAATAAATCGTCAAACGGTAAATTCATTAAACGATTAAATTTTTTATTTCTACTTCCCTGCCGAGTTCAAATTAGTTTACAGGACACAACTTCATTTTTCATTACACTTGCGGATGCTAATTCTCATTGTCAGGTTTTCTAGGGAATGTTTTATTTAAAATTCCAAATTTTTCTACCTAGCTGTTTTTTTTTGCACTGGCCAGGTATGACTGACATTACAATATTTCTCTACTCACAAATCTAGAAACTTTGAAATAAATCAAATTTTTAAAGCAACTTGAACCTGAACCAATTTTGACAGCCAAAAAGTAAATTTCTGATTTATATAAAAATTCATTCATACACAAAAATTTCTAATTTTTTCAAAGATCTTGGAATATGTTATGCAACATCTGGATTTTTGATGCAATATTGAGCTAGGGGTGCGGAAATATTCACTTTTGACCCCCGAAATAAATTACTTTGATTTTTATTTTAAAAACCTATACATTTAAAAAGACGAGCAAAACTTAAACTTTCAAAATGCATAACGTTAAATTAATAACTATTTTAGCATTCAGTGCATTTCTAAATTGATTTGCATTCATGCCTTCGTGGGATTTAATGTTTATGTAACGAGAATAGTACAAACTTCTTCTTGCCCCAGTTACTTGCGTGCACTCGTCAACCAGATGTTTTCTTTTAAAGTAAGACTGCAATACGTTTGCTAGACGGAACAAGCTGGAACTAATATATTTAGCAAAAAGTTATTGCAAATGTCTAACACGGCGGAAATTTTTTCCCTTCCCTTTGACATTTGCAATGCTTTTGAGTGCCTCGCGCCGCTGCGCGCTTCTATTCCCTGCGAATTGCACTCTTCTCCATCACATGCCGCTGCTGCTTTATATTATACGATCGAGTCTGTTTGCTGCTCGCCGACACACAAATAAAAAGCATATAGGGATATTCGATATTACTTTTTGCCCACGAGCCGTCCGTCGCGCCGCCATTATCAACCAGAACCAGTCGCCCCAGCCAATCTATCGGAATTCTTTCCAGAACTGATGAGATTTGATATCAATATCAGGGGGAAAATGGTCGATTTGTCGTCGTCTCAATATGTTCTATAAAAACCAATGGCCAGATATAACAAACTGCATCAAATATTTTTTTAGAAAGAGAGATAAGAACTAGAAACTTCTGAATTTAATTAAAGAATTATTTAATAAAATGTCCCTGAATCCAAAATTTTAAGTTGTTTGCAAAATAATATTAAGATGATTTTTCACAGGAACACGAATAGGTGGTTTTAGGTGATGAATTAAAAATTTAAATTTATGCAAAAAAGAAAGATGACTTTTGCATTTCAGTTTTAGGGACTTTTTAAGAAGTAAATATTTTGAATAAGGCTATTATTTTAAATTTGGTATAAGGAAATTAGATTTCAATTTAACAATAAAAATCTAAATTGATAATTTTAGGTGAAGTAAAGTATGAAATCATTGAAATCCTGTGGGACTTTTTTTACAAAAGTAGATTATACATACATATTAGTATATTACACAATGTTCAACATAAGACGATTAAATTCAAGCTACATTGGGCGTTAACTCTTTTAAAGAAAATAAATCAGGCATATTTTTCTAATATAAGGTCTGAAAAATTAATTAAATTAGTTAACCAGCAATGTTTGAAAAGCTTCCAATTTCGACGGAAAGCTTTGGAGCACGTCAAATATAGGGTGCAAAGGAGGTGACAAAAAGTAGTGTGGTCCTCTTTTTACAAGACAGATAATGCGCACAGGGGCTGTTTTTGTTTTTGCAGAGTTCCTCGCCCTGCAAGACGTGTCCTCCAATAATCGATTCAACCGCAGCAGCTTTTCCAGCTCTGCTGTCTGCGTTTGACGTCGGAATAAAGAAGGTCTGCGAGTGACAAGTAATGGGCTGCTAAAAGCCTGCACGCATTTGCATAATCATCGACATGCGGGCAAAATCAATTAATCGACTTTTATAAAACACACTCGCAGAGATGGAATTGACACCCCGTGTTGACTTGATTACTTCATCGAATCGGCCGCGGTGAAATCGGATCACGCGCGCTTTTTGAGCCTTTGACCTGCACCTTCGCGTCAATGTGATGCGTACGTCGATGCTCCATTTGTCATCAATCAATCCATCGCCCGCCTGTGCGGAGCCTTAACGCGATTTGCGAGTCAATATGCGGCATTGGAAAATATCAAAGAGAGAGGAAATGAATAAACGGCTTTGGACTTCTAAATTTCTTTGGAATTTTCACAATATTCATCACATTAATTTTATTTAAACAGTCAATTTCCCAAACAAAATGCTAAAAGTAGGTTTTTAAAAAGAAATTACAATAAATCATAAATATTAAACTACTGGCTTAAGAATGGATTTATCCTTTAAAAACAAACAAAAGTAAATTTTTTTGAAAGATCTTTCAATTAAAGCTTAGAAAGTTCAAGAAAGTTTTATAAGAACGTAATTATAAATTTAAATTTTTATTCATTTTCATTCCAGTACACCATAAACTTTTCTTTTGAACAAAATATCAAATTTATTCCACAGCAATCAGCCCATCATCAATCAACCTTCTACTAACATGACGAAATTTCAAGCCTAAATTTCCGGCTTGCCAGTGTGGGCGAAAAATTAATATCCGCCGCCGTTGAGGGCTTTGACCCGGTTTCCGAGAGTGGAACGCACAAGAGGCGCCGCAGATTTGCTTTAGCATGCAAAACACGCGCTTTTTACTAATCAAAAGGAGAAAATCCTCTCTCTCTCTCTTTATCCTAACGAGGTACAACAGGGGCAAAAACGGGGGCATGTGTGCAGCCGGAGGGGCCGCTTCGTTATAATAAGTGAGTGTGTCTAGGCGCGTAATGAGCGCACTTGAGCCTGCCTAATGGAGCGAATACCCGTCGTGTCATGACGAGAGGATTTCACGCGAGCAGAAGCACCTTCAGAAGAGAGCAGACAGGCTTTTGATGTTTATTTTCGGGCGGCTCATCCAGCAGAAACGCGTCATTTGCGGCAGAAGCGCGCTCAACTTGTGTTGATTTATAATTTCAATAAATCCAGCATGTTTCAGCAAACATTCTTAAATTTTATAAATAATCCTTTACAAAACCTAGAAGTAACAGGAAAATGTTTCCTATTTCTTAATTGAAAAAAATGTTTTTACTAAATGTTGCAATAAAGACAAAATTTCATTACCATAAAAAGTATGCACACATGGTGTGTAATTAATTAGACCGTGCAGAGGCCGAGTGTTGGAATGAAGAGGCATGGGTCCATTAGAGGCAGTTTGCAGAAGAGACACGAGCATAGTGACCCCGACCAGCTTATTTTATTTTATTATTATGGTTCTCGGAGGCCGTAAAGCTCTTTATTATCGCACACAAAAGCTGCTGCTTCTATGCGACTGAGAAACAGCCAAGCCAGCTCACGGTATTTATTTTGGGCTGCTATTCGCGAGCAATAGAGAGAGACAGACAGATATCGAAGCCGCAAAACTTTTTTGCCGCTCACGGACCACCCTCTGTGCATTATAATACCCTTTAATGAGGCCCGTGGTAATGACTTTCGCACAGACGACTTACGCTATGCGGATTTAATCACAAAGCTCATTAGCGGATATGGAAGCGCAGAGTTAAAAAATAACGCACAATTTTTCTCTCTTGAAATATCCCAGAAGTTTTTTTTTAATACTTTAATTTTGAATTAATACTGAAGATCTTCATTGAAATTCCGTTTCTCTCTTCCAAATTAAAAATAAACTGTGCAAAATCCACAGAACAGTTCATCCATCATCTACGTTAATCGGGCCAAACGATTCCCGAACCTTTGATCTCACAGCAGCTGGAGCATAGAAAATAGTCTCTCTTGGTAAAGTGACAGCGTTCAGTCATAAATTCAGCAGTCTGCATGACTAAATCAACGGATTTATAATTTAAGTATTAGTGAATTGGAATTAAAAAAAAAGGGCAAAAAATCCCTCTATAAAGCCAAGATAATTCTGCATTTTTCCCTTGGCACGCGGAAATATCTTTGCAAAGCCGTACGACTTCTCCAATTTCCTTGAGCAGAAAGCTTTACTGCGGCCTTTTTCTTCAATAAACGTACGGAGGCCGTACAAAATAAAGTTTCGAGTGTATTTCCCACCCGCGCTTGCATAATATGAATGTCTCCTTCCTTGTTTGAAACGGCTTGTGTGTTTGACTTTGTGGCAAATTTCGCTGCCCCTTGGCACATAGGCAACTTATTGGTCCCTGGAGAGTTGCGGGCAGCAAACTCGGATGGGCTCTTGACCACAGATAAGCAAAAGTTGGGCCTCAGTGTCTTTCAGGCTGGGGTGTAAACAAAACAAGCGACCCTCAACTCGCAGCAGAATAATTGCGACGCGACCTTTGACTTTTCGGACAGACTATTTCCAAAAACTTTGTCGTTTGCGGAATTATTTTTATGGGTCTTTAAAGAAAGTCTGGGTTGGTTTCGGACCATTTCCGTCGAAATCTCACCCACTTTATCGCATTAGGCGTTTTGCCAGGCAGAACATTTTTACGCATTCGTAACTCTTCCGAGTTTTACGACTTGAATTGATGGCAGATGAATTCCATAACTTTTTACAGTCGCGCGTGTATAACATGAAAACTGGGACCACGCTGGACGTTCCAATATATTCGGATCCGTTTTGGAGGTTACGGTGCTGGAAATAGACCGTCCGAGGGAAAACCCTTTGTCTTTTCTCGGAACTTTTAGAGCAATAAAGATCAATATACATGATTTAGCACCGCACGCAACCAATAGAGCGTTGGGAAAGTTCGTTTCTCGGCTTGACGGCGGGTTTTCCTGGCGAGCACTTAAGACCTGTCAGTCGAAAATAATGTGATATGCACGGCTCCTTTTCATTATTAATATATCAATCATACCAAAAAAGGCTAAAGAATAAAACTTTAGCCAAGATTATGACGAATTAAAACGTAAATGTTTTAAATTTAATTTGTTTTTGCTAATGGCACCCACGTAGTTTTTTAACTTGGGGATTGGTCTCTGCCTTAAATGTAAATAAATAAGAAATTAATATAGAAAGAGTCATTACTTTTAAATATCTGTGAAAATTGAATTAAATTTTATATTATTTTAGATGGATTTTTGCAATTTAAATTAAAATTTCCACCCTTCGATCAAATTTAATATTGAAAAATTGATATTTGATTCAATTAATTGCAAAATAGAAAAAAAAGACTGAATTCCATTTGTATAAATTTTAACAGTCAACTAGGGTGAAGTAATTATAAAATTTATTTTCAACCTTTACAATGCATTTAAAATGTTTTAAAATTCCTGTATGTTTTTTTTATCCCATAACCATAATTCCAAAGTTTATTTAATTACGTTTGCTACATTTTAGACACAATATCCATTTCACGAACATTGTTGTAATTTTCTCTCCCACACAAACATACAACAGCCACATTCATTTCCACCAAATGAAACATTACGGCGGCAAAACACAATGAAAACAAAGTTGGCCGCGACGCTTGTAACAAAAACGTACGTGGCTCGCGATTCAATGGCGCACTGGAATTAATTCATTTGCTGACTGTCCGCTTATACATTTCTAACTTAATTTAATCAAAGAAGGTCACCCCCGTCTGCTCCATGAAAAATTCACACACGCTCCCGTCAAATGCACCAAGGCAATTTCCCTGGCTCAATTCACTGCTCAGCCGGGAAGACGGAGGCGGCTATTGCTCCAGACGACATAAATTTTGCTGCTGCACCGGCTGCATACGAGCCCAGGCGCACTGAAAGTGATAAAATATTTAACATTCCCCTCCTGACGTTTTATACGACTTAGCTCCCCGGCGAAGAAAAAATAAAATTCTATCTCTCGGAAGCAACTCGCTATAGCTGCTCGACTCTGCACCTCAAAAGTTGTTGCTCGGATAAATCATCTGTGTTTCTTTTCGTGCTCACTTTCTTTCGAAAGCTAACTTTTTAAAAGGCTTTTAGTCTCTGTGTGCACTGGGGAGTGAGCCGTGGTTTCTTTCGTGTGTTTTGTGAGAGAGATGCTCTCTGTTTCACGCATATACCTTTGCGAGGTGCCGACCGAGTTCTTCTTTCCTTTGCGGAGAGCGTTTTTTCTGCTTCCTCCCTTTTGCAAACCAACAGCCCACTCACGTTTCAAAGCTCTTAAGGTTGCACAAGAGAAGCACAAATGAATTTTAAAGAGGACCAAAAACTCGGTTCGTCTCTACACGGTGGAGACACGAAATGCCTTTCGTTTGTTGGAGAATTTTTAACTCCCGCCTACATAGTTTTTTGTTTAAAAACAAGAATTGCCAAAAGAAAAAAAGAACATTATTTATTTTAATCATGAAAGTCATTACCTTGGAAATCAGAATTTATCTTCAAATAGTTTTTTTTGACAACGCAACCGGTGACAATAATTTTTAAAATTGTAATGAAAAATTAAAATTTGAATCAAAGAGAAATTCATTATGAGGTAGATAATTAAAAAAAATTATATTTGCATTGTTTAATACCATGGATAAAATAACATACTATATAACTTTTGCTATGTTTAAACTGACATTTTCGAGTGGTTTGACGACATTGGCTTTATTTCCTCCCTACGCTTAGAATGATATTTACAGCCTTTTATGCGTATAGAAATGACGGCTTTCATTGAAAAGCGGTGGGTGAAATTAAATTGGTGTGGGCTGCCGAAACGTCGGCCCTGCATGACAACAACACACTCGGCCACCCACCCCTGATGGTATCCAAGGGGTGACGTCACCCCCGAATATGCACCCCACGCAGACGGGGGCGGCTGCACACTGCAAATAGCTCAAGACCCTCCCCCTCAAAGCGCACCCCGGCTGCTCTCCTGCTGTATAAAATATTGGCGAAAACTTTGCTGCTCGCCTGCAGGAAGAAATCTCACCCAGTCATCATAATATCCCTTGTGAGTGTATCTTTGAGGGATGTACCTCGTTCTATGCCTTTTCGGCTCAACAAAAGACATCCACGGATAACGGCGCGTGCTCTCTCGTCAAAGCCCGGCAAGCAAGGGTCCTTTGCTATTTCTGGAGGATTGTCCTGTGCTATATCTTATTGTGCGGCTCGGATTCCTCAAATCTCGACCTTTGTGCTGAAAACGTGCTTGGAAATTTCTTGACAGGAGATCAAATATTTATGTATTTCATAAATATTTTTTAATGAAGATCTCAATAGTTGCAAATTGTGTTTATTGATATATCACAAAGGCAATTGCTGCCCATAACGGGATACATCATTCATACATTCAAAATTATACAAATTCAATACAATTGAGAGAAAAGATGAGAGTTTTACAAACAAAGTTTTACATGCGAAATTTCACAAACAAAATTTTCCAATTACAAAATATAAACAAAAGAAAAATAACAATAGTCAAGTTCTTTGGACATTTTTTTTCTTTTTCTGGATGCTGAAAGCTTGCATTTAAATGACTGCCTGATACTTCCAAATGCCGCTTTCTTTGTTCTTTTTTTGCTCTTAATCCTGGCAAAAAACTGCAGCTCAAATTATGTTTAGTAAAACAGGCTTTTTACTAAATATATTAAAAAAATATATAAAATCTTTTAAAAACATTTTTACATGTGTGCGTTTTTGATCTACCAAGCTTCAAAGAATTGAAGGCGGGCATGTTTGCTTTTCACCAAACGAGCGCAACTCAAAGAGCAGGGCTATAAACGTTGAAACTAATTTATTTCCTCCGCACTTGCGTGGCTTCCCATTGGCAGCTCGTAACATTGTGAAATTAAATAATACAATTACTGCCGCCGTTTCGAGGTCTTTGTGTATATTTTGAAACCAACTGTGCAGCCCTTTTCGACAGAGGGCAGATGGTGACGGCGCAAATGCCCGGCCAGGTGACAGATAATGGCCATTAGAGACGAGCCGCGTGTGTCAAGATTATGCGCCTGTGTTTACGGTTGTTTGTTTGGTCGCGCACTCGCACGGCAAACACAATTACGCTCGCCGTTCCCCGCTTCATCCGGGATAATTTTGCAGATTTATGAATGGCTCTGGGCTTTTGTGCTCACAAGCCAGGGAGAGAGTGAATACTTTGTTGTATATGAGCCGCTTTTGCTCTCTTTACCGAGGGCTTTTGAATGCAAATACTCGTGCCTCTTGACTCGCAATTATTCAAATTTCTTTGCAAATACGGCAGTATTCGCGTTTGTGTTGTCGAGTAGAAACAATAAGGTCTACTGAGGTCTATGTTTGCCTTCAAAGAAAATCTTGTTATATTAGCAATCAGAATACTATAGCAAGTTTTATTAAAAAATTAAATTTTTAAATACAAAAAATTAATACAACAATTCATAAAATTAACTTCAATTAAATTTATATTTTTTACTAACTTTTTCAACAAAGTTTTATAAAAGAAAAAACCGGAATAAATAATAAATTAAAGAATAAAATATGATGATAAATCGTAAAATTTTCACTTAAAAGTTTCCTGGAGTTATTTAGCTTTAAGGATTTCTTCAGCAACAACCCTGATCATAGCCATCACGTCCTCTCCAGTTGTTTTAATGAAACTTGCCGGTAACAGAAAACCATATTTTCCTTTGTCAGGCAATTCTACAGTGTATGTATATTTAATTCCCGGAACAGCCTTCGCCCAATCGACAGAGACACCTAAAATACCAAGATTAAAATTAATTTTTCTTTTTCCCTCACTAATTCGTACCAGATGATTTGTACAATAGTTTGGCAGAATTTCCAACTTTGTAAATGGTTTGGCTCAAAGCCTTCATCGCCGCAGCACCACTGTTTCCCACTCTCTGCAAGTCGGCAGAGTCAGGAGGAACCATGACAGCGTATCCCCAAGGGTACAAAATCCACTGGCCGAAATTGTGGAACGACAAGTAAGACTAGAATTTTAATTTTTATTATTATACATGTTAAGCCAATGTTGATATTTAAACATATTTCTATTTACATTAAAAAATCCAACGTTAAAACTCATGATGTAGTCTCTAATAGCTATGGCTTCTGGTTCTGAAAAAGCAGACGGTCCTCGAAATATTTCTGAGCAGGCACTTGTGCTGGCGCCCGCTCCTCCCCACTTGTAGCCGAAATTTCGGTTCACGTCAACTCCAACGCATTTTGTATTTCTTTTTGTCCTGTTTTTGCGCCAAAGACGTTCCTTCGTTTGCGTGTACTCGTAGCCATCAACATTGAGAAGTGGAACAATATGGAAATCTATAGCATCTGCAAATGAGCTGTAGCGAGTGCGATTTTCAACCAGCTCTTTTACTATGTATGAAACTGTTGCGGACGCAATCCACTCTCTCGCATGAATTCCTATGTCGTTAAAATAAAGATTGATTAATTTATAAAATAGGCACTGATAAAAAAATTGAATAAAAATAATTTTATTACATAAATTGGCATCAATCCTTTATATTTCAAATAATATCAGACAAATACAATCTCGCTTTTGTGAAATTTTTGATTGACATTATATTGTTTTAACTTTAATCATCTGTAATTTGTTGTTGCAAAAATTGTAAAATAAGCAAAATTAATAATAATAAAAAATTAGGATTTATTACCACTTTGTCCACTTCTACTAGCAAGAATTGTATTTTAAATTGGTTTAATGGTTAAATCAAATTAAATAATGCATACCTCCGTCTATGAATATAGCAGGGCGCTTAGTGGCACCACCGGCAGAAATTTTAATCAACTTGATGGGCCTTTTTTCATAAGTATTTCCTATTGTTGTAACGGTGCAGAGCGACGCATAATTAGCAGCGTAATAATCAAGAAAGTCGTGAATCACGGTCGCTCTGTGGTACGCATCCCAGTTTAATGTGTAGCCTAAACAATTAATTCACAAATTGCAATAATTTAGACGCAACTTAGGCATAATCCTGACCTTTTCGGAACGAATCAGTATTGGCCGTGGTGTTCGCAGGGTTTTCCTCGTCAATTAGTTTTTGCACGTCTGGTGCCATGATTTTTGGCTGAATGCCCGCCTCGAATAATTGTAAATGAACATTTTTCACATTTTCTGGCAGAATCATGAAAACGGCATGGGAGTTCTTGCCCCTTGTTTGCTTCCAAACATCAATCACTAAAATTTGAAAATTAAAGTTTAATAATTTGTTTTGATTTTAAATGTTCAAAACATAGCACATATGTGTTTTTTTTAATTTTATAAAATTAAGTGATATAAATTTATTATTCAGGAGCCAAAAACCATCAAATTTAGTTTTATTATGAGCTTAAGCAGTTACGGAAATAACCATATCGTCTCAAAAATCGATGTTATTAATATAAATAATTTTCACCAATGAATTGAAAATTTCTTACATTTGCTCACGGCTAATTCCTTGAAGACGCGTTTATGCTCGTCGGTTTTCAACCGGACACTGATCAGTTGTGCTCCCCTAAGAATTGTGGTTTCAAATTCAGACTCGCGGATTTGGGCGTCTGGCACATCGGTGCACTCTTCACAGATGCTCTCAGTGGTAATATCATCAGAATTTGATTTAGCTGAATGACATGCGGTTGTCAAAGAAACCGTTAAAATTGTGACCCACACGTTCAGCATCTCGGTCGTCTTAACTCTTTCGCTGTTGGTGAATAACTAAAGAAAGAAGGCGCCGGTCACCCCTTTTTTAATGCATTCAGACGCCTTTTTTTCATAATTACACTCCCATCAGAGAATGATCTGGAAAGTACAAACTGGTCTGCACCAAAATAAATTGTGCTGGATAAAATTTCATGCAGTCTCAATTTAAGTTATGAAAAATACTCAACGGTAAACGGAAGGTAATTTATGTGTTTTAATCGCATCATGTTATTCCCGTTACAGCGTGAATAAATTTTTTGGCATTATTCCTTGTGTTTTAAATTTAATTTATTTTTCATTGAATATTGTTACTAAGCTAAATCAGTGAAATTCTAAAAATATTTTTGTGAAAGAAACATTATTATTATTCATAAACGATTTGTTTATTGTTAAGGCTCTCTAAAGTTATTTGCTCGTAGTATATCTTCAGCAATAATCCTTATAAAAGTCATCATGTCCTCGCCAGTAGACTTAATGAAACTTGAAGGTAGAATGAACCCATATTTTCCTTTGTCAGGCAGTTCAACCGTGTACGCATATTTAATTTCCGGAACAGCCTTTGCCCAATCGACAGAATTACCTAAAAACAGTAAAATTTGTCTTTTTTCCTTTGTTTTATTTAATTTTATACCAGATGCACTGTACAAAACTTTGGCAGTATTTCCAACTGTGTATGACGTTTGGCTCAAAGTCCTTATCGCCGCTGCAGCGCTGCTTCCCACTCTCTGCAAGTCAGACGAGTCTCGAGGGACCAAATTTTCGTATCCCCAAGGATACAAAATGCAACGACCAAAACTGTGAATCGTCAAATAGGCCTGACAAAGATTTTTTTTTTAATTTTAGCATATTTTTTTATAATTGATATACATTGAAAAATCCGATGTCGAAACTCATGATATAATTCCTAATAGCTCTGGCTTCTGGCTCTGAAAAGGCAGACGGTCCTCGATAGTTGTCCGAGCAGGAACTTTTGCTGGCACCAGCTCCTCCCCACTTGTAGCCGAAATTTCGATTCAGGTCAACTCCAACACATTTTGTGTTTGTTTTTGCCCTATTTTTCCGCCAAAGACGTTCCTTTGCATGCGTGTACTCGTAGCCATCGACGTTAAGAAGTGGCACAATATGGAAATCAATGGCGTCTGCAAATGAACTGTAGCGAGTGCGATTTTCAACCAGTTCTTTTATTATATATGAAACTGTTGCGGGCGAAATCCATTCCCTCGCGTGAATACCTGTGTTTGGTAAAATTAATTATTTCATCAATCTTTGGTATACGCAAAAATTTCAATAAACAATAATAATTGCCATAATAAATAAGCGCACTCTCTGTGCTTTTAAAAAAGTAATTTTTTATCATAATCAATTAAAATTACCTCCATCTATGAATATGGCAGGGCGCCTAGTGGCACCACCAGCAGAAATTTTAATCAGCTTGATGGGTCTTTTTTCAAACGTATTTCCTATCGTGGTGACAGTGCAAAGAGATGCGTAACTTGCAGCATAATAGTCAAGAAAGTTGTGAATCACGCCAGCCCTGTGGTACGCATTCCATGTCATTGAGTACGCTAAAAAAATTTAATCAACAATATACAGTTTGCAATATTTTAGATATATGCATAGATCAGACCTTTCCGGAATGAATCATTTTTTTCTGTGATGTTGACAGGATTTTCCTCGTCAATCAATTTTTGCACGTCTGGCGCCATTATTTTTGGCTGAACATTCGCTTCGAAAAGCCGCAAGTGCACTCTTTCCACATTCTCTGGCAGGACCATGAAAACGGCAACCGACTTCTTGCCTCTTGTGTGCTTCCAAATATCGATCACTAAGCTCAATCAAAGTTGGAAATTTGCTTCATAATTGTATTGAAAAATTACCTTGTCCCAAAAATATTTTAGAGATTTTTAATGTTCAATTTAAAAATTTTAAACACGTTTTTGTTTATTAATTTAAAATGAAATTATCTTTAAATCAACAATAAGAAGTATTACATTGGATTTTCAATTCCCCAAAAATTAAGCTATCTCACGTTTGCTTAAGGCGAGTTCTCTGAAGATGCGCTTATGCTCGTCGGTTTTTAATCGGACACTGATTAGTTGAGCTCCTCTTAGATTTGCAGTTTCAAATTCCGACTTTTGGATTTCTACGTCTCGCGATTCGGTGCACTCTTCAAAGGTGCTCATCGTGGTAACTTCATCGGAATTTAATTCCTCAGACTGATATGCGATGGTTAAAGAAACAACTGTTAAAATTGTGACCCACACGCTCAGCATCTTGGTCGTGTTCCTAAACTCTACCGCTGTAGGCAAATAACTAAAAATGCAGGCGCTCGTAAATCTTTCAATACATGCCAACTGCCAACGCCTTTAAATAATTTTACTCCCACCAGCGAGATGAGATCCTGGGAAGAATAAACTGGTCTGCTCCGAAAAAAACCCGTGTTGAACAAAAAATTTGTATATTCGTAGAATATGGCAAGTAAATTTGCAGATTTGAATGGCTTAAAAAGGCTCTTGTTGAGCTAGTAGGCCAAGAAGAGAGTGAACAATTCAATTTTCTTGCATATAAGTGACGCATATTTCTTTTTCCAAAAACCTTTGAATGCATATGCATGTGCTTAATATAGACTCGCAATTATTCAATTCGCTGTTCGAAGCGCTATGTGTCAAATTTGAAAATGAGCTTTTTAAAACATTGGTTTTATGCACTAAAATTGCTTAATAATAAAGCAAAATCTATTTTTGCTAATTAATTAAAAATCAGCGTTTTTTTTTAATTTATTTAATATTACAGATTAATCCAAACGTACTTGTTTTTTTTCTGGAAAAAATACCAATAAAAATTGAAATAGAAAATTTATAAATCAATTTTCATACAATAAAAATATATGTATATTTTTATATTTTTACCTACATTAAAATTAAAAATTAAAATTATTTTCAAATTTCTTAACAACATCAACAATTATCTTGAAGACTCTTTAAAGTTGGTTGGTTTAAGGATTTCTTCAGCGATTACCCTGATAAAAGCCATCATATCCTCACCAGTCGGCTTAATAAAACTTGCTGGTAAGATAAAACCATATTTTTCTCTGTCGGGTAACTCTATCGTGTATGAATATTTTATGCCCGGAACGGCCTTGGTCCAATCAGGTGAACATCCTTAAATAATTTCAAAATAAAAATATGCGTTTTTTTGCACACATTAATTTATACCAGATGCTCTGTATAAAAGTTTGGCAGAATTTCCGACGGTGTACGATGTTTGGCTCAAAGTTGCTATCGCCGCTGCACCACTGCTTCCCACTCTCTGCAAGTCGGCCGAGTCTGGAGGCAACGAAAAATCATATCCCCAAGGATACAAAATCCACTGACCGAAACTGTGCAGTGTCAAATATGCCTAGAATGGTTTAAGTTTTAATTTTTGACAATAAATTATTTTTTTCTCAAATTAGATTTACTTTAAAAAATCCGACGTTAAAACTCATGATGTAGTCTCTAAGAGCTTTGGCTTCTGGTTCTGAAAAAGCGGACGGTCCTTGATAATTATCCGAGCAGGTACTTGTGCTGGCGCCGGCCCCTCCCCACTTGTAGCCGAAATTTCGATTCAGGTCAACTCCAAAGCATTGTGTATTTGTTTTTGCCCTATTTTTTCGCCAAAGACGATTATTTGTGTGCGTGTACTCGTAGCCATCGACGTTCAGGAGGGGCACAATATGGAAATCAATGGCGTCTGCAAATGAGCTGTAGCGACTGCGATTTTCAACCAGTTCTTTTGTTATGTATGAAACTGTTGCAGGCGAAATCCATTCCCTCGCGTGAATTCCTATAAATATGTTTTGAATTCAATTATTAATGAATGAAAAACAACGAATTTATTAAAACTTTGTAAAAAAATTATAATAAGATTATGTATAGATTCTCTACAAACAAGTGCAAAATTAAGCAATCGCACTTATTATTTAAATTTAATAGTTCAATTAAGTTGCAATAAATCACCTCCGTCTATGAATATGGCAGGGCGCTTCGTGGCACCACCGGCAGATATTTTGATTAACTTGATGGGCCTGTTTTCATAAGTATTTCCTATAGTGGTAACAGTGCAGAGCGACGCGTAATTAGCAGCGTAATAATCAAGAAAGTCGTGAATCACGCTCGCTCTTTGGTACGCATTCCAGTTTAATAAGTATCCTAAAAAACGAGATCTCACGCAACCATTTTCACACAATCTATAGGCATAGTCCTGACCTTTTTGCGCCAAATGTGTACTTTCCGTGGTTTTCACAGGGTTTTCCTCGTCAATTAGTTTTTGCACATCTGAAGCCATTATTTTCGGCTGAATATTCGCCTCAGACAGCCGCAAGTGCACTTTTTCCACATTCTCCGGCAGAACCATAAAAACAGCAACCGACTCCTGGCCACTTGTTAGTTTCCAAATATCGATCTCTATTTAAAATGAAAGTATTTTGTAAAAGTTATTTTCCATATCAAAAATGATGCCGAGTTAAACTTAAAATTAAAAATTTTCGGTTATCTTTCACAATTTTAAGAGTATTTCTTTGAAACTTCTTAAATTTAATTTCAAGAATTTAATTATATTAGGGCAACTTTTCAGTTTTGCAACTTGCAATATACATGAGCTCATAAAAATTATTTATAGAAAAAATTTAAAACTAAAACAAGAAAGGAATAGAAAATTAGCGTTGCTAAAAAAATTGATTTTTCAGCATTGCTTTAAAAAAGTAAATTGTTGTTATGCAAAACGTGATAATTTATTCCTATAAATTGCAATTTAAAGCTTTGCTAATAGTTTTTCTTACATTATTGATGGTTATTTAAGAATTAAAATTCAAAGTATTCAGAATTAAAAAACAATTAAATTCCCCCAAAATTGGCATTGCCTCACGTTTGCTTAGGGCGAGTTCTTTGAAGACGCGTTTGTGCTTGTTGTTTTTCAGCCGGATGCTAATCAGTTGAGCTCCCCTAAGATTTGCTGATTTAAATTCTGACGTTCGAATTTGGGCGTCTGACAATTCGGTGCTCTCCATGTTAACATCTTCAGGATTGTCTGACTGACATGCGGTGATGAAAAAAACTGTTAAAACTGCGACCCACACGCTTCGCATCTCGTGTGCGCCTCGACTCTTTCGCTGCTCTTGAATAAAACGCCAAAAGGAAAGCACCGTGTGTCCCTCAAATCCCTTTTCAATTCATTCAAACTACTCCTAGCTTTCCATAATTTTTACTCCTACCATCGAGCGATGGCCGTGGGTAGAATAAAAATGTGTCTGGTCTGCACCACATAAATGTAAAAAAAAAAGAAAATGGGAGAAGAAAACGTGAAACTAGCTAGAAACAAAATAAATAATTATGTTTTTTTAGCACATTTTTCCTGTTAGAACAAACAAAAGTACTATTAAAAATTTAAATATAATTCAAATTGATAAAATTATTGAAACTAATAATGCCAATGTATCTGAATCAGCTAACGTTAGAAATAGGATTATACGGTCGATAATACATTTTTTTTAAAGGTTTCTTTATTTCGCTTTCAAAGCAAAACTTAAGGTTACAAAATTATTTAAAGTTTTTATTCTGAAATATCTATGTGAAAAAATGTAGTAAATAATACTGTATTTTCTTAGCATTAAAATTAATAATAAACTTTGTTAATTCTCAAGGTATTTAATAATTATGAGTTATAAATCATTTTATGAGGTTATATAAATTTATTATGTATTTATCTACTAAATTAAAATAATTCGTTGTTGAACATCAAAATATATATTTTTAATAAATTAAAATATTTTATTTTTCTCCAACATTTATATTCAAGGCTCTTTGAAGTTAGTAGTTTGGAGGATTTTTTCAGCAAATACCCTGATTAAAGCCATCAAGTCCTCTCCAGTAGGCTTAATGTAACTTGCTGGTAATATAAATCCATAAGTTCCTTGGTCAGCCAATTCTACAGTGTATGAATATTTAATTTGTGGAACAGCCTTAGCCCAATCGTCAGAGCAACCTACAATAAAAGGAAATAAAAATTTGCATATCCTTCGTATCCATTGATTCATACCAGATGCTCTGTACAATAGTTTGGCAGAATTACCAACTGTGTACGATGTTTGGCTTAAAGCCTTTATTGCTGCTGCAGCGGTGTCTCCCACTTGCTGCAAGACGGCAGAGTCTGGAGGAAGCGAGTAAGCATATCCCCAAGGATACAAAATCCACTGACCGAAACTGTGGATCGTAAAATAGGCCTAGAATGATTTCTTTTTAGTTTTTGGCAATATTGTTTCTCAAATTGATTTACATTGAAAAACCCGACGTTAAAACTCATGATGTAGTCTTGAATAGCTTTGGACTCCAGTTCTGAAAAAGCGGATGGTCCTCGATATACTTCTGAGCAGGCACTTCTGCTAGCGCCCACACCTCCCCACTTGTAGCCGAAATTTCGGTTCACGTCAACTCCAAAGCATTTTGAATTTGTTTTTGCCCTGTTTTTGCGCCACAGACGATCACTTGTGTGCGTGTACTCGTAGCCATCGACGTTCAGGAGGGGCACAATATGGAAATCAATGGCATTTGCAAATGAGCTGTAGCGACTGCGATTTTCAACTAGTTCTTTTATTATGTATGAAACTGTCGCAGGCGCAATCCACTCCCTCGCGTGGATTCCTAGATTTGAAATAATTTTTTAAATAATCTTATCTTGATAAATAATATATTTTTGGAAAAGTTTAAATGGTTTTAAATAAATAATAAAAATTTGTCTAAAAAATTTACTGCAAATCAGTACCAATAAGCATATCATTAAGTTTTTAGTTTATTTAGTTATTTATTTTTAAAATTATTTGTTTCATGATATCCATAATATATTTTACCTCCGTCTATGAATATGGCAGGGCGCTTAGTAGCACCACCGGCAGAAATTTTTATCAACTTGATGGGTCTGTTCTCAAAGGTTTTGCCTATAGTTTTTACGGTGCAGAGCGACGCGTAATTGGCAGCGTAATAATCAAGAAAATCGTGAATCACGCTCGCCCTGTGGTACGCATCCCAGTTTAATGTGTATCCTAAAAAATAAATCAGCAACTGAAGCATAAATTTTCAAACAACCTTTGCATTGACCTGACCTGCCCGGAAAGAATTGCTGTCACTGTAGATCGTGGTGTTTGCAGGGTTTTCCTCATCAATCAATTTTTGCACGTCCGGTGCCATAATTTTCGGCTGAATATTCGCTTCAAATAGTTGCAAGTGCACTTTTTCCACATTTTCTTGGAGAACCATAAAAATAGCAAATGACTTTGGTCCCCTTGTGTGCTTCCAAATGTTGATCACTATACAAAATCATGATTGATAAGCTTCTTAAAAATTTTCAACCGTAAAAACTGAAGGAACTGCTCTTCACACAGTTTTAGAATAATAATATGATTATTGACAGAATAGACTATCAGAGAGTTTTTTTTTTGTTAAATAAATTAATTAAAATCATATTGAAATAATTAGAAATAATTATCCTTTCCCCAAGAATTTTGTTTTCTCACGTTTGCTCTGTGCGAGTTCCTTGAAGACGCGCTTGTGCTCATCGTTTTTCAGCCGGATTCTAATCAGTTGCGCTCCTCTAAGGTTTGCAGGCTCAGATTCCAAATTGCGGATTTGGGAGTCCGGTAATTTGGTGCTCTCTTCAAATATGCTCTCAGTGGTAGTGCCATCGGAATCTGATTCTTCTGATTGACCCGTGGCGGTCAAAGAAATTGTTATTAAAATGAATGCGACCCACAACCTCTTTTGCAGCAGCATCTCAGCAATGTGTGCCTGTCCGGCCGCTGCTGGTGAATAACTCCCAAAAGAAGTCACATCATTTTTTAATCCCACCAGCGAGCAATGACCTGGAAGGTAAAAACCGGTCTCCACCAAAAACTTACGGTGAATAAAAATTTTGCAATGCAGATACAATTAGCAATGTGTCATTTCAAATGGTAAACGTATAATATTATACGCTTTTTCTTTATGCACCCCATTATTCTGTTTTGATTATATAAGTTATTATCAAAATACAAATTTACTCAATCATAGAGATATAAATACTAAATCTTCTTGAATACTTGTAATAAAATATATTTATATAAATGTAGCAACTTTATCCAATAAAATCTTAAAAAGTAATATCTTCATTATTTCTTTCTTACATTTTGCTTGCGCAAAAAAGGATGTTTGAGCATTTCCTTATTTTCAAGAACAAACATTTCTCCGCACCGTTTTTGAGCACCTTTCGCATTTCCGCCGTCGGTACAAAAACACGCCCGCAGCAAGAGGGCCGGAAAATTCCAAAGAAATTCTACATCCGCCCACTCACGTCTATTCATCGATCCTTCCCTTCCTTTTCCCTTCTCTGCGAGCAGAAAAATTTCGCACACTCACGAGACTTGCATGCGCAAAATTTCAATTTCCGGAGCGAGCTGATTCAAAATAGTGCACAGAAGTGCAATTAGCCACGCGAATGGGTTTGTTCCCGATTAATTACGACTCATAAATGAATTCCACGAGGAAATTCTTGGCAAGCCTGGTGAGTGCTGCTGTGGGCTACATTGAAATGCATTCATATAAGGCTGAGAGAGCAGATGTTTGATGCATCATGTTGATAAATTGAAATGGGACTAACAGTTTGCATGTTGAATGAAGTGCTCTAAACCTCAAAAGCCCCATCGAGGGGGATGAACGCAATCTAGTTGCCAAGCACATGGCCCTATTCCAGCCAAAATCGATCCATTTTGTAAAATTGTTTCATGGCTAATTCTAGTATCAACAAATATAAATTTTCCATGTTTCCGAAAATGACTGTTTAGAGTAAAATTATATTATTTAAATAAAAGTTTAAAAAGTTATAGATTAAAATCAATTTTTATTCTTTAATTGCTAAGTGACTTGAAGTCTCTGAATTCTAATGTTAACAGAAATTCAAGGGATTAATGGAAAGGAACAATAGGCAGTAATTATGTACATTAAAAAGTGAAAGATAATAAACTATAGTTGCCACTATTTTAATCGTCCCCTTAATTCCACAAAACCTTTGAAAAATTTCATGTATAGAAATAATTTGCGTTTTAATTTCAAGAAAAAAAATAATAATTTAAAAGCCGCGTCTAAATGATGTTGAACACAAAAAGTTACCTCAAAATTTTAATCAACTTAAAAAAACTGGGAATTACTGAATCATAATTTTTATTAGTTTGACCAGGTTAAAATTTCCAGTCTGATGGCCTACAAAATGTTTTACAAGAACCGTAAAATCGCGAAACGGCGGCGCAGCTTGAGCTCGGCCGGTTGCGGAAGGAACGGGGCGCCGCCGACCAGCATCATTAAATGTCAGAGTTCAAGCGAGCGCTCATCTCGCTGAGATGTGCGGCGCAACAATGGGCCGGGAAATCAAAACAAATAGCGCAGAGATAGCGTTTTCAATTTCTGCCATCTCCGATCCGGATTAAATGGAAGGCGAGTGCCAAAAGCAGCAAGTAAGGCGCTTTTCGCGTTCAATTCTGTCGCTGAATGTGCGGTGCAAAGTGAATTTGCGCGACGACGAGAAAAGCAATTGCCGCTCGGCGAGATTGTCTCCGAGATCCTTTTCATCAGCGAAATGCATTTGCTTCACCAACATAATAGCACGTCCTATCCAAGAGACGCACGTTTGTGCCGGCGTGGAATTAAGAAGTGTGTTATGTTATGGCGGTCGCTCTTTTCCTCTAATACTTTCAGACTGGTACTGCCTTTTGGAGGCAATCCAAATACAAAGAGCTTTGTTATATTTCCGAAGGAAAGGACACACCCAGTTTTAAAACACAAAAGTCGGAATCATTTCCTATTGAGATTGGAAGATAAGATATCGTCCACAAAAAAATTGGAAATATTGGGACACAATGGTGATTATAATGCAATATAATCATATGGAATACATTAATGTTTCTGGCAATTAGAATTTTTCCGTATTATTCCCTAAATTATTGTCATTATTAATATAAATTTTTAGAATTCACTTGCACAATTTTATAAAAATTTAAATCATTATATTAAAATTCATTTAAGTAAATCATGTATTTGTTATTGATTTTGCTATTAAATTAATATTATTGTATTGTTGTTTATTTGTTCAAATTGTTACACCTCATTGTTTACATTCAAATGTTGGAAACAATTTACATGAAAGAAAATAATGGATTTTTTGCACAAAACGGCACCAATTCTAGCAAGAAATTTCTTAAAACTTTTGAAATAAAAAAAACCCTATTCGTCGCAGTGAGAGTTAGTTGACTTGTTTTTTTGTTTATTATTATTTTTCAAAATAAATAATATTTATATTAAACCACAAAAATGTATAGCTCTTAAAAACTATTATTTAAATTTTGTAATTAAATTGAAAATAAATTAGTACAAAAATAATTTTAAGGTTAAATTTTTCATGAAAACATAAGAATTTAAATTTTTACTTAACACTACATCTTTCAAATTTTAATTACTAGTTACAATAAATTTGATCATTAAACGACTTTTTGTTATCAATTGTCCTGGTCGTTTCAGGCTTTGATTGTAGAATAGATTGTTAAAACAATGACTACTGTAATTGCAGCAGTTAATTGTGATTCGGTTGACGCTCCACTTGCGCAGCTACGCGGAAGCAGGACGGTTTTGTGCATGCATTCTGAAAACTGTGCAGCGATAAAATCGGCTGCCGCTCGTCGCAGCTCCCTCGAGTGTGTTCCCATTGACCAGAAAACACAGTGGATCGATAGAGCAGCAGCGTGTGCATCTAGCATGAATGTGTGTGAGCGAGTGCGAGAAGAGTGGAAGGGAAGCCAGCGAGAAATGGCATTTTGAATTAATTAATGTGGCACGCGCTGGAACGAGCAGCGCACTTTAATTATTTTTAAATGCGCCGGCGACGAGTTTTTGCCGTAACAGAGGCAGAAGTGCCTTGGGCGAGACTCGAAACTTCAAAAGCAACCAACCACCGAGGCCCAAGGGGGTAATGCTCCAGTTCACATAAATATTCAAAATGAAAAAAAGAACACAACAACCGGGGAAATTGCTTTAAATACTTGTTCTACTTTTCCTTTGGATAACAAATCAACATTCATAAATTCTTTGCTTGGTTACTCTGTTAAAAAAATTTAATATTGATTTCTAAGACTGAGCAAGCAAAAAAATATTATATTACAACTTTTCAGCAAAAACAATTTTCTAAAAAAAAATTATTTTGTAAATGAGAAAGTTAATAACAAATTAAAAATAGGAATAAATGCCAGAATATATTATAATATTTTTTGTTTGTATAATTACAGAAATTCAAATATATTTTGGAAAAAGATTTTTCATACAATTAAAAGCCACCAAACTTTTAAATTATTTTTTAACTTTTAAATTTGGCTTTAATTCAATTAATCGATGAGAGAAAAGAAATGAAAATAGATTGATGTGGTGCAGATTTAATACCCGACTTAAAAAAGAGAATTCGCACTGCCCGTGATGGATCTCGCCGCAGTTAATCACACGCAGATTTGTTGGCATCAGCGTGCGAATAATGTGTTGGCTGGAAAAGTGGAGGGCTTTGCAGGCGGCGAACTAGAGCATGTTCGCATAATAAAAGTTAGTTGTGAATGGTTTTCTCGGTGCTCTGCAGCAGACCGCGGATGATTTACGAGTGCAGAGCGGCCGCTTGCTCAAGAACAATGGATCTTCGAGTAGTGATGCAGGCTCCTATCTAATAAAACAACGCGCGGCTAAAAAAAACTGCATGTATGAGCCAGGCAGCCGGCTTGGCTCCGTGTCGACAACTCTTTTCTCTCAAAGCGCCCAGAATTGTTTGATACTTCACAAAACAAAACGCTAGATTATTTTGTTTGCCAACAATTCTTTGAGTTCAGATTAAAAACTTTTCTCAAGTGAGGAAAATTATTCTTACATTTCATCATGAAGTAATGTAGGAAATAAATGCAAAATTTAAACTTTTGTTAATTTTTTAACATAAGAAAATACAAAGAAATGATCTGCGCTTTGATAAAAAAAAAATTATTGGAAATGTCTGCGATAGATTGGAATTTTCAACAAAAGGAAAAGAAGCGACAGACAAACCACTCAATAGACCTCTCATCCAAAAAGTGCTTCGCAAAAAGGGGCTTGGACAAAAGCGTCTTCTTGAGTTTCTTTTTAAGCCTCAAAAACTCAATGTGAACGAGCGAGAGAGGAGTTTTGTTTCAAGGCGGAGAGAATGAAGGCGGGAAAAGCCGAGATGAAGAAGAGACGTCGCGTGCACTCACAATACAAAAATCTCGAGAGCAATATCTGCCTAATGAAGGAGACCGTCGGTGTTTTTTTTTTCTTTCGCAAAGATAAGGCGGTAAGTGAAAATGCGACTTGGACAAACTCGGAAATGTTACGGCGGAAAATGGAGTTTGTGCAGAAGTAAAATCTCAAGATACGGGGCAACGTTAAGAAAATTACCCCACTTAGAGATGAAAAATATACGCGTCTTTTTACAAGAGTAAAAAACTTTTGACTCGAGCTTAATGCAAGTGGGCAAATTTTAATATACGTATTGTTTACGACGCACACAATGGAGCAGTGCCAAATTGTACTCTGCTGAATAGCACGGTGGAAAGATCGGGAGAGACGCTCATTGTTTTTGCACCGATGTGGGAGAGTAGATGTGAATTTCACATACAGTAACAATAACACCATCAACCATGACCACCTCAACGGTTTGCATTGTTACAAACTTGCCATTATATGAGGGCATTAACGTCAAGATTAATTAAAAAAGTAATCCATATCGTGCTTGCCAAAATTATTTTGATCAATATACCTAATGTAAATTGGAAAAAAATTTATATTTAATGTGTTTTCATGTCAGCGCAGTCGAAATTAATATTTTCTTACATATCCTTAAAATAGTTTCATTATGTAACTTTATTTTTTAGTGTGATCTCATCCAAAGCACACTGAACCGCACCCGACCGATTTGGACAAAAATAGCCATGGTGACTGAGCCTAGAACGGAAGCGCAATATACTTTTCAGTCATTGCTCTTGCATTAATTTTTCGGGAAACGCCGACAGTTAATATAAATTTTCCCCGCTCACAAAGCGAGTAAATAATTGTTCCGCCTTCTTGTTCTTGCTTTTGAAAGTCAAATCAGAGCTTGGCGAGACGTGCACATCCTTTCGCTCTCAAAAGGCACTGCCCTTTTTGCTGAATTACTCCTCGATCCGGAAGAAAAACAATGAAGGGAGCCCACTTTTGTTATAAATGAAATACATCTTTGGATTCGCGTCTCAATTTCAATATCAAACTGCTCCTCGCTAATTGCTTTTTGTTTTTCCTCTACCCCTTTTATTCCTTCTATTAAGAGTAAGAGGAAACTTCCCTCTTGCCATTAGACGCCAATTTCCAGCCAAGATTGTGTTTCGTGATGCAGCAAGAGTCTTCTTCCTTTTGCTCTTGCTGGTGTGTCAGATCTCTGCAACCACGCGAAACAATAACCAGAATAAACCTTTTAAGTTATGCATTATTTTCTGTCCTTTAATTTGGTGCCCGCGAAATAATTTGATCTTTAAAGGTCAGTGTTATTTTTCGGCCCTTTTTCCTAAAAATGTCGAGCCCTTTTCCGAACGCCTGTGTTCATTTTGGTGCAAAGTGAGCAGCGACACTGTTTATAGAGTCGTTCAGTTTGGTTAACCACCGCGGCTGAGTGATTTTGGTGTAGGGGAGCATGGTACCATGTGATTTGGTTTTCATCGGAAATATAATGTCACTTGCCGCGGAGTGACGATGAAAATATAGAATGCGAATTTTGTGTGATTCACCAAAGTGGGCGATATGATAAAACAAATTAAACAATATGTGAAATCAGCGGTGACCAAACAAAGGAATTTGATTACGGTAGCTTCCATTCAAAATTGTGCAAAATAATGATTCACACTCCTCTCTTATGTTTAAATGAGGAAAAAATCTTAAAAAAATTAAACAGATGATATATTTAATTTCTATAGATGAGTTTATGAAGAGTATGCAAACATGTATCAGGATTTAAACCTGTCTTTACAAAATTATTCAAACATTTTAATTATGTTTTGTGAAATCTCAAAAACTTTCATTTAATTTCTTTTCATATACATTCATTATTCCATTTATTCCTACGTTTCTTCCTCATCGACTTTCAAAGTTTTATGAAAATAAATTTTAAAAAAGAAATTAAATTTTTGCTTTTATGAACTATTTTAATTTGGAATATTTTTTTTCAACAATAATATTTAGCTTACAGAATTCAGTTTCCAATGTTTCGAAATTTATAAAAAAAAAATCCAGTCTTGCTTTGAATAAAGAAAATCCGAGGTTAAATGAAGAATTATTAATCAACTGTGATCTTTCATATACTTTATTTGCGCTTTATTGCAAATACTGCCCCATTTAAATGCCTGGTTGGTTCGCATTGGATTCTGAAGTCTGGTTAGCACACGTTGAGACCCCTCCAGCTTGCTGGCCGCACCACATGCATAATTTAACATAAGCTCATATAATGCATGTCCGTGGGTAATTATACCGCCGTGTGCAAATTTCAATTTTGATTGCATGCAGGCGTGCATTCGGACCGTATATTTATAGCTCCATTTGAGGCAAACACACAGCAATGTCCGCTGCACCTCGAGCGCGAATTCTCATTTTGCAGAGTGCCCCACATTTGCAGACTGCATTTGTCTCCAAAGCCGACAGCGCGCGCTCACTTGTTGGCCGCCGTGCGTGATTGATCGATTGTTTAATTGCATTTTCAGCCTTAATTACGCTGCCGCGCCAAGCTGTGAATTACTTTTTTATTCACGAGAGCGCAACTACGAACTCCTTCCAGGCCGGCTGATCGATCAGCCTTTGTGTTAAGTTAATTAGCTTTGTTCTTCCTCTCAGACTGCTCAGACGAGCTCAACCCTTTTTACTTTGCACGCTTTGCACCTAAAATGGCTAATAAATTGGATAAGTTATTGAGCAGGTAATCTACTTCTCCTTTGATGTCAGTAATGATTGGGCTAGCGCTGAACACGCAAGTTTGATTAAATTAAAAAAATTTTGGTTGTAATTTGGTCTTATTAAACTATGTGCCTATCCTATTTTGAGAATTAATTTGAAAATAGGATGAAAGTTAACAATTGGAAGAATTTAATTTTAGCAGTTGAAAATTAAAATCCCGTTGAAGAGCCCTGGAATTTCAAGAAAAAATATTTCAGATTCGTCACTTAATTTTCCCAAGTTTTTCTTTCATACTCGAACACAAATTTTCAACCTGAATGTCACAAAATGAACCGGCGGATATTGCGTGTGCGATTATCCTAATCAGCTTGAGGGCGCCGTTCCTTGCCTTCCTCCTTTTAATCGCATAACAATTCAGCCTTGCCCGCCACGATAAATTGCATTATTATTAAAACGAGACACCTTCACTGCCGCCGATCAATGGGGTCATTGGCGCGTGCACCTCGTTCGCTCGCGGTGGCGGGTGAATATTTTGTAGACTTTGTAGTACACACACTTAAAAGCAGTGCCACGCACCCAGACTATATAGAGAACAACCCAGCTGACACACACCTCCGGGTTCAACACCAATTAGCACCAAAATAACACAGCCTCTCAAAATAAATCACGACTTTTCCTGCCTTACTCACTGTTTGTCTTTTTTGAAAGTTTGTCAAGTTCCAAATTAGCGCAATGATTTTTTTCCTTCTGACATTAAAATGGCTTTTACAAAAAACAAGATGAAAAGTTTAAGCTATTTATTTAGTTATAAAAATCTTAAAATAGATGCAATATATATTGAAATTTAATTCTATTTTAGGTAATTCCGAATCAGCCTGCATAAATAAAGTGAAAGAGTACAAATTTGAGTGCAAAAATAATTTTAATCCCTCCTGGTTTTTAATTTATATCAGATTTTCTGATTTTGTTATGTTATATCACTATAATATGTAGATTTTTGAGCACTGTTTAATTTACACTGTTTTTCTGCGCAAAATGTTACATAAGACCTTTTCGGTCTGTCGATACATATAATATTGCAGCTTGTTAAATATTACTCCGTAGTGCATTTTAATATCATTGATTTTTTTAGTTTTTCCAGTTCTATCAAAATTTAAAATTAACGCGAGAACTTTTTGTGGCAAATTGATTTGTTTTTATAATTAAATGAATATCTTTTAAAAACAAAATATCAACCGTTCCGCTGTTAATAATATTCTCTGCAGTATGTAGCAAATTAAAAGTTTTGAAATAAGCTATGCCTGGAATTTTCAAAGAATTCCATCGATTTTCGCCGCATTCATTTCGCTATCATTTCAACAGGACGAATCCTTCGGCATGCAATTGAAGTGGAGACTGAAGAAGTTTTGGAATTATTGCACTTACCAGATGGTGTGCAGCAGGAAGAGGAAGATCCCGGGCACGACGAGGTCGTCGCTGCCGACGCTCCATCGGCGCCTGAAGAAGACCAGACCAGGCATGGCTCTCCAGGTAGGTGGCACGCGGCAGGTCACATGGCTGCGCGGCGCCGCTCAGGTGTCAGAATTAATTGATTCCTCTTCGGTTGATGAGGGAGCACACGCTCGGCGGACCGCACGGCCAAATGCGCGCTCGGAGCGCTGCGCTTGCTGCACGACACTGACGAGCTGTGCGCGGATGGATGCCGAAATGCAGGCAGAAAAGCAAAGCAAAACGCTGCGAGAGGGAGGATTGTGGTACATCGAGTTAGAGGCGCACGCGCGAGCGCCGTGCAACCCGCAAAGTTGAGGAGAGCCGAGCCTGCCTACCCGCGCCCTATCTCTCCACGTCTGTTATCGCCTTTGATAAATTAAATTGGAAAAGGTGAATTTCCAGGCCTTGTAATTATTATTAAAATAACTCCACCTTTTAGTTTAAAAAAAGAGGGAAGGTTTGCAAAGAAAAAAGTTTAACTAGAATATTTAAATTCCAAAATACTTTCAAATCAATGAATGAATGCAAAAAAGGGGATAAAAATCAATAAACAAAAATACATGATGTCTATTTTTTTAATAATAATTAGGTAATTGATTTGTCAATTACATTTTCTTTTAGAAAAAAATCTTATTTTTTCCTGGAAGGACGAAGGGCGAATTTGTTGCGATCAGATTTCATAGAAGTCCAAAAAATTATTTAATCTTAAACAACCTTCTACAGTTAAACGATAATTTTAAAATAACTTATTCTACCAAGAATTTAAATGAGCAATTTATTTTGCATTGACCTTTGTCAATATGGTCAACGGCAGGTGTTCTTTGCACTCATAGCGAGATAATATTGTGACGCCACAAAGCTCATAGCTACTTTTTCCAAGGAAAACACAAATCCGTCCCCTTTCCTATCTATTCACCATGCATTATTCATAAAGGGTGCCACTGCGTGGGCGATAAAAGACACACAACTAAGCACACGCAAGAGGGTGGCTGCTTTTGTGGGGGCGCCGCATGCACGCGTGCTGGGGTGAGTAAAAAGCTCAAATGCACGTTTCCAGTCCGCTTACCTGACAAGGGTGCATAATTAGACTGTTTAAGGGAGATGAAAGTACGTCCCCTTGTATTAGCAAAGAGGCAAAGCAAGACAGATGGCAAGATTTTTTTATTGTCTCAAAGATGCAATTATACTATGTTTATGGAGGGTTAATAAGCGAGAAAGCCGCTGACATGAGAAGCGAAAATAATTGCCTTTCAAAATCACGCCCGCGACCGCAACGGAAGTTCGTCTTTTAGTTTTGAGGTTTGTGTATAGTTTTATTATAAAACGTGACAATGATTATTTGCCATATATAGCGGTTAGAATAGTTACTTCAAGTTGCGGTTTTAAATCGCAAATATTAATTATAGACTTCTTCCGTCAATTTAAGTGGTACTGTTGGTACAGCGAAACATTTTATATTAAAAAATAATTTAATTAAAATGAAATTATACCAAAGATTTCTATTAAAACAAATTAATTGTTCTTTCAAAGTTTAAGTAAGTACAAAAAATTGTAAGTAATTGATTTCAAAAATTAAAATTTATTTTCTTTGCAGAAATCTTTAAACTTTTGTGTGAATAGAACCAAAGGCTTTACTTGCATATATAATACCCGAATATAAGTAGCGCTGCGTACTTGAGGACTAAACGTGGTACTTCCTTTCTGCACTTTTTGCACGGCATCCAGCGTGTTTGCGAAACTCGTTCACATCTCAAGCAACGAGAGAGATAAGACAGACACCGTTTTTGCTCAACATAATAATATACAATTTCACGCCGACGCGCGGTCGAATTTTTTTTCGCTGCCACAATTAAGCTCGTGTCCGTTCTCTACGCTATAGAGGTGTTTCGGCCTTTGATAAAAGGAGCCAATGAGTTGCCGAGAGATGGATGGCCGCCAATTTGCCCAAAGCCAAAACGGACTCTTTGTCAGCGTCCTTGCGAACCGTGCCATAGCGACTTTTCATATAGATTGCGCCTCTGCCGTGACAACAAATTGCAGACGAGACTAAATTAGCTTTCCGCGCGGTTAATATTTTGCCTCTCTTTGAAGAGACTAAACCTTTTTTTCCTTGACGGCTTATCAACGCCTGACAAACGACGATTAAATAAAAATCGGTGACTTATTGATTTTGGCCACAGTGGCTTATCAACTGACGTAAGATTTACGCATCATTGGAATTTTATGGTGAGACATCTTATCACTTAGCATACGCAATTATTTATTTTTTCAAACCAAATTGGTTTCATGACGCTGAAAAAATCAATTTCTTGAAGTAAATAAAAACGGTCTCGAGATGATGCGCAGCGTTTTAATAAAGGGAAGAGAGAAATGTCTTGGGGCACTGCTGTCAGCTTCTCCCAAGCGTGATGCGTATGCAACCGCACTGGCAGTGCTGTTGCTGTGGCTGCATTTTCGATTTATCACCAGGCGGATCGCCCACGGGGCCAAGAGGTACAAGGCAAGGGATGGAAACAAATTCAACTTTATTACTGTGAGGCCTCAATAAAGAGGGAGGAAATTGGAAAGAAGAAAAAGGTGTATAAAAATATATATAAATCTTATTTTTGAAAACCATGAGTAAAATCGACTTAACAATCATACCGATTTACATCAAAATAAGTAGTTTATTTAAATAATTTTAATCAAGATCAGAAAACAATAACAAATAAAAATCAAAGGCTCCATCTTGTTGAAAAGTTTTGCCTTTTATTGTTTAAACGAGGTTGACCCCAGTTTAAATTTTCATCATCGCTTTGGAAAAAATGAATGGAAGGTGAAGGGAAAGCACAAAGCAACAGTTTCAATAAAAAAAAATTGATTTTCTTCTGTACTTTTTCAACCCAAGCATTTTTATTTTATCTTTTAATTCCAGATTATTTTCTTTACGCATGTTCAACAACTTAAACCACACTGCTATAGAACAATCACTGCCTTTATTTTATTTATACCAAAATTACATGTATACCAACAACCAAAGGTCAGACTGAGTCAAATTAACGAAGGTTAAATTTACTTACGGTCTTTTGACCTCACTTCGTATCTATCCTCCTTATAGGGAGGCACTATTGCAATTATCTGTTCTGTCACTCGACTAGGGTCATTTGGTTTGGTTCACCTTCGCACTGTCCTCGGCTTTGGCCGCGTGGTGTGGTGGGGTGGCGGCGCCGGCTGGTAGCAGGCGGCCAGCTCGGCCAACACAAACACGTTGACGATGAAGAAGGCCAGCGAGTACAGCCAGATGAGCAGGAAGGTGTTAAGTCCCTGGAACTCAAGCAGGTAGGCCGGCAGCAACCACGTGACCTGCGTGACCAGCCAGATGCCAGTGAGCACCAGGGCCCTGGTGGCCGACACCCTGAGTCTGGCGGCACACGCCGGCAGCAGCGACAGGAACCAGATGAAGTACTGGGCAGTGACCACCTTGTTGTAGGCCACGAAAATGGCGCAGGCGCAGAAGGAGGCGAACGGCAGGTCAGCCTTCCTCTTGGCGAAGGCCATGGCCACGGTGATCACCAGGGCCGCCTGCAGCACCAGACTCAGGGTGCCCAGCCAGGCAGCCTTGGCCCCCATCAGGTACAGGGGGTAGAAAAGGGGTGAAAAGTTATGCCGAGCGTCTCTTCTGTCCAAGTGGTACAGGTAGCTGTGCTCGAGGAACTCGTGGCCGTAGAACAACCAACTGAACCAGGTCAGCAGGCCGAAGGACACGGCTCCGGCCAAACAGAGCCGGAACCTGGCCGAGTTGGTCGAACAAGCGGCCAGAAAGTTGAAACCCAGGACGACTGGATAAAGTCGAAGGTGGACGGCCGTGCCCATGAGGAGGCCAGTGAGCCCAGGTCGGGCCTTCTGGGCGGCCAGCAAGGCGGCCAGGACCAAACAGGCCGTCAGGGCGTCGGCACTGCCTCGAGTGCAGATGACGATGGGAATCGGGTTGAGCCACCAGGCTTGAGCAAAAGTGGCCGCCGTGGCCGCCTCGATGCCACCGGCCAGTAGAAGGCGGTGGATAAGGAGGCCGACGGCCACGTCTGCAAGCGAGAAGAGGACTTTGCCGAAGGCCGGGTGCAGCCACAGGTTGGGCACGAGCAGCCAGGCCAGGATTGGAGGGTACCTGTAAGTGTGGCGTTGGTAGGGCGAGCGGCCAGCGGCCACGTGGGCGGCCGCATCGCTGAACACCAGGTAGTCAACGTCAGTGTACTTGACGGGAAGGTGGTGGTCCAAGAGGCCAGAGGCGGCCACCAATGCCAGGCGGAGGACCAGCGCCCTCAAAAGGTGTTGCTCGACCCCTTTGAAGGCGCTGCGAATCGACTCGAACATTTTTCAGGGCCGAGCCTTGGCCCGGACGCACTTCGCCAGCCGCTCAAACTCCTTGGTGCAGTCTCCCTTCTGCAGGTTGTCCTTGTGCTCGAGCACGCACCGGGCGTAGGCGGCACCTTCGCCGGAACACTCGGCCAGAAACTTAGGGATCGAGCGAAGACGGGCGCGTGCTTTCGAGACGGATTCCATTTTTTATTTTCTTTTGACCTGAAAGTAAAAATATATTTTTATTGAGGAAATTTATAATTAGTTATGGATAAAAAAACGTCAAATTTGCTCTAATATCAGTAAATTAACTAAACAAATTCATACCTGTTTGAGTTAAACACGCCACATTTCTTTGGCTTCCTTCAACGTCAGCGGCTTTGCGTCTTCTGCATATTTACGGAAAAATGCATCGTAAATAGGTCTGCTGAAGAAGGTGAGCAATGACACAGTGGTGAACGTGTAAATGAAAGTGCGGGGATTTCTTTGCACCCAAGTTTGCTTCTTGAGTTTTTGCTCCAGGTAGTAGGGTCTCTTGGTTGGGTCTTTCATTGCTTCTGCTTCTCGTGTTCTTCCTCTTCACCAACAGTGCTCTTGAAACCTTTGCAGCATCCAGACAAGTCAAGCCACTTGAGGCAGCATTTGCGCATCTCCTCAAATTCCTTAGGACAAGCTTTTTCCTGATACTTGTTTGCTGAAATTTAAATTATTTATTATGAGGCGATCGTCTAGAAAAAACCATGTTTTTTTAAACTAAAAATTTGTTTGCAGTTTACCACATCATAGCTCATAATGGCATAATTAAAAATAATTACGTCATCAGATATAAATAATTAATTATCATTGTTTTCATATAAACAAATTCGAAACTTAGCACCATAACATTCAATTGAAATTAAAATACCAATTTATGAATCATTCCAACTGTGAATTTTCAATACGGTTACAAATTAAAAGGGAAGAAGGAGAATAAAATTTCTGAGATCATAATGGGTGTTCCGCCCTTGCCGGTACGACCTCACAAAAATTTACGCCAAAATCTAAGAAAAATCTTCACGAATCTTAAGATATTCGAGAGAAAATCACCTTGCAAACACTTTTGGATGGCACAAGCTTGCAGCTGGCATGGATCGCCTTTCATAAGCTTGTCCGAATCGTCCGATTCGCCGAAAGCTCTTTTCACCCGGAGACAACTTTTTCCTCCAGATGGGCAGACAGACGACAGACGATCCGCCCCAAAAAAGTGCCACGCCCCCTTAGAATCTAAACCAAAACAAACAAAGCAGCATGGCTTCTACGGCTGCACAACAAACGCCGGCAGATGACTTTAGTCGCCTTTTTGCTGGTCTTTCGGCCCTCGTGACAACCCCGGACAGGGACAAAATCTTCAAGAGCGTCGATTCTTCGCTGCAAATGAACATTTCCGAGGCGATCGTCGCTCTAGGAAGGGAAAAGTTGCACCAATGCTTGGCACCTTTGATAGAAAAATTCGGCCCCATTCCAGAGGATGAAAAAAACCCTTCGGAAACAAGTTGGGACTTTTCTTGTTTAATATTGTGTATTTTCCTCCAGCTCAATGTGGAAACGCTGCTGTCCGTTCAGCAGAAAACCCTGCTTAAGTCGGCTGCCCAGTTTTTAAGCGCCCTCGGGATCGGACCCTTTCTGCAGCCAGGCGTTGGAGTCCCTTTGGAGTCAAGGTGCAACGCCCCAGTTACCTTTCCCAGGAACAACCCCGACAAACTCGGATATCTTTTAAAGGTTTTACTGTTCTTGATGGAAGACAAGAAGACCGATTTGAATCCTATTTTGTCGTCGAACCTCCTTTTGGACGTGCTGGCTGGACTTTTTCAACTGTCCCAGGAGGATAGAAAGTTCAAAGTATTGACTGGAAAATTCGTCAGGTCGATTCATCAGCCCACAGTGATAAGACACCTGCTTATGCTGCTCAAGCCAAATCCAAAGACTCCAAAGTGGTGTCTAATCACAACTAGCAGTCATTTGAATAAATGTCTCATGGCACCTGGAGGCGTGATTGCCACAGTCAGGGCGCTGCATGACGTAGACAGCGAGCAGAGTGTCATTGACAAGTACAGTAAAACAGCCAGGATCATCCTCCAGCCAGATTTTACTAAAAACGAGGAGTATTACAAAAATCTTTGTCCTCAGGTTCTGGAACTTCTTGCCTCAGGTGAGAATTCAAAATATTTTATTCAGACAATATTTTCAAGCACATTTTGAGTAATTAATTTTATTAAAACCTTGTGTTTAATTACATATTTTATTTTTGTAAAAATAATTTAATACTTAATTTTTTTATTTTTCCTTCTAGGACAAGAAGAGTACAAAAAGGTAGCATCCGAGATGGTTCAGCAGCTATACCAGAAGAATGAGGAATTCTGTCGGAAGGAAATTTTTACTCAAATTTGTCAGGTTTTCAATCAAGACTTTGGTGACTTGGAAGGGAGTTTTGTACTAGACGCTGACCAGGAGAAGAATTTGACATTTTCAGTGCAAACTTTGCTGCTGTTGATATCCCATTCGAAAATCAGTCCTGACTGTTTGAAAAATTACTTCCCTAATTTCTGTGCCTTTTACTTGGCGACAAGGAAAACTGGCGGCACACCAAGTATGAGAGCTTTGACGAAGGAACTTCTGTCCCAGGTAATCATGCAGGCCGAAGAGACTGAAATTTGGCAAACCATCGCCACCTTGCCAGAAGAGTGCCTTGAATCTCTTTCAGAAGAGTCTTCCGTTGCCCAGGCCCTGTTTTCAAATTTCCTCAAACGATTTTCTTCTTGTACAGATCTCGAGGAAAAGATCCTTTTGGGAAGCCTTCTCGGAGCTCTGGCAGGACTGCCCAGTGTGCAGAATGAGTTCATGAAGAACCCAAGTCAGCAGTTCATCGACCTACTGAAGAATTTGCTGGAAAATGAAAAAAGTGAAATTTTAGAACTAGCATTGATGCTTTTGATGGCCATCATCAGTCAGAGTGAAGAAAATCTGCGAAAGTGTCAGGTGTTGCTACCTGCTGTGAAAAAACTCAGAGACTTTAAACACGGTTCGTCTGAAACTCAAACTATGATCGAGCAAATTTTCATGATCATTGCCACATTTGGAGCGGTCAGTGGAGACACTTTGCTGGTCGAAGAGAAACTCAAGGACATGTTGAAAGAGAAGAAAAAAGTAGAGGAGGTTATGAATCCAAGTGCAGGTCCTGCTCAGTTGAGCTTTGAGAATTCCTTAGCTGAAGTCGAGGACGAAGAAATTCCTGTGAAAGGTCATGGATTTTTGAGTTTGACCAAATTGATCCGGAAAAAGGATGCCAAGACAAGAGTTAAGACTGACGAACTTTTTATGTTGGGTCTGAGAGGAATGGAGCATGAAGATTCTTATGTTTACCTTGCTGCAATTGGAATGATAGGCGCACTGATTCTGGAAAATTTGTCCTTGCTGCAGAAGCTGGCCGAGAAGTACAACCAAAGTGAGCTCAGCATCAGTTTGAGGAACAGAATAGGAGAATCTCTACTACAAGTTTGCAAAGGCCTAGGTAATTTTTTATTTGGATTTATTTTCAAGTTTTTTTTACAGCTATTTAAAATTAGGTCACATGAATAAATTTTTTCATTCTAAATTTTTGTAGGTGAAGTAGCTGCCAGCCAACGACAGATTTTACTGAATGCATATCTTGTGGGTGCCAAGGATCCGAATCCAGTCCATCGTGCTTCTAGTCTTTCAAATTTGGGTGAAGCTTGCAAAGTTTTGGGCTTCCGAGTAAGCGGAGACATTCAAGAGGTGCGCTTCATTTAAAATAAATAGCCAATTATAAACTTTAATTTTGATTGTATTTCCAGATCCTGACGTGCGCACAAGGTCTTTCTACTTCGGATCCCGACATCCATGTTCGAAGAGCAGCTGCCTTGTTGCTGGCTCTCCTTCTGCAAGGTCTTGGCACCCAGGCAGTTTCCACGCTTGGTTCATCGTCTCTGGAAGTGTACCGCACCATGAAACAACTTGCCCAAAGTGAGGACCAAACTCTGCGTCTTCAAGCGCAGCTGGCACTCGAAGAGCTGAACAAAGGTATCAAAGACAGCATTTTTGAGCCGAAACCGATGGAAAAGCACATTTATATCACTTCTGCACCTCCAAACTAAGTACAATAAATTTCCAATTATAATATTTATGCTGATGAAATAAGTATAGTTTTTTTTAATACAATTCTGCGCTATTTGGTGGTGTGGTGCCTCCCACTGTGAAAATGGAGGAATTACTTTCTTTTTGGACGCAGTGGCAAGTTTTCTTCTCGTTACTGGGTCGCCAGCAGGGTTCAATGTGGTAAGGCTCTCTCGGCTCGAGCACCTTGACCGACGCTTGTTTCTCAAGTGGGGTTGCGATGGGTTGCTGGGTCTGGGGATTGGGGTCATCCTTGGAGTTGCAAGAGTAAGCCGCTCGAATTGCTCGGCGGAAACCGTCGTTAGTCATGCCGTAGATGAGAGGGTTGATGGCTGCGTTGGTGTATATGAGGAAGTGCGAAACCCACCATAGTATGCGAAAGGCCAAACCGATCTTCATTTGGAGAGTTTTAATTGGATTATTTAATTAATTTAAAATTCAGTTACCTGGGTGTGTTTCAAACTGTTCCTCACATAAATCAGAGCGGTGAACGGAACCCTGCAGATTGTGAAAACCAGCACCAAAATCAGCACCATTCTCGTGACGCGAGTTCGGAAATCCCTCGAAGGGTTTATGGTGCTCCGTCTAGCTTGTCTTGCGTAGTGTGTCAGCTATTGTTATAATTTATATTTTCAATTTCAATTTAGTAAGAAAAACTTGTTTTATTTACCTTACAAAAAATTGCAGAGTAGCAAATAAACATCACAAGTAAGGGCAGCCAAACCAAAAAAGCGATCATCACGGTCCAATAGTCTGACAATATATCCGAGTTTTCCTTGCAGTATTTTTCCAAAAAATCCAGCCATTGTCTCTCCTTAAAAATATTTCAATTTTTTATCTTCCAGTTTCTATTTATTTTTTTTTACCTTATACTCTCTGAAAATAATGAGAGGAACAGAAATAGCAATTCCCAAAATCCAGGTTGTTGCAACAACGCACCAAGCCATTGGCATGCTGAGCTTTTTCTTTTTAGGGAAAACTATGGCCACAAACCTATCAGCGCTGATTGCAATTAGGCTGAAAACTCCTCCCAATAGCAGAGAACCTTTTTACATTGTATTAATAAAAAACTAATTTAAATGAACTGCACACATACTTTGCACAAAACCTTCGGTCTTGCAAAAAAAGGCCCCCAGCACAAAGTTCTGGAACGAGTCGATGCACATCAGCAGCCACGGTCCAATGATCAGGGCGCAAAGGTCGCAGGCTGCCAGATTGGCGATGTACAAGTTGAGCGGCGCCATTCGCAAGAGCCGATTTTTGCGAACCGCGTTCAGGATGGCGGCGTTTCCCAAGACACCGCCGATTACAACTGGAAGGAACAGCAGTACCTTGATTGTGATTTCCCACCACGGCTTGACACACCACAGGTCAACCGGGATTGGAAACTCGCTCATGTCGTCGTCGTCATCATCGGACACATTTCCGTGACTGCTGCAGAAGTCAAAATGCAGCGAGTTGAAGTCAATGCTTTTGCAATGCGACTCGAGCATGTAGTGACTCTCGAAGTGAACCAGAGCCATTGCTGGTTGGCGCTCGTCTGACAGCTTACTTATCGGAAGCGACCCTTTTAAAAGCGTGTCCATCAATATGATAATGTCCTATATTCAATAACCCAATCTGTTCCCAAATATAAAGTGGCATGTATGTATTGAGCGTGTCATTATTATTTAGTTTTTTTTTTCTTGCCAAAGATCCAACCTTTCAAATTTCATTCGATTATAATATACCAAAAAACATTTTAGAATAATATCACACAAAAAGCAACCTTATGTATGTAAAATAATTTTTTTCTTTTAAGTCACTGGAAATAATTAATTTCGTTAACTAACGATTCAATTTTTAAGCTAGTGAAAAAAAATACATACAAATTAGCAAGTTTCCCCAGAGCTTTATTTTTTTTACTTAATAAAAAAACATTGTAAGCGTTATTCACTTAAAACTTGTCTTTCCTCAATTAAGTTGACAAGATAATACTCAAGAGCTTTTTACACAAAGGGTAGTGTTTTATCCAAGTAAAAAGCGCCAATGTTTGCCAAAGTTGAAAGCCTGTCAAAGCGTCAAGCTTTTTAGGAAAAAGACTCATTCAAAGGGATGTTGATTGAAAATGCACTTTTCTTATTCCAGAAATTTTGTAAATATTTCTTTTTAATTCTTCAACTTGAAGAAAGAGATATTGGTCCAAAACTATAAAGAGCCAAAAGCTAGTAGAATTTGCTTTAAGATTTACAGAGTTCCTTATAAAGGGGTTGATCTATTACATCAACTTTTTCATTAAATTGATTACAACCTTGCTGAATTGTACGCAGTGATTTGCTAACATGATTGAATATAATTGTGAGATTTACGATTCAAGTGCTTATTAGAATGACTTGATAATAGATGTTCTACAATAGAAATTTGAAGTAAATACATGTAATTTAATAATTGAAATTAATCAATTGATTTTTCACAACAAATTATTAATTAGCACAGCGTTAATTATTTTGTTTGATGATACATGTGACTTTTTTCTTGGTGAAATTGAATTAATTAATTAAAATTAATTAATTGAATTAAAAAAAAATGAATGATACTGAAAAAAAAACAGTTGCCCGCAAGTGACTAGGGATGTTACAAGGGTTAACAACCAAATGCTACCAAGAGTCATCCTCCTGGTCGGAATCACAGATATCCTGCATCTTCAAGTACTTCTTGAGCATCTTCGGCAGGCAAAGTTGGTCGGCAGTGTCGTAGATGCGTCGGCCAAGGATCCTTCGGATGGTCAGTCTTGCAATTTCACACAATGAGAGGGGGTTGGTGGAGACGGTCTGCAGCCAGTTTCCTAGCGCCTCGTCAGGGCAGTTTCTGATAGTCGAAGGCAAAATTCTCGAGTGCCACCCGGCCAGCACCAGAGTCCGAATCAGACTGGGCCGTCTAGTTTTCCGGTAAGCCCAGTCTATAGTGTCACCTGCAATGGGCACTCTGAGATTGGTGTTGGCGCCACGACGGACCAGAGCCGCCGCCGCCCGACCGCGTCCCAGAAGCAAAGCTCTGCAAAGGGCAGAGTCACCTGTCGTCAGGGCTTCCGAGTCCAGGCTGGCCCCATGAGCTCTGAGACACTCGAGTAGCCGGAGAAATGTTGGAAAGTCGTGGCTGACAGCTTCGTGCAGCACAGAATGACCAGTGACAGAGTTCGAGCAATTCACTATAGCACCTGCGTAAATAATACAAAGTAAATACATTTCATACTACTTGTAATTTTGTGATAAACAAATAAGTGAAAAGATTAGAAATCTTACGGAAAAAAAATGTTTTTTTTAGCAGAATCATTGACTCATAATTTTTCAGTATGAATTCAAATTTCAGTAAAATTTAAATTTAATTCAAAGATTATATTTTTTCTCGCATGGCTGAAAATTTCCAATTTTAAATTACCATTTCCTAAAAGTAGTGTGACCATATCCAGTTGTCCTGTTCTAACAGCCAGCAACAGAGGTGTGTCTCCCGAGTCGTCCCTTAAATTGGCCAAAGCTCCTGCTTGGAGCAACAGCTGCACAATTTCAAGTTGTCGAAGTAAAACGCAATGATGCAGAAGCCGATGAGAATGAGTTATTTTAGCACCAGACTCGAGCAACAGACACACCAATCGAGGTTTCTTTTGCCAAACAGCCTCACAAAGGGCGTTATAACCTGAAATCACAATTAAAATAAATTGAGACCAAGCAGGTGAAACTCTATTTTTGGTTAAAAAATTATACTTTAAAAGTTTGATTTCATAGTTTATTTTAGTTAGCTTAGCAATTATTCACAATTTATAAAAAATATTTACTAATTATAAGTAGATTTAAGTTAAGTTAGAATGATTTAAGAAAAAGATTTTTTTTTTTTTAAATATACCAACCATGAATTTCTTCTAAATTAATTCTCGCTCCTCGCCGAATGAGCATTTGAACAGTGTCTTCGTGTCCTCTGGAGACTGCCAGGTACAAGGGTGTCCGGTCAGAGGAATCCATGGCATCGATTCTCGCTCCACCATCTAGCAGGACTTCCGCAACTTCTGTGAAGCCTCGGGCGCAGGCGGCGTGCAAGGCGCTGCTTTTGTCAGGTCCTTTCGCCTCAGGGTGTGCTCCTCTGGCCAGCAGAAGGGCTGCTGCCCCCGTATGACCTCTGGCTGAAGCCAATAAAAGAGGCTTCACCTCGTTGCTGTCCCCAACGTCAGCTTTGCAACCTGGAGTAATTTTAAGAAAGGTTTAGGATTTGTATAAGTTTTGAAGAAAAGCATCAAACCTGCATTCAGGAGTTCCTTGATGATGTCCTCGTTGCCAAGTTCTGCGGCGTAGTGGAGGGCCGTCCTGAAGTAGACATCGGTCGCGTTGACGTCGATATTCTCGAGAATGGGCTCCTGAGGCAAAACATGTCCCGTGCGCTCCAGAATGCTGGCGTACCACCTGTACAGAGACGCATACGAGTCCTCTTCGGCCTCCTCGGCCTGCTCCTCCCCAGGCAGCTCCCTGTCCCACTCGAGACTCTCCATTCCGTCCGGCGTCCGGACCATCTCTTCCTCGGCCTGATGGTGGCTGCTTGACGACTGCGGGTTGTTCTCGTTTTCATCAAACTGGTAGACATAGTAGCCCATGTTTCTCGATCGGCTCGAGGACTCGTTTTTCAGGGTCAGCAGGGCCCTCACCACCGAGATTTGCCCACTCTGGACAGCCGCCCCCAAAGGAGTAAATCCAGCCTTGCCGATCTGGTTGATGTTCAGCCCTTAATTTACAATAAAAAATTTCATAAAAATAAACTAATTAATTAAACAAATCAGATGCAAACCCTTTTTCCTGAGCTCGACAACTTGCGAGACATTTCCGTGGTGAATGGCGCTGAACAACTCGTCCAGGGAGCCCATTGAAAATTGAGATTCCGATGATTAGGGCATTGTTTGTTTTAATTCAAAGGATCTCGTTCGGACAAAGAAAAATTAATTGAAAATATTTTCAGATAATCCATTTATTTGAAAAATCTCTAAAAATTTCTCCCAATCTATTCTTATGTTTGTAACACTTCACTCTTCCCTACACGTCGTCGTCTTTTCCAACATCTGTCAAGTCAACCTCTCTTCCAAGCTCTCTTCTTCTATGTTTTGATTTTTACCGTGGTGGGGACACGCCCACATCGACGCTGTTCTCAAAACTGCACAGATAGCAGCACGGATGGTTTTCTTGGATAATTCTATAATCTTCTTAAATCTTGCCTCCCACTTGATCGTGTTTGAGCTCCAGAGAGCACCCTGAGAGGGTACCGAGTCCGCCCTGAGCACTAAGAGTGTGTTCAGCGTACAGAGGAGTACGTCGGCGTCCAAGAGGGACCGTCCGGACGTAACAAAAAGTATGAGGCCACACAGGCTCGATCCGCTGTGTGGACGAATTTGCCAGTCGCCGCGTTGACTAGGCGGAGAACCGCTGGCAGATATTGAATGAGTTGAGTTTGTATGTTGCTTCGGCAGAGTCGCTACTATGAATTTTTATTTGAAACGTTTCATTAAAAATTTTTATGAAATTAATAAGACGTACGTTAAAAACAAAAAAAAATACAAAAACGATCCTGCATAATATGCAATAACGGTCTTTTTAATATTTTCAAATAATTCATGAACTGAAAATGAAATAATTTAAACTCTCCGGATATGGATTTGACTCTTTAATAAAAAAAGCGCTAACAGTTAGTAAATTGCAAACGGCCGCACACTAATTCACTCCTTAGCATGAGCTATATTTACTATCCTTTTAGATCTGAAAAAATATTTCATTTTGCACAAAAGTATTAGGGTGAAGAAGCTGAAATGAAATTCTTGGCTTTTATCATTCCAGATAACTTGGTGGTGTGTGTGGTATGTTAATGTTTTCGTGTAATTTGTGTGTGTGTGAGAATTCGTCATGTGTGTTTGTGTGTCGTTTGCTGCGTATGTGTGTGATCGAGTGTGTAATTAATTTTTTTTATTGGTGGAAACACGCAATACAACAGTGAGTAGTAAATAAGTAGTTTGTTAATAATTAATTAATTGAGTGTGAGTAACGTCCCTCGTTAGCCATTGCCCGTTGCCGCTCGTCTTCTCGTTTTAAAAAATCTTCGGTTTTTATTTGCTTTGTTTTAAACTCTGTTAAACTTGATATGATTTTCAACCGCGCAAATGTTCAAATTCAATAACTATTTTCAGCTAATAAAATTGAATACAAGTTAATTCACAAAGATTATAGATGGTCAAATGATTTTAAGAAACGTTCAAGCTTAAAAATGTTGCACCTTTCAATATGAATTTAATTGATTTTAATATAATTATGCAGCGTAAATCCAGCGTTTTTGACTCAACATCATTTTTACATTATTAAGCAAGGACAATTAGTGGTGACGCGATTAGCTTCAGCGTGTTAGTTTTATTTATAAATTGTAGCATTCACTAAGTGAAGTAATTGCATAAGGAGTGTAAAAAATTAAAAATTTCAGTTTAAATTTCGGTTTTTAAGAAAGAAATACTAATAATCAAAATATAATTTTGGTCGTGCTGAAAGAAGATGCACCGGAGATGTAATAAGGGTAAAAATATCCTTTTCTTTTTCAGGACCAAAGATTTAGATTTAAAAATAATTTTTATTTTGAAATTTTCTCAAGGAAAACAAGTTAAAGCTAAGGTTCAAGACAAAAAAAAATAACAAAATTCGTTTAAAAAATCATAGCTTGAGAATTCAATGATTAATACAATTGCATTAAAATTATATTGAATAAAAAAATTATTTTACTTGCTGAGCATAAAAGGGCAAATATTTCTCAAAGTGTGTTAAAAGACGACAGAGTTAAAGCAATTAGGTGCAAATAGTGGAGCTAGGCGGCGAAAAAAGGTGACGATCAAGTGGTGGCGCCGCGAAAAGGTTAATTCGGCTGGAGGACGGGGCGAGAGCGGGCTGGCTTGCGAAGGGACGGAAAGACTTTCGGGGTGGGTTGAGCATGAATCACACGGACGAGGTGGCCTGCTGCGTGTACGAGCGCAGACTGGCCAGGCTGGGGCTGGAGCGGAGGCTGACGGTGGAGCGGCGCGCCTCGTCGCAGCACAGGTAGAGCCGCGAGCTGACCAGCCGCTGGCACTCGGGACACTGGCGGGGCCGCCGGCGCCGACTGCCGCGCCGCAGCAGCTCGTAGGCGCACCGCGCGTGCAGGATGTGCGCGCACGGCAGCGCCTCCAGACTGTCCGCCTCGCCGCCGTACGGCAGGTTGCACGCGCCGCACACCAGCTCCAGCTCGGCGTCAAGCTGCGCCGCCAGACGCTCGTGGTGCGCCTGCTGCTCCTCGTCGCCCAGGTTGCAGTAGATCCGGGCCAGCCGCTCACGCACGTTCCGCACCAGCAGCTACAACAAGTTCACAATTTTATTTATGTTCAAAAATAATCCGTTTCAATTAAAAATTAATTGGGATATTTCAATGCAAATTTAAGTTTCATGTTAGTTGATTTCAAATTTGTACTAAAAAGTAATCTTAATAATAAATTGGGTTAGATGATATGAAGTTTTTTATTTCAATATAATTGGATTGGTAAAAAAATTTTTATACTTTTTTTATTTTAACAATTGGTCTCACATTTTGAAAATTTGCCTTATACCAAAATGTTTTAAGCTTATTAGGCATAAAAGAGTTTTATTTAGAATATCCATAATCAACTAAATGAATTTGTAAAAATTAAAAACTGAAAATTTAAATTAATTTTGCATGAAGTTTTATAAAAAAAATAAAATTTTTCCTTTATAGGACAGCTTATAAAAATCATGGAAAGCAGGAAATTATGCAGTAGTTTAATTAATTACGTGATTAAAAAAATACGTCAATATGCAAACTTAGTTTTTTTTTTTTAATTTGACTTCAAGTTGAAAAAAATTACTGCACCTGCTCTTTGTCATATCGCTATAGTCATATAAAACGTTTTTCTCAACTGCACTTTTCCCTTGCGCCAGTACATAAAGGTGCAAAATGTTAAAAGCTATGAAAACTAGGCACACCACACCTGGGCCCCATCACCCATTTGACAAGGAGGAAAGTTGTGCAATTACGAAAAACGCACCTTTGCGCCGATGGACGAGGCCAGCTCGAGTAACTTTGAGTTGAACTCCAATGGGCGGCAGTTGCAGATGCGCCTCTGCAGCCTTAAAGCTTCCAAGCACTTTGCCATGCCTTCCATGGTCTCCATTTGACTGAGGCGGTCTCCCAGGCTCGAACTCAGTCCTAGTGCTAGTTCATACTGTTTAAAAGCCCTCTGAAAATCAATTTAAATGTTGTTAATTCAAGTCTATGTCACATGAACTTTTTTATTTATTTCATTTTTTATTATTATCATTTGTCCAATTTTTTCTTCACATTGTTCACATTCAATTTTTGAAGAAAAGAAATTTGTTTGAGAAATTGTCAAAAATAAATTCCATTTTTTGTATTAATAAGAATAAAATGATTTTTAAATTTACAAACTCAAAATTATAAAAAGTTGGAAATTGATAAATGTTTTTCTCACGTTGATGTCGCATTTTTTGCGGAAAATGTCCCCCATTACGCGGATGCTGCGTGCGTAGGTGGCCTGGTCGCCAGAAGTGAGCGAGAGGCGCGTCGCCTCTGAGCAATAGTCCTGCGCGTCGCCGAGTTCGCCCTGTTTGCGCAGCGCAGCGGCCATCTGTAGAAGGGCGGCCCTGTGGTGCCTGCTGTTCAGGTCACCCAGCTGCAGACTGCGCGACAGGTCGTAGGCTTTGCTCGCGTACTTGGCGCTTTTCTCCGCGTCCTGCAGACGAGCAAACAACTCGGATAAACCGACGTAAACCTAAAACACCAAAAAAAGATATAATTCATATAATATATTTTAATCTGGCATAAAAAAATTAAATAATTATTACATTAAATTTAAAGCGAATATTAAATAATTACTTTTATGCTATTGTATTGAGAAAAATAAAAGGATTAAAAAACTGTTTTATACGTAACCGAAGAAATAATTATATTTACATAATATTGGTTTCATTGGATATCCATGTGAGTAAAATTGTATTATAAAAAAACTGCAGACCTGTAATTCAAGTGCGGGGTCTTTGGTGCTTTGAGCAATTTTGTGAGCCTGCTGGAAGGCCTCCAGCGCGGGACAGAAACTGGCGAGCTGCGTGTTGACGTTGCCCACGCACAGCTGCACGTGTCCCGCCACCTTGCACTGGTCGCACTCGTTGTACAGTGAGTGGCGAGCGTAGGCCATGGCGCGTTCCAACGCGCCCAACCGCTCGTGGGTGCGCGCCAGGTTGAGGTACGCCTCGGCCCTGAAGCTGGCGGAGTCCGTCTCCTCCGCCACGCCTAACTGCCGATGAGCAAATTCCAGACTCTCTCTGAAATTTCATCTTGTTTATGAGCTCGCCTGCGCAAAGTTTAAATATGCAACCCGCTCGATAACAGTGCCTAGCCAGTTGCATATCTACATTTTCTTTTTAGAAAGAAGTTGCATTTAAATAAGATGGCAATTTTCCTGGTTATGTATTTTGTTAAAGAAAAAAACATATTAGTCTCATTTTTCTATTAGATACCATTTTTTAACTAAAAATTTGATACGGGTTTTTCAGCTTTTGTTAACAAATCGTGTATTTTTTTTCATTTGGAATAGTTACTAAATTGGTAAAAAAAATCAATTATAATCTTTGTAAAACAGAAGACGTAAAATGTTTAACAATGACGATCCGCAAACGTTCCAATAATTTTTTCTCAAGTTAAAAGAAATAATACAAGACTTTTTTACTTTCCGTTCCGTTGTCATGTTTAGTGCAAGAAATCGGATTAAAAATGAAGATAGGGAAAAACGGGCACTGTTAAAAAACGAGGGAATAAATCTTGATAAAATTGATTTCTTACCTAAATTTTCCCCAGTCCATGTAGGCCTGGTATAAGTATCCGAGCAGCAAAAATTTATCTTCTCTTTTTCTAATCCGCTTCAGGGCGCTTTTCCACTTAGCAACTGCAGCCTGCTGCTTGTGTTGATTGTACAATTTTAGGCCTTGTTCAACCTGGGCGGCAAAACACAGTTTATTTTTAAACTGGATAAATTCGACTGACAAGGGCACCGACCCTTCCTCTTGCTAGGCCCTGTTCTAATTTTCGGCGACACGCAAAAAAGCAGTCAAAAATGCCGTGACCATTGGCCTCGATGTTGTCCTCGCGGAACTGGAAGAGCTCGTGTGGCCGCGGCAGGGGTGGTCCGTCTGGCGATGGCAGCAGGGCTGTTGCCGACAGCTGGTGGCTTGTGCCGCTGGATAACAAAATTCAAAATATTTACAATTCGTTCAAATTTATAAATCAATAACATATTTTATTAAGAAAAACAAAATTAAAATTAAATCATAATTTTGCTTAGCAAAGAAAATTTATAAAACGTTATTCTCAAATAATCTAGATGCTGTTTTAAACAAAATAAATGAACGGGCTACATTTTTTTCTTAATTATTAAATTTTAAATTTATATCTTTTATTTATCTCTTTTTCCAATTGAGACTGTATAAATAGATTAATTTTATAAATTGGTTTACTACGGTAATATCACGTGATGAAAGTAGCAAGTTTTAGTAAAAATTAGACCGAAAAAATTCCAAGCTTTAAAATGACCTGAAAATACAAAAGCATGTTTAGTGTGAATTTAACTGATTCTCTAGAAACGGAAATATTGGTTTAATTGATTGTAGTCAATCTAGCAATTGAGTCAGTTTTACATATTTCTGGTTTGAATTGAAACTCTTAAATATTCCACTAACAATTCCTATTCATTTTAAATCACAAAATTCGATTGAAATAATCCAATATGTAGAAATTGCAAGTTAATACACACATCACACAGTCAGTCTTTCAACACAGATTTGGCGATCAACATCAAAGAAGCAGCCAAGCAAGTCATAACATTGAAGTCATCAATTAGCTGCGAATTCCAAAGCTGCTACATTATTGCACATAGAGCGTGGTCTTGATGTGTGCGCTAATTAGTTTTGTCTTGCTTATTAGAGGCAGCAGAAAGCTCGCCGTTTTTAGGCCCATTAATGGATTCCGCCTCTCTCCATTGAAGGCCTAATGACTACCCGCCCGCCCATCCATCGCCCAGATAAATGCCTCTCAATGGTCTCTCGCTACGAACGGGCTCATTAAAAATAGATAAGGCTGATTTTCATCCTTGCCGGAGCGCGATCGCGAGGGGTGCGCGTGCGGGGTGCATCCTGCCCGGGTCACGTGACCGATCAATAGGGGATGCATCCTGAGCGAGCGGCGGCGGCCAGAGCACGTTGGTTGGATGGCCGCCGCCGCCGAAGCCCTCGGGGGCCTCCCTGGGGTGGAATTCCCGGAAAACAACTTGCACCAACCCTCAAGTGCAATATTCACTTTTATCCCTTTCTAAATTCTTGATTTTTTAATTTCAACGAATGGGCCTTTCAATTGGTAGGGGTTGCTCAATTCTTTCGATGGATCTGCTGCCGAAGGCTTTTCGCTTTTTCATCTCGGCTAGTGTGTGTGTTTTTTTATAGTAGGGCACATAGTTGGTCCAGTGGCCTAGATCGGATCCGTTTAGCGCAGGCTGCTTCATATATTGCTCTTGCAATTTGCCGCCTGAGCTACATTCAAACCAACAAGTGCATGGGGCTGTTGCAGGGGATGCTGCTAAATGAGTAGCACAAAAGAAAAAGAAAAAGCGGGAACGGAGCAACCCCTATTGCTTAGCTAAAAGAGGACGGTCAACCATAAAAATGTTAAAAGTCAAAGGATTAAAATTGTAAAGCAATTTTGAGAAACTTATGCCGTGGAAAGGGGTTGAATAATTATTAATTATTTTAATGCAAAAAATAGATACAAAATAATTAGAGCGTGAGTAAAAAAGAAATAGAGAAATAAATTAATTTTTACGAACAAAAATAATACCATTTTAGACTAAAATTGTGCTGGTTTATCACATTATTCAAGTAACTTTTCCTGCTTCTAATCTGTAAAATACAAGGCAGAAAACAATATTTTTTAATCGGTCAGGAAATATAATATTAGGAAATTCGTTTAATATTTTTTTAGGTTTGAAAGCTTTTATTGAAAATGGAACAAATTTATAGAGAAGAAAAATAACTGAAAATTATCTGTGCTTTTTCTATTAAAAAAAAATTAAGAAAACTTCTACAATATACTACCTGAAGAGCTAAATTTCTGAAATAATCCAAAGGTATTTGTTAGATAACTCGATTTCGGTCTGTCAAACGTGCCGCACTTTTTCCTGGTCTCAGGGGCGGCTGATTTCTAGTGCTCACCTGAGGTAGTCCCTGGAGGGGATGGAGTCCCAGGACATGGCCTCCAGGATGGCTGGAGTGCTGATTGTTCTGTGCGGGTGAGCGCCCATCATCACATATCGCCAAATACACAAAAATAAGGGTGCCAAATCAAGGGTGGCTTTTATCACAGAGGGTGTACTGTAGAGTAGGCAGCCACTCCCTGCAGCTAGCGAGACTGCGCCCCTCCAGATCGAAGACCGGGCAGCGGCCGGAAAACAGCATCTCTCTGCTGCCTGGACCACTTTCCAGCGCACGTGGCGCCAAAACTCAAAGCAAACGCCACCTCCCCTAGCGCCAGAGTATATTTAAAAGCAGGAAAACGCAGAGCAAATAGGGAGCGTTCTTGGGACGGAAAAATTAGTTCCCTTTTCTGTTTTACGAATTCACAAAGTTCTTATCCCGCTCCGCTAAATATAAAACTATTTTTGGGTTAAAAACATAAAGAAATTTTTAGAAAATTTTCACGTTTCATTAACATCTTTATTCTTAATACAAAACTAAAAGCTATAAAAAAAATAATTAAAGAGAAATATAAGAAAAAAAATCACATAGGGGATTAATACTATGATTAAAGAATTGAAAATATACATATGTCGATAATTATGTGAAAAGTGATAAGATTGAAATGAAATATTTATTTAAAGCTGCTTTATTTTCAAAACGTTTGTGAAGCATGTTCGTATAATTATCATGTTTATTGCAACCATCATCATAATTTTAGTTACGCGTTTTTTTTTTATATTTATGAATTTTAGAATGTAAGTTTCAAGTCAAAATAAATACCAATAGCGATACTGTAGAATGAAGTTGGAGATAAAACTCCTTATTATTATACTTACATCCAATTTTTTTTAATTATTTATAATTAGCGTTGATTAAATCTTAATTATATCCAATTTATCGCAATCCTATATTTTATCCATAACACTAAATTATGTAAATTTTAAAATGCTATTCAAATCCAACCAGGCCAGGGTGATTTGTTGGCAAAGAGATCTTCAACTCTTTTGACAAATTGTTATAAACCTCATTCATTTGATTCCAGACCTTGGTCTGCAGCTCATCAATGTCATCTAGTGTCAGTCCTTTAGTCTCAATATATGACAAAGCTGTGATAATGACTTTTCCTATAAATTTAAATAATTTTTATCTAGACGTAAAATCGATTTTGCATTATTATACCGGATCCGAAAAAGCCATTGTGGTGGTTGATGAAGTAGTAGGGTGAGTAGACGACGGGCATGATAGGCGCCTGGCACGCTATCGCAACGTGAAAGGCGCCTTTCTTAAAGGGCGCCAGTCTGCGATTTTTATTTCGCGTTCCTTCCGGAAAAAACCAAAGCTTCACACCCTCCTCGGCCATTTTTCTACCAAAATCAGAAACGCTTGAAATTAATTAAAAACGAAACCATGATTTTCCACCTTGAAGCATTTTTAAGTTGCTCCTTTGCCTGTTTTGAGTTTAGTCGGTCGATGAAAGTCGTCCCCGAGAGCCAAAGGGCCAGACCGAACGGCCATGCGTAGAAAATTTCCTTTTTTGCCACGGCTGAGCATTTTTTCATCCATTCCCATATCCAGAACATGCCCAAGACGTCAAATGAGTTTTGATGATTTGCAACGGCCACGCATGCCCTTTGGCGGCTAAGATTGTCAATGCCACGAACTTCCCATTGAATTCCAACTATGTGAGACACCAAACGAAGCACCTTTGACGATCGACTAAAAAAAAATTTATTTTTCATGAAATATAAAAAAAAACATATTATCTGATTTTCAATATAAAATCTGCTTTTGCTTTTGTTAATATAAAAGTTAAAATTTCAATATAATATAATTTTTTTCAATACTTACTAGCAGTTAATGGTGTCGCAAGGATTAAAAACTGCAAAGAAGGGTATGCAGAAGACGGCTAGGAAGGAAATAATTAAGTAGTAGACGATGAATTTGGTCCGGTACGGGGATATTCGCAGCGAAATCCCCAGCACCGTCGCCGTCAACACGAGCCACCAAAACATTAGTACTGCACCCCGCGATTTATGAATCAATTATGGCTAGTCAGAAACGGAAAATCTCAATCTCAGCAAGAATCACGCGCGACTAACGCCTTGATGGCATCAGGCTACAAAGATGACATTGTATCTTATCAATCATCATCTCCAGATGGCAAAGCTTTACCTCTTAAAGTGCATCTGCGACAGTAAATTGAATGTGGATTATGAAACACTGTTGCAATGCATCACATGACTTTTTTTACAGCGAATAATAATTTGTGCTGCAAATAGCAAAATTGAACGTATGATAAGAGATGATGATTAATGAGGTACTTAGTACATTATAATAAAAGAATACATATTTTAGCAGAGAAATTCATACAAGTTTCGTTTTTCAGATATTTATCATATTTAAAAAAAAACTTTTCTCAATAAGTGTTATGTAACGTAATAAGATAGCATATGACCTCTAGACAGAAAAGCAACGTTCAGTGGTGTCTACAATAGTCTGCGCATAATCTTATTGTCATTTCTTATCGTCTCAAAAGGAGATTATTATCAATTAAAAAAATTTGTGGTAGTTTTTAATTTAATTCATTGGTTGCTAAATATAAGCTTATCAGCAACAGAAACAGCACAATGTGTTAGCCTAGGAAAAATACAAAATGTTTATTTAAAAAACGTTTTATTGTAAAACATCTCAAGTATTTAATAATAAAATATTGATTTTAGTGAGATTTTGTGTGAGCAAAAACATTTTATGTTAGGTGTAGGCGTTTTTTTTAATATCTAAAATTAAATTAAATTTTAAAAATATCTCACTTCAGAAGTACAGAAATATCAGTCTTCAAAACCCACAAGTCCCGGATAGTTAGGTGGAAGCTCCGCTTTCAATTCTTCAGAAACTTGCTGGTAAACCTTCTCCATTTCACTCCTCACTTTTGTCATCAGGTCATCCACGTCTGCCATAGTCAAGCCCTTTGTCTCGACGTATGGAAGCGCCGTCACAATTACTTTGCCTGTTGAAATCAAATATAGTAATTCAAAAATAAAATAAAAACCTTCATTTCATAATTATGAAAAAAATGAAAAAATATTATAATTTAATATTAAAATATTTTTTATTCATTTTTACCACCAGTGTGGAAATTGTTGTGGGGGTTGATGAAGTAGTAGGGCGAGTAGACGACGGGCATGATGGGCGCCTGGCAAGCGACGGCGACGTGGAAGGCGCCCTTCTTGAAGGGCATCAGGCAGCGGCGGCGCTTGTTCCTGGTGCCCTCGGGGAAGAGCCACAGCTTGACGTCGTGCTCGGCCATGAGTTTGGCCGCGTGCGCCAGCTGGCCGCGCGCCTTGTCCGAGTTGATTCGGTCGATGAAGACGACGCCGGCCAGCCAGGCGGCCAGACCGAACGGCCACGCGTAGAAGATCTCCTTCTTGGCCACGGCGGCGATCAGGTGCGACCAGCGCCAAAACCAGAACATGCCCAGAATGTCAAAGGAGCTCTGGTGGTTCGCCACGGCCACGCACCCCCGCCGCTGCCCCAGCACCTCCAGACCCCTGACCTCCCATTCGATGCCCACCAGGTACGTAGACAAACGGAGAATTCGTGTCCAGTGCCTAGAATAATAACCAACTTTGTTCATATCTAGTTTAAAGTTTCTTTTCTTGCATTTGAATAAAAAATTAATAAATGAAATTTCATATTGGCTATGGAAAAGTTGAATAAACTTTTGTTTTAATAACAAATAAATCATAATTAATGCCAAGTAAAGAATATCAACAATTATTAATTCTATTAATTAAAACAAAAAGGCCGTTTTGCGGCCGTTGCCTCTCGAGCGTCTTCCCCCATGAATGCGAGTTATTAGTTCAATAGTTTAATAAGTGCATGATCTCGTCTCTTCCTGTTCTTCTTAGCAGAGGCTGCTCTTAATAATTTTTATTCATATAACTATTTAAGTGCGCGCTCTGATTATGTGGGGGAAATTCAAAATAAATAATGTCTATAGAGGCATTCTTAAAATTAAAAAGTTTCTTAAAGCCTAGAAAATTCAATGAATGAAAATCCTTAAAAAATTAAATAAATTTTAATATAAATTAGGTTTGCTCACTTGAGGAGACTTGAAACGATTACATCTGTTCATAAACCAATATGTATTAAATTGATTTAGTGCCTTTTTGGCCTTGTTGGACTAATAATTTTTTTAAAGGCTTTTTTAATAGAAAAAAATGGCTCTACCAATTTAAGTTGTCGGTCTGCAACTCTGTTAATAACTAGTTTTTTATCGCCTTTTATTAAAAAAAATTCCATAGCAAAAAAATAATTTTAAATTTATTTATTAATTTTAAGATTTGTTGAATAATGAATAATATTTTAAGAAGCTTATAATTAAAGTTAATTTTAAGACTTCATAAACATGTTTATATATTTTTCTCCAATTTTTTTACTATTCCTTTTGAAACAGACAATGACAGTAGTTATGCTTACAAAAACAATCAAGGATATGCCTGTTTTTACTTCATAGTAATGTTTATGTTTTAATTTATTGACTAGCATAAAAACTTTCTTAGAATTTAAAGTATCCTAATGTTTTATGTAAAAAATTACTCACGAGCAGTTGATGGGGTTGCACGGCCTGAGCAGGAAATAGGGCATGCCCAGGAGCGAGAAAAACGAGGTGAAGACATAGAAGACAATAGTTCGCCAGTTGAAGGCGAGCCATTGTATGCAGAAGGCGAGCATCGCGGCCACTCGAAGCGTCCGCGTCGTCCGCGACTAAAGTTTGATTTTTGCGTCTCGAAGGCGGTCAGGCGGCCAGCGAGTGGCGGGCGATTTTCCAGCCAGACAATCGGCCGCAGATAAGCTTCTGCGTCTCGATCGTGCTGATCGTTCAAAATTATGCACAGCAATTACGCAGCGCTGAGATGCGTGCGGCAATTCAGTTATTTTTCTTGTTTCAAGAGGCGCGACCGCCCAAGGGCATTAGAAATAGAATCGAGAGGAGTTTGGAATTTGACCGTGGGCCAGTCGTGCTAAAAAAATCTCCTAAGCCACACGATATAGTCTAAAAAATAAACTATGTAGCGTTTTTCACTGAGGCTGCGCTAATTGAGGAGATAAAAACCTGTTAATCGCGTGTTGTTGACCCAGGTCAAAATTTTTTAAACTGAACGTTGTAAGTTCTGGTACTTTCCATATTCATTGTTTCAATTTGCAAGTGCTTGCAATCTTTTGATTAAATCACAAGTCAAAAGTCTAGTTAATTATCTCTAGCATGAGTCATTTCATGTTGATTTTTAGCCTTTTGAAACAACTAATATTCTAAATCTCTTTCCTCTATTTGCAGAAAAATGAAAAGTAAACTATGTGTCAGAAAAATATCGTAGAAAACGTTTGCCCTATAAAATCAAACACATTTTTTTTATTCTTGGAAAACAAAATTATTTAAATATTCAAATTTAAATTTTAAAATTAAAATTTTAAATTAAATTTCAAATATTGAAAAAATTCAACACAAAGTATATGGTTAAATACCTTTTTATTAAATCACCTTTTATGAATGTTCTCGAAAACCAAGGCCTTTAACAAATAATTTTTTATGAGAAAACTTCTTCTTTTATTAACTTTTTTTCCGCTTCAAATCCCATTTTTATTTCAAAAGCAAGAGTAAAAACATTCCTTGTGCATAGTCAAAACGGTTTGCTTAAACTTGAGCCATTATTCATTTGACAGCGTCATCACAAAACCACGACCTTCACTTACTTTTTTAGCATTTCTGAGCAGTCGGATTGAAGCTCTTTGTGTCAAACAAAGTTTCACTGCGATGGCAGAGTTAAGAAATCCCATTTCCCATGGTGATTTTTCTCTCTCTACTTTTCCTCACTGACGCAACTCGATGGATTCGCGGCGTTTCTTGCGCTTTTTATACCTCTCGCTCACAGCCTCCATTGGCTTCGCCCTTTTTATCATATTTGCAGATCAGCGGTCATGTAATAAGGGAGATTTGCAGCGCCTGGTTCTGAGACCCAGCTTCGTAGATTCGACTGGCAAATACATAATCAGCACTCATGCAGTTGTGGCACACAAGTGGACGCTGCTCAATCAGGTTTTTAGCACTCTTTAATTGAATTTTGTGAAGCTAGATATTAAATAGTTTCATTACAAGAATTTAATTATACAAAATAATTATCAAAATCCAAAATAACGAATTTATAATTAAAGAAAATTCAATTAATATTTATTGTTTTGTTATTTTATGTTATTGTTCTCAATTTATTAATTTAAATTGGGTGATAACTACATGATAAGGTTATGATGTACTAATTGATTATATATTGTTGAAAATGAAATTCGATTTCAATTTTGTTATTGTTTTTCTATATTATATAAATCATATTAACATAATAAAACTTTCAAAGGCTGTAACTAGATTTTAATAAAGTAAATTTACAGGCTCCTCTCTGCATAGCCTTTCAAGCAAACTTCGAACAGTCCTTCCAACTCATAGATTTTCTAAACTCATGGACGGGAGCTGTTTCTTGCGCTCTTTTCACCCCCGGCCAGGATTTTCACCTGGCGACCGCTTTTCTCTCCTATTTAAATCGCTGCCACCCGGCCGTCGCTCGTCAGGTCAACTTCCATTTCATCTACCCTAAAAATAGACCTCCTCCGTCCGAGTCATTTCCGGTGCCCGACCTGTACCTGAGCTGTGGGCTGAGTCCTCAGGAGGTGGTCGAGCACCTTCTCCGCCTTAGCTCGAATAGAACTCAACGTGACCAAGATGAGGTGTTGCCAATCAGTTTGATGCGAAATGTGGCCAGGACGCATTGCAGCAGCCCGTGGGTCATGAGTTCGAGCCCCGGAATTATCCTGCCGGGGAAAACGAAGAAGAAGGAATGGCGAGGTGCGATCGAGCGGTTTTTACTGAAGGAGGAAAGCGCCGTTAATTGCTCCAAGAGGGCTTACATTTTGCCTATTTATGAAGTCAAGGATAGGTAAAAGCTATTTTAATAAAATTTCCAAAATATTTGGTATTTAAAATAATTCTATTGAAATTTTTTGTTACATTTAGTTCAGTTTGATTTTTCATTTTAAGATGTTATATTTTCTATTATATTTGTCCAAGACAAGAGATTTCTGCTGCTGGGATAGGGTGATAATTTATTTAAAGGCAATTCAACTCTAGAACAACTCAATTTGGTGCTAGAAATAGGCATGCACAAACTTTGCCTTTATTGCAAAAGTCAATAATATACCAGCAAGTGGAATTCGACAAAAATATTAATCTTTAAATCTCACCTGATACTAAAAAATTTGTATAATACAAAAGTAATATTACATCATATATAACGTTTTTAAATTCAATTTCCAGTTTGAAAATATAATGCCAAATGAAATTTATAATTTTAAAGAGTTTTTATTTAATTCGATTTCAGGAAGCGGCTGGCAAACAAGAGTGAACTTCTGTCTCAAGTCGGCGCGAATAAAGCACGGCAGTATCTCGGAGAAGTCGCAGGGTTGGACCAGAGAAGCACAGACTTGAGCCGCTGGGAGAAAGTGCCCCCGGGAGAAGGACTCGGCGTCGCGTACCCTGTTGAAAAATTCATCTTCCCCTACGTGCCGGTGTACATCGCCAAGCAGGGCACGCCGCGCTATGACGAGCGCTACCTTGACCCCGAAGACGCCGTGGCCCGAGCCATGCAGACCTACGACATGATGATGAACAACTACACCTTCCACGTCGTCGACAACCTTTTCCTCTATCGAAAGGTTCCCTGGACGGAAAAGTGGAACGTTGAAAAAGAAAACAACGAAGAGGTAAAAGAAGAAGTACCAAATAATCCCAATCGCAAATGATCTATTTACTAATTTATAATTTTTGATATTAAATTAAAATTTAATTTCAATTCTACTTCTTTGCATGTTTCTCGATTTTTCTTAAATAATTTATTTTTCTTAATTTTTTGCTTGACCTATTGCAGTCGGAAGTTAAAATAAATTTTACTTCCCCACAAATCGATAATTATACTTCTGTTATTTAACTAATTAACAATTTCCTGTACGATATTCTAATCTTGTTCTGAATTAAGTTTTGTTTCCTATAAAGTTACTCGACTTTAACTTGAAACTAATGAAAAATATTTTAATCCATTACTGTCGTTAAATGTCAGATTTTTTTATAAAAAAAAAATTCCATTGTTAGCCTCAAGACTCTAATTATATAATTCCAACTAATCTTATCAAGACCAAACCACCACAATTCAAAGAGCTGATAACCCCGCGATAGTCTTATAGCGTAAAGCCCATGAATATTCTCTTAAATAATTACAGTACGCAGCGTTTTAAAACCAAGTTTGCAAACATTAATTTTGTGCAGGTTCAGCGCAATAATCGCTCACCGCTGCTCTCAGCCCACGTGCTTGAGTTTGCTGCGAAGTACGACCGGGACCCTTTGGGCCTGTTGTGGGCCGCCGGACCCGCAGGGGCGCAGCGACAAAAAGTGCGCGTCATTCTGAAAACGCCTAAAGCCGCTCTACTGCCAGAGAAAACCAACCCAAAGTAAACGAAACCGCTGGAGAAGTGCCAGTCAGTCGGCGGAGTTGTTGTGCGCCGCCCTGTATATCTATTCATCCGAGTGAGCGCGATAAATAATAATCGGAGGATGCCAACAAAGTTTGAGATCCTCGAGAATGCAACTTTGCCTTGATGAGTTCCTTGGCAGCCGATGAGATGAAAAAGAAATAAAATGAAATATTGACGCATATAAATAGAGCTGGAGAGCGAAGTGCTACAAAAAACCACACTATATTTATTGTTGTCATTTTTTGTAAAAAAAGGCCTTCATTTTTATAAAAATTCTCTCTTTGCCATCTTATAAAATTGTTACAAAATGAGCAAGCTTCAAAATAAATCATATAATTCTTAAAAATAAAATATTTTGCATATAAAAATTCTGGCATTTTTTTTTTGCATTAACACATTCTTTTCCAAGCCTGCAAAGTTTTTATCAGATCGCAGATAATCTCGCTTCTTTCTTGCGATAATTTTAGACCCAGTCTGACGTTCTGCATTCTCTCCTCGGAGTGTGTTGTCACATTTCGCACATAGATAAGAACGTCGTCCGTCTCATGCACATAACGTGCAGGCACTTGAATCGTCCGGCAACGAGGTCGCATTTGCATAAATGCATTATCTTTTGCATGTTTTGCTCTCCGCGTTGCATTCGGCCGCCGCGCTAGCTGGGCGCCGGCGACCAGTGCGCGTGACCCACATTAATCTGCTGCAAAGCTGCAATAATTATTTTTGCCTCAAAGTAGTGAAAAGACAATTTAAAATTGAAGTTAGAAGTTAATACTATTCACCCGAGTGCTTTAAAATGCTTTGAGAAATAAAAAAATTTTAAAAATGCGTTTTTAAATATGTGGAAAAAATTAACATCTAACATTAATTAAATATTATTATGACAATCAGGGTAAAGAAAGAAATAAAATTATTAATCACATTTGTGCTAAATTCATAAATTAATGGAATTTTTTCAGATTATAAAAAATTTCTAACTTTTTTAGTACAAGCGCAAGTATCTTTTGATTCTGAATTTACGTTAGATGAGAAATTCAACTAACATTGATTTTCATCTTTATCTGTGGGAAATTGGGGACGCGCCAAAATCACTTGCAATTTGATAAGGAGTTCTGCAGATGTTTAATGTGAGAGATGGCAGAATTAGCTTATTTCTAATTAGGATCTTATCGATCACACAATGCCTTGAACTTCAGACTTGAATTTGTTTTTTCACACACAATATATAAGTCTGCTCATTGAAATAAGCCAATCATAGATATTTAAAAAGTTATACTTGCATTATGTTAGTTGTAAATAATTAATAAAAAATTTAATTAGGTGATCTCTTTACGCATTCAAAAATGAAGCGCGTGGAAAAAGTGTCGAAACCACGATTATAGAGTCTGTAAACAAAAGATAAGGAATAACAAAAATAATGAAATAGGAATCACTTCACTCAACGTCAGAAATGTCGACGAATAATCAAAGTTCAACAAACTGAACTGAATTAATTGATCGTTTAATTTTAACAACTTGCAATTAATACTTTTAATGTGTTGTTTTAATAAACAAAAACAAATATTATCCTCTTATCTTATGGTGACCGTAAGATGAATTTAATTGTAGTAGAAAAAAAAACATGCACCCTTTCGCACTACTTGTTTATCTGCTCTTGATGACCCCTAACGCGATCCACGCACTCTATCAGATAAGCGCTAATGTGTAGTGTTTTTTGTTCTATTGCTGACAGTGCACGTTTGGATCGCGCGGCGAGGATGCTCACGGGGCTGTTGTGGGCGGCGGGGGCGATCACGCTGATTGCCTTTGTCGACAGATACCTGCTCAAAGGGTGGCTTCGCTTTAACTGGCGCACCTTTGTTTTCTACGGCTACGTCTCGTTTTGCTCGACCTTTGCTATTCCTTTCTTTGCCCTCTTCAACCCTGGACACTGCATTAATTCCAAGTAGGATCATAAAACAAATGATCTTAAAATAGATTTAAAATAATTAGTGGAAGTACGACATTAAAAATCCCTAAACTAATTATTTTTCCATTTGAAAAACAGAAATTTATATATTCCTATTACAAACGGTAAATTAAAAAATTAAGTTGTTATTTCTTTATTTTGAGAATTCACGTCAATAAAGGTTTAGAAAATGATGCAAATTCAATTCACGTACTTCGTCAGCTCAAACGCATCCTATGACTCGTGCAAACTGCGTCATCAAAACAAGATTTCCGTTTACGTGCGGCTTATAAAAAATACGTGAATCATTTATATTCATTCAAAAATACAAAAAACAAAAATAATACATAACATAATAGACTTAAATTTAAATTCGAAGAAAATTAAACAAATATCTTTGCAGGCGAATATCTTATGTACTCCGTTTAGCATCGTACTTAGTGGGCATCGAATGGGAGGTCAGGGGTCTGGAGGTGCTGGGGCAGCGGCGGGGGTGCGTGGCCGTGGCGAACCACCAGAGCTCCTTTGACATTCTTGGCATGTTCTGGTTTTGGCGCTGGTCGCACCTGATCGCCGCCGTGGCCAAGAAGGAGATCTTCTACGCGTGGCCGTTCGGTCTGGCCGCCTGGCTGGCCGGCGTCGTCTTCATCGACCGAATCAACTCGGACAAGGCGCGCGGCCAGCTGGCGCACGCGGCCAAACTCATGGCCGAGCACGACGTCAAGCTGTGGCTCTTCCCGGAGGGCACCAGGAACAAGCGCCGCCGCTGCCTGATGCCCTTCAAGAAGGGCGCCTTCCACGTCGCCGTCGCTTGCCAGGCGCCCATCATGCCCGTCGTCTACTCGCCCTACTACTTCATCAACCCCCACAACAATTTCCACACTGGTGGTAAAGTTGAATAAAATATTTTTTAATTTTTGTTTTAGTTTCCTCAAATATTGAAGCTTTCTTATTTTTATTACTATATTATTATTATATTATTTTTATTTTTGCTTAATTTCTTGGAATTCAACAGGCAAGGTAATTGTGACAGTTTTGCCATATATTGAAACGGCTGGTCTGACAATGGATGATATCGACGACCTGAAAAACAAGATTTGGCAGCAGATGGCACAGACTTATGACAAAGTTGCAGCCGAGATGCGCACAAAACTGCCCGCAGACTACCCTGGCCTAGTGGGCTTTGAGGAAAAAGAGAGCTGACAAGCTGAAGACTGTGATCTAACTTTATGCTAAATGCGTTGTAATTTACAAAATAAATCATGAATTAAAAATTGAGTTTTACACCAGTTTTGGCCGCGCTGATTTTGATAAGCGCGCAACGGAAACCGCAAGAGTAATAGAGCGAGCCAGTGTCGCGATTAAAATTTTTCCTTGTGGAAATACAAGTTCCTGTGCTCGTGATCATAATTTTAAGATTGAATTAAGTCATTTTTTCTTCAAACCTTTCCTGGTTGTTCTCCAAGGCACGTCAAGGGAGTGAAATTGAAATGAACATATGATGGGTTTCATAGGGTTGCTGGTCATCACTGCCGTTTTTAGTGCAGTTTGCCTTAAAAGTGAGTTGCTTTTAAATTATTTTCTCAGTGTGCTGGATTTTTCTTTATTTTTTTATGCTTTTCAAATTGCCAGTCAATATAGGCTGATATAAAATATGGGTTGTAATTTCTACAATTTTCACTAACAATAAGTAGATGTTTCTAATCTTAGCTTTTTGTAGACGCGAAAGGTTCTTTAATTGTTACTTATAATGACGTACAAAAGAAGTGTTATAATGATGACACAAAAGGAGATGTTGCTCTTCAATGGACAATGCTTGTGGACCATCACGATAATCTAAAAAGTCTCAGTAGGAATGAAAAATTTTATCTTTTCAGCACTTAATTAACAAAATATACAATCAAATTAGGATTCTCAACACTGGAAATATTGCCAAAAAAAGACAAAATTCCCGTGGGTAGCAGTAAGCTGGAGGGGTGGAATATTATGAGTTCATCAAATTTCTCATCAACATCATTTGGCCAAATCGTCGATATCAGATGGAACAATGGTTAAAAAAGCAATTTTAGAAATTAATTTATTAATTGAAAAAGTTCACCTACGGGCAGTTCTGAAAGAGGCTGAAGTGAACCAAAACAAGAAATACGAAATTAAATTGGAGCATAATAGAGGCACAAGATTTGAGCAGCACTTTTCATTGTTGGCAAGGAATTCAATAACCATTCAATTGTCCACTAGTTTAAAAACTTACACAATAAATGTCGGACAAAAATTTGACAAAATTAACATTGTAAGTTTTATTTTGTATTTTGGAATATATGGAATAAATTAAAATTATTTGTATGCTCTACTCTGCCTTCTTAGACTAACAATGATGTCATAAAGAATGGCTACATAACCTGGGTTGACGGCATTCTTGGCAAATTCTACCATGTAAGTATCAAAATAGTATGCCTTTCCTGTAAAAGATGTCATGTTGTAAATTATTTTGCTATTTGTCCTCTCTGACAATAAATAATGCTGGCAAGTGGACTTCATTTTTTTCTATTCGCAAATTTTCAGACCAATCCTGAAATTGTAAACGGTCTGCAATGGCGTCCTATAGTGCTTCACATTGACGAGAAAAACAAATTGACATTCACCCTTGCAAAAGACTATGAAGTCGAGTTTGAAATAGAAGGAAATGCTAATAAACTCTTGTTCTTAGCAAAAGAAAGCAACTCTTTCTACTTTGTGAAGCATCACATGTGTAACCGCTGAGCTTTAATATACTGAGCAAAAATATACAGGGTAGATATTTGCAGATGATATGCGGGTGGCGCCAGCCACTCAGGAATACCTCAAAATGACCATTGACGGGAGTGGAAAGACTTGTCTGACGGTGACTTATTTTACACAAAATAGAGATATGATGCTGGAGCTGATCGGAGCAAATGAACAAAAAATGAATGTGGTGCTCAAGGTGTATTATTTAATATCCTGTCATCACTGGACCAATGTTGTTGTTAACAAATTAAAATTCCAGAAAAGAACAGGGCAGTGGCAAGTGGAGAGAATTGTTGCACAATTTGGTGCAGGGAAAGTGCAGATGAAAATTCGTGGTCAATCGATTGGCGACGACATTCAAGCGGTTGGAGCGGTCAGATTGTGTACAGCAGAAAATGGCAAGTAAAATTATTTGAATGACAAGAAAAGAAATCATGAAGAGACTTTTTAATTTCCAACATTAAATATCTGAATGTTGTCAATTGTGTTTAAAAAAATCACATCTTCAAAATTTAAATTAAATTATATGACAGAATGCGCCTAAATTTCTATAAAAATAGTTATTTAAAGCCAATGGTAATTTAATTGTTTGCATAAATATCGATTTTGCAGAATACTTTGTTCAGACCTTGGAGGATCCGGAGAAGAAGACAAGAGTAGCGTATTGCAGCGATCAGGCAAATTCACTCGGAAAGGTTGAATTAAAAACTAACAATGGCGGAAATATTTTTGGCACACCCGAACAAAAGACTTTTGAAAAATTCCTGAAAGAAATAAATATGGAACAAATTGAAGAACAACCAGGATGGAGAATTTGTGGCACAACCAAATGTTCGTGCTTGAGGGGTTTCCATGGAACCGACTGCAAAACAAGTATGATCCAACTTTGAAGTCTGGAAACTGTTTGTTTGATGGTCATATTTGCTGGATTTTAGAATGTGCGGACAAAAGTTACAGTTTTGGTTGCACACAGCCATGCGGAGAATGCATTGATAACAAATGCAGCCCCATCACTGGGATGTGCTTAAATACTTTACGCTGCAATGCCTACTATAGACCTCCGTCGTGCACTGAAAGTAAAAATTTAAATTCAAATTATAATAAAAATTACTTATTGATTTTTAAATATTAGAACTCCTTGCTTCTAATGTAGCACCAAAAATTAAGGGTATCTATGCTGCTTACGTGGAAGTAGATATTAAAGATGGGGTGACAACTTTGAAAAATTCAGAACAGCGTGACAAAATTGAGAAGCTTCAGTTACTTGCAAATTGTACAAACACGGTAAGTAAATAATTTAAAATTATAGTTTTGATTCCGTTCAATAACTATATTGGAGGTTAATTGAGTTGGGTTAATCTAATTTATTTTTATTTTTTCATTTAATATAGTGCAATGCTGGAGTAGTGAAAATGAACATTCCATGGCCCATAGAAAAGCCAGAATCGCTTCAAAAGTTGGAAGGCTTGAACTCCAACACATCGTACAGTATAAAATTATTAGTACTTGAAAGGAAAGTGCAAGACATAAATCTTAACTCCAAAGCTGCATTGTTCTCCACTAAAACATGCGAGCCTAATTGTAAATGGATATATTTTGTGTAGTAACTGCAAGAAATAATCGTTTTTTAATCAGCGGCTAGAGAAATATCAGCACTGTCGAACACATCCATTTCTATAAAATGGCAAGAAGGTTCAAAATTTTGCCCACCGCAGGACTACAGAGTGGAGTTGGAAAAAGTAGAAGAAGGAAAACAATTGGAGACAATGACGGTCGTTGGAGCAAAGGTTATAGGAAATCTAGACGCGCTCACTACATATAAAGTAAAGATAAAATTGGGAAATGCATTCATCGGGGATACGGTAACAGTTAAAACACTCGAAGGAGGTGAAATATTACTAATTAATCAAAATGATAATTTTTTAATAAGTAAATGAACAGTGCCAGAGGCGCCGGATATTGATGTGAAAAGCGATTCAGTTGAACTGGATACATTTCTTGCTTCATGGAGGAAACCAAGAATGAACGGCAATTTCAAAAACTACGTAGTGCACCTGAAGGTACTTCTAAATCTACTTTTACATCCATATGAGTTTGAAAACTCTTAAAAAGAAAAGTTCTAAAGTGGTTAACTTTGTATCAATTAAGTTTTTAAAGCATCAAATTTTTCATTTTTAAAACATTGAATCGCAGCACCATATGTACCGGGCGTGCGGCAATGCTAAGTCTGCAAACCCAAAGCTAGACCAATTCAACACAACGACGGAAACCACCGTTTCCTTTAATAATTTAGCTCCATATTCTACATATCATTTGATCGTGTACGCCAACAATGAAAAACACGAAGGGCAAAAGGCTACAAAAACAATAAATACTAGACCAGGTTAACTATAAACAGTATTCAATTTCCGATAAAATAATTGAAAAAGTTACAGAGACTGCAATCAAAGCAGCACCGCGCATTGACTCTGACGAAACTGATAGAAGCACCGAAAGCATTGATTTACATTGGCACCCCCCTGACTGCTCAAAGGCTGGATGTGAAATTGATACTAAATTTAGGGTTAAATTTTATAAGTCTCCGGAAGAGATTATCATCAAGGAAGTAATCCAGACGTAATTCATAAACTTATTTTAATTTGTATTTACAATTCCAAATATTTTTCTTTTTAGGCACAATGAATTTGTCAATCTGACGAAAGAAACGGTGTACAATGTGAGCATTGAGGCTCGGTGCACAAGCACATCAAAATGGTTAGATGACCCAGAACAGCCAAACATATTGATTACAGAAATCGGAACTGGTATTAAAAATTTAACCGTATAAGTTCGAAAATAAATTTTAATTTTAATAGCTACTTTTACTGGGTGGGAATTGACGGCAATGATATTGGGACCAATATTGTTACTGCTGTTGATCGCTGCGCTGATTGCATTTGCCTTTTGGAAGTACAGAAACCGTTTGGCAGGACAAGGCTTGTTTTCGAACAAAATGGGTAATTAATGAAAATAATTATTTAAACCAAATCAATTTTTAAATCTCGATATTTTAAAGGTACCGCAGAAGAAAATATGCATTTGCGATACCTGCCGACGCCAAAGAGAAAGGGAGAGCTGGTGGAAAAAGATCAATTCGGAATTTATATGCGCAAAGCCAAATCGAGCGGATCTTTGAAGAAAGGATTTGACGTTAGATCATGGATTATTTTTAAATTTCTTTGTTTGCAAGTGAAATATATTTTAGATGCTTCCTCGCGGTCAACTGAAGTCGTGGACGGTGGGCACAGCCGCGGCAAACATGGCCAAGAACAGGTACGCAAAGTTGGCGGCCTACGACCACAGCAGGGTGATGCTCGGAGAGCAGGCCGACTACATCAACGCCAACTACATTTCCGTAAGACACTCTGCAGCAAAACTTTTAAGAACAAATTCTTAAAATTGCAACATTTGGCTCGTAGGACCACCTGCAGCGGAGAGCATACATTGCCACGCAAGGCCCTATGGAACGCACCACACCGGACTTTTGGCACATGGTTTGGCAGGAGGAAGTTTCTTGCATAGTCATGCTCACGCAGTTGAAAGAAAAGACGGTAAAAATTTTACATTCAATTAAACGTAGGCTTGAAAAAAGTGGCTGTAAGGTCTTCTTTAGACTTAAAAAATTTCAAATTAAATTTTTATGTCTGATAAAAATCAACTTATTTTGGAAACTTTTTCTCACATTAACTTACAACTTTCTTTTGCACAATAAATTGAGAATGTATTGCAAATTTAAACGTTCGCAGAAATTCCGACTTTCAAAAATTAAATTTTGTCACGAAATTACTACAATAGGCTGCCTTATTTTTCCTTGGCATTTAGCCATTAACTGCAGTTTTTTTTTTAAATTTTAAAATAATGTTTGGCTAGACTCTTTTAATTAAAATCCTTTCAATTACTTAAAAATTTCATTCAAAACTGATCCAAAAGTTATTTATGTTTAGGAAAGATGCCACAAATATTGGCCCGATTTAAATGAAAATGCAACCTACAAAGAGTACTTGGTTCAATCAATGGAAGAAAATAAGTTTGCTGACCATACTGTGCGAAAGTTCCTCCTAACCGGTCGAATGGGAAGCCGTGAAGTGCAGCAATTGCATTACACGGCCTGGCCGCATCAGGGAGTCCCCTCGGATATACAATCATTTGCAACCTTCATGACGAAGGTCCATAACCAACCGAAAATGCCTTTGCTAGTTCACTGCAGGTAACAAACTTACACCTTAATTAATTATCAAAAGTTTGAATTGAAACTTTCATGTGAAGCGGCGGAACTGGTCGAACGGGCACTGTAATTTTGATTGATTTATGTCTGCGAAATTACATCAATGCAAATGCAGTGAATGTGTGGGCTACCTTAGAAAAAATGAGAAACGAGCGCATCAATGTCGTGGAAACAAAAGTAAACTCATGGTTCATTTAAAAAAGTTTGATTTCTCATCGAAATTAATATTCCAGGAACAATACGAGTTTGCACACAATCTGCTGGAGTATTACTTGGCACATAACGATTTATCTTGGGGGTTTCAGCAATAGCATTCATCAGCCATATAAATAGCGCTAGTGTATAAAAGCCGGGTTTGAATGAGTTTAAAATTGTAAGATATTTTTAATTAGTGACTATTATATTATGAAATATTTGTGTTGAAATCTGTATAATTTAGCCGATGACGATAATAAGCAATAATTAAAACACTATTTATTAACTACTGCAGGCTTAGCAGATTTGTTTTTGTTAAAAATTATATCTATGTAAAATGATAATATATTCAAGTAAAATTTTCATGTGATTGTGTATTGATTCCCATATTAGTATTTATTTGTAAAAATAGAACTACAAGAAAAATTAGAAGACGTTTCACTCACCGCTAACCTCAAATGTAGAGAAAACTCAGATTTTCGGTGGCGAGCAGTGCTTCATTGGCTGTGAGCTCTTCCATGCCCCTTTGCAAGACAACTCTGGGCATGGGCAAACTGACAGCCATATCGTCAAGAGGTTGTTTGGTCAATACGCTTAAGGCCTCACGGGGAGTGGGCATTGTCCCTGGGGAGGTTGTGACGGAGACAAGAAGAGGGGCCGTGAAGACTTGCAGAGGAATTACCGGGTGTGTCGGGTCGTCCACGGCCAATAGAGTTACAGAGCAAATTGGTTGACCTGAGCATTCTGAGGTCAACATGCTGATAAAATCAGTTAGCAGTGCAGAGGTGTAGTTGAGGTTGTCAGAGTGAATTCCTGAATCTGTTGGCAAGAATTGGAATTAGAATTAGAATTTTGATTTAAAACAGAAGTGTTTGGAAAATGATTTTCATTTACCATGATGGAGTTTTTAAAGGCTCAATCATTTAGAAAATTAAAAATAATAAAATAATATTTTTCCAAAATTTTTTGAAAAAAGCTTATGAAAAATTGTTTACTTTTCCATAGAATTGCAAATCGCCACAGGCTGGTTCGGCCGCCTTGAGTAAAGCCTAGGCGGTGACCACAGTGGTCACAGCTTTCGGCTGCTCTTTGAACTGACCAATGAGCAGGGCCAAAGAGTAAATCATCACTTCGGGGTTGAGCCCTAAGTCCATCATGAGCATGACAGAAAAACTCGACATTGTCGGGCGGCTGCTCCAAAACACGACTGAACTTCATGCCGGTCTGCAAGCAGTGGTCGCACAATCGGCAATGCAGGTCGTACGAACCAGCTGCAAGAGGGGGCAGCAAGTTCGAAGTCGTCCGATGATAGGAAGACAATTCTGGCTTGGTAAGACCAGAATTAGTCCTGAGTCTTACAACGGCACCATTGTGGTAGACCGAAGGCAAGACTGGAGCCAAGAGCAGTGATAGGTTGGCGCAAGGCACAAACAAATCAAATTTCATGTCTTCAGTCATGAAATTTAGCTGCTCTGGGCTAACAACCTGGACCTGTAACAAAAATTGAGAGAAAATTCATAAATGAAATGAACCATGCAGTTTATTAATACATTAATAGAACAAATTTTCATCTAAAAATAAATTTTTTGAGCTTTTGGTCTTCTTAAAAAATGAAGTTTACTTCAAAACTTCGGAAATGTAAAAATTGAAGAAATGATAAATGCTTACTTTAATTTTGTCCAGGTTGAATCCACGTAAGTGGATCTGGCAGACGGCCAGCCTGGGTCTGATTTCAATGCAGACCGAGTGCAGAGGCCAGGGAGTCGACCTCTGACAGGGTGTAGCCAAGTGTGGCTCCAGCATAGTAGTCCGAAGACGCTTTGAGGTTGGTGATGACATCCGTCAGCAAGTGGGCTCGACCAACCTGGGTGCCAGGGGCATCAAAGCCAATGGCCTTGATGTGGACGTGCAGGTGCTCGAAGGTAGGTCTGTAGTGGAAGTAAGCAATCTGGCAGTTGCGAGGCAGCCCGTACTTCTCGGAAATGGTTTCCTGAAAATGAAATGTTTTAAAAATCAAAATAATAGAATTGCAAAATATTTCCATACAGATGCCTTGCTGAGGATGTTCTCCAGCAGAGGAATGTGTTTTCCACGAAGATCCCTCAGGGACCTGATGCCAGTGTCCCTGACAATGACAAGCAGATAGAGGGTCTGCAAAGTTGTGCCATCCCACTTCAGATCAGGGAGAAGGATGAAGCCCTTCTCGGGGTCACTGTCCTCAAAGACAATCCTTTCAGCTTCAGCAGTGTGGTCTAAGATGTTAGAAACCCACTAAAATTTTAAATGGCATAAAAATATTAAAAATCATTGAATGATGAACCTGCAAGCTGAAGCCTCTCTCCTGCAGGTGAGGAAGCACAATGTCTCGGTAGATTTCCGGAGTTTCCTCAACAAAGAAGCTCTTGTGAACTTCGTACTTGGCAATGTGCTTCTCAGTGGCAGGGTGAATGATGGTAGTTTGGACTCCTGGAAATCAAAATAAAAAAAAACCAATGTTATAGCATGGTTAACACTCAAAAGTATTAAGTTTATAAGTTAGCACCTGTGAAACATATGTCATCAGGGTAGGAGACGTACTGCCCGTAAATGTCGTTTACAAATGTCTTCTCAACAAGGACGTCGGACCGGTGCCGGAAGTAACTGGCAATTTCATCCCTTGGGAAGGGCTTCTTCTGCAGAATGACCACGGCAGGTTTTTCTTGCCCTTCAAAGGTGCCCTCAAGGAAGATTGACTTGGAACGCACGTCCTCGTTTAGCACCCTTGTGACTGAAAAGCCACCAATGTGGGTAAGATCATCATGCAAGGTGCGGACCTCGGCGGATCCTTCTTGTCCTTCAGCAGCCATGGAAAATATCAGGAGGAATGGATCGGTCAATCGAAGCCTGATAAAGACAGATCAAAATTTACGGATGCAGTTGTTTATAAGCGGAAAAGTTGAGAGAGACGCACTGGCAAACCAAAAAGACCGCGAGTTATGCAACAATACAAAAACAAAAGCTGTGATTGGCTACACGATGCTGCTTGTGAAAAATTAGATTAGGGGCTGCCAACGCCAACATATTTTTGGTTTGATCATTATTATTAAACTTAATTTTTCGTTTTACTTTCATAGGAATTTTGAGCTAAAGCTAAATTTTAAATTTAATATCATCAATATTTATGGCGATTTAAATCATTAAAGTCACTGTGTCACCCATAAAATATTTGAATTGCTCATTGCGCTATGTTGGTATCAATGATGAAGTTTAATTTTATTTTATAAACATTTGGACGCACGTGTGTTTATTTCAATCCTCAATTCAGCGGTGTTTCTATAATTCTTCAGCGATTCTGACGCGCACTGCAAGAATTCGGCCTTATTGACTTTGGCAGAATGGCCGACGTGGCCGAGGTTTTGTTCTCGAGCGATGCCACCGGCGGAATCACAGCGTGGGACCCACGAGCAGGCACCGCGTTGCAGTCTTACAAAGGTGCCGTGGTCGCTGCCAGGACGTTGTGTCTGCTGGGCCAAGACTACGTGCTAGGGGCTGAGGCAGGAAAATCCCTCCTGAGGGCATGGCCTCTTAACAGAAACGATCAGGCAAAAAAAAAATTAAAATTAGATCTAAATCATTTTTACTAATTTTATATTTCCTCCAACAGGGTCAGTTAAAAATGGTAAGCCCTGGAGGACCTGTGAGTGCCCTCGCCTGCAGTCCCTGTGGCAACTTCATAGCCGGAGGAGTGCATTCTGATGTGGTCATTTGGCAAACCGGCACTGGTCTGCAAGTGGCCAGTCTGCGAGGACACTTCCAGAAAGTGTCATGCCTGGCCTTTACTGATGATTCGTCGCTTTTGGCCTCCTCGGCTGAGGATGGTCACGTCAGAGTTCATCGACTTGCTGCTGCAGTTAGCGGGAAAACGTCAGAGCTGTGGACGTTTCAGGTAATTTTTTCTGTCTTGCTTTTTATTTATTTATTTATTTTTTTTTTTTTTTGATAATTATTTATTTAAAATGAGAAACAAAAGAAATACTCCCTTTCGTGAAAAAAACTCTAGCACAAGTATTTTAAATAATTTGGCCTTTAAAAAATCATTCATTAATATGCTTACTGTCTCCTAAGCTCACAAAAAATTTAATCGTTTAATATTGATAAACTCTGGAGCTTATATTTTATCCTGTATCATAAATATGTAAGTAAAAAAGTCATCCAATATGCAATACTATTTAGGGATTGAATAAAATCTGATAAATATTTAATATAAACAATCGTAATAAAAATCAAAAATTTTCCAAAGAAAGAATATAAAATTATTTTACAATTTTAGAAGAGTTTCATGCTGAAGATTTGTTCTAGGTGAATTTAATACATAAAAGGTTGACTTTTCCTTAGTGATTTTTTGTTTAAATTTAAAGGGAAATAATCAGGATCAATCAGGAAATTCATTTTAAATTTAAATGAAATAATAAAAAGCACGATAAATTCATCCAATCTATCAAGGAAAAAGGAAAAGCTGGCTTAAATCCGATTATAATTTACTATTATTTTAAAGCATAAAATTATAACTTCACATGTCAATTGTATTAAATTGTTTAAAAAAATAATTTTAATTTAAAAGGATCACGGAGGGGCCATTCGTGACATGGTCATCGGTCGAGGTGGACTGAACAGCCTTTTGGCCTCCGTGGCCGCTGACCGCACCTGCCGCGTATACAGTTTGGCCTCTGGCCGCCTCCTATTGAGTTTAACCGCAGACTGCAGCGTCACGGCGGCCGCCATCTCCATCGACTGCATTTATCTTGGCCTCTCCTCTGGTCAAATCCGTGGCCACCGACTGGCCGCCGGCCTCTCCACACCCCGTCTAACTCTCAACGGACATGAGTCTGCTGTTATATGTTTGACCATTTCATTTGATGGCCGCTTATTGGCCTCCGGAGGCCAAGATGGCCACCTGTACATTTGGGATGCACCCAGCGGCCAAATGCTGCGAAACTTGGCCCACCGAGGTCCTGTTGTGGCCGCTGTGCTTACCCTGGCACCCAGGAACTTGTTGGCCGCTGACATGCGGCCAACAGTAGTGCTCCAGCCTTTCAGGCGGCCTCTGGCCGATGACGAAGAGGTTGTTGTAAAAGTGCTTGTGACAGAAAAAGAGGATGAGCCTGAAGTGGAGCTCGAACCACTCGAAGCTAACGGGCGAGGGGTGCCCGAGGGAAGCGCTGCCAAAATCAACAAGCAGTTGGTAGAGTTTTGCGTAAAAAACATTTTACAACCAAAAAACTAGATTTAAAAGTAAATAAAGATATAATAATAATTTTCATCGAGAAACTATAAATATTTTTGTTCATTTACCGGTCACAGAGAGGGTTATTGTAGAAAATCTAGCTTTAAATCATGTTTATTAATGTATCACCCAGCATTTTCTTTATTTATACAAATTGATAAAAAATTTCCGTCATGTTAATAATAATTAAATGAATGAGTCATGATTTATGGTACATCAAATAACCAGATTTTTTTGCTGTCAAATCAATCTTCAATTATACAAATTGTGGGAAGTCATTATTTTTTTGCTACCATTTTCTCCTTTTCTGCAAACACAATTCTTCATATTTTGATTGTGACTTTTCTTTTTTTATGCAATTAATTTTTTGCTTCCAAAGTTTTGCTCAAAGCACCGATTAGCGCCATCTTATGCTTTGGAACCACGCCTGCCCTCCGATGGCGTCACTCGCAGATAAAAGCGCTCGCAAAACCCGCAGACTATTGGGAAACCAAGAGCAAATATTGCCAATCGTTCGATGGTGCGTAGAGAAACGCAGAATAGCCGCCCACTTTCCTTTCAAAAAGGTTTTATTGCATCCAAAAATTGATCATTAGGGAGAGCAAAAACTAATTTTCTTTGCTATGTAATTTACAGTCAAAATCAATGAGCATTAATTTTCTTCAAACTTTTTTTTTATTTTATCTTTTTTTAATCAAGAAATATTATTTTTGCCGATCAACAATACTGGTAGGATCAGGATGGCTGAATAGAAAATGTTTCCCTATGTTTCCATTGATCTTTAAACCCCGCCATTAAATTTTAATGATAAAAACAAGGAAAAAATTTAGAAAATATCCATTAATTGTGAATGTTTGCAATGTTTTTTTTTCATAATCTTGTTCAGTTGCGCTGTTTTATATTATTTTCAGTTGATCAAGTTCGTTCTTTTTAAGGTGCCCTGCACATTTGATTTACATAAATAACAAGAACGCCCGTTGCATGGCGCAGCCTATGCATATATTTATGAACATTTTTATGAGAAGCGCGCGAGCGTGTGAGAGAAGAGGGCTCCGACTTTTGTCTGGGAGGGTACCGCCGATGAAAAGGAGGCTCTGTTCTTCACGCGATGCATTTTATATATTTTACATTTTATCTGGCATCGCGCAGGCATTAAAATTAAGACCTGAGACTGTGTGTTTGCTCTCGGAATCTCGGCTAATTCCCATCCAGATAAGCCTGTTTCGACGCGGCCCTCGCACAACCCACAGGACGCGTAAAGCACCGCCGTCGCAATTGCCGCTGCGACTTAGCTCAAAAAACGTAGGAACCGACCAAGTTTTCAAAACAATTAACACCAAAAAGATGATATATCCAAGCTGAAATTTGTACTTTATTGCATAGATTTATTGAAATCGGATAAAATGGTAATCGCAATAAAGGTTCTTGCAGTTTTTGTTGTGGAACCTTTTGGCACTCAAAGTGTTCATTTTTTGATGAAACAAATAAGTAAATTTCAACACGAATTAGGGTTGCAACGCGCAATAGAAGAACAGGCATACAATATACAGTTGCTCATTTTCACCGAGAAAGCCGGATTTTATTTTATCAATTTTTTATTTTATTGTAAAATGATTCAATTCTTGATATTTCAAATTCTCCAAAGATGAAAAAGTGGACTTAGAGAATGATGATTGCACCTTTCCTGAGCCTCCACGCGGAGCAATTAAAAAAATTATGCAAATTTTCTAGAGTGTGGGTTAGCAATATGTGCGAGAATGTGCAAAAAGTTTGTAATTATGCACGGTAATTATCCTTCCAAGATATATAATTGTGCTCAAAGTAAGTGCTGCAAAGATATGGAAGAAGAGACGCAGGGCGATTTTTACCGAAGCATCCGTCGACGCTGAAAACGAAAAATAGCAAAACGAGACCGAAAAATGTGTGGACGGAAATTTCAGAAGTCCCGGAGCTGCGAATGAAGATAATGGTCGGCGCAATTACCGCGCGTGTATTTACGAAAAATTAAAAGCTGTCGTCGCTATGCTGCTGAATGTATAATAATGCTAATAGCGCAGACATGGCAAACCAGGCGATGCTCGAAACGAACGTATACGAGAGGCGTAATTAAAATTTCCACACGGCCCCCGGGCCTCGAGGGGCATGAATTCGAACGCACGCAACCATTGACACGAATTCCGGACACGACTCATTCTCTTATTTCTCGCCAGCCAATCGCCTCTCCAACCGCCGCTCTCTTGGAAAAAAATAAAAAAACTTTTCGTTCAACTCAACACACGCCTTCGATGAACTGCGAGTATAGTTGTATGGCCTGCATTGAAAATGTATTAATAATGCTTGGAAAAATGTGTAAAATACGTGTGTATACTCTGGATAATTAAAAGTGTTCAAGCGAACATATTTGCGTAAAATTGCATTACTGCGTGAGTTTCCTCCTGCGGCCATGCCAGATTGAGCCGAATTTAAAAGTACTACTTATGGATAGAGTGCTGCGTAATTTGCAAATTTCGTGAAGGTGGAGTCAAACAATTATATTTATTACTGACTTTTTTTGCTTTGTTATTCTAATTGAAAAATTAGTAAAGGTTCACGTTTAGTGATGGAAATTCTAAGAATGTTTTGGAAATTCAGGGGAACCTCAAACCCCAACCAAGTTTTTTTTTTCATTTCATTTGGATCAAGCAGCAGATTTTTTTTATATTTAAATTTATTTGATATATCAAAAAATAAATAAATAACCAAATCAAATAAAAATCCAGTTTCCACCTAAAATTTAATGAAACAAATTAGTATAAAATGATGGAAAACTTAATTGAAATTTTATTGCCAAAATTTAATGAATTCACAAACATGAACATCATCTCTTTTAATTAATTTGCAATACATTCAAAATTAAATCGATGGTTTTCCTCGCAAAGGCAGGTGGGCCATCAGCGGCAATATAAATGAAAACCAGAGGAGCGAAAACGCGTGTGTTGTATAGATTAGAAACTAATAGTGTAGGGAAGTCTTCGCTCGCAGTAATTTAGCACCCATTAGTGCGCGGCTGGCAAAAATGCAGCAATAAAAAGTAAATTTTGTCAGCTCTTCTCCATGAGTACGTACTCGCGGATATAACAAAAGAATTTTTCTCCGATTTTACGAGCTGTCCGACAGGCAATTAAAATTTCGACGCCACGCTTGATTAAAAGTGAGGCGTGAATCCTCCGAGAATTTCACCTCAAATTTGCGGCGCTTCCTGGCCTCGGCCGCGCGCGAGTGGCCTCTCCGCTCCAACGGCGGCCCTCATTTCGGCCATCCGGCCGCCGCTTCTCTTGCGGTTTCGGCCAAGGAGACACACGCTCCTGAGAAATCGACATTGCGACCACACACACCGAGTTTTCTTGCAATGCAAGTCAGAACTAAATCTTAATCGACTTTTTTTCTAAATATCTTGATTTCATGCATTGATTTTACTTTTCTTTTTTAATTTTTAGGCAAAGGTCTAATTTTTTTTTTAATAGATTTTTGTTTGTTAAAGATCATTAAAAATCTTGATACTTAAATCAGTTTTTAAGTTCTTTTGCATTGCCAATTTTTTTACTGAATTTATTTATTTTAAATTAATCAAACTGATTCAAACAAAAAAAGTATACAAAATCAATAAACTAAAATGATAACAATTATAAATTTTATTAATAAAAGCTATTAAATAATAATGTTTTTATGGTTGCGTTTTTCCACTTTTCTGAATTATACACATAATGATTATTTTAATTATTATAAAAATTACAAAGAGCACTTTAATCTTGTAATCTAAAAATGTAGAGCTTTTTCTTGGAAAAGACGCTCTCTTATTTATATTTGCTGCGCTTCAGCCTGCTGTGCATATTTAACCAGTAGTTTTATAATTATTCAAATAGTGGAGACTGAACCTAAGCTTCCTTTTATCAGGAAAAACTTGGCTTAGCCTAACCTAAAAAGTCTTGAATCCATAAATTACATCACAATAAAAATATTTCCCTCCCAACTTTTATCTTTTCACAAGGCCAACGCCAGACTGCTGCTTTTTTAAATAAAAACGCAAGACCATCAAACAAAAGAGATAAACCGAGATGCCTAGAAAGGTTCGGGAATTCATTTTTATAAAACTACTTTTTTGAATAAAATTTTATAATGTTTGCAAATTGGTTTTGGGATAAAATAGGGATTTATAAAGTAAATAAGAGACGTACAGCACATCATGAATAAACGCGTAATTGGTCTGACAAATTGCATTGCCGCACAATCAAATCTGACTAGGGGCTCAAAGCTATGCAAAGAGCTGGTAGAACGTAATAGGTCTCTGGAGGGTGCGCGGTGCGCTCATAACTCACCCCTAAAAGACTGGCGCGCATGCAGTGCTTGAAAAGTTTTGCTCTCTGTTTTAGCATCTCGACGCGTCGCCCTCTCCTCTCGTCGACTCATTGTCGCGACGAATGCCTTCAGAGATTAATAAATTATTACACCCTCCACGTTATGAAAATTCATCATTTTCATGCACGCCGCGAGATTATTTTTCCCACAACTTTTCCTGTCGATTCCAACAAGGAAATGGAAAAACTGAGAGAGCGAAAAGCTTCAGCGCAGTTTTTATGATTTACGACTTTTTGAGCTGAAAGAGGAAACTTTTATTGATGCAGTTTGACGTGGATTCACGGAAATTTTAATTAAATCGAATAAAACACTGCTGCTGTCAACAAGTTTCCACGTGCCGAAATTCTAGATTTTTGAATCAGATTTTTCGTTTACCAACAAAAGTTACTGTGCCGATTAACAGCGCACAATTCAAACAGTCAAGCCATCACTTTTTGATGCACGTTTATGGCGCTATAAAATACGCATTTTAAGTGTGCGCGGATAAACTCGGCGGTATATTATAGGAACTCTTGACAACGAGCGCTTAAAAAGGTGCGAAGGAAATAAAAATATAATAAAAATTCGTCTCTTCACGACCACGTGTGCGCCGAAAAATGCAAATCGCGCGTTTATGACGTTCAATCTCGTTAGTTCAAAATATTATTAAGCTGTTTTGTCGTGATTATAAGACGGCTGCCTTTTTAATTGAGTTAGGATTTTAATTAACAAGACAGTGGGTTTTTAAATCAATATAAATTAATTTTTTTTAAAAAAAAAAGTTTCTATGATTTTTCAAGAAAAAAAAATTTAAAAAAAAATTTAAAAAACCATGAAATAGAGGCTTTGAAACTTTAACGAGAGAAATACAACTTTTTCTTTACAAGAAAACTTAATTTGGTTGTAATATTTTTTGTGGAATAATGAAATGATTGAAATGTATAGCGGAATATCAAATAAGTAAAAATTTAACTTAACTGATGCACCTGCATGATTTTCAAATACAAGTTTGAACCCCAAAAATTTCAAATGTCGGATAAATATTTTAGAATTTTATTTAAATTTCATGTTAATAATAATAACATGTTATTAATTCAGGGGAAAAATAATTACTCTTTTAAAAAGTAGAAAACGATAAAAAATCAATATTTTTGTTATGTGAAGAAAAAAGTTCAATATAATTGTTGCTTTAGAAAAATTAATCTTAATTAAAATATCACATGCAGCATTTCCGTGTTGCCCATTCTATCAATTAACCTAATTGAACGGCGAAGGAATCAATTTCGATCTTTTTCCATCCAACTCTGGTCTGACGGCGGCCGAGCTCCGCCCCCACGGCCTCCGATTGGTACGTGCGCTCAGAAGCCCGCCTCCGCAGGCGCCCGCCCCACTGGCCGCCTTGGCCCTCGGCCGGTCAGTGTTGGCGAGGCGATGGCCTGAGCAGCATGTCCTACTACAACCTTGCCATGTTCTCCAACTCGCACCACCCCCGCGGGGCCCAGGCGCACCCCAGTGCGGCGGCCGCGGCCGCCTACTTCGGCTACGGCGGCTACCCGCAGCACCAGCACTTTGGCCCGCAACCGCACTACCACTATTCGGCTGCGGCCGTGGCCGCTGCGGCTGCTGCCCAGGCCGCCTCGTCGCCAGGACCGGCCGAACTCTCCGCCTGCGGGGGTCTCTTAGCCCCGTCGCCTGACAACCCAGTGCCCAGTCCTTCCGGTGAGTTTTATTGGCAAAAAGTGTTCAGCAGTGAAGGAAACAGTGATTCGATTTTTTAGTGCGTAAATGCAGAAGCTATAATTCAATTGAAAAAAATTATGTGAAAAAAAATTTAAAAAAAATTTATTGCTCTTTTAAATTTCACAAGAAACTCTCAAAAGAAGTTTTAAAAAGAATATAACACTGAAAGTAAAAAATTGGTTTGAAATTGTACATTTCAGTTTTTTTTCGCGCTGATCTGAGAACACGGAAATAATTTTTTCTTCATTTTTTGCAGTTTTTTTTTTTTTTTTGGTAAAAAAAAGATTGAAAGTAACGGAGAGTAAATTTTATAAATTATTTCTTTGATTTATATTCAATATTTTTTTATTGCACAGTGTGTGGTATTGGTTATAGTTACAAAGAATTTATTTATAAATCAATAAATTTTGATCTTTGTACGTTCAGCTCCATAAGAATTGCTTTTTCAGCACTAATTTACGAATTTTATTGCGTCCCTTCCAAGAGAAATTTAATGTTTTGTTCCTTGCATATTTTGAACATTCGCAACGTATTTTTTTTTCACAATATGCTATGATATAAATTTTGTATTAATTTAATTCAATGCAAATTTTCTTTTAATATGATTCTATCAATTTCCTGTATTCGATTTTCCAACCCCTCATGCAGGCTAAACAGCAAGCGATTGTAAAATAAAATTCACATAATGAATCTGCCATTTCGATCATTATATTAGTTTATTTTGAAAAGTTTTTTGAAAAGGGTGCAGGTGTTAAAAAACTTACAATAATTGTCGGCTCTAAAGTGACAGAGAGGACCCATATTTATTCACTCAACCCTGCCATATAGTCATTCCGCCCGCCGTAATAAAATTCAAATTGGCCCGCAATAAATATTATTATTAAAGGAACTGTGGAGCAGGTCAGCTTATGACACAGTATTGGTTCAAAGAGGATAAATGTTTTTTTTATTTAAATTAACATTCGACTCATAATTAATTTTGTTCAAAAATATTTTTTACGGATTATAAAGTTGAAAAATGTTTTGCATTACTTTTCTTATAAATACATAATCAAGTTCAAAATATTTTTATTTATCATCTCTAATAAAAAAGAATTTTATTTTTTTATAAAAAAAAAATTATATGAATATAACACAATCAACTGTTACCTTTAAATATGAACTGCAAGAAATTATGTGTTCAAAATTAAGTGTTAAAGTGATTTCCCAATTTGAGAAAAGAAAATCATAATAATTATTTTTAATATGTTTTATGCACGGAATTTGTTAATTTTTTAAATCATCTTGACATTTACGCTAAATAAGGTGTTTTTTTGGAACTTATTTTTTTGCAGGTTACAGCCAGCAGCAGTCGTTTGAACTGGCCGCCTCGGCCGCTCCCCTGGCCGCTTCTTCGTCGCCCTCTTGGCATGGCGCCTCACCAATTTACGCCAGCTCGTGCGCCCGGCACTACGACGATTGGCCACCAAACGCGGCGAACGCAGTGGCCATCGCCGGACCAGCTCACTCGCCAAACAGCCCTGGAGGTCAGAAAAAATTTCTTTAAAAGTTTTAATTTAATTTGATTAAAATATACATTGGAAAGAGCGATTTTATTGCTCATGAATGACAATTACGGCGCCACCAAATCGACCATTTTGACACTTAATTGGCAGAAAGTGTTGATTTTAAGTGACCCACAATAAATTATATGTGTGCGTGTCCTGCCTGCGCTGACGTTCAGCAATGCATTTTCTCTTTCCTGGAAAACGGTTCTTATCATTCCGACTGACTTGCATTAAAATAATTCAGACGGCCGCATTATGTGTCCTGAATGGAGTGTTTTTCACGTTTGTGATTTTCTTTAAAGCCGAGTTTTTCTTTCAAAATACAAACATGAACGCATGCAAGGAACCGTGTTTATAGGAGTCAAAGAGATAATCAGTATAGATCTCATAATTAAACTGCAATTAATTTTTTACGACGCTGAAACTTCAGAAACAGTTATTTTCACAGAAAAACATTTTAGTTGCTAATTTTGTGTTTTCAGCGGCGGTGTATCTTCTGAAATAATCTTGTTTCAGAATAAACGTTGAGATAATTTACTACTAGAGTTCATTATTATTTTCTAACACACATTTTAATTATACAGTACTTCTAAACAGAAAGAATATAATTGAAAAAATTCTATACTTTTCAAAGACAGCTATACAATTAATTTTAACCATTAGAGAAAAAATATAGTTTAACAATTCAGGTATGCAGATTTAAGTTAATATTAATGTTTTATTTCTGATGAGAACATGAAACGAAAAACTTAACAAATACGCGCCATAAAGATATAATGATATTACTTCTAACAATATATCTATAATTGCTTTTCTTCATTTTTATTTTCAGTGTAATTCTTTTTGTGAAAATTGATCCAGACAGCGCCAAAGTTAATCGTAATTGAGTAACTTCCAACAAAGGAGAAATGAAAAATCATTATGCTGATTTTATTTTTGTGTGATTCTTGCATTTTTTATTTTTTATTTATGAAAGATGCCGTCTGGACGAATTCTGACAGATTGTGACAGATAAACAATAAATAAACAACATAAAACAAAAACATGACTAATTCACAACAAATGAAAAAATTATATATTTTCATGTTGGGCGGGTTGCATAATTATATATTTCGGTAATGTTATAGTACGCGCGACGTGTTTTTTCATAGGTTGGCAACACTTATGCTCCCATGTAAAAGTATCACGTCGCGCGCTCTATACTGGTTTTACGTCGCGCATACAATAATGGTTTTACGTCGCGCGTTCAATACTGGTGGCGGTGAAATTGTTAAGGAAACCGATTATTCCATCGATACCTCGGCAACGTGTATAGCACGCGCGACGCAATTCTTTTCCTACAATCTTAATTAAGGGGACTGCTAGGAAGAATAGGGGCCCTTGGGATGGGTTCAGAATGGGGCAAGACGACCTCTGGAGGGTCGTGCGCACCCTTATAGCAGGCGTCAGAGGCGCGACGCATGGTTATAGGACGCGCGACGTATGCTTATAGTACGCGCGACGCATGAGGGCCTCCAGCCCGAAGCTCGCAAACCCACAACGGAGTTGCCCACAAAAGGTGTTGTCTGCAAAGGGAGTTGTGGGCACCACACTTTTTGCTTTCTAAGCCCTTTTTGCAGACAATTCCTTTTGAAAGCAACTCCGTTGTGGGTTTGCGAGCTTCGGGCTGGAGGCGCGCTCGCCCGAGAACGTGGTGAAGGCCGGCTCCGGGCGGGACAAAAGGGCGGGGTTCGTGAAGGGGCTCCTGCGGAGCCCCCTCATGAACACAGCCACCCTTTTGTCCTCGCCCTCCGCACGGCCTTCCCCACGTCCTCGACCTCGCTGCGCCTCCACCCCTCGCTCGCGGCTTATCAAAAAATAATCTTCGAGGTTGCCCAACTCCGAGTTGCCGGTTCGTGGGGCGCCCACAACTCCGGCCGCGTGCAACACCTTTTAATTAATTTGCCGTGCGTCGCGTCGCGCGTACTATAATCGTGCGTCGCGCGTACTATAATCCTGCGTCGCGCGTACTATAAGCATGCGTCGCGCCTCTGACGATGGTGAAAAGCGCCCTCCGGAGTTCGCTTTTCGACCGTCGCGCGTCCCAAAGTGATACGTCGCGCGTGCTATAAGGGTGCGCACGGCCCTCCAGAGGTCGTCTTGCCCCATTCTGAACCCATCCCAAGGGCCCCTATTCTTCCTAGCAGTCCCCTTAATTAAGATTGTAGGAAAAGAATTGCGTCGCGCGTGCTATTATGTTGCCGAGGTATCGATGGAATAATCGGTTTCCGTAACAATTTTACCGCCACCAGTATTGAGCGCGCGACGTAAAACCATTATTGTATGCGCGACGTAAAACCACTATTAAACGCGCGACGTATTGCAAGTGATGCCAACTGAAATCAGGGATTTTGGGAAACACGTCGCGCGTACTATAACATTACCTATATTTCATGCTAAAAATTCAGAATAAATATTTTAACGTAAATGAGAAAAGCAAAATTGAGAAACAAAAATTTATATAATCATAACGCAAATTAAAACTTTTAAAAACAAAGCAAAATTTGAATTTCTGTCAAATTGTTTGTTTCAGGCGCGTACAAATTCAGCTCGAGCCTGGAGTTCCAGCAGTGTCCGCCGCCTCCGCCACCCCCGCAGCCGCAGGACTTGAGCCAGCTGGGGGCGGCGCCGGGGGCCGGGGGCCAACACCCGTCGCCGGCCGACTCGGGGCTGGCGGGCTCGTCGGACGGCGTGTCGAGCTCTGCCGGCTCGCCGCAGCTGCACGCCGCGAATCTGCGGCCGGCCAGCGAGCGCAGCCCTTACGAGTGGATGAAGAAACCCTCCTACCACAACCAGCCCACCCCTGGTGAGTACTCTACCCAAACACCCCAGCGGACCCATTCATTGTTTGCGCTTCTCTTTGGGGACCCATTTTCCCGCTTAAAAAATTATCCGGGTGTGCCGCGAATTTCTACAACTTGTTCTCAAATAACGTAGCACACAAAATAATGCGAATAAGGGCTTTTCTTTTTTCTTTTGAAAAGATTTTTCTAAAAAGGAATGACACGAATTATCAATATTATAAGGACTTTTGACTATATCATATTTTTAATATATAATGTATTTTAAATTAAAATGCATGTGTTTTGATTTGGAAATTTGGACAGCTAAATTAAATTTCGGTATCTATAGAAAAATATTAAAAACAAACCTATGAATTTGTATATTATGATTTAATTTTTCTTATACCATTAAAATTATAATTTAAATTACATTTTTTTATTTTGTTTTGGTCAGCAATTTGATGAATGAGCTGCTGTTACACGTGCAGCGTAAAATGTATCGTGGAATACTTTGGGGTAATTGATAGGGTAGTATAAAAACATGTTACCTCGAGATCCGCGCGCGAAAATTTAATTGATGCAACATTATGACCACAATAAACGTAAATGCTCGCACACACAAGTGGCGAGAAGTGCTGCCGTGTATAATAATACAGCACAGACTTTATTCACCATAGACGGCAAAATAGTAAATAATAAAAAAATTTATTGGCTCATAAAAGTCCCCGTCACAACATTCATAAAACGTCCCACTGCCTGAAAGTGAATCTTTTCCGAAAACGAGCGCGCACTTTTCAAATCAAGTTATTTCTGAATTTAAAAAAAACTTTATAACTCATTTTCTGCTGAATGCGGAAGTTAATCAATTTATAAATTTTGGGTCAGATTGTACGAGAGCAAATTTTATTTCCAAAAACAAAATTTTAGATTTCAAAGCTCATAAAAGTTTTGTGCAAAACTGAATAATTTAAATTTATTTTAATTTAAATTTTTAATTTTAGACTTGTTTTAAATTTTGTATTCATGAATATATAATAAATAATTGAACCGAAATAGAGGTTTTTAAATTTTTGTATACTTGTTAAAATGTGATTAGAGACAAATTACAATTTAAAATTTTTTCCCTAGCTTATTTCTCCATTTTTACTCCCTTTTCCACCATAAATAAATAATTTCAATTTGATAAATATACGAAAATTATTAAAAAGATAATATTAAATTATTCTTTTAATATTAAAATAAACTAACCAGCACTTTTTAAATATTTTTACGACTGCGGTCTTGAAGGGTCAAAAGTTATAGTTCTTCCTCGGATTAAAAAAGCTGCATTATTACAACCTTATGCTTGAGCTAGGCAAATTTGATGTGGGCATTTTGAGGTGCAAAGAGACGAAAATTAAAAAAGCAAACAGCTGCTCGCCTTGTGTATAATTACTTTGGCAAGAGGGGCCATAAACTGCCGAGAATGGATGGATGATGGCTTCTCAAATATTGAGTCTTCGCGGTAAATGTGTACATCTGTTAGTCAGTGTGCCTATTAGTTGTTTGTTTTATTTGATCAATAAACACGCAGCATTCTGGCGAACAGAGTTGCTAATTAATTCCACGCGCTGCAAATCTCTCAATGGGGTGGGGGGGGGGGGGGAATCAAAAGAAATATAATAAATTGATATCGGTTTGTAGAGTTGAATTTACATCTCATTGACAGACTCATTGATCTGGACTGATTTTTATTGGTGTTTTGTAAATTTGGAGATTGATTGGCCAGCTATTATTTGGTCTATTGATTTTCAACGATTTGTTTCAGACAAGATGATTTATGACTTGATTATATTTACAATCTTGGTCTGATATGCGTGACAAATTATGAGACCATACTTTTAATTTATAGACTATTCGTTCAACTTTCTTAATAGCTAAAATTATACTTCTTTATAATAATAATATTTAATTTAAAACTTAATTAAATAAGATAATGTTAAGGGAAAAAATTATAAAGCGTTGCCATTGATCTTTAACTTTATTATAAATGACCATAATTATCTGTAAAAGTAATGTTAAATCATACTTTCCTCAATTAGATCATTCTGAGAAGAGGCTTTACTCGATTATAAAAAAAAGAATAAGAAAATAAATTCTTACATAAGGATCGCTTTACAACTTTTGTCCAGGTGTGGCGGCTACGGGGAAAAATTATATATTAAGGACGTGCGCATTGTTGTTCGATCGAGAGGCCGTAAATTAAAATTTTGTTGATGGATGTTATATTTTACGATTGGAGAGATGGAAAAAATCTATAATGCCCTCGTGCGGACGCCGGTCGGCTGAGCGTTATTTTGCATGGGGCCATAAAATGCATGTTGGGTGTTGTTGTCGGCCGGGTTTATGGGAAAGGAGCGGCCGAGAGCGAACACTTAATTCCTCACAAAATGAAAATGTGTTGGAGATGCGTGGGTTATTGAGATATCAACCGGCTGGTAATTAAAAAAGCCCCGGGATGAGAGCATCGTTTCGACCAGAGATATACATTTAGTTAGGAATGTTGTTTCGTCAAGCATATACATAAGGAACCCTGTCTGCGTCTAAAATTTTCTCGGTTCAAGTTTAACCGGCCAGGCATACATATTGAGGTGTTCTTTTGTTTCCGAGGCCGCCACAAAACGAAACCGCATGCAGTACCAACTATATATGGCGCTCTGTGGCCTCAAAAAGGAAAAAGTTTGTAAAAATACTCGCACAATCAGTCGGGACTAGTTCCATGTTTGATTCCACATCATGCATCATCGCCGCCATTGGTCTCTTTTCTATCAAAAAGTCTATTAATTTTGAAGAAAATTACAGAGCGCTTGAGAATTTCTTTGAAAATAATTAATGTTCATTGCTAAATATTATTTTGGTCAAAATTTAACTTGAGGCTCTTAAGGCTCTTTTTGTAACTGTTTCAAAGTCGACATGATCTACGCCCAAATTAAAGAAAGTTATCAAATATAAATTGCAGTAAAATTATATAAATCTTGAGTTGAAGAAGTTTTGGCACTCGAGAAGACGTTCATGGAAGTGAAGTAAATTCAGGGCTTTTTCTTGTTGAAAAATATTGTATTTATTGAAAAAGGAACTCTCATCGTCTAATCGTTTAATAATTGCCAGATACTGGTAGAGAGTTTTTTGTTTTTTAATGGAATCATAATTGCAAGAGTCAATCCTCCATGCTTTTTTTTATTAAAACGTGACTGCAGAGGGAATTAATAAACATTTAATTTCATTGTTTTAGTTTTCTTTTAAAAATGCTGTAAAATTTAAAATTCTAAAAAAATATAAATGAAAACAAATAAAAAAAACTTGTTTCATTATTTAGTGGAAATTTTTATAGAATTTTAAATAAAAATATAAGCAGAAATTTTTTTAATTACTATAATTTAATAAATATAAAAATTTTATAATAAAATTTTTTATATATATTAAATTATAGTTAAAAAAAATTAATAAGAACGTTAAAAAAGTTATTTCAATAATTCTATTATGTTTCTTTCTTGGATTTCTTAAAATTCAAATTTTATAAATTATTTTGTTGTTAGTTTCTCTTTCTGGATCACTTCACACTTCTCTTTTGAACACAATTTTCGTCTCCTTTGCTACTGCAAATCCGTCTTTGCACAGCAGCACACAGTTTTTTCATCTCTGTGCCGTCGAAAGTGTACAAAAAGAATAAGAAACTCGGCGGCAGCTCAATGCGCGGGGTGGAAAGAAACTCCCCGGTGGACCCTAAAATTGAGGCTCATGACCAAGTTACAAGGACGGACGCGCGCACGATTTTTTGACGTTCAGAGCCGGGGGTGGAAATGAGCGATGAAAGCGGCTCGATAAATTTTATGCCCCGAAACAAACAGCGGCGACACAAAAGTCCAAAGATTTTTTTATGTTCAAAAAGGCTGTCAGCGTTTTATGCATAAGATTCTTGCTGGCGGGGAGAGTGAAAAAGACGTTAGTTACCCCGCTCGTTAAAATTTCTCGAGGGTCTTGAGATGAATTTATGATTTCTTGTTGGATTGAGATGCTCGTCCTTGTCAAGCCAATCGTGAGCGTTTTTTAGTTTTAGAGCATAAAATAATTAAATAATCTGTTTTTTTTATTTAACTTTTTGAAATTGCAGTGGAAAAGAATTATTTTATTTTTAGAGCATAAAATAAGCTTACATTATTTTTTTTTTTTCAAAAAATTGCTAAATATAAAATCAGCCATAATGCCATGCCAGGCAATCCAAGGGCACGCGACACTTAAAAATATTTAAAAAATTTTTTGTTAAGAAAATTTTCTGTGTGGATTTATTTTTAATTTTATTTTCAAGCACAAATGTATAATTATATAGTAATTAAAAAAATGAAGTAACTTAAATCTTGCCATTAAATTTAACTGAAAAGTTAAAATTTTTAAATTACTGAAAATATGATAATTTATCTTACTGCCTCATTTCTCAACTTTTAGTTTTTTTAGGGGGACTGACTTGTTGTATTTTTGCATGCAAAAATTGTGACTTTTGACTATTTTGACGTGCGATCTTTGCACTATGAATACTAATCAGGGTGCAAGATGTGCACGCAATAACTTGCAAAATTGAGACGCAATCGTATCGAGAGGTGGCTGAGAGAATGTGTTATTTCTGTTTTAGTTGAGCTGCCGGAGGGAGATCTGCCGGGTAGGCCACCACACATTACACACTCACTCTTCTCTCTCGCATGCTTTATTGGGGCTGAATCGATGGCGAATGGCCCCCTCGGGGGCCGTCAAAGTCCTCCGCAGTCATTTGGCCGTGCCGCCGCCACCGCCGCCGCCGCTCTAGCTATGTTTGTGTATTTTTTGATGTGCAGCAGCAGCAGCGGCGAATATTTTAAAATCGCGCGCGGGTGCCAAAGAGCTGCTAATTTATGGCCACCATAAAATTGTGCTGCTCCATTGTCTCTCTAATGGTAATCGCTTTATGGCCTCCTTAATGCAGGCAAACTTTAATTAACACCACGCACCACTCGCCCGACCGAGTGAGCGAACTAGCGGTGCACCATTCGGACCGACATCTCGCGCGCTGTTTCCGCCGCGTTGCCCAGGCAACCCTGCAGCTCCAAACCCAGCTCCGTCTCGGTTCATTGTTGAGATAGAGACTATTGTTGGCGTCGATCCAAGTAAAAAAATGGAATGGAGCACAATTTTGGCACGTCGTAAAAAAATTATTGTTGAAAGAGTGCGGCGGTGACGCCGGTCATGCTTGCGGAGCTTTTTTTTTTATAAAATTAATGTTTTGTTTGTTTTTATCTGCTTGGCTTTTGGCTCTGGCATGGAATTTGTATATATTTGGAATGAGATTTCTCGGTGCATGATTTGAATTTTAAGCAGGGAAGATTTGATCCATCCTCTGCCCAAATCAAGCTTTCCAAAAACTTTTGGGGTTTGGTCTCTGCGCCCATCTGAAATTGTGTATATTTTATTCAGTTTATTAGATAATTAAATAGTCAGTAAAAAATCCGAAAATCTATTCATCAAGTGAAGAATTAATACTGGTATTAAACAAAAATGTATTCAATCTTAAATTATGGTACGCATAGAAAAGTAATTTAACATTTTTAATCAAATCAAAATAAGAAAATCTGTCAGATTTTCAACTACGTAAAAATTGCTTCCAGATTAAAAAACTTTTTTTTAACCGACTCTGGTTCTAATTAAAAATAATGGTTTTTAAAAGTAGCTGTTTCTTTCATGTTTTGCAATTTAATTAGCTAAGCATTTAAAAAAAGCGTGAATAAATTTTGACTCGATCTGCTAGCAAATTTCCAAAAGATTTTCGAATTCAATTAGCAAAACTAGAAAAATAATGACAAAACTCCTCAAGTTCGAAATACCTTTTTGAATAGTTAACTGGCGCTTAAAATTTTTGATATGGCGCTCTTGGCCAACATGCACCATGTTAAGCAAAATGCGGTGTGAGCGAATAAACATATTCACAAAAAGCTTTCCAGGTAAAGCATCGCGTGTTCCTTTTCCTCCCTGTCAGCGACCGTTGCGATGCATGATTGAAAGTAAAAAAAAAAAATAAACTTGAAAGTAAAATCGAATCGCTGACAAGCATCACGCCAACAGCATTTGGCCAGGGTTGCTCAAAACAAGCTGAAAACAAGGGCGCTACGCACATATGAGTTGCACAAAGAATACAAAGAGGGGATGAAAAATTACAAGGACAAAAGACGGAAAAAGCCCTGAGGAGCGAAATGGGTCGCGGTCAGGCAGCAGCAGGGTGTGGATTTTTTTGTTCCGCCGCTGTTTTGGGAATTGAAAATCCATAGACCCACAAGTTTTCTCATTCTGCAGAAGCTGTCATGCAGCGGTCAACATACTCCGTTTTCTTATTTTATTCCGCGCCTCCTTCCGCAGTCAGTCAAAAAAACTTTTGATTCTGCAGAATCAAAAGGATATAAGCAGTTGAGTGACACGTTTATTTTCATCATGGCACACGTGAAACAGTATAGAAACACACGGCATTTTATTAGGGGCAATACAAAGTTATCAGCGAAATAAAACGTTTTAAATATTACGACGTGGCGCATAAAGTGGCTTACAGTAGTTGTAGTACCACATTATTTTAATTTCCGAGTGATTTATACTGGGGCAATAATCGCGATTTCAGTAGCAAAACGGTTTTGCCCTTAAACGCTTTTTTTCACGAAAAAAAGGGTTACTTTATTGTTTTTATAATTCCTTAAGTGTTTTTTTTTACTCACCCCGTCCTCTCCTGAGTTTTTACCTCTGACATTAGAGGTCAAGTATGAGATTGAACTCATCCTCTCAATAAAATTCCAATCTTTGATGATCCTGGCGCTTTTTTGCATATTTTTAATTGAAAAAAGGAATTAACAAGAGTTTGAAATGTATAATAATCACGTAACTATATAACTCTCAAACAGTATTACGGTGTTTTTAAATAAATTTTAATGAAATAATTAAAAAAACATCAATACATTTTCTGGTGTAATCATATTAACTATCTTTCCCTAAACACAATCGATGGTCAAATTACGCTTTTAAATCTTTTATACATTTGAAATATTTTTTTCCTTATAATAAAAAATATATCTATAAATAAAAAAAATGGGCTCGTCTCATCACGGAGAACAAAGCCTGCATTGATGTTATTCGGGACGCCATTTGGATCGTTATTTCACTCCTCAGATCTTTCAGGGTCCGTTTCTCTGTCGGCAAATGGAATCGGGGCATCTGGCCGGCAGATAAAAAATAAAAGGGGCTGGCTGGATTTGGTATCGTGAGCGGCGCGGCCGGATAAATGAATATCTAGAGAGAGAGAAAAAGACAAAACGGCTCTTCGCTAGGTGTATATCCAATTAGGGGCCTGAGAGCGGAATAATGAGATGCTGCAGGTGTGTTGCGTGACGAGGCCTCAGCCAATCTCCATTCACCTGCATCTCCGCGGCCATCATGCATTCCTTTGTGCCGCGCTCGCGAGCGAGCGTTTGATATCAAACCCGCTTCGCTCGCTCGTTCTCTGCCTGGCTGCACAAAACGCCGCCGCCGCCGCCGTTTTCCATGTTTGCTTTCTGATCCGGCCAGCGCGCAGTACATTTAGAACACTCCATTTGTATTCCACAACTGCTCGAGCACCGGATAAACCCAGATATTATATAAAAAAAACCGTTTGATTTGACAGTTCATCAATCGCCAACAGAGAGAAAAGTATATATTAAAAAGGCAGTATATCATAAATTTTTATATTCCCTATTCTGCTTCATTTTGTAATAAACGGAAAAAATTATATAATCAATTCAAATTTCAATACATTTATAAATATCAATTAATTGCGAATTTAAATTTATTATTCTATAAATCAAAAGTATAAGCGCTGATATAAGATTAAATAAAAAATGCCGTTCTTCCGTTCTTGGAATTTGGTTTTTGAAAATTTTTCATGATTCGTATGCAATATTCAATGCTATAGCAATAAATTAAGAAATTATATAAGACGTATGTACTCTTTTTTGTTTTAATAAGCAATGAATTATTTTACTTTTTTTGGAGAATTTTTAAAGAGACACTTTAGAGTTTATAAACAAATTAACCAATTAATTATTCTTGTATTCATGCAAGAATATAACAACACGTGCAGTTATGCTTAAGTGCAACTAGACGTTCATATATAAAACAAAAGCAATTACACTACTTATTGTGCCACCTGCCCTGGAAAAAGTGCGACTTTTAGCACTCTCGCAAGGCCGATAGCCGTATCGCATGTTTTTTTCCCACGTTTGACTTGTGGACAGACAGAGCATTTTTACGGGTAACTGGCCAGATGATTTTTTCACCAGATTGCGCCCTCAAAAACACGTGTAGCTCTGTCAGTTATAGCAAGAGATATGGGTTGGTTGGCCAACCCTTTCCTTTTCGCTGGGCGACGCGCGGACAGGAAATTGAGAAAACAAACAAACTCCTCTCGCATAGAGCCCAAGACTTTCCCACACTTTAAGCATCTCGTTTTCCCCTTTTCTCTGAATGATATCTGTTGCGAATGAGGCATGAAATAATTCTGCCCCAGAAAAGAAAAAGCGGCGAGCAAGAAAGAGCAAATGTAGTGAATGAAAAACGCCTCTGCTGAAAATTATCATATACGCACAATTATTTCCAAAGGGTCTGTGTGTTTGGAAAAGCAAAAAGGTGCAGAAGGAGCAAACAATAGAATGAAGAGTGCATCACTGTGCGTGTGCGGACGTCGATGCAGGGGATGAAAAGTGTATGATGAACAAATCAGCCAACCCAAGTTAAAGCGTGAAATTTGGAGAGACCTTTTGAGGTCATAAATTTTGGGTGCAATCCAGCTCGCGGGGACAATAGAGCGGCTTTCCAATTTTTCAGCAACTACCCCCAAATGCAAAACGCATGACGAGAAGGGACAAAGGGCGGTGAGCTTCAAAAGTGACTGAAGAATTTGGGAAAAGGACAGAAGATACCTGCTGGGCGCGCGATCAAAGGGCCCGTGAGTGGACCTTCAGGGAATATAAAAACTTGCTTGCCTGTCTTTCAAAATTTCCTGTCGTTTACCTGCTTCTTTTCTGTTCACAAGTCCCAGGAAAGAGAATAAGAAGTTTTCTGGGGAAAAGAAATAGAGAGGCGCAAATAGAAACTTCTTTTTTCAAAGGGATGTCAATAAAAATTTCAAGAAAACGATTTTTTGAAGACGCAGAAACAAAAACAATACATAAATAATATTTTTTTCTGACAATTCAGTTTTTTTTTAGCATGAATTTTCAAATTCAACTTAGGCAACATAAAATTTTACAGATGAAACAATTCGTAATACTAAACCTATTTAAAAAAAAAATTGATTTTAATCTCATTATTTTCAAAGAAAAGCAGCTTCCAAATATTTTTTTTTTTTTTTTAAACGGGAGAAGGGAAAAAATAATTTTGAACCACCTCATATCATTGAGCAAAAATATGTGAATAGTTGGAAACAAAATTCACTTCCATGACAAATCAAATGCCAAAGGGTCACTCAGGTAGAAAAGGGAAAAAGCAAAACTTGTGGGAAAAGCATGTCTCTTTTTATATTTCCAATCTCTCAGGGAGATGAGTGTGTCTCTCCCGCCGTGCATGTGTGCATTCGAAAGAAAGCGTCTCCTTGTCGAAGGCTAATCGGGCCTCAAAGGTGCCGCCCTAATCCCCTTATCTAGGCGGGCGTGTTTGTGCGTGGCCGCCGCGCCAAAGTCGGCCCGCCGCTGATAACAGCCAGCTGGCCAGCGGGGGGCGGCGACGCGTGCCCCCGCTCACCGACCACCCCTTTGGTACCGCTAGCCTTTGTCAGGGTGCTTGAAGTTCTTTGTCAGGAGACGTGACCTAATTGTCCTGTCGCGAGCCGCCCGCCCGCAGAGGCGCTGAAAGCCCTGTTTTGACATCCAGAGAGATAAATTGCGCTCTTTTGAGTCAGTCGAGTATTCGAATAATGGACTGTTTGTTGTTATTGGATGACCGCTCACTTATTGCGGGTGTTCGGGGTGTTAAGAGTCGGTTCTTTGCGTTCTTTGTATTTTGAAATGCCTATTTTGCTGAGAGCTCATATTAATTCAAGAATTAAATTTTGAAATTTAATAATGGTATAAAAAATTAAAATATGTAGCCACCAAATTAAATAAATTTTTTATTACCAAGGAGTTTATTTTTATGAATTTTTGATTACAATATAAATAAATATGAATCCAATATTTAGATATTATATTTAAATTAAATAAAACACTTTTTTGCTCATAAAGCACTATCTTGTTTAAATATAGTTTATAAAATTTAATTATTCAAAAATATTTATGACTTTTAGTTGCCAGTAATGTCCACGAATTAACTTTTATTTTAATAATTTTGTGCAAACGCAAAGTTATCAAGCATAAGAGATTGTAACTCGCAATTCTTATTTTTAAACAATTTAATCCGGAAAAAACTAGTTTCCAGAAATCAAATAAGCGCAGTTAATCCCCAATAGCTTAAATTCATTCAGCCCTGATGATAAGCAGTCTGCTGGGAAAACCAAGAATTTCGCTTCGCCGCGCGGCTGATAAAAAATAGCGCGCAACTCTTGTCTTTTTGAAGTCCGGCGTCGCCTCTTTTCAATGGTCGCGCATTTATGGAGTGCTCTCGTTTTTAATTGACTGCTGGCGTTTCGCGGGAACCGAGCAGATATGGTGTGTCATAATAAAAGTTAGTTGGAATCAAAAAAGGATCCGATGATGCAATGAACGCGGCCAAAAAGTGGTGGAGTCAAATGCGCGCCCAAAGGAGAGGTTGAGAGGCAACGAGGCGAGTGCTGATCTCACATCACATTTCTGACTCATCGTTGGCAAATATCAAGCCTTTTTGATCTCAGCGCCAACGGGACAATCGCTTCGTTTATTGAGCCTTGAATTAACTTTTTCAGTTGCAAAAAAAAATTATATCGAATCTGTTGTTAAACAATGAGTTTTGTATTGTTCATTTCTTTTGGCATTTAGCTTTAATGTAGAGAAATTTTTAATTCTTTAATAGAAATGACGCAATATTTATTTTTAAGTTAAAAATATAATAAAATTCAAATTTTAAAAATTTTGCTATCTAATGTTTTCCGTTAAATTGCTGCAACAGCAACCAATCGCTTGGATGAAATGTCATGGTCTCTCTATTTGAGGGGGAATATCCCCAGTTTCTCGCGCAACCTATTGCACTCCCGTGTACACATATATGTATTTAGCTGTGGCCGTAATATTGATGTGTGTACACAACATAATGTGATAACAAATGAGATGTGAAAATATCACACATACTCGCTGACGGGTAAATAAATAACAAACAGTGCAGGCCGCCGTTGATTTGATTGTGTATTCGCGCGTTAAAATGAATTGTGTTGGGGAAACTCACCGGAAAAAAGGACAGCTTGCTCACTCTGTGCTTTTCTCAGGGTGAATCTCAGACACTGATAACGCGATAAAGCAGGAAAAGAAAAATTATAATACTCCTCAAACAAATCATGACGTCAATGAATGTTGCATATGAAATTAAAAAAAGCAGCATAGCCATAACGTCGACATATTGTTTGCGAGGGTGCGTATAAGTTTCGATATCCACTCCCCTATTAATTTCTAAAGTTTATGATTTCTCTTGGGTTTCCGGTTGATTATATTAAAATGAAACTCTGCTGACGTTGAAAGCAGGGGTCGGTTGCCCCCGGGGGCAGGGCAGGTGAGGCGGTCAGGTGTGCTTTGCTCCGCCCCGGCGGCACGCAAGCCGCTTTTTCTAAATACAGCATTTGGAGATAAAAAAAATACATCGTAATAAGTGGCGCGGCGTGCGTGACTGGCCCAGCATGGCGGCCGCCGCCGAATAAATAAATATGAAAATAAGCTGCAACGGACGAAACTTTCGGGCCTTTCAAAATCTTTCAATATATAGGAGACGTACAAAATAATGTATAAAAAAGACATGCAAAATCTATTCCTACTAAAGAAGTACAATTTTAGTTCGATTAAAATGTGTGTTTTTTATTCATTTATGATTCTTTTGTAATTAGTTTTCACGCAATATAAACTTTTATCAAACCAAACCAACTAAATAAATTGTTCCTGTGTGTTGCAGGAAAAACGCGCACCAAAGACAAGTACCGTGTCGTTTACAGCGACCATCAGCGGCTTGAATTGGAAAAAGAATTCCACTACTCGAGGTACATCACCATTAGGCGCAAGTCCGAGCTGGCTACCACCCTAGGACTCTCGGAAAGACAGGTAAGATTTTTTTTCCTTTTTTTAAATTTTGTGATCACTCTCATGACACTCTTGTGATAAGATTGAGCCGCGGGATTTATTTCCTAATCCAAGAATCCTTCACAGGCACTTTTTCTCATATATATTTGTTTTCTCTGCTCATTAAAATCCCACAAAAGCTCACCATAATTCTCGAAATAATTATACGACGGCAGATACAAAGAAAACCGCAGAAGAGTGGCGCGACGTCTCTGTGGACGCAATTACAGTCTGATTAACAGAAAAACGCGCCGGATTATGCAACGCGCCAGACACCCACGTGTACCGGACTGCGGACGTTTGATTTTTTTTAGTATCAAACCAAGAAAACTTGTCCTGTCTATTGAAAAAGATTGAAAATCATTTTCCAGTTGACAAGAAATTTTTTAAATGCATAATTTTTCATTATTTTCAAAGAAGTACTATGAATCTCTTTGATTGTTTTTTGTGGAGAGCCTAAGATGCCTGCCTATTTTTTTTCTTTTATTAAAAGCAAGTAAATACAATTTTGTTTAATCAAATTTTAATTTTCTGAAAGAAATTGAACTGAGCATAACATTATAACACCATGTTCTGAAAGCAACAAATTTAAGTAATTATTATGTCAAAATTTCTTCTTTACATTGAAAATATATTATTATTTGAAAGCAGATTAAGATTTAAAGGGGAAAAAAAATCGTAATTTGTTTTACTGTTTCTGGACCCATTTATAAAATTTCTTTTAGAAAATCATAGAAAATTAGACAACAGAAACTGGAATCCACTTAACAGCATAAACAAAGGCACAAAACGTTGTAGAAAACTCACTGACAAAAATAATTATTAACATTAATAACAATTTTTTTTTTATAATTTCACTACAAATTTAATAGATATTTTTATCTTTAGTAATGGCTTGAGGGATCTTGAATAATTTAAAAGGAGAGCGTTCTATATATCTTTATATTCATTCTGTCGCCACGATTCAACTCGAGACAAAAGTCATGCGAGCTCTGAATGAATAATGAAGTTGTGCTGGTGGAAAATCGGCACAGGGTCTTTTTTCTTGTCGACCGCTGCTGGCAGAGGCGAACAATTCCCATGGGCAGGCGCATGCAATGCACCGTGTATAATAATTGTATCTCTCTCCTATAATGCAATAATTCGAACGCTCTTTCTCTACATATGGGTGTTGCACCGATTGTGATATGGCGGCGGTCGGATCCGACTCGCGCGCGAGTGAAAGCTCGGCGTTGATATTTTTCCCTGGCCTCAATTCTCCGCGAACCTCTCTCATTTGCATTCAAACCAAGGAAAACAAATCCATTCTAGGCTCCTAATAATTCAGCGCTCTCTCGCAAAATCATTTTCCGAGAAGACTTCACGGCAGCCGCCGGTTTTTTAAGTGCTGCTCAAATATAATGGAGATGCGATTTTCAACTCGTTCCAACACATGGGCAATTAGCGCGTGCGTTCACGTCTTTTTTCGAAAGAGATATTCCTCTTTTTATTTTAATTATTGCTTTTGAGTGCCGGTGGCGAGACAAGTGCTGCTGCGCTGCTCGGCCGAACCAGATTCAGGCTATTCCCAACAAGGTTCATAAATGTGTTTGATTTACTCACCAGGCTCGAGCTGAATTGAAACTCGAAATGCTTTTATTTCTCTAGTACATAGTTAACGATCATTAAACTCCATATAAAAATTCATTTCCATACTGTCAATTTTTTTCAAACCAACTCTTTTCAAATTAATTAAATTAACTTCAATATGCAGAGTAAAGCTGATGTGCAATTAAATTTATTTTCTTAACAGTCTACAATTTTCTTTTGAAAAAAAAAAAAAAAACATGAACTGAGGTATTAATTACAGTCGTGATATGCATGTATGATATATGGAAAATAGTTAGAAAATGAGAAAATGTTCAAAAATGAAATTTAGGTAGTTTTTCTAATTAAATAAATAAATAAAATTAAGAAAATTAACATATCCCAAAAGCAATCTTAAAATAAAAGTACTCGATCCTTATTGGCATAGCCAAATCAAATTTTTGCAACAATGGTGGTTACAATTTTCTAATAATTGGTCTCACGTAGAAGATTTAAATGGCACATATTTTGCCAATTTGTAGTCTATGATTAAAGGAATAAATGAAAAAAATTGTCTAATGATTTTTATATTTTAAAATAGGCCATTTCCTTAATTTGGATGAGTTTTAGGAGAAGTTTATTCTGGTCATTAATTAATAAATTTCCGACTTCAAAAAGTCCACCACCTTCACGTTGTAGCCCCAATTCATTGGCTTTAAATAATTTTGTCATTAAGATTTATGATTAATTAAATACTTGACTTTCAGAATTTTTCAAAAACGCCTAAACGTTAAATTACTAAGGAAAATTTAGTTTTTTAAATTTTATTCAGACATAACAACCAACTTAACTGTATCCTTTTTTGCTTTGTTGCAGGTTAAAATATGGTTCCAGAACCGCCGTGCAAAAGAGCGCAAGCAGGTGAAAAAGCGCGACGAGATCATCGCCAAGGAAAAGATGGAGGCGGTGGTGCAGCTGCAGCATCCGCTCATGTGACCAGCGGTGGGCTCCGGGCCGCCCCCGGGTTGCCCCCCGGAGCCTTTCGACTTCAGTGATTAAACTACTGATGCGAGTACAAACTGCGCGAGTGCTGCTAACATTGCGATCAAAAGTACATTTTACTACTAGAGGACTCAAGAAGTTTTTGAGTGATATATACGAATACGACGAGAGCACTTTCACAAAATTCGAGAGCACAACACAAAAGGAAAAAGCATAACCGAGAGATTGGGTGCGTTATTTTGTACAGGATTGTTGTTAATTGTTTACCCTTGTGTATGATTTAATAATTATAATTTTTCTTTTCGAATTTATTATTCGCCACGCAAAAGCTCTCTCTGCGGGGATGCTTTTCACATACGCAAAATCTGGAAATGTAAATCTTCCGTCAGAAGCTCAGCTTTCTAAATTTTCAACACAAATTTTGATCTCATTATTATTCTGATTTTGAAAAGTTATAAAAATTTTAAATTTTGGCTTTTGTGGATTATTAGAAAAATGTTTCAAAGCTGAGGTTCGGATGGAGGATAAAAAAAATGAAAAGTAACAAATTTCGCCCTTTGAGTCACGTTAAGAGAGAGCGATAAACAAAGCGAAATTTTTTCAAGCCATGGTGTACCATAATAGGCATCTATATGTATACTTTTAGACGACCGTGAAAATTAACTTATTACGTATCAAAAGGCAAAAGCGGGCGCTCGATTTTGAGAAGAGAGAAAATGTGCTGAACACCTAACTTCTATATTAATTACATTAATTATTAATGTTCAATAATTTGATAATCAAACCAGAGTGATGTACATAGAATTATGTAAGTTGGAAAATTGTGACACCGAGTGAGAGGAATATATACATGTGAAAAATAAAAAGGAAAAAATTGACAAAATAATAAAATTGAGAGCCGGCCGTGCAACAAACACACAAACTGAAAATAGGTCTTTCATTTATTCGATCTTTCGTTCAAGTCTCCCTTGGTGGCATGACTGCGAGTCCGTTGCTCATGGTCTTTGGTTTGGATTATTCGAGTCGAACAAAACTCGCTCGTGCATCCACGTCAAACGCAAAGATGGAGTCACGCCAAGCCAAATCAAGTGAAGCGGACCGCCTGTTTGTTACGTGACTGACTCTTGCTTCGTTGGTTGGCTGCCTGGACGCCCTCGATCACCATGCCGTGTGTGTTTCTCGATTAATTTCTGTGTGTGGATAACAGAGGCTCTATGAGGCTATATACAGGGCCCTCTCAGAGTTTATAGGCCTCGCCTTTGTCATTCAAATTAGCTTATGAGGGAATTGGTATTTTTTTCAATTAGCAGTTTATTCATTTATTGTTCATCAGAACAAATGAAATAAATTAATTTTTTGAGAGTTATAACAAACCTCTTTTACAAGATGCAAAGCATTTGACTGAAAATAAATTAAAAGAAAATCATAATTTAGAATTTTAAAATTTCATACTCACTATAATGGGGGTATTCACAACTTGATACTAAGGGATTTGCTGGTACAAACTTAGCAAGTTAATATCCCCCAATATGATTAATCTCTAATTTAGAAGCATGAGACTTTGAAATTCAATTTTAAATTTTCGATGTGTTGTCAATTTTGTTCGAGCTTCAATGCGAGACGGTTAAGGTCTTGGTGCGCACAGGAAGCACCGCCAGATGCCTAAATGGCTGTTCCTCTCGGCGCAACCCGATCAATACAAAAATACATGCTTTACAACTCTGGCGGCACGGAAGTTTTTGCGTGGGGAGAGCGTTTTTTTTTAACTTTGCGTATCCTTTGTTTAAGTCAACTTTTTTGTGTCTGCGAGAGATAGACTAATTTTTACTGTCCAGAGTCAGACATTTTTCGTCAAAAAGCACTCAACAACTGAAATTATCATTTCTTGCTAATTTTCTTATCATTTTCTTTCTTTCAAATTTTGCTCACTTTGACAATTCTTAAAATTATAAAATACAGACTGTCATCTTGTTTAAAAAAACTTTCCTTCACAGCATTTCTCACATAAAACAATAAAGAATTTTTAATAAGCATATAATGCATTATTATTTCTGCCTTGTTTATAGTTAAAACCTTTTGGGAGATTAAAACAAAAAGTTAAGCAGCTCCATTTGCGTGCCGTCGTTTTCCCCTAAAATCGCATTTCACCAAACGCTCACTTTTTCAAGTTTCATCTCGCGTGTTGAAATCAACTCTGCGCCGCTAATAAGTCAATCGTGATTTTATATCTGTATATAGGAAAATACGTATATTTTTTTAATCTGGTTTCCAATCTCTTTCTTGCTCTCGTGCTGAACTTTCTTGGGGTCATAGAGAAGAGATGGGCAATTAATGGAAGAAAATTACGTTGAGATTGATGAGATGCTTCTCAATGCAGTAGCCGGAAGCAAAGTTTGATGCTTTTGATCCCTCTTCACAGCTAATTAAAGTGCTGTTAACTTTCTAATTACAGTCACGTTCATTAAAACGCACAGACTAAAGAAAATTCTGAAATTGAAAAAAAAAATTAAATTGTTCCTTTTGCGTTCAATCTTGGATAATATCTATTTTATAATCGGGACGAAAGTTTTTTTTGTGCATTTAAATTTAATTATTTTAATTTAATTTGAAGAAAAATAAATAAATAAAAATTATTTCTGAAGGTTTCAAAATTTGAAATGATCTTCTGGACTTTTCATTTTCCAACATACTTTTTCAGTTTATATAAAAGTCACCTTCAGTACGCATATATGTTTCCAAGGACTATTGCAAGATTATATACAGAGTTTTTAACCAAGGAGACAAAAAGTGCGCAAACAGAGTGCAGGGTTGTAAAAAAGCGGCCGCATCGGATGAGACAAAGGGCGAGTGCGGCGCGAGGCCTGCAATCACTCAAAATCAAACGCCCTGCAGATCTGCTTTATGGCCTGATAACTCACTCCTATCTCGGCCTCGCAGATAACGCGGCGGCGAATCAAAGGCCGAATTTAATCATCAGACCTGCCCTTTCGGAAACATCACACTCTTGATGCCGACGACACCAAGATTTTGCGACACTTTCTTAAAAGTAGAATCAACTGACGTATATTTGTGTTGTTTAATTATATCTTGTTATAGAAAATGAAAATCTTTTTCTTGGAAGTGCATTTGATTGTAAAAGATGAGCTGATTCTGATTAATTTCTTTTACGCACGACCCACTGCACCATACCACTTTGGACCAGATTCTTATCAAGCAAATATAAAGAGATGAAATTGTTGTAATGTTAGTTAATTTACAACCCAGAAATTAGTAGATACCTTTTAAAACTCCTTAAAATTTTTTCAGCAGTGTTGCATTTAAAAATGACCAGAAATTCCTTGGAGTGGTTGCAGGCGTTGCAACATAATGGGGGTTTTTCATAATCAATTTGAAAAAAGCGCCCCAAAAAATAGAAGGTTTTAGCATGAATACCACCGGGTAAACTAAAAATAAAATAAATACAAAATTTAAAAAAAGCCAAATTCTCTCTGTTTAGCGGGTTGCCTATTTCACGAGGCAATTAAAAATTCGCAATTGAATTTTTAAGTTTTTTTTTCAAATTTTTTTCTTATAACAAAAAATCAGAAAATTTTTTTATTTACTTGAGTCATATTTTTTATAATTCTTTAACATTTTGCTTTAAAATCCCTTTCAAATTGATTAATATTTTCCAAACATTACAAAATTAAAATCCTCCGCGTCAGGCTGTCTCCTCTAAATTCCGTCGCCAACCCTTTGGAATAAAGCTGTCGGCTATAGACAAAACTTTTAGAAAGTGTAGGAAAAATTCATAAAACGCGCACATCAACCTTGCAGCGCACCGACCCATTTATATGGACCGTCGTTTATCAGGGATTCTTTTGAAACCCACAACATGAACATGTTCCCTTTTTCCCTCCACAGAGCGTCCCCTTTTTTCTTGAGACCCAACGCGCTGCTCCTTCTTCTGCTGATAAAAGAAGAGAATCTTCTCCTCGCATATACCTGCGCTCTGTTTTTCCTTTCCCATGCTTTCAGGTAAGGAAAATTCCACATTTCTGCCTGACATCCACGCGAATTCATTTGCATCAGTTTTTCTTTGACAAAAAGCTGCTCCAAAGTGAATAGAAATGAAAGGCCAAGCATGACCGGCGGCGGCACGGCCTAATTGGAGAGGAACCTTTTGTGCTCTCTATCGTCTTACCTGCGAGTCTCCGCAGGTTCAACAACCACCCCTTTTATGGCCCCGAATTTCCAAAAGCTGCTGCCTCGGGATTTAATTACCGCGCCAGCAAAGCACCCACCAGAGAGCAGCGTTTTTCTCCTTTTTCACAAAACCTCTCCTTTTACAATTGATTCTTTCAACACACATGTGCAGATGAGATGCTTTGCTGGAAACTGAGAGGAATTCTCCACTTATTTCTGATCACGTCCTTGCTTGCCACTTTGCTCGCCGCCGCGCGCAGGAAAAGGGTTGTAAATCACGAGCGGAAAGTTTGCACGTCGAAAGCTTTTGGCCGCCAACATCACAGACACAAATTCATACATTTACAATCAAAGCTATGCCCTTTCTTGAAAACTCGGTATCATTTTCAGACCAAGAAAACCTTCATCGTTCATTGATGCATAAATGCGTTTTTGATTTTACGATTCTGTGGTTTGTGAAGAAATAAGTCTCTTTTTAATTCAGGGGCCAGCTTAAAGAGAATAAATATACATTCTTCTGAATTCGAAAAGAAAATAATATCAATAAAGTTGTGATTGCTTTGATTGAAGGATGTCATTTATCCTTAACAATGAGCATGGAAATAAATATTTCCTTGATATATTTATTATTAAACAAAAAATTCAGTTGATATGCGTTAATCTTATTTTTTTTTAATTACCACAAGTGCACATATAAAATGAAACATTCTTTAGTTTACTGAAAATTTTTTACAAAAACACAGAATATTTTACAGAAAATTATTAGGAATAGATGTTAATATTGTTAGAATTTTTTCATCATTTGCATTTTTTAAATATTAAAAACTATTTTTTCCGGTATAAAACTCATATTAATATTTATAAAAGTCAATAAATTGTAGCTTAGAATTAAACTTTAAACGTTCCAATTTATTTCAGCCAAAAAATTCTGATAACGCAGCAGAAGGAACGCCAACGAAAAGTTTTAGAGTTAGCACGATCGGCAGATGCTGGCGTGGCAGCTGCGACCATCGCGTTCCACCCGCAATAAAAGTGTAACTGCGTTAATTAGCGGGGGTGCCCTGCTCGCGATGGAAATAAATTATCACGGGCTAGCATTATTTTTGTTTGTTTGCTGACCAACTGGACACTGCGGCACCAAATTGAGCCGTCGCTCCTTTCTTTCTCTGTGCCGGCGCGACGCCATTAGCGTTTGGACAATGCGGGCGCGTCTTTTGTGCCGACGAGAAATGGCCCGTTGCCGCAAACATAAATAACCACCGATCAGAATAGGTGCGACAAATCACTGACTGAGAGTGGTACCTTAACTGCCCAGCGACAATGCTCGCTCCTGCTGAGCGGGTAATAAAGACGCAACGATGCTCTCTCAATTACACGCTCTACAGCACCCTGCTCCATTCAGTTTGAAATCAAATGTATAATTTTGAGGCAAACAAGATCCATGATAGCTCTATAGATTATTTTTTCATAAAGAATTCCCTTTCTAATTTTTTGACGTAGATTACTTTAATAAATTGTTTTTAGCCATAAAATCAAGTTTTGCTTTAAAATTTTCACGAATGATTGAAAAAGAAGGGAAATTTATATATTTGAAGAACAACAAAAAGTATTTTTTTGTATTATTTTACCATGTGAAAAAAAATGTAAAAACCCACTGCGAAATTGATTTAAGAATTGAAGTCTTTAAAAATAGGGTTTCTCAGTTTTGGCTTACAAATTTTAGTTCTAGAAAAAAAATATATGTATATATACACTATACTACACTATAGTAAAAATTATACATTTAAACCGTGTGAAAAAGCAAATATTCCACTTTTACCAAGAACCATTATTATAGCATTTCAAAAGAGAGAAATACACCTTTTGCTTTCTCTCCCTATTGCTTTTTGGCATTCCATCTTTTCTCAGAGCAGGTTTTCTTATAATTTATTTGTCCAAAAAGCAACAAGAGCCATGCGAGTAAAGGGTGGTTGACCTAAACGGAGAGTCGCGCCCCAACAATGCCAGGGCGGCTCCTTTGAAACACGTCAAGGGACCATTCATTTCCTCCGTCTTCTGGTCTAGAATAGGCTACTTTTCCACAGGGCACACATGCCTTTTTGAAAGAAAAGAAGAAGGCGTCGGATAATGAACCCAAATGTTCACCCTCTTTGTCCAGAAGGGAGGCATTCAAGTCAAAGCATGTCAAAAGAGAAGGAACCAATCTTTTGAATTCATCTTGTTTGGAGAAAAAATAAACTGCGCGTTAAAAATTTCACTCTTTATAGGAAGAGCCGCAAATTAAATCCAGTGACGAGTTGAAAGAACTCGTTTTCCTTAGAATATAAATTGACTCCCACAGTCGATTCACATCATGGCATCGCGTCCGTTTTTGGCTCATGGCACAGCGGTCTGTCTTGCGTGCACATTTGGCCTCTGATTTCAAAGCAGATTTTGTCAATTTCGCGGAACAAGTTCTCAAGCATGCTTAATTGTTTTAAGTTACATGACTTAGAGAGTAATAATTTTTTGCTTGCTAATTCGACAGCAAAAAATTGAAAACATTTGCATTTGTGCATGACAAGCTGTAATAAAGTAATTATGAAATTTCTAGGAATTTAAAACGTCCGAATTTTAATGAAAATTTTTTCTAAACATTTTTTTATAAAGTAAAGTTTTGATTGAAGAAAATGGTTCTGTTAGATTAAAAACTACTCTGTTGCTCTAATTTAATGGGTTTAAATTGATAATTGATATTCATTATGTTTGGAGACAGATGATTGTGTCGTTTGAAAAATTAATCTCTTAATGAAAAGTGATAATTTTTCTCGCAATTTCAGTGAAACCACTTAAAAACCTCTACAAAATCACTATTAATGAAAAAAATTCAGAAAAGAATTTAAAACCATAAAAATAAAAATAAAACTTTTAATGACGTCATGATTTTAACCAGGATTAAAGTAAACCTGTTTTTTTACTCCAAAAATATAATTTAAATTAAACTTACTAAATATTATTTATTAAAAAAAACCTGCAGAAATTATCTTGCACAATTCAGTGGAACTAGGGAGTGAACCAAAAATGAGTGGAAAAACGAGAAAGAAAAAATAATTGATCGTTTGCATCTTTTTCTCTCATTCTGTTTGCTCTCGGTGCGCGTTTGCGTTTCTCTCACGCCTCTAATTGTAATCGTTTTACAGCCGGCGCGCAATTACCCTGGCTGCTGGCCGCCCTGTCCTGTCTATGTACTCGCAATTCGCATTACATGGGCATGTACGTTTAGATGGATAGTTATGCATTCGGAGGGAGCAGCGGAGGATAAAATAAAATTTAAGAGGCCCGTTTGCCGAGCTGTAATTGTGCGGCGCAGATTTGAACGCAGCTCAGGGGGCCCATTATTTATGCGGTGGCGGCAGTGGGCCCGGCGGCCCCGGGGACCCATTGGCTCGAGTGTTGCGCCCCTGTCATCGCACGCTAATTAATTGCCCGGCGTTTGTCACCCCCGCCCGCTGACAACCGCAACCCTGACTTCTGCCCCTAAACTAACTTCATGGCTCCCTTATATACTAAAAGTTAAGCTTTTCAAGAAAGGGGTGAGAAAAGTTTTCAAGATTTTTCTTGTTAAATTTGTGAACGAAAAATTTGAAAACTTTTTACATGCATGTATAAAAGCATCACATTTGTTTATCCTTCTTGATTATGAACACAATTTTAATAGCATACATGTTCAATAACCAACTGAAACCTTTTAAAAGTTTATATTTTAATCTCCTGTTTAGATTTAAATTCTTATCTACAATAATGAAGGTGCAAAATTTGCATTAAATTGCACCATTATGTCAAATTTCGAGCGAAACTCTCGACCGTGACAGGCATGCTCTCGCAATTACATTATTTTATCTTTCCTGCTCCTCTCTCGTTGAGAGAGTGCACAAAGAATTAATTGTGTGTTTGTACTTTAAGTCAGCATAAGCTTTCGTTCTTTGAAAATGACTTCTCGTTCCCAATCACGACTTGTAATTTTCGGCAAAGAACAGCAGCAGGGATCGACAAGTTGCATGAGACACACAAGGCGCTCTGCAATTACAGCGATGGTAAGTGTTGTAAAGTGCCGACTAATTAGCGTCTATCTCCTCTGGCCTTGCCATGGTAATTATTTTCAGCAGGCGTTACTTGATTTAGCTTGTTTTGACGTAGATTTCAATTCCAGGGAAAAGGAGAATAATGCCACAAGTTTTAAAAATAGTTAGGCCGTCTCAAAAAAATTCAAAGCAAAACCTGCGAGCATAGAATAAATACACGAAGTGAAATGCATTACTTTAATTTTTTATACACTGAGACAAATAATGAAATTTCAAATGATTTTAAAACCAAGAAAAACTCAATTATTTTCAATGTGGGGTTTTTTTGGCCAAAAATATTTTCATTTTATGAAACCAATTGTTTACTCTTGGCTAAAAAATTTTTGCTCTTCTTTTGAATGAAAATAATTTATAAAATATCTAAAATTTTTCTCTCAATAAAGTTTTGAAAGTTTTCAAGTAAGCAAGCAATGTGGACAAAAATAGCGACGATATAATAAGTAACTATTTAGTCTATTTAATAAAATAATTTAAAAAAACACTTCCAGGTTCGCAAATAGTAAGCTGTTTTATTTTTTAATTTTCAAAGACAGAATTTTAGATTTTAAGTTTTTTATTTCAATATCCCAGCAGCTTTCCACCGACTTTACGCCTCACCGCCATGAATAGGCAACCTGCTCTTCATTACTGACGACAAGGTTGCCTACCTCGTCACTGCGTCAAATCGTTTCCGAATGGAACGTGTGCGAACTGCGAAGACATCTACTGCCGGAATCTGAAACCACGTGGGCACCACCTGATAAACATGTCAACATGTTTGTCCTTGGGTCCCTGGCCAGGTATAGTAATTACCAGCGGCGTCAGGTCGGTTGCCGGGTGCTGGCGAAGTTGTTCTCGAAGGAATCAGTTTCACCTTCGACGATTAGCCTGAGCAGAAATAAAATGACGAGCGTTCAAGTCGCCAAACCCGTGCTCTACTCGTACTGGAGAAGCTCCTGCTCCTGGAGGGTGCGAATCGGTATAAATTAAATTTTTAAATTTTGTGATCTGGAAAATTATAATTAATTTTTATGTAATTTTCACAGCACTTAATCTGAAGGAAATCAGCTATGACATAAAGACGGTCAGTCTGATCAAAAACGGAGGCGAGCAACACTCTGACGAATATCGAGAAATTAACCCTATGGAACAACTACCAGCCCTTGTCATAAATGACAACACCTATATTGATTCCGTAAGAGCAAAATGTCTTAATTTAAATTTAAAAAGAAAGAAATTGTCAATACATTTGACTTTTTTGTAATTTGAAGCATAGAAAACTTAAATATTTATTACATACTTAATTATACTGCAGTTTTCATTTAAAATTTGCTATCCAACTTTAGCTGTTTTTAAGGTTTTAAATATAAAAATTACATAAATACATTTCACAGTTGGCCATAATGCAGTATTTGGAAGAAAACTACCTTGATCATCCACTGCTGCCTGCTGATGTGCACAGCAAGACCAAAGTGAGAGAAATCTGCCAGCTGATTGCTTCAGGAATTCAACCCTTGCAGAATCTGGCAGTCCTTATCTACGTGGGTGACGAGAAGAAGAAAGAGTGGGCCTGTCACTGGATGACAAGGGGGTTCAGAGGTAGAAGATTAAACTATAGTTTATAATATTTAATTCAAAACCATTCTTTCAAAGCTGTTGAAAAAATGCTGTCCGCAACTGCTGGGAAATATTGTGTCGGAGACGAAATCACCATGGCCGACTGCTGTCTCGTTCCCCAAGTATTCAATGCTCGAAGGTACAATTCTTAGTAATTTTAAACATTCGAGGTTAATCCTAATTTGTATAGGTTCCAAGTGGACCTGAGACCGTTTCCGAACGTCGTTCGCATTGACCGAGAACTGGAGAGCCACCCTGCATTTATTGGAGCTCACCCCAATAATCAACCTGACTGTCCTCCTGAGGCGCCTAAATAATTGTAAATATCAGTTTTTTTCCAAAAAATAACACTGATGGATGACGGAAGGGGATTTAAAAAAAATACAAGGATTTTTGGGCTAATCAAAAATTATTTATAAAAGTGTAACAAGTATAAATGGGAATTTGCTCAATTAGAGTATAATTATTTCATTAAAAGACTTCATCTTGCCGATATTATTTAATTAAATTTACAAAATTTTAAAATCATTATTTTTTGTAAGCATTAAATTGTTGGCTATTCCATTACAGTCAGGGCCATCTGCCAGTGAATATATTAACTCATTTTGTCAACTTGCTAAGTTGATTAATTGATAACTGTATCTCAAAGCTGCATTGATTGATTTTAAGAATTGGTAGCTCCATCGAAAAACAATTTTATTTTCTTATGTCTGTGCCAAATCAATCGATCAAGCCGCTTCTCTACTCGAACTGGAAGAGTTCGTCCTCATGGAGAGTTCGTATTGGTATTTTTACAATTTGTATATTCATGTGACATGGAATTAAAATGTGTTGATTAGCACTCAATTTCAAGAACATTGACCATGATTTGAAAACTCTAAAATTAGCTGCTGTTGGTGGAGAACAGCAGTCGTCTGAATTCCTAGAGATAAATCCAATGGGACGGGTCCCGGCCCTAATTGTCAACGGCACCGCCTTAATTGAATCTGTTGGCTTTTTAACTCCAATTACGCTCATTTAAAATAACTTTCATTATTTAGGTTGCAATTTTGGAGTTTTTGGAAGAAATGTTTCCTGAACCCTCTTTACTTCCAAAAGATCAAGTTTCTCGGGCCAAAGTGCGATCCATTTGTCAATTAATTGTGTCCGGCATCCAACCATTGCAAAATAAGAGCTCCGTGTTGAGTGCAATTGGAAATGAACACAAGCAGGAATGGGCGGTCCATTGGATTAAAAAAGGTTTTGAGGGTATTTAATTATTATACTTTTTTATATTTGATTAAAAGAGCTTAATTAGCAATTGAAAAGCTCCTCGAGAATACTTCTGGCAGGTATTGTGTTGGAGATAAAATTTCTCTTGCTGACTGTTGCCTCGTCCCACAAGTTTTCAATGCAAAAGAGTATATTTGGAAAATTTGTATTTAATTTTTTATTTTCATATGTTATAAAATATTAGATTTGGCGTAAGCATGCAGCGTTTTCCTAAAATAATGAAACTTTCTGGAGAGCTAGAAAGAATTTCTGCTTTTCAAGAAGCTCACCCATTCAATCAGCATGATTGCCCTGACAAACTGAAGAAAATCTGAGCAAAAGTATTATGTTATGTGCCAGTTAACCTTGTAAAAAATATAAAATAAAGTTTATTCTAAATTTGAAATTTAAAATATCAATATTTTTTCATGTATTATGGCTCTGCCGTAGGCAATCTGGACAGCATCCCAGTAGAGCAAGTTGCATAGCCTCTCATTTTTTGGTTAGGGCCATCTGCAGATGATTTTGCAAACTTAATCGAAGTTGAGCACCGAAATTTGACCTTCGCTCCATTGGAGGTCACTTCGTTTCCATGTGATGCGTAGCAGCAGCTGCTAACTGGATCCCCTTATTGTAAAGATAAATCTTTTCTTCAAACTTGGAATAATTCATAAGATTATTACAAAATAATTTAAATAATATGACCGGAAAACCAACTTTGTATTCGTATTGGCGGAGTTCGGCTACTTGGAGAGTTCGGCTAGGTCAGTTTTTTGCAGTTTAATTGAAGCCATTTTTATACTTCTAATTATCTTCCTATTTATTGAATTTTTTAGCTCTTAATTTAAAGGGGATTGAATATGACGTGAAAACATTAGACATTTTAAAAAAGGAAGGTGGAGAAAACCTGACAGAGGAATATAAAGCCATAAGCCCAAGGCAATTTGTACCTGCGTTGGTGATTAATGAAGAAACAACTCTGATTGAATCGGTGGGTATAAAATTTAAAAATCTGAGAAAATAAAAATTAATATTAACAGATATCAGCAAATGAAAAAAATTAACGAGCAATGTAATTATTTTGTCCAGATTATATTTTATTTTTTCTTTGCAACCAGATGGCTATTTTGGAGTACCTTGAGGAGAGTTACCCTCAAGCAAAATTGCTTCCAAGTGATTTAATAACCCGCGCAAAAATCAGGGGGATTTGCAGCTTGATTGTCTCTGGAATTCAGCCTCTGCAAAATGTGGGGATTCTGAAATCTGTGGGCGAAGAGAAAAAAATTGAATGGGCCAGGACATGGATCACCAAAGGCTTTCAAGGTTTTAAAAATTGAAAATAATACATGTAAATAATCAAAATATATTATGGACTTCCAGCTGTTGAGAAAGTGCTTGAGAGCACTTCAGGAAAATACTGCGTCGGTGATGAGATCACTCTTGCTGATTGCTGCCTAATCCCACAGACCTTTAACGCAAGGGGGTAAATTAAATAGTTTTAGGTTTTATTAATTAAAAATAATAATTAAATATTGCTTCAAATTACAGATATCTTGTAGATATGACTCAATTCCCTAATATAGTGAGAATTGACAATGAGCTCAAAGACCATCCTGCGTTCAAGGCGGCCCACCCTTTCAGCCAACCTGATTGCCCAGATGTGGATAGAACTGCTGAAAAGGCGTTCTCAATTTAATCTTCTCATCCACTAGCGAATTTGCTTTTTAATTCAGTTTGCAAATAATGGCAAAAGCTGAAAAAAATTAATTCCACTCTCTTTAATTATATAAAAAAAAATTTAAAAAAATCTTGCCAGTTGCCATTTAATTTTATTATAATTTTACTTTTTATGCATCAGCATTTGATTTGAAACTTTTTTATTAACATGTTATATGATTCGGTATAATAAATATTAAAATAATCATTTATTTATGATCAATGCACTTATAAAATAATAAAAAGTGATAAAAAGAAAATATGTAAAAATGGCCTACGTTAGCCTTTGAGAGAAAACTTATTCCCGCGCTTGGTCAGCTTCGTGTTGGCATACCTTCTTTTGCTTCCGATTCGTTTGGCTACCCTGCTTGCTTGTATTGAGTTTATTGAGGTTCAAGATGGACGCTGTTCCTCGAACCCACGAAGGTAAATAATTTTGCAAAATACGCCGTCTTCTCCTAATTTTTGGCAATGCAAATGCCTCAGAATTTTAACTTTGCTTAACAAATTTGTAATGCAACATAAAAATTTACCGATAAACGCGTAATTACCTTTGAAAGTCGCAATCTAAATATCACGTTTTGTTGGCACTTTCAGATATCGAGGCCCAGATCCGCGAGATCCAGGCCCGGAAAAAGACTGCGCCCGAACCGGAGCCGACCGAAAATGAGGACAAAGTTGGCCTTGGACAGACAGGTGTCTTTGATCGGGACATCTACGGCGGTGGCAAGTATGATGGCTACGTCACGTCGATCGCCGCAGACGATGAAGCCGAGGAGGAGGAAGGCGCCGAATTGCCGGCCCCCAAAAGGAGCACTTACACAGCACCCAAGGTTCGTATTTTCAATTAAATTTTACATTGATTCGTTCAGCAGATAAAAGTTTTGAATTTGTAATTTATAAATAATTAAAGTTAGTACATTATTTTTATACTTATGTCAAGACATACAATATAACCATGGATATATTTTAATATAAAACCTGGATACATAATTTAAGAAGTAGTAAATCAATGATATATACACAGAAGTGTTTATATTTATGTCTGTATTTGTATAATAATATATATATATATAATTCTTATACTCTGTTAAGGTCCAAAGACATTCGAGTTATTATCCTTTGGATAGTTTGGATGTGCATTATGATGATGTTATTCAAACGAGAGGAAAATTACAATCTTAATACATACATGCATTTATTTTTCTTTTCTGTGACATATTTTTTTTTCAAATCCTCTTGAGATTAGAGTAAACAATGTTTGACTTCATTTCCACGTAGTCAGGCCCTACTGGCTGCAAATACTTCCTCTCTTGATTATTTTTCACCCCTACTTCATCGTACACATTGCTCCTCTCTACTGCTTCGCAAATTTCCACCGTACAAGCCGGATTGTCGACACAATTTTTCTCCTCGGTTTGACTCTTGACGTTAGCCTTTGGCTGCTCAGGTTCCTTTTTTGTCTCAGCAGTCACCGCTTTCGGTTTGCACTTTGAGTAAGACCAATATGAAATGAAACAGATCTGGGCTAAATTGATTGCAAAGATGAGCCAGAGCAAGTAACTGTTTGATCCAGTGGAGCAGGGACAGACAGGCATGGCTACGGATTGTTGCATTTGTTTTAAAGGGGGGCTGTTGTTGTTCGGCAGATAGGATTGTCGACTTTTGCCTGCAACTGGAATTGCATGGAATGATACATTTTTTATATCTTATCTTAGTCTCAACTTACCTTCATTTTCCATCTCCTGTGATGACACCAAGCCAAGAATGATGCACAAAGAAACGATTTTCAAACACATGTTGCTCTCAACCTTTTTCTTTGTTTTCTGACGAAAATTTGAAGCCGCAGGAAACTTTTTTCGTTATCAGTTAGAACGTCCTGCTATTTAAAAGTTTCCTTTCATATCCAAACCGCAATAAAATTATTGCTCGTCAGATTAAATTATCATCACAGCTCTAGCCACAAGTTTTCCCAGTATAATTTCATCAGCTACATAAAAAAAATACATAATTTATGACCTCAATAAAAGATCTAATAAAATTTTAAAGGTTTTTAGTCTCTGATGAATATTATCGAATATAACCAAATAAATGAGCATCAATCAGGTCTTGAAGAATGGAAAAGCGTTTCTTCTAGAATCTAGAAAAATTATTTATTCTTGTAGAGTACTAATTATTTTATAAAAATTGATGTGATTTTTACTCACTTTGAAAACAATTTTAATTTAAAAAAAAAAAAAATATGAATATTGTTTAAATTTAACGTAAAATTTCATTGTTCCAGGCTTTGCTCAATGAGGGTACTGACAAGGATTTTGATCCTTTTGCCGATCGGCGTCGGCCCACGATTGCCGACCGCGAGGATGAGTACCGTCAGAAGAGGCGCAAGCTGATGATTTCGCCTGAGCGAGTTGATCCTTTCGCCGAAGGTAACCTATCATTTGCCAACGACCAGTAGTCTATAGTTGGAATAGGACGGGCCCAGAGGGGACTGACAGTTGAATGAATGGGACATGCACCGCCAATTGTGCACATTAATCTAAAAGCAAATAATTTCACAGGGACTTATACTTAATTATCTTAATTCAGTTAATATCTTTTTAAATGCAAAAGAACTTCATCGTAAAAGATCTTATAAATAAATTAAATAATCAAAGAGCTTTACAATTACTTTTATTTCCTCTAACAAACAGAAGAAACTTTGTGAAGAAGCAATAGGAAATCTGATTTTATATCAAAACGCTGTAAAATTTAATTTTCCTTAGACGTCTTCATTGAGTTTTAAACTAATTAAGAAGTGTATCAAAGTTTTGACTTGAAGCACAATTTGGTCGGTGTGTGTAGTTTGGAGGCGTGAATGGATCAGAAACAGCAGAATACTAATGTCGTGTGCCTTTTTGAGGAGCTGCGTCGGAGGCGCGAAGGGCCTGAGGGTGGCCGCGGGATGCGAGCCGGCCACCCTTCTTGAATGACATAGAAAGAGTGAATGTGCTGATGTTGAGACACTGTCACTAATGCCCGTAGATAATTTCAGGTGTCTGATTATCAGTCTGGCCGGCTGAGCGCCCCCTTGTGCTGCCGCACGTACGTATTCACTCTGAGCAGGGTTCGCCCAGGTTTTCGAATACCTCTAACTAGTTTGGATTTTTACAGAAAAATCGTAGGACATTTGAAAAAACCTCACAAGAGAATTTCAGGCCCCCTTCTTGCAGGACTCTTCTTTTATTTCCATTCTTGTCCTTTTCAGTAACTTTTTGTTGAATTTTTTTCATCATTATAATAATTGATTGTTAAAGATAAAAAAAGTTATCTTTGTTTATAAATTAATTAAAAAATAACTTAGCACTTATTCATTATATTGCAAATGTGCTTTCTACACTCCCTGAAAACTCTGTTATTGGTTTTTTCAACAAAAACCTGGGAACGATCCCTCTCCCTGGATCCGCAGCCCCCATCATATTTAAATAAGAATCATATGTTTCTTTGCAATCTGTGCAAAGAAACTCGTTTTCTGTTCAGTTGCCTTACTTCAATTCTGTTTACAGGAGGAAAAACTCCAGATGTCGGCTCCAGGACTTACACCGAAATTATGCGGGAGCAGATGCTTCGAGGAGAAGAATCTGAGGTATTTAATAATTAAAATATAGATAAGGATGCAACTTTTAATCTTAATTTTTAAAAAAGGTGCATTTTGCCTAATTATTTTACATTTTTCTCATATATTTTTATTACTCGTAAATCAGGTCCGTAAAAAGATAGCTGACAAAGCAAAAGAAGGCACCCTTAACGGTGACAAAGCAAAGAAACGCGGACGCTGGGATCAGGCAGCAGAACCAGAACCATCTGCCAAGAAAAAGGGCACCAGCACCACGCCTGGCCGAAGCTGGGAGGAAGACTCGGCTGTAAGTTGATCTCAAGTATGAAATTCCTTCACTGTCTAACTTCTTGTGTTTCTCTCACAATCAGACAACCCCAGCACACACTCGTTGGGATGAAACTCCGGGTCATGTTGGTCAAACTCCTGGAGCTACTCCTGGCCAGTCGACCAGAATGTGGGATGCCACGCCAGGCCATATCACTCCTGGCCATGACAAAGGAGCAACTTCAGCGAGGCGAAACCGCTGGGATGAAACTCCCAAGACAGAAAGGGAAACGCCGGGGCACTCTGGTTGGTCGGAAACTCCGAGAATTGACAGAGTTGCGCCCGAAGACACCCCTTCTGCTTCAAAGAGACGCAGCAGGTAAGCAATTATTTAATGTATTGAGTTTAAAAAAAATTGTTTTGAAAAGATCCCCATTACTTAAATTATGTTTTTATCATCTAAGGTGGGACGAAACTCCTCTGGTGGCCCAAACTCCGCAGACTCCATCAATGACCCCATCGATGACCCCAACGGCAACTCCGGTTGGTCCTAAGGCTATGGGTTTGGCAACGCCTACCCCTGGGCACTTGGTCAGCATGACGCCTGAGCAGCTGCAGGCTTTCCGATGGGAAAGAGAAATTGATGAACGCAACCGCCCTTTGGCTGATGACGAGTTGGACTCGATGTTTCCTCCGGGTTACAAAGTTCTCCCGCCTCCAGCAGGCTACATCCCGATCAGAACTCCTGCTCGCAAGCTGACGGCCACTCCAACACCAATGGCCGCACAAGGCACACCAGCTGGCTTCTTTATGCAAAAGGAAGAGGTTGGTCCAAGCAAATACATGGAAAATCAGCCGAAGGACTTGCCCTTCCTCAAACCTGAAGACGCCCAGTACTTCGACAAGCTGCTGCAGGATGTAGATGAGGACAGTTTGCCTCAGGAAGAACAAAAGGAGATCAAGATTATGCGGCTGCTTCTGAAAATCAAGAATGGAACGCCTCCAATGAGAAAGTCAGCCCTCAGGCAGATCACAGACAAAGCCAGGGAATTTGGAGCAGGCCCACTATTCAACCAAATTTTGCCTCTGCTTATGTCGCCAACCTTGGAAGACCAAGAACGACATTTGCTTGTGAAGGTGGGAATTGTTCTAATTCAACTATAAAATTCCCATTGAAAATGTTTTATTCTTCCCCATTGTTTTAATTTATTACTTACTTTTATTAACAGGTCATTGATCGAGTTCTATACAAGTTGGACGACCTTGTGCGTCCTTACGTGCACAAAATTCTGGTTGTTATTGAGCCGTTGCTGATTGATGAAGATTACTATGCTCGTGTAGAGGGCAGGGAAATTATTTCCAACTTGGCCAAGGCCGCTGGTCTTGCTACGATGATCAGTACCATGAGACCTGACATTGACAACATAGACGAGTATGTCCGAAACACCACTGCCAGAGCGTTTGCCGTTGTTGCCTCTGCTTTGGGTAAGAATTTTTTCCCAGAAGTTTCTCACAAGCATTTTTAATTACACCAAAAGTACAGTTCAAGTGAATATTTTCAGTGCGATGTCCACTGATTATGTTACACATGCCATGTTTTGTCCACAGGTATTCCATCGCTGTTGCCTTTCCTTAAGGCTGTGTGTCGCAGCAAGAAGTCTTGGCAGGCCAGGCATACTGGCATCAAGATTGTGCAGCAGATTGCTATTCTTATGGGCTGCGCTATTTTGCCCCATTTGAGGTCGTTGGTTGAAATCATTGAACATGGGTTGGTTGACGAACAGCAAAAGGTACACAATTATTCTAAATTCTACCCTGAAAATATCTAAACAGTATTATAAAGCATTTTTAAAGCAAGATTTAATCTTCTTACTGAAATAAATTTAATAAAACTTTTTTATTTCTTCAATCAGGTTCGAACTATAACAGCCTTGGCCATTGCCGCTTTGGCTGAAGCAGCAACACCTTACGGTATTGAAAGTTTTGATTCAGTGCTGAAGCCGCTGTGGAAAGGTATAAGGACACACAGAGGCAAGGGTTTGGCTGCTTTCCTGAAGGCTATAGGCTACCTGATTCCGCTGATGGACGCCGAGTACGCCAACTACTACACTAGGGAAGTGATGTTGATCCTGATCCGAGAGTTCCAGTCTCCAGACGAGGAGATGAAGAAGATTGTGTTGAAAGTGGTGAAGCAGTGTTGCGCCACAGATGGTGTTGAGGCAGCCTATATTAAAGAGGAGATTTTGCCTCACTACTTCAAGCATTTCTGGAACCACAGGATGGCCCTGGATAGGAGGAATTATAGGCAGCTCGTCGACACAACTGTAGAAATGGCCAATAAGGTACACTCTAAGATATAAATTGGAATTGAAATATTAATTTAAATTTTATTTTAATTATTAATTAGGTTGGAGCAGCTGAGATGATTGGCAGGGTTGTTGACGACTTGAAAGATGAAAATGAGCAGTATCGTAAAATGGTAGTAGAAACCATCGAGAAAATAATTTCCAACTTGGGTGCCGCAGACATTGATTCTCGATTGGAAGAGTTGCTTATTGATGGCGTCCTGTACGCCTTCCAGGAGCAGACTTCGGAAGATGCTGTGAGTTAAAGATTTCTAAAACTAAAATCATTAGTCCATTTCAAACCCTGATTTTTCCAGGTGATGCTCAATGGTTTTGGAACAATTGTAAACCAACTTGGCAAGAGAGTAAAACCATACCTACCACAGATTTGCGGTACAATTCTGTGGCGTTTGAACAATAAGTCGGCTAAAGTTCGTCAGCAGGCTGCAGATTTGATTTCAAGGATTGCTGTTGTCATGAAGACCTGTTTGGAAGAAAAACTGATGGGCCATCTTGGAGTGGTCTTGTACGAGTACTTAGGAGAGGAGTACCCTGAAGTGCTTGGTTCTATTCTTGCCGCTCTGAAGGCAATTGTCAACGTCATTGGTATGACCAAGATGACGCCGCCTATCAAAGATTTGCTGCCTCGACTCACCCCCATTCTTAAAAACAGACACGAAAAGGTAGGGACTTAAAAGAGTTGAGTCGATTTGTTTTGCTTAATTTTTTTTTCATTAAAGGTGCAAGAAAACTGCATCGACTTAGTGGGACGTATTGCTGATCGAGGTCCGGAATACGTGTCTGCCAGAGAATGGATGCGAATTTGCTTTGAGCTTCTGGAATTGCTGAAGGCGCACAAAAAAGCAATCCGTCGAGCCACTGTCAACACCTTTGGCTACATTGCCAAAGCTATCGGCCCCCACGACGTGCTTGCAACCCTGTTGAACAACCTGAAAGTCCAAGAACGCCAGAATCGTGTGTGTACGACTGTAGCCATTGCGATCGTGGCTGAAACTTGTTCACCCTTCACCGTCCTGCCTGCCTTGATGAATGAATACCGTGTCCCTGAACTCAATGTGCAGAACGGCGTCCTCAAGTCACTTTCCTTCTTATTCGAATACATTGGTGAGATGGGCAAAGACTACATTTATGCAGTAACACCTCTTTTAGAAGATGCTCTCATGGATAGAGATTTGGTAAGTTTTTCCTTATAAAAAAATTAATTTTTGGTGCCAGCATCTATTTTCTTCTGTAATTATTTATAAACGGTAATGAATAAAATAAATGTTTTAATTTCAAGGTTCATCGGCAGACAGCTTGTGCAGCAATCAAGCATGTAGCTTTAGGTGTTTATGGCTTTGGCTGCGAAGACGCCCTTATTCATTTGCTGAATTACGTCTGGCCAAATATATTCGAAACGTCTCCTCATTTGGTTCAGGCTTTCATGGATGCTGTGGAAGGAATGAGAGTGTCGCTAGGTCCAATCAAGATTTTGCAGTACACCCTTCAAGTGAGTTAATTGACGTTTTTACTCGTGCATTGTGTTAATACAAATTTTAATTTCCAGGGCCTATTTCATCCTGCAAGAAAAGTGCGAGACGTGTACTGGAAAATATACAACTCTCTTTACATCGGTGGGCAGGACGCACTCGTTGCTGGCTATTCCAGAATTGCTAATGACCCCAAAAATCAGTATCAGCGCTATGAATTAGATTATGTCCTTTAAAATGCTTATGTTGAACGTTGTGCAATCATTATTATTGTGGATTGTGGGGGTTAATTGCAAGTTTGCAATATTTCGGCTTTAGAGTCTGCTATTTTTGGGGTTACTGCGTCAGCATCATAAGGAGATTTTTATTTAGCATAATGTTTTCATTTTTTCTTGCAAGTTTTTTAAGTTGTAAATAACAGGAATCAATAAAATAAAAATTTAATTTTGCTTGTATCATTCTTTTGCATTTATCAGTGCAGATCCTAAATGCCACTATACAAAATCAAAACAGCTTCGTAAGAATTGCTTCGTGATCTTCATAATTACTTTGTTCTCAGGAATTTCCTTTTTTGAGTAGCCTGTAACTAGGGTGGGTTACTGCCTTGAATGTGATTTCGTATAAAATGATCCTGTATCACAAATTTCTACATCCTTTTTAATATCTCTGACGCTCTACTTAATATTTCCAGTTGGGATCCCATTGTTTGATTATTTTAAAGTTACTCTTTTAGTCAAAAAGTTTGAAATTTCAAGTAAAAAGTATTGTTAAGTTAAACTCTTAGTATTATTTATTATTATTTTACAACAAAATTAAAGGTAAATCACCGCCGCCTCTTGTTATCTCTACGTTCGTCATCATGACTGATGCTCCTTTCTCGACGCCTCTTCTTGTCAGAGTCCCTGGGATCCCTATGATCTTTCCGATCCCTATCTCTCCTTGGACTTTGATCTTCATCCCTGACGTCCCTGTCCCTCCTCCTGGGACTTCTCTTCTGGTTTCTCTCTTGAACCCTGTCCCTTCTTTTTGGACTGTCATCCCTTCCTCTCCATTTTGGAACTTCTTCTCTTCCTCTCCTCTTTGGGCTGTCATCTCTATTCCTCCAAATGTTTCTCCTCCTAGGGCTCCATTCCTCAACGTTCCTTTTCTGACTTGAATCATCGTCACTGCTTGCTTTGCCTTTGTTTTTCTTCTTCTTTTTCTTCTCCTTCTTTTCCATTTTCTCAAGTTTCCTAAAGTGGTTTTTAAGGTAAAATAAATTGCAAAATTGTGTGATATAATTATATCTTACTTGAGTAGTTTCTGCTTTTGCTTCCTGGACAGTCCTTTGAAGAACTTGCTCTCTTCGTCCTCTTCTTCATCCGACTCAATCAAATTTGAAGCCCTGACAGGAAGATGTGTTTGGGCCGCAAGAGCATTCCTCTTCATTGCGAGTCCATCGTCCCTCATAGCAGCCACCAAGCTTAGGGCGTCGCTCTCCTCAACATCATCGGAGCGGCTCATGGCCTGTGCAAATAACGGGCACTCCCGGTCTGTGTTGATGTGGCCCCACTTGTGACACTTGATGCACCGCACGTTTCGTACTTGAATACCGAACGGTTGATCTTGGATTTCAGAGTCACCTTTGCAGTAGCTAAAATGTTCATTAGTAACATAGCAAAAAATTTAAAAGATTCTTACTCTTCTCGGGGAGCATTGTATTTCCGCTGCCACTCGAATTTGTACTCAGGCTCATCATCCTCCTTTTCCCTCTCCTTCTTGGCACCCGGTGGAGGCTCGTACAAAAAGTTAACGCTCAATTTGTCTTTGCTTTCGCTACTCAGCAGAGCCCTGAGAAAAAATTAAATGTGTTTAAAAAAATTAAATACATATATTTATAAATGGGAACTCACTTGTTGTTGTAGAGGTCCTGTTCCTTCTCATACTGCTGCCTCAGCTCATCCTGCTTTTTTCTGTAGGCAACATCTTTTTGCTCGGCCATCCATACCTAAAAATTAAATATTTCAGATAAACATACATAAATAAATTACTTTTCGTGGCCATTTTGCGCGTATCATGCGTATGAAATTATTTTTGTTCATACCCGCTTCAGGTTGTCTCTAGAGGCTGGATGGAAGAATTTTTTGCACATGTAGTTATTAAAGCCTTTCCCCATTGTGATAAGCGAAATCCAAAATCCTCAGAACTACGTTAAAACTTTTGAAACTTTTTTTCGAGGTCAGATTTTGTGCTCGATGCTCGATCCTTCTATTCCCTTTTTTCTTTTCCTGTCAAAACAAAACAACACAACAGCTATGACGTCTGGTGGGCAAATTCTAAAGCTTTCGGCTTTCGGCATCTCCATTTCGACGACAGCGCGCACCCTCTGCTGCCAAACTGAGAAGCAAAAATCGAGAGAAAGCGTCTTCGAAGGACCACCCCTTAACCCATGCTGCTGCGCTCAACTTGTCTGGATCCCAAGTCTGATCTCTGACTTGTGGTTTGTTGTTGTTTTGATTCCGGTTAGTTCATTCAGAAGTTTCCCCGCAAACGAAACGAACCTCTTGTGTCAAACTTTACCCTTCGTTGACAAAAAGACTGCAGTGACCAGTGACTGCACATTTGAAGCCGACCGAAGCCGACATTAATTTATGTATTAATTGCACTGGACTATGGTAAGTTTTTTTTGAAAATTGTTTGAATTTGTTATTTATGTATGACTGTACATTATATTTTTAATTCGCGGGTTTAAATCGGACTAATGCATTTTATTGTTGTATACTAGTGTAAAAAAATTGTAACAAAATAATATTTCTTGCAAATAATGGATGAAATGAAATGAATAATCCTTAAAAGAAGATTTTGTGTTTTCAAATTCTATAACAGAAAATATTTATATTTTTTAAATTTTCAAATATGCATTCAGTATATATCTGTATTTTGCAATTTCGATATGTTGTAGTTTTAGTTTCATTTTCGTTAATAACGCGCAATTTCATGATATTTTTGTTACTTCAAATTGTTTGGTTTATACAAGTTAATTTGTTTTTGAATGATTTTAAAATTAACAAAAATCAACAAAATTATAATTTCACACGAAACACGTGGAACTTTAACAAATTAAAGACTTTCAAAAACTTAAACGGTATATTTTTTTAAAAGGTATTTATGTGGATTTACTGAAACTATGCGGGAAAAAGCTTTGAAAAAATTATAACAGAAAAAACACTCGCACACTAACAATTATCTGATAATTTAACGATTTATATTCATAATTGGGAATTTCAACTACCGCAAAAAGCGCAATTTGCGCTTTTTAATGTTCTTCTTTTTTTTCTGTCTCCACAGGATCTGATATGTGGTGACAATAATTCCCTGCGATGATGATACAACAACCAGAGATGAGGCTTCTTTTCCTCCTCTTTTCTCTCAGCCTGCTCGAGATCGGCTGTCAGAGTGACCTAGACGCGCCTTTGCGGTAAGGAAAAGCATTTCTATTTTTTTTTTCATTCAGAATTTTTGAAAGGTTTATAAAACTTAATAATTATTTCTTTTGATAATCTTAAATAAGTTGAGCATTTATTCAGCATTTCTTGCACATCAGCATAATATATTTTATATTTATGAGCCAAAGGCGCCACTAAAAGGCACTTAAAATTAATTTGTGAACACCATTAGTCAGCACACAATTCATCTCTCTCATAGAGAATAATCAATTAGCAGCGCATCATCTCTTCTCATTTTGAAACGACTGCTCTTAATTAATTTCTGTACAGTCACACACGCACTTAAAAAAAACTATACAAGGAAGGGTCTCTTTCTCTACATCTCATTCAATTTTTCTATTTTAAGGCACAGTGATAGGCAGGAAGTTCTTGCTGTTTCCTAATCTGGGCGCCAGCCTCAAGTGGACGCCCTTATCGTCCTCGCCCACGTTGAGGAAAGTGTTCAGATCGAGCAAGAAGTAGAAGCCGTTGGGTTTGGGCGGCGGCAGACTTTCGTCGGGCACCTCGTCGCCGCCTCCGCCGAACGAACTCTCGAGGTCGGCGATTGAAGGACTGCCTCCCTCGGTGCTTGTCTCCTTCTCCTCAGCGTCGGCCGAGGAGGACGTTGTTGTTGTTGATGACGTCGTCGTTGATGACGAATCAGTGGTGCTGCTCGATTCGGTGTCCTTGTTCTGCCGCTTGTGCACGTCATTGTGCGTGTCAGTGCCAACGTAGTCCTCTTCAGAGGTCAGCGGGTCGGGCCCGTCATTTTGGCTCAATCCCTGCACCTGAAAAGTCAAAAGGGAATGAAAATTTAAAGAAAAGGGAAAATAATATGGAATTTGAAAAATATATTTAATTTTAAATAAATTAAATTTACGTATTTAATTTGAATTCCATTAAAAAAATAGCTTGCCGTATTATATTGTATTTTTTAAATAATATTTAATTGGAAATTTTATCCAGACCTTCATTGATAGTTTAATTATGCAACTTTTAACGAAAAAGAACTTTTTAAGTATAAATTTATCTTTTCTTAACTTTAAATTTCTCAATAGATTGATTTTTCAATGGTATATATTTCTGTGTGAAATTATCTCAACCTTAGGATTTTAGAAGTTTGAAATCTAAATTTTTTTGACCGTCCTTCTGTATTTCCTTTTTTTTTAATTCTATAAACAAAAGTTTATATTATTAATGCCAAACCTTTCTGTATTTGGACTGCAGCTTCGCAAACTCGGCCTTCTCGTCCTGTTTGACGTTAACAACCTTGATGGTTTGAAGAATGTCCTTGAGCTTCTGCTCCATAGAGTCATTCAGAGGCGCCGCGTCTGTTGGATTGAAAACAAACTCATGGTTGTTAGAGGACCTCTCCTGCAGAATGGAATTCAATCCAGGAGTCTCGTTAGCCTCGATCTCTTCAGCAGAAATGTGGGGCGCCAAGCCGAGGTCGAACAGAACCCTCTTCATCTCGTTGGTCATGCTGTCCGGGTGGAGGGTTGGAATTGCCTTCAGCACTTCTGGGGTCTGCGGCTCCTTTTGCTTGATCTTCATGTCTGATTTGATTTCCTCCTGCTCATCGGCCGGTCCCTCAGTTAGGGTAGCAGGGGTGGTCAGTTGACGACTGGAAGTGTGTCTGTCTACCAGACCGAACTGAGCCAGCAACTCCTTCATCTCCTCGTCGACGTTCAGCCTGTCTGAAATGGGTTTGAAACTCGAGTACGAACTGACATCCACAGACGGCAGCACTGGCTGACCTGCCGATGGGTTGAAGTCGTTTGACTGCTGCAGGACTCCGTACTTGGCCAGCAACTCCTGGATCTCGGGGCTGAAGGTGTCTGCTGGCTGAGGTGCAGGCGTCGTTGTAGTGGTCGCAGGCACAAGACCGATTGACGCCAGTAGGTCCTTGATGTCCGGTCTGATGACAGGTGGTGGCAGAGTGATGTGAACAGGCGTGGGCAGCCTCTTTGGTGGCGTAGGCGTCACTACCAGGGTGGTTTTTGTTCTCTGGGTGGATGACTGAGGCGGGGGGGCTGTGGTAGTCTCCACAATTCGCGTCTCCGGCTTCTTGGTGTACAGGTCCTCGAGAGTGGAAGTATTTGACGGTGACAAGGGCATCACCAGCATCAAAGACCGCTCCTTCTCCGGCTGCAGCAATTCTGGAGGAGCGATCGCGGTCACAGGGGCAGGCCCTCCACTCTCCTCAGCGATCAGGTCGAGGCCTGGCTCCAACTCACTGTAGTACGGCTCGTCGTCCACTTCCATGTCGTCCCGCGTTCCAGATGGCAAGGCTGTAGCCATGGCCACCCATGCTGCTAGCAGCAGCTGAAATGAAAAATAATTATTAGCGTTATTAGGAGAAAAGATAATTTTAAATAAATAGAAAATTGAATTATGGTTGCATCGCATCTTTAAAAAATGCGTTTTTATTTTTAATATGCTTAAGCAAGCAATCTAAAAAAATTCAAAACTTGATAAATTATAATGCTGGAATTTATAGCTAAAAAATTAAAAATTTGCTAAATATGTAGTAATAATTTAAATGCGTAGAGATTGATTATAAGAATACTTTCCTCGGGTTTTGCAAGCTTTTTTTAAGTACTATACAGAACAAAAGGTCTTGTGTTTGCACTCAACAATGAATGCAAATTAGAGGCCTAATTTCAACTTTGTAATTGATGCATTTTTTGTTCTATGGCCCACCTCTTAAATTATATGTGATTAGAGCAGAACAAAATTTATACTCGTCATTCTCTAAAATAAGTTCAACGTGATTCTATTTACAACGAAAAAACCTCAATGAAAAATAAAAGGCGAAGGCGTGCTTTTGCATGTGTTTTGTTATAGAACTAGCACACGTTTTGTCGCGGTTTCCCTCGCGCTGAGTGAGTATGCATATTGAAAGTGAAACGGTGAGAGGAAAGCCACAGACGTACAAAACGTGTCTGTCATCGCGCAAATTATTCTTCTTTCATCTAAAAAAGTTTCCCACTCGCGCTGCATCATTTGCCGGCAAAGACCGAAAAGTCATATCAAATAATTTATGCGGAAATATAGGCATTGTTTGGCAGTCGTATCATATACGCATAGCGGTTGACGAAAGAGTTCAGCTGCGAATCACGTTTTGCACATGACAGTTATTTACTTTTTGCTCGTAATGGCACCTGTAACTGCAGCATGACTTTCTTTGTGATCATATCTTTAATGATGAGGCATATCGCACTGCATTTAATCAGTAATTTTTTTAAAGTGTCTTTAATTTCTCATTTAGGATAATGCAGATGTTATTCTGCACACATTATTTAAAAAAAATCAATAAATAAATGCAGCAAAATTGATGATAGCCGAAAATGAAACTAGATGTTAATGAACTTGAAATTCGAAATTATTTTTGGAATCGGTCCAAATAAGTTGGCAAAGAAACTATGGTGTGCGCATTATTTAGTTCAGCTGCTCTGCGTCATGTGCGTCCTGGAGAAAGTCGAAGAGTAAACAAAGCGGAGAGCCGCTTATTCTCTTTCGCGAAATTGCCAAGTGGAACGTACACAATTTTTTATAAATTCCAAAGCTCAAAATTTTCAGAAAAATTCCGATTCCTTGAATGTACTTACGTATATCCTCATAGCAAAGGACGTTTCAGGTGCGCGCGGTGTGCCTGACGCAGTTGAGGTGCAACTCGCGACTGGCGCTGCAAGGTCGCGCGGCCCACTTTGCCGCTCTCGAGCCCCCACCTCGAGGGCCTCCGGCTCTCGAACCTTTGGCTCGTTGCTTTGAAACAAATCTTCTGACCGATACAGAATATAAAAATATACAACGTCTCGCCTAGTGTAATTAACACCTTTTCTCAGCCATACCTGTTCTTTATTGAGGTGTGGAAATTTTTGTAAAAAAAAATTATTGCTGTTTATTGATAGAGAATTCAAATTATTTCTTTGATCAAAACCTACATTATTTAAACTTTGAATTATTGAAGTTTTTTTTGAGCCAACCATTAATTAAATTTTATTTTGACCTAGATTTAAAAGTTTGAAAAGTTGATGTTTTGATTCATTACATTTCCAATCAAATGTGCAATGGAAAGGTATTTTAATTTTTCATTTCACAATTTTTTTCTAGGGGTATATATTTGTACATTTTTATTTTCCTTAAATATTATGTATTATATAATATTAATGCCACTTTCCTAATAATAATAGCATTAATCATTTTATTTGTGTCGTCAGAAAGAGAAAATATAAATTATTTGATCATGGCAGACTTTCAATCAAGTTCCTAATAATGATCGATTTATTTGAAAACGAGAGGAAGTAATCAGAGGTGACTGGCCAGCCGGCTCTTATGATTGTCTCCGCCGAATTTGAAAGTGCTCAATTAAAATGCAGCTGGGAGGAAAAAAGCAAAACGAAAGTGTCTTGCTCATGCTTATGATGTTCGTCGATCGCGCGCGGGATGATTCTCTATACATTTACGCACTCGCCGCGCAGTCATGAATCATGCAATGAATATCCCGATCGAGAGTTTCAAAAAGCATGCATGCATGAATCTAGCTTTGTAAATAAATCTAATGACGCTTTTCATATTACGGTCTCGTCTCATGAGACTTACGCGATGGAAGAGCGAAAGTTGCACTAGGCAGCAGAGCGAAACCTCTATATCTGCAGCCGACCAGTTGGTTGATGATTGCGATAATACTCTGAGAGAGGAGCAGTGAGACAATTTCTCACAAAATGCGTGACAAGGCCGTCTAACTAAAAAACATAGTGATTTGTTTGATTGACTGAACGAGGTTGTTGTTTTTCTTCTTCTAAATTTAACGCTAGATAAAATTAAAAAAAAAATCATTTTTTTTCTTTTTCAGAGCTATCTGTGGTCAGCAGTAATAACAATTGGAATCTTAATTCATTTTAAATTTAAAATTAATTTGCTTTTGAAGTGAAATTCATAGTGTTTCTATGACTTTTGACTTTAAAGCACAATGCAAAAGTAAAATGCAGACTATGGTGAAAAAGTCACTGAATAATACTATGATTTATGTTCATTTAAATGTTGCTAAAAGTGCAATAACTTCTCAAGACGTCTGATAATATTATTAAATTTTACAACTCCTCTCAATTAAAAAAAAATGTAGATTTCCAAGTCGTTGAGGCACGCGTTTTACTCCACGATTGCCTTGTTAATTGAGTTTGTGGCTCGACGTGCCGCTTTTATCTTGGACCAGCTAATCAAGTATCTAACCGCACTCTACGTAATTGCGAATAAAAAAGTAAGGCGAGGCCTTCCGCTCGCGGCCTTGGTGATTCGCTCGCGCTCTTTTCCGCGAATCTTGCGCCAACTACTTGCCTCTTTTTCTTTAAATAATCACATAATTTAAAAAAAAAACCTAATCTTAGATTTTAGATTTTAATTTTGATTTCCTAATATCTGTAAGAAATGAATTAATTGAAGATAAGTATATCAGCTCAGTAAATTTAATACATTCTTTAATTGGGTTGTTTGAAAATTATCGTTCTTCCTGAGCAAATTCTAAAATAATTCTATGTGATATGAATGAATTTTAGTACTGTTCTTGGCACCTGTTAATAAAGAACAGACGGCCAACTGCGCTCTGTGCATACCTAATTAGACTGGTGACCCGACCGTTTCCCAGCAGTGATAACTGTTTTTTAATCGTCTTCAAAAGCTCCGTAAAACCAAAATATTCTAAATTCCTGAGCTTTTTTTACTCCTAATTAATAGTCAAAAATTGAAATAAGCGGAAATAAGGACAATTTTCTTTTAATTTTCAGCTGGAGATTTAAATAATTGAAAAAAAAAAACATTAGAATTTCCTAATTGTTGATTGTAGCGTCCTGGATGAACTTGTTAGTGTCGATGACCGTCTGGATGAGGCCCTGCTCGTCGCCGTTGCTGATGCACACCTGCATTTGGTCGAGGCAATCGACGAGAACGCGCAGGTGCTGCGGACTCGGCTGCTCCCCAAGCAATTGCTGAATGGACAGCATGGTGCGATTGACGGCCACTTCCGTCACGTCCGTTTCAGACGACTGGTCATCCAGGCCCACTATCTGCACCAAACCTCGCAACTGGTCTTGCACCAGGCGAGCCAGCTCTTGGAAGCTTTTCAGTTGCACGTCTTGGCTAGCAAACAAATCTCTGCAAAATAAAATATTAATCAGATTCTAATTATTAGAGCCCAATAATAAATGAAAAAAAAAAACAAGCTCGAGCTGATTTTTAAATAAGCTATTCCTCCAAAAGAAAAAATATGCTGGAAAATTTTAATAAATATGGATAATACGGATAAAACATTTAACTATACCTGTCATGATCAAAGGTGGTAGCTTCAGCTTGCCACGTCTGCGTTTCCAGTCCACTGTCTTTCAGTTTCTGCTTTTTCTGCAAACTTGGTTGCTCCAAGTTGTCAATCTCGCAGACGAACTCTTTCAGCTGGCTGTAAGGGCACTTGTGGGCCACCGAATCTTTGATGCACTGAATCAGACAATCGCACTTTTGCTGCACCTCCCCGTCCTGTGAACGTTCTTGAAGCCTCACCAGCCGCTTGATCAGTTGATCGGCAAACGCTTGAAGAGCCTTTTCGTCAGGGCAAGAAGTTAAAAATTTGAATTATTAAGATTTGAAAGGTTTTGTACGTGAGCTCTTTGGGCTCGTTGCTCGCTGTTGTCGTTGTGCAGGATCTCGATGGTCTGCCTGATGGCGCGCACCCTCGGTCCGGTGGGTAAGGCGGTCTCAAAGGTGACATTCTCGCCACTCTTGTCGCGCATCAAACATGTCAGGGTCGAAAAGTCGTCGCTCAGTTTGGTGCTCACGTGAGCAATGTCACCGCCAAGCAGGGCATTTTCCACGCCAATTTTGTTTTCGCTCGACATTTTCAGATTACGTTTAGGTTTTGTGCTCTTTTCAGAAGTTTCCTCTCAACAATGAAAACGAAAATTCAAATTTCAACAAATTCTGAAGTCTTGCATTGTTGGTATATTTCCAGAAGAAAAAAAGGCTTTCAACAGAGTCACTTTTGTTTTGGAATCTTTTTTAAAGAAAACTAATAACTTCAATAAATAAAAATTTATTTTAATGCTCTAAATTATTATTTGAAAAAATTAGAAGCATTCACAGTGTGTATAAAAAACCTTTACGAGTTTTAATTAAAAATATATAAAAATTGATTTAAAAAAAAAAATTTTTTTAGAATGCAGAAATAAAAACAGATATTTTTCCTATTTAAGTGTATTGTTATAAAATTTTGTGTAAAAAGAAGTTTGCACTTATTTATTTTATTTCCTTTAGGCCCGAGAGTAGCTTTTTCTTGCGGCACAAAGTCATTCTGGACGGCGTGGAATCAAGCAGCTCTGGTAAACTTGACATTTGGCTTTCAATATAATAGCACACTTTCCCTATACCTTATTCACCTGCAGCCTTGACTTGTCTTGTTGGCGAGGCCATTGAACTGCCTATTGGCATGCTATTTGATTATAAGAAAGTTTTGCACTTCACGCTTCTCCTTTTGCTCTGTTAATAAATGGAATTATTAAAAAATATTTTTCAGACCATTTTGAAGACAAATGTGATAAGTGTCCGCAACTGTGCTCCAGTGACAAAAAGGGATGCTCATGTTTTAGGGGATTTGCTAAAATATCAGAGTTTCACTGTCAAGGTTTTTTAAGCAAAATTTCCATTATTCCTACACTTGTATTCTAGAGCTCCATAAATTTCAGATGTGGATGAATGCGCCAGTAACAAAGACTTATGCGGCCCCCACGGTAGATGCATCAACACTTTGGGCTCGTTTGTTTGCCGCTGCCAATTTGGGTTCCAGCCGCTGCCTTCTGGCAAGTGTTCTGACATCAATGAATGCTCTCTTGCTCTTAATAAACGTCCATGTGACCAAATATGCACCAATCTGCCTGGTAAATTTAAATAACCAATTTTTATTCTAAAATTATATTGATTTTGAACTTTTATATATTTCTAGGTAGTTACGAATGCTCATGTCAAAAAGGGTACGAACTCTTGGCAGGATCTGGAAAATGCCAAGACGTGAATGAATGTGTGCAGGAGGAAAACGTGTGCTCCCACTTGTGCGTCAACACTCCAGGCAGCTTCGTCTGTCGATGTCCATCGCCTTTAACCCTTTCCGATGATGAAAGAACTTGTTCCTCTGCAGTCAAAAGGCAAAGGAAGTCGCCGGCCCTGCTGTCTAAGACTCCCTTAAGAAATGAGCAAGAGGATATCCACCGGTGTCCGCACAAATGCCTTAACGGTGGCGTCTGCAAGGATGGCTCTTGTCAATGTCCATCAGGTGTATCAGGAAGAGTTTGCCAGACAGGTAGTTATAAATTTGTTTAGGAAAATGAAATAAATTAATTATTTTTACTAAGATATCGATGAGTGCTCTGTCTTGCCCGATGACATGAAATGCTCCCATTTCTGCATAAACACGTTTGGGAGCTTTCGATGTGGCTGTCGGGCTGGTTTTGCTTTGGCTGTCGATGCCAGGACTTGTGTCCTAATTTCCTGCACACCACCTTGCATGGGAGGTGGCACATGTCACAACGGTGTCTGCAAGTGCCCTCCAGGTTTAACTGGGCGGGCATGCGAAACAGGTTATTTCTAAATTTTATTAATTATTTTTTAATGCTATTTTTTAATTTAAAAAATACAGACATTGATGAGTGCCAACTTAGTAATCCATGTCAGCACATCTGCCACAACACACTTGCAAGTTTTGTGTGTCTGTGCAGAGGAAAGTGGCGCTTGGGCTCGGACGGCAAAAGCTGTGTCGAACCGACATGTGTGCCTCATTGCAGAAATGGAGGAGTTTGTCATCAAGGACGCTGTATCTGCCAACCAGGCTTCCATGGCAGGATTTGCCAATTAGGTAATTTGAAAAATATTTAAATTGTTCAATTTGATAATTTTAAATATTTTAATGTAGATGTAAACGAATGTGCCCTTGCCGAACAGCCCTGTCCCTATGCTTGCCTGAACACAATAGGAAGCTACCAATGTCTGTGTCCTGCTGGTTTTAAGCAGTCGCCAAATAGGACAGCCTGCCTTGTTAACTCTCAGGCAGACGAAGATAATCTGTTCAGCAACCTTGAAGTTGTGATAGAAGTGGTTGTGCAGGATGATACTCATTCCAGTTTTACCCGATACTATGTTACGCCTGTGCTACCATCAAAGCAAAAAACTGCCAGTTTTGTGCACAAGTCAGTGTTCCCTTATCAACCATTGTTTGAGAATCACAAGGAAATTTTGCACTTCGACCACTCTAAAAACGCTATTCCAAAACTAAACATTGATTCCCATTCCCACACCATTCCAACAATATTTAAGACTGAAGATCACATTAAAGTTCTTGAGGATAATTTTTATAATTCAGTGATTTCACCTTCTATTACTGAAAGTAGTATTTTACCTTTAAAATCTTTGCCGGCTTCTCAACCAGATGTGCATTTTGTAAAGGAATTAGAACCAACAAACAGTAGCACTGCTACGCCAGTGCTGCCTTTAGAAAGAAATTTGATAATAGCGTCCACCCTTATTGAGCTAACAAGGGTACAAGAAATTTCCTCATCAAAAAGTTTTCCGATATCTGTGACAGGAACTTCCGAAGAAAACAGCTTAATTAAAAATATCATTGCTGAAATTTCCACTGAAAATAATAGTGAAACTAATTTAACAACACCTGAGAAAAGCTTGGAAGAAATTACAGAACAAGACCGCACAGACAATAGTGAAGCAAGTGAATTCACTACTCTCAGCATTTTGGAAGAGACTCTGCCAGTAATAGAATGGACAACTGAGGAAACCAAAATTGAATCTGTGACCGAAACTGATCATGCCTTTGAAGAAGTTACTTCTCCGATCGACTTCAATGAATTTACTACTGAAACTTCAATAGGAAAAGATACAACTAAAACTTTTCTAACACATACTTCTTTAGAGATAACTACAGTAGCCTCAAAGCACAAGAAAATGAAGCAGAAAGCAAAAGGAAACCTAAAAAAGAAAAAGGGCAAGAACAAAAAGGGCAGCAAAATTTCTGCAATCAACAATAATCATCGGGTTCTGAGCCAAATATTAGACTCTTTTGGCATTGAGAACCACCAGGGTGACGCCAAGCATTTTGACTTAATAGACTTTGATAAAATCAGTGTCAAACAAGCCCAAGAGTTGACAACTCCAAAATCTTTTGATCTGCCCGTACTCAAATTTGCTCCATCTAATACTTCTGAAAGAGACTGCTACTACGGTAGAAACAAATTTAAGTCAAGAAGTCACTTTTTCAGAGACGAAAAGAACTGCACTCGCTGCTTTTGCAAAGTATGAAAGATTGAGTTTTTCCAAAATATATATTATTAACATGATAAAAATAATTAACAGAATGGTGAACTGAGGTGTGACCCTCGGCATTGTCCAGAACCAGGACGATGTAACAAACCGATTAAAGGTAATTGCTGTGACTACTGTCCAAGCGACTGTGTGATCGATAACCAGGTTTATCAGCCGGGAGAGGCATTTGTGCCCGAATTGGATCCTTGCAGGGAATGCAGATGTGAGGTATATATATAAAAATCAGTAAAAATACAGTCAATATATGAATTGAAATTTTTTAGAATGGAAGGACAACATGCACTGATTTACTATGTCCAGCGCTGCCGTGTCCAGCTAAGCACAGGGCGCAGCTGCCTGATGACTGCTGCCCATCGTGTGTGCCTCCTGGCCCAGGCTGCTTCTGGAACCAGCAGTTTTTCTACACAGGCCAACTTTGGGTGCAGCGCCAAGGTGGTTGTCAGGCATGTTTGTGCAGAGAAGAAGGAGTCGTGCAGTGCAACCCTGTGCCTTGCATTGTTGACTGTAGCCATCCTCAATTTGTTACTGGCGAGTGCTGCCCTATATGTGATGGGTGTCAATACCAGAACAAGAAATTCAGCAATGGCAACACTTTTAGGCACCTTTCCGACAACTGCAGCTTGTGCACTTGCATGGTATTTCTTTACTGCAAAAATTTAACTATTTCCGATTATTTCTCGTTTAAATTAACTTTTTGACGTATATTTTTTTAGAGTGGAAACATCTCTTGTTTTGAAGAGAGGTGCCAAGCTAGGTGTGGTCACCCTTACAAGCCACCTGGCAAATGCTGTCCAGAATGCTCCGATTGCTTCTTTGAAAGGGAGCACATCAAAGAAGGGTCGTCTAAAATATTTGGCAAGGAAAATGGAACATGCACCGAATGTTCGTGCAAAGTCAGTTGCTTATATCCCATTAAATTTTTATATTATTAAAGTTTTATTGCTTAGGCCGGAGAAATTCACTGCAGGGCAGCCGAGTGCTCGTTGAGCTGTGTGATCAGCAACGGGACTGTGGTTCCATCCGGAGAACATTTTACAAAACCAAATGATCACTGCACAAAATGCAAGTGTCACGAAGGTCAAATAGGCCAATGTGAAACACAAGCTTGTGTTGACCAATGTGAATTTGGTGTTTTGCTTCCAGGCGCCTGCTGCGTTCAGTGCAACATGTGTGATTATAAAGTGAGTTTTTTGCAACTTAATTTAAAAGTTTTTGCTTTATAACATCGATAATGTCTATAGGGAAAAATTTATGTAAACGGGCAGAGCTTTAAGGAGCCTTCAGATTTGTGCTTGGACTGCACATGCAACAATGGAAATGTATTGTGCTTTGACAACTGCCCCGAGGGATCAGGAAACACTCAAGATGATGAGGTCGATGAGGATTATGATGATGACAGTGAAGAGGAATAAAATGTTAATAAAAAAATCCATGAATGAAAAATATTTCTGTTCATTTTTTTCTGAAATGAAGTTGAACTAGTCGAAAAAATAAAACAAGATGGAATAAAAATTCTACATAAATATATCTTTTTTTAGAAGTCCCTCTAAATTCCACTAAACTTAGTTCTTTTAGCATTAATCAAATTTAGTGTCTGTAGAAAATAAAAGTCGCAGTGTTAAAGAGTTATAACTATTATTAATATGGCAAGTCTTTGTATGTTCAACTTAACATGAAGCTCCAAAAATGGCTTGAAACATTATAAAGATAATGAATTTCATACAACTGCTACAATTGTTTTACGTTTTACAAAAGTGCTTGGAACGAGACTCATTTTAGTCAAAGTAATTAATATCTTATATCTGGTTATATGGCAGACTAGGTAATGACTTTTTTCCGTAACCGAGGTCTCTCTTGTATTTCTTGTAACATACCCTCAGTGCCCTCACTTGTTAAGTCTTTTATTCAGTAGAGTGGTAAACGTCTTTTGCCTCTTCCGCATCACTCTCATCACTGCTAATGCTGGCATCGGTTGCAGCGACCACACCTTTGGCGATAGCATCATTCCCCACAGTGTCCTCCACCTCAGCTACAAGTTGAGCAGGGCACTCAAAATGCACAACATGGAAAACCTGCGCAATTGTAATCTCAGTTTCTCGGTTCTCATTCTGAGCAAAATTGTCTCTAAAATAGGAGAAACTTGCCTCATTGGCAGTGTTGTGCACACCGACAATTTTAATAAAAACCACTGGTCTCTTCTCAAAACGGAGAAGCTGCCATGATCTGCAAGGCTCTCTGGTCTTGTCGGCAATCATCGACCAGTCTGTGTTGTTGACAGACACCTCTACATAATAACTGTAAGCTCTCATGTCACAGTCCCATAGCAAAAATCTATAAAAAAAATTCAATGGAACTTCATTTTTTATTTTTAACAGAGATATAACCTGATTGAGTCAAGCATGTATGGCTGACCAAGCTGAACAACAATGGCCCCACTGCCCAGCTGGTGGCAGGTGTAGCCAGAATCCCAGTCGTAGGTTTTAGTATCTCCATTCAGAAGCGCATTTCGACTTCGACTCACTCCTTCAATCACAGACGCACTGAGCGACTGAACAGCAACATTCTCGGTAGGAACTGTGGATGGTTTAATTCGGTCAATTTATAAATTAGAGAAAAAATGTCTTACCAATCATGTTTTTCTCAACAGTAAATATTTTGCTGACATAGACCGCTTCAAAAGCAACAACATGGAAAACTTTGTTCACAGTGTTATGGGTGCCGACAATTCTGATGTATTGGACAACTCTTGGCTCAAAGTACAGGTGCTGCCAAGAGCGGCAGTAGAAGTGAGTGTGGTCAATGACCTTTACCCAGTCACTCTGGTCCATCGACACTTCAATGTAGTAACAATAAGATCTAAACCAAAAACAATTTTCTATAAAGAAATAATTGTGGAAAAATATCAAGCAAGATTAAAATATTCAAAATATTTCAATAATTATGTGCGTGTTTTTAAAGTCAAGTTACTGTTAAAAATAAATTGAGAAAAAATGAAGAGATTTTATGGTAAAATATGCCAAAAGTAGTCTACCTAACATCCTTGTCCCAGAGCAACATTTTCATGTGGTTGATGATACATGGCATTCCCAACTTGATCAGAATCCCATGATCTCCACCGCCAGCGGTTATGGCATGCCTAGTGTATCCTCTCTCCATGTCATAGTTAGTCGTGTCACCGTCCAGAAGTGCCGACCTCATCTCTCCCTGAAGAACTTGCGTTCCGTGCCTCACATGAGCAACATTTTCGTTGGGCACTATTTCAAGTTAAATTTTTAGTTAACGCTTAATGCTTACATCATTTTAAAATTTATAAAAAAAACCTACTCATGAATCCCCGATACTGTAGCTCAGTATTCTTGATAGCTGTACGATTCTGGATGGCATCCAAAATAGCGTCCGGGTCTATGAGACCAGTTGGTCGGACTTTGGTGAGCAGGTCTGTCAGCTCCATCAGAGGAAGCCGCACAAGGGCTAGGGCACTCTTTCCATCTTCCTCTGGGTTGTTCTGTACCCACCGACCAAGGGCCTCAAATATTTGGACTTCAGGGGCACAGAATGAGTCTCGAGAAACTAATTCCTTTAAGGAACTCTGCAAAATATGACCATTTTTAGAAAATTTCTATGTAAAAAATATTGGAAACATGAATTATGTATAATAAAATACTACCGCTTCTTGATAATAAAAAAAAAAACGTTAAGAGAGTCTATTTATCAAAAAATATTACCAAAGAGAGCTGAAGGAAGCCGTCTTGCTGCAAAATCTCTGCGGCTTGACGATCCATGAAGGAGAAGCAAATGTTGGACAAGGTCATCATCTGATAGAGTCTTGCAGCGTCAAAGATGAGAGAAGCGTTCCGAACATTCAAAATTTGTTTGAGGTAGTCAGAAAGAGACTCCTCAAGTTCTACAAAGCCGTAAGTATGTGCCAAACCAAGCACGTCTAGCACATTTTCCTCCTTCATCGCCGACAAGGACATATGTCCGGTGTAAATGTAGCGCAGCAGGGCCTTGAATGCCTCAGATGATGAATACTTAAGCTCTATTTCTGCCTGCTGGGACTCTTTCATTCCTCCGTAGAGAAGGGCACTGCAAAATACAGTAAGTTATATTTTTAAATTTTTAAATTAATAATTATATTATTTTTATTAATATAAGATATGTGTGTACAATAATGTATAATAATAGTCACGATCCTGAAAATTAAAGAAATAAAATTACCGAAAATATTCACTCCGAGCAGCAAGAATGACTTTGTGGGCATGAAATTTCTGTCCGTTCAAATTGAGAATGACATCGCTGTACTCGTCGTTGAGGAACAGGGCGCCGATGTTGGAGGACAGAGCATGGATGTGCTCCACCTCTCCATTCGGCGAGTTTGGCCCCAGACGGTGGTGACTACTCATTTCGTATGCAAAATGCTGACACGGTTAATAGCAATCAATCGTCTGCCTGCGAAAAGGAATCAGTCTTTAAAAGTCTGCACCACCAATACAATATAAATATGCTCGCTCTACTTTTGGAACGCAGGTTCTAAAATTATTTTTGTTGAGTGGGAGTTTGCACCACAGTGCCGACAGTGAAAACAATTACAAAAATGTTTAGTACGTATGTATGAACAGAAGCCTTCAAAAGAAGTGCCAAGATTTCTAGAGATTTCTTGCAATAACAAAAACCAAAAGGGAAACCAAGGATATAATATGTCATACAACAGAAAGCCGAAAAGGTTAAATTACCAAAGAACTGAATCAAGATAACGTACAGAATCAAGTCTCGTAAACTTTTCAAGTCAGTAGAACAGGAAATTCGGTCCAGATGAGTTCAGCAGGGCCACATTCTGCTGCCATTGAATTTGCGAACGGCGATTTCTCAAGGTGAATTGCGATTTATAAATAAACACAGGGGAGCAACACAGAAGACTTCGTTTACATTACCGAGTGCCGCCTGGTGGCAAAAACCTTAAATATAGAGACGTCATAGGAGTTAAATAATTTTTTTTCTAATATTTAATCGTTTATTTTAGCAACAAATTTATTAATGGTTTTAATAATTGTGAAATTTTACTTTGTGCTGATAAAAACTGTTTATTGATATTGTTTTTGGAAGGCAATTAACACGTTCTCTCCAGGCTTAAAATTAAAGAGCAATACAATTAACAAAAAAAAAAGAAGCAATTAATTATGAAAATGGTAAAGTGAATCGTTTGCTTGTTCGTAAATACAAGTTGCTATACATTTCTTTCAATAAATTACCATCGCGCTTATTAAATGCATACAATACATATAATAATACACATGTCATTTTTCTTATCCGATACATGGCTGACGCTTCCTGGACTCATATACAACAAGATTATATAATTCATTGTTCATTAATATATGTATGTGTATAAATCTTACTTCAATTTCATGATTACGTACTACTAGTAAATTTACTAGACAAGAAAGTCCGAGTTATGCTCAGCTTAATATTGGTTCAATCGAACTTAACAATATAATATTATAGATCTTCAGATCAAAGGAATTTCAAGAACTCATGAGTACATAAAAGATAAAATTTTAGAGAGACGTGACTATCAAGATTCACTTCTTCTTGCTCTTTCCTAGTGTTAAAGTGTGCGAGCCGCTTTGGATTTGGGCCTTTCGACGGTTGTACTCGACCATCTCTTCTTCCAGCTTGCGGCGCGAGTCGTCCAATTTGCTCTTCTCGTCTGTGTGGTCCTTCTTAAGCTTGTCGAATTTAGCATGCAGCTGTAAAAAAACAACATAAAATAAACATAATTTTAATTAAAATAAAAAAGGTTCCTACATCTTTTTCAGCATCCTTCAGCTCGGCCTCCTTTTCCTTAACTCTCTGTATGAACATCTGGCGCATTTCGTCTTCTTTCTGCTGCAGCTCTTGCAAATGTGTGCTCCTCTTGTGCTCGAAAGTCTGCTGGAAGCTCACTGGCTTGTTTTCAGAGTCAACATCAGTGAAACCCATCTAACAGTAATAATATTAAAAAATATTCCATTTAAATAACTTAAAAGTTATACCTGCTCAAGTCGTCTCTTTCTGTAGAGTTCATAATGACGGCCGTGGGTCTTTTCTCGCATGTCTTCCATATTTGTGCGGATCAGCATTTCTCTCAATTTCACAAAGTCGCAGTGGTTTTCGTTCTCAACTAGAAGATAATAAAATTTAAAACTATTTAACAAAGAAGAATAAATTTTAAATTTTACCTTGAACTGTTCCCCAGGGATACTGTCGAGACCTCATCATCTTGTTGCCAACCCGGACGAACTCTGTGCTGCCAACGACGGCAAAAGGAGTGTGAGTGTTCATGGAGGAATTGACTTCGGAAACAGTTTCATCGTCCGTGGGAAATTCATAGATGCTCACACCATTATTTTGCAATTCAGCCATAATTTTGGACTGGCGAAGAAATTAAATCAAAACTATATTTGGCAACGATAACAGAAACACCAACCTTGAACTTTTGGAGTTCATTTTTAGAAACAGTGTCGGCTTTCGCAATGATCGGAATGATGTTGACCTTTTTGTCCAGCTGCTTCATACAAACCAGATCGAGCGATTTCAGCCTGCAACAAATTCAAAATTTTAGGAAAATTAGAATGGAGAAAATAAACTGAAGACTCTCACCCATGGCCTGTTGGACAGATAAAGTAGAGGCAGACATGGATGCGAGTGTCATGGTAGGCGGTTAAGGAGCGCTTGATCTTGAGCTCCTCCTGCAGGTATGACTCAAACTGGGCGTCGATGTAGTCGACGACTGCCTTGTAACTCTCCTCCTTGTTGATCTGGTCTCCGTAGCCAACTGTATCAACAATGGTCAGCTTGAGACGGACGTTGCTCTCCTGAAGCTCATAGGTGTGTGCCTTCAGCTTCACCGTCGGGAGGTTGTGCGGACTTGGCTGCGACTCAAAACTCGTGTTGAACAGCGAGTCCATCAAAGTCGACTTGCCAATTCCAGTCTCGCCTGAAATTAATAGGATTAATAAATTGTTAATATTCTTTTTTTAATTGAGTGGCTTAGTTTTATTCTAAGGTTAATTTAAAAATTTGATTTGGAAGCAAATTTTGTCTCATATGAAAAAAAGCCTTATCTTGGAATATAACTGATTATTTATATTTATATTTTTTTTTTAATTTACCGATGCATAGGATGTTGAAAATGAATCCGTTCTGGACGGATTTGTTGACAAGTTGATCGGGCAGGCTGTCAAAGCCGACATGACCTGACAGCTTGAGGTTGCGAATGTTGCTCTCGTTGTTGGCCTATGCAAGAGGAAAAATAAATTAGCTTTTATTATGACTGTGACATTTACAAACAGGGCCATTCGCGGTGCGCAATGGCTGTGACACGTCCGTTTTATTTATTAAGCCATAAGCTCAGTTTAGCTCTCTGATAGAAATTAAGAAATAGAGCATGATTGAATTTAACGTAAAAATTTTTTGTTTACCATAAAAGGAGAAATTTTTGGAATGCAATTCAATGCAAATCAGAAAAGGGAGTGACGGAAGACAATGGCCTTAAAGTGAATCTTTGTTGTCTCAAAAAATTCCAATTGAAAAGCAACTGTTTCAGATTGAGCCTTGAGTTTATTGCTACGTAAATTTAAGAGCTTTAACACGCTAATTAAAATAGTTTGACTAAATTTGAGATCAGTGACATTTCTGTTTTGGTAAATATCAACCGGCGTGCGAAGCCAACGCCCAGCGCAAGCCATTTCTCTCACCAAAAAAAGGAAAATCACCAGAAAATAAAACTTAATCGGTGGGGAAATTAGGGAGACTCGAAGTTGCGAGTGGATATGAATAAAAAATAAAGGGCTGATTGAGGGAAATGAGGAAAACAAACCTTAGCCTTTTCAACGTCGCCGCCTGCCATCTTTGTTTATCTGGGCCGCTGCGGCAAATTCGTGCTGTGCGCTCGCTCGACTCGACTGCCAGCAAAAACCAACGAGAACGAGAACGGAGCAGTGCTTTCGAAAACACCCACTAGAGGTCTAAGAAAATTAACCTATAATTATTGTTTTCCATTTTTTTTTTATAAATTTCAATTTCGTAAAATTCATAATGTTGCACGTATATGAGGATGTGATGTTTATTTTTTTTTTTTATCTTCTGCAATGTATATTTAGTTTTCGAATTTTTCATTAAACATTAAATTAATAAATTTGTATTTTTTAATTTGTATGTTTATTGTAATTTGTATATTTTACAATGACTTGAATAGTAAGAAAATTTGATCATTGTATTCATTTATTTACTTTTTAATAAACAAATTATAACTGGGGGGGTGGAGAAGTTACAATATAATTTGTTTAATCTGCGCTCCAGATTGATTAGATTATTTATTCGAACATTAAAATAAGAAAATTTTTTTATTTGAAGTTATTTATAATTCACAACAAAAAATTTAATGTTTTTTCATGCCTTCAGCAGTTTTGAAGTGCACTCGAGCTTTATTATCATGTTACGTTATTTTGTGTAGTTGACTCAATTAATTACAATTATTGAAAGTGGATTGGATTATTTCCTTCAACGTACTTGAAACCTAATTTAGAAATTTTGTCTCTTTTTAGTCGTATTACTTAAAAAAAGGAAAGTTTTGCGTTAACAGTTTTCAAATGCAATTTTCTTTTACGTTGTACGCACGGAAATTTTTAATTGATTACCACAACAAAGATTTTTTCGGATTTTTTATTTTATAATTATTTGACAAAAATGTATTTTCCAGGTATTTTCTGCATTTTCTGCAAAAATGATCAAATAAAAGAGTTGACAAGTTTTATCACAAAGCAACTCATTAACTGCCATTAGCGCAAAAAATAAGTGGGATTAGCCGGGGATGAAAAAGAGAGAGCTTGAATAATTCGTAGGGATTTTTTGCCCGCGGCGTATCGATCGGGGTGGCTATGTTGTGTGTGGTGGTGTAAGCGGGGGCGAGTTTGGCGAAGGTGCTTTTGGCTTTTGGCGCCAGCTGAGCGCCGTGTCGACGCAAGTGGCCGTCCGAGCAACTGAGTTGCAATATGGCAGACCCGAGCGGGGTGTGTGTCTGATTCTCGATGCACTTTGGCTCTTCGTCCGACTACTAGACCGCTGTCCCGCCGCACGACCACCGAAACGCCGCCTCCCAGCATGGCCGCCCCCGAGGCGTCGGCCGCCTCAGCCGCCTCCGAGGCGCGACGGCCCGAGGACGTCGTCCGACTCTCGGTCGCCGACAACATCAAGTTCGCCGTACTGATTGGCCTCGTTGAGGTCGGACAGGTGTCCAACCGCGAAGTTGTCAACACCGTCCTTCACCTGGTGAGTTCCGCCTTTCTTTGGCCGCCTCTGGCCGCCCGGCCGCCGGCCGACGGCCACCGGCGTCCGACATACAACTCTTTATATGGTAGTGGGATGGGCCGTCATTCCACCTTGCACTTCTTGTCAAAAGAAGATAAAACTTGCAGTGCGTTATTATAATATTGTACTCGATTCCTCGCTTTCTTCGTTCCGCCGACGACGTGCTGACGTATTTTATTTTCCCATTTATTTGCCCTTGATTGCACGTTTTATTGACGTTGTTTTTGTTGTTTTAACTAAATGTCTGACAGCTCTGTCAAAATAATCGTTGCTTTCGTTTGAGTTTATTCAAGTGGAAATACGAACGAGTTTCTCTAGATTATAATGAGAATTTTGTTTACAATTGTAAAATAATCATTATTAGATCGATTCGTAATGTTAGCAAATTATAATATCTTTCTCTAATATTTAGTAAGAAAAAAGCTAGGATAGAATAATAATTAATTGAAAAGACATTTCAAAATTTGTTTACTTTATTATAAAAAGCATAATTTACAATTCAATTATTATTTTGATTAAATAAAACACTCTTTTGTGGGTCAGTAAAAAAATTACCTTATCGGCTATTGTCCCTTTTTGAAATTGTTTTTTTTTTTGTAGAATTAATAAACATTAAAAAATAGTTTGTGGTTTAAATTTGTTTTGTGGTACAGATGAAAGGGTTAACAATTATTATTTGTCTTCATTCGACGCAGGATTTTTTAATGAATATGTATATTTATTGACTAATATCCTTTTATTAGCTTATTTTAATTATATTAAATTAGGAATATAATAAAAATAACTACGCTTTCCTTCAAAATTAAGTTTGCATCTCAAAACACAAATTATGAAACAGAAATTTGAAAAATCTTTTTTTAAATATTTAGAAAGTCTGTTAGCTATTTTTAATGGAAATAATCCTATATTATTCTACACACATCCGGTTTTGTCTTTTTATTCCTGTACGTTAATAATTAGAAAGAACTAAGAAAAACTTTTTTTAAATAAATAATAATTATTTATTAAATCTGAAGAAATTTGAACAGAATTCAGCATAAATTTTTATTATCATTATTTTTATTTATTTAATTATTTTTTTAATAAGAATAAGAAGAAGCAATAATTTGATTGCAAGTGGCAGTGAATTGAATGCTCACGCGGACATGAGGTCTAGAATGTCTAGATTAAATTTGATGTAAAATCGATGTTGCTATTCTTGTTGTTGCGCTTCGGCAACCATCTCTACTCCACACTCTGTTGCACCAAAATAATTGCAGGCTATTAAAACTGCTGAATTATCTTTCCGCAATCATTTTAAGATTTTGTAAGTCAGTATTCAAAAGCTAAGCAAGTAATTCTGGAAATAAATATTAAAATTTCACTTCAAGTGCCAATAAGTTGACGCGGTGAATTACTTCGTGTAGCGGTTATTAGTTTCGATAAAAATTATCTGCGCAAGGGGTGCGGCGGCTTACATGGAATACCTTTTTATTAGTATATTGATATAAAAATTGATAAAAAAAAAGTAATCGTTTAAAAATTTTAACATTTTTTAAGTATAAAAGGGTATCTGGAAAAAAACTGTAAAATCGTGATTAATACAAAATAAATTAAAAATTATTAATTTGAATAATTTAATTGGAAAAGAAAACTATTTATTTTGTAAATCGTGTTTTAAAAATAATTATTTTGGCGTGCTTTATATGTAAAAGTTGCTCATTTCATTTTTTTAAATATACCAAGTGGTAAATCAAATGTTTTTTATTCCTGTGAACCTGAGACATAATTTGTGACACATTAAATTTATTCATAGTCAATCAATTTTATCTCATAAAATATTTTTTTAGTTGTGGTACCTAAAAGCACTCCTCAAACAAAGCCGCAACCAAAATTTTGCATCTGCTCTCTGTCGTCTGATAAAATGTTTGCTTGGCGGAAACGGAAGTGAATTCTAATTTAATCATGCTCTCATTCCATTGAGCAAGAGCACTCACGACGGTATTGAGTCTTCTGAGAATTCGATTGCCATGCAAAATTAAAAAGTTGGCTAATTAGCGGACTGTGCACAATTGCATGATGAAAAGCTGCAATGCAACTTTTCCTTTGAGGTGCAGAGATTTTTTCGCCATTAAATCGGCATTAAAAACCGACGGCCGTGTGGAGTGAGAGAAGAAATACTGCGCCGCTGGCAGACGGAAATAATTGGGCCACTACTCGACTCTCTCGGCGGTCGGTGCATGAAAGAAAGAGAGAAAGAAAGAAAGGCGAACACGAGCCAATTATTTTCCGTCGACTGCACCGAGCGCTAATCAATACCGGTTTAATTGCAGAATTAATCTGCCGGGCTGAAAGGGTGAAAAGCCGCGTCGCGATTGGCGCACGTGTCGAAATTGCGAATTGATTTGGGCGGCTCATTATGGATTATCGAGCATTAATTTGTGAATAATGAATTGGGCGAAAAGCCGGGTGGGCGCTTTGAATGCAGCCAAGGTCGATTTGCTTTCCAGCGCCTTCTGCTGCCAACCATCCCCACACTAAACGCGCTGCCACCCCCATAGATGTCGTTCCCTGCCGCTCACCCCAACAACGGCTGCGAGGGGTGGTTTTGCGCAAGACGTCAAAATGTTTGGCAACCCTTTTCATAAGCTTTGATTTTTTTAGGCGTTTTTTTCCTGAGAGATTTCAATTTTTTTGGGCACTTGATTATGATTTCTTTACATTTAAATTCATGTTTATAATTTAATATAAATAAAAATTAATAAGAGAGGACAGTGGGTACTGAAGAAAACGCACAGTAACAGTAATTAAAAAAAAAAGAAAACAAGTTTTAACCTTTTCAAAAATAATATTAGAGTTTTTTAATTTTTACGGCGCTTTGCAATTTTTCTTCTTCTTGAAACAGGGATTTTCTTTTGCAAAACAATAAAAAGGATAATTTTTTAATTTGAATATCTTTCATAAGTTTTCTGAGCAAATGTGATACCCGAGTTTTTGTTATTATTATGAATTTTCTGAACTTTACGATCAAATACGATTTCTTGTAGTGGTTATGCGGTTTTTTGAATGATGACAAGCAAAGTAACTAAGTTATAATATTTTTTCTCGCTGCATTTAAGATAAATAAAATTTAAGATAAAAATTACCATTTTTTAGGAGAACCAACTTTTTTCTATCTCACGCAGAATATCAGTATTTTTGGCCCAGAAAGTTTGTCCTTTTCTTGCCAGAGTCCCCAAGTGTCCATAACTTAATCGTCCCCCAGCAGGCGGCGAACTTTCCTTGGCGCATTCGTGGGACAAAAGATTTCTGGCTGCAATAAATATCCGTCGTCCGAGCTGCTGAAATACAACTGTTGGTTGGGCAGCTGCTTTTTTCCCTTGCCGACACCTCATATTAAATTCTTGAGACCGACGTCTTGGGTCCCCCGCTGCTGAAACAAGAGGCTCGTTACACCGAAAGAGTTGGCTGGCCGGCCGTCGGCAAACAACACATTCTGTGCAGGAAGACGAGGAAGTTGCACTTCTTTCTTTCTCTCGGAAGAGGAGGAAAATATATAATGCCCGCTTTTGCCGGCAAACAAAACGAGAACCTTTCTTATCTCGTGAGAGAGGGAAAGGGCAAAACAGAGGATTTCTTTCCTCTTGTTTTTATTTTTTTTATTATTGAAAAATTCTTTTTGC